GAATAAGTATATAAGAGGTTCTTCTCCCCGTAAATAAGCAAGCGAGTCCTAAAGTGTTAAGGCATGATGCTTCATCGTCTTCACTGCAGGCGGCAATATATAAAACCTGCATAACATTTCCAGAGTGATCGCTTTCTGTTCCACCTAATGAAAATAAAAGTCGTCTTCTTCTTTTTTTGTTCTTTCCTTTGTCTCGCACATTGCACATTGCACACCTGCAACCCACTACTCTCACCATATAATATATAATATATAAAATGTACCAAATGTTTATTTTACTAATCGCGTGGCCCTCCCTGCCATTAAACAGTACTAAGTAGTATATATATATATATATATGACAAAATGAGAATGTGCATGAACAGAATATGCATACATGATATATACTTGCTCGATCCAAGGCAAAGCCATATTCCAACTCCCAATAAGTAAATGTGGACGTGGAAATTAAAAATGCAAAAACAGGCATTCCCAGAATTGGAGGCAATATAAGCTCATGCCAATCTATCTGTATCTGTAACAAAAGGGGGGATGTCTTCGATTCAAACAGATCATAAGGAAAAAAAACTAAATGGTGTGATCATACTGTATTCAAGCTGAACCTCAAACCCCTCCCCTCCATATATTACAGACGCTGAGACGCATGAACACACACACACACACACACATATGCACACATATATAACGTAGATAAGTATATATGTAGAGGATATAGATGGCATTGTCAAGAAAAAAACTGAAACGAAAAGAAAGATTTCGAAAAGACATGAAAGAAAGATGATGCCCCTCTTTTACAAAAGGAAACGGTATCACAATAAAAAAGAATCGACAGAATATATGTCCGCATTGCGAGTGTGGATATATCTTTACGGCAACTCCATCCAAGTCTTTTCCAATAAAAGTCTCAAAACGTTGGAGTTAAACAAATAATATATTGACATCAATACATTAGTAAAGCTGCTGAAAGGGGATGGAGATCAATATCATACTCATACTGTGATACAGCTCTGCAACTCCACCCCACCCCCACTACCACTACCACTACCACCAAGTATAATCTGCTGAAATCATTATTTAATTAACAAACAAGCTAAATTATCTATCTAATTAATCTTAGCGAACCAATTAGCTTAATGTTTTTGAATGGATCGATATTATCCAAGAGATGAAAGCCCAAAATTTGTTTGCTCTTAACAAACCCTAGGGAGGTTTGAGAAGAAAACGAAAGTAATCATGAGATCTATTATTTATAAATAAAGAAATAAACAAAACAAAAAAGAGCAAGGAGGTTTAACCCTAGATAGCTAACACCAAAGACAATATTAGACAGATTGGAAACCCTAGGGTTGTGAAGAGAAAACTCTATCCAATGATGAACCAAAAAGTAAAAGACAGACAGAAATTCACATCCAGATGTGGAAAACATGAAATTTACAGTGAAAACATTAAGTCAAAAGCAAATGATTAATGTTTTTCCTTTTCCAGACCCTATACATATACAATCCCTCCTCATTACACCAATCTGCTAGTTGATCAACATCTCAAATTAGAAACAGTTTTGGGATTAGTCAAACCCACCTGGAGATCGATGGATCCGCCACACGCAGTAGATCGGAATACCAATATTGGCGAAATTAATCAACAACACTGCTGTTTTGGCAAATTAGATGGAAGCAGTGAATTGAGGGGAATGAAGCCTGGTCCGAGGGCACTAACATACACATAGTTCTTGAGCATCTGTACGTAGTACGTAGATTCTGATCAAAGATCAGTATGGATTTAAACTTGGAAGGAACCAAGGTTGGTGGCCTCGTGCCAGACAACATTCCCCTCAAAAGGACATGCTTCCTTTACATAAACTCCAATTCATCATCATCATCTCATCAATCTGCAACTCGGCTCTTGTCCAGGGTTGTTCTTCATCTTTTGTGTTAATCCAAACCAAAGAGGCAAAGGGTAAATAAAGCATATTTCTTGTATGGAATGAAATAGTCTCCCTATAAATTATATTGGGGTTTGTGTGGTACGTCATATATAAATAAATATATAATCATTTGGTTCACTTACTTTACGAGAAAGAAAAGAAAAAAGAAGGGCTGCATAGAGAGAGAGAGACGGTGCATGGGTCCGGTACTAGTCGATCGTGTTGGTTTCTGGAACCAGCTGTAGGGTTAGGTGGGCTGCTTTTGTCGCTCACACTAATGTTTATATAGGCGCACACTTGACACTCACTTACCCTATTATTAATATCTGATTAATTTAACAACAGAGTCAACGTCTACCGTTGGATCTGGATCCTTATTATTTATGACTATCATCTTTGATTTCCTCAGTTATATATTATCTTATTAAAAATAACAAAGAAAGAGAATTAGTAGTGTAGGGCAGTGCATGGTATATTTTAGTGGATATGTTAGATTGTGAAATCATTGTAGGTAGTCATGACTTACGTATAGTGGCCAAGTATGTTATTGAATCATAGCATTCTAATTCTTTTAAGGGCTAGTTTCGCATTAATGTGCTATGAAAATAATCGCTGTTAAATTTGCTGTGAGAGAAAATAGTTTGTAAAATTCATTAAAATCCAATGCCTTCTTAAATATGATTGATGTATAATCAAAAAATTAAAGCAGCTCATTAATTGCTTTCCATTATTACTGTCTCCCACAATAATTTTTACCAATAAGTGATTTCCTCATAGGTTACCAAGCAGGCTGGGCTTCTCTTCTTTTTAAAAAATAAAAAATAAAAAATAAAAAATAACCTATCACCCCAAAGAATCAATGCCAAACGGGTACAAGTCTATCTCTCCGAAAAAAAAGTAAAAAAATAAAAAATCTGTCTCTCTAGTCTTGTCTCTAGTTGGGCTAACTCACCAAAAGCATCAGAGGCCGATTTATAATATTCGGCCGAAAATGGGACCAAAAACAAATAAGGTTGAAATGATAGTGGGTTGGTCTTATTGTACCCAAATGGGCGTTTGATATTGGGCTCATTTATTCTTCTTTCATCCATTAGGATAGCACCAGTATATCTTTGCTCTTTCTGGGTTTTGCTAAATTGCAAGTTTCCCTCTGTTTAGTGTTCGCCTTTCAGCAATTTTCTTTTGTCAGATTGGAATTTGAAGATATAACAATAATAATAATAAAAATCAAAGAAAATAAAAATGGATTAGAGAAGCACACAACAAGTGACTGTAGAGATATTTTGAGCTTAAGGGACAACGTAATGAATCAAAAACTTAAATGTCAACTTACGGTGACCAAGGAAGAGTGAATTGGTGATGTTGAAACTTGAAACGATACAACAACGACAGCGATTTAATCCCTTCTTCCTAATGATTGGACAACCACACAAGTCACTCCAGATTTGTAGGCACCAAAATTTTGCCTGCTAGTTGTCGTCAGCAGAGGCAGACATTTGGCACGAATCGTTTTCCAAAACGTGTCATTGTAAAGCACCTAAGCACCAAGCCAAGACCAGCATGAATTTGGTAAGGTTATCCACACACACCACATCAGAGACTTACACGAACGAAAAGAAGAAAATATGGGTAATCATGGTCGTTTAAGACAAACTATTGGGTCGTTTTCACAGGCAGAGTTTGGGTAGGAGAGAACGCTTTAATCTTTATTATGCTTATCCTCTCAGGCCTCACTCACACGAAACGAAATGCAGCCAGCCAAGCCAAGTATCCTGGACAACATACTTCTTGTCCGAACATGTTCAATACTCAGACGACATGAATGAACCGCTAGTTCGGCCAATACTGCTTACTTGTTTTATTTGGAAATTTGGAACCAAATTCATGCATGAACTCTCACACACTTTGATTTAACATTAAAGGGTTACCGTGGCGTGCAAGCGTGGCCTAATCCCACAAGCCAGGCAGGCAGGCAGGCAGGCATCTCTCAACCTCACAGTTCGATTCATGAATGAAGCACGTCAGAATAGGGTTTTAGATGACAGCACAGCACACCAACCATGAATGAAACTGCATAAAATCCAAGTCACCCCAAATCAGTCAAGTAAATGACAACAATAGTGAACAAGCCCTGAAAAAGATTGGACCTGAAAATGGAGCCATCAACTGGTACTGGATCAAGCTAAACACGAGACACCAAATTGCAATAAATAAAAAATTATATAACACTAGAAACCAAACTGGAGAGTGAGGTCACTTAGTGCAAAGGCCCACTTGTATGATTGGCTTGAAATGAAAAAAAAGCCAATGCCTTTTTCCTTTGATTTAACTTGATGACAATTGAGCATTTCGTTTGTCGATATTAGGCGACGCAAATTGATCCTCATCTGCTGCGTAAGGAGTCATGATGGTTTGTTTGTTCATCTAAATTAAAGTAAAACCTATATATCATGACAAAAGTGCGACCATCAATTCTACATACGATGACAAATTTGTTGTATAATACATGGTACGTATTATTTTTGGTTTTAATACAGATAGTATGATTACTTTACAAATACTACAATTTGGAAATTAAACGTTGCACTCAACTCAGGAGTCAATAAAGTAGCATGAATGAATTGTCAAAAAGGAAATCTGACACCGAAGCTAACTAAGCGGCTAGCTCAAGCTCATCATCAGGTTCAAGTTTCTTCTTTTCAAACACTATTTTTATTGTATGTACTTTTATTATTATCCACCCAGGAGAAGCACACAAGCCAAATTGTATGCAAGTCTTTGTCTTCGTTGTAGAGATGGGAAAGAAAGAAGATAAGAGAGGTCCACAAGGCATGAAATGGAGAGTGGCTTACGTTTGCTAACACCATTGGTGAGGATAATCCATCAATCAACACTTCCAATTACCAGAAAGCAACCGCGTGGCTGAGAAGATACTTTCTTCAATCTTCTTAACTATATATTCTACAAGCTACCATTATTGCCAAGATTCTAAAAGCACCTTCATCTACAATTACCAATATCTTATTCTTCCCTCCATTATTATTTATCACAGCAACACACACAACCAAGATAATATATGGAGAAGACAGAGTGCTCCGAAGCAGAAAACTTTGGTTCTGTGACCACTAGCCTAGAGCCACAGGCTACTGCCAAGAGGAAAAAAGCCAAGAGCAAAAACCAGAGGAGGTTTAGCGATGAGCAAATCAGGTTGTTAGAGTCCATTTTTGAAGCGGACTCAAAGCTCGAGCCAAGGAGGAAGGTGCAGGTTGCAAGAGAGCTTGGGCTGCAGCCTCGCCAGGTTGCCATATGGTTTCAGAACAGAAGAGCTAGATGGAAGTCGAAGCAAATAGAGCAAGACTTCAGAACACTCAGGGCTGATTATGACAACTTAGCATCACGTTTTGAATCTTTAAAGGAGGAGAAGCAGTCCTTGCTTATGCAGGTACTTTTACTTTTAACTTGTAATAACTGTCTGAAAATGCATTCCAAACTTGTAGCTAGCTAGGCAGTCAAGTTAAACATGTTGTTTGCTTTTGAACAGATGCAGAAGCTAAATGAACTTGTGGGAAAACCTAGTCAAGGGTTGGAAGGAAACATCATGGTTGATGGTTCGAGACTACAGGAGGAATTGGAGCCGAGAGGAGTGATACAGTCACACAAGAACAATACAAGCAATGATGTTGGGTGCCATGGAGACGAAATACATGAGCTTCTGAGCATGGCTCATGTGGATGCCTCCTCTTTGTCACCTCAAGATTGGCATAGATTTGATCCAAGCATCCTGTTTGATCCGTCGCGTTTTACTAGTTCACACTGGTTAAATTTCTGGACTTGAAGATTGGATGTAAATTGTAAATTACTTTGAAGATTTTTCCTCTGATGTATTGAGCATGAGTGAGGTATATATATGGATGGATTCAGCAAAGCTATTGAGTAAGGCCAATTAACAGCTTCTACTGATTTGGCCAGAAAGATAGAGACAACTCAAGACAGACAGGCCTTGAGAGCAATTAAAGAACATGACAACATACAGTTGTTTTTGTTTGGAGAACTTGAGAAGAAGCAAGTTTAAGCCTTGTCCTTGTCCATGCATGGATGTATGTGTTTGTCTGTGTTGCACTTGCAGCAGGACCATGAGCTTGTTGAAATATGGCATCAAGCATCAAATTGATCAAGAGTGTGATGCATTATTGCATGAAACAGTAAAGCAGTTGAAATTCTTTCCACACAAACGAATCTGTTCTTCTCACCATGTTTTGAACTGTGGCTTGAAATTGATATCAGGCCACTAATACAAATTAGAACTAGAGATATGCATCGATTGAAGGATTTTATTAGTGGGTCTATCCTTTTTGTATTATATGGGATTTCATTCACAATGAAAAATATTAAACAAATCCTTCAATTTGGCTCCAGATGTAACTACCATAACTTGAAAGCAAAACGAGTTTTTCAGCCACACTCAAGCAACAAGGCCAATATTTTATCATGTGTTTCATATCTATGCTGCACTGCACATAAGCCCAACATAACAAGGAGAGAAGCTGACAGCCTGAGACAATAAAATATCACAATTGTCATTTATAAATCTGTAGTAGGCAAACATACAACCATCGGACAGTTTGGCCGAGTGGTCTAAGGCGCCAGATTTAGGCTCTGGTCCGAAAGGGCGTGGGTTCAAATCCCACAGCTGTCAACAGGATTAAGTATTTTTCTTTTTTATTTTGTTGGTCCACATCTTCTTTTGGTCAAAACTATATCCACAGCAGGCGAAATCTTAACCAACAGGACAGTTTGGCCGAGTGGTCTAAGGCGCCAGATTTAGGCTCTGGTCCGAAAGGGCGTGGGTTCAAATCCCACAGCTGTCAACAGGTTAATTATTTTCTTTTTATTTTGTTGGTCCACATCTTCTTTTCACTAAAACTATATCCATAACAGGCGAACACTTAACCAACAGGACAGTTTGGCCGAGTGGTCTAAGGCGCCAGATTTAGGCTCTGGTCCGAAAGGGCGTGGGTTCAAATCCCACAGCTGTCAAAACAATTAAACAATTATTTTTAAATTTCTATTTCCCCATGTTTATTTTGGGCTTTGCCAGGCCCATTATATTGTTCAACCCACTTGCAGCCCATCACTAATTCAATATCCCAATTCCTGACCACATAATCACTGACATGACACACTCTTCTTCCTCAACTGTCTTCCCGTAGTGACACAATCGAGCAAGAAAGAAGATAGACAGGGAATCAATGGCTTACTTAACCTTAAAAGCTACAGCCTATTTCAGCTCTTCAATCAACTCTTCAAGTGAGACTTACCTCCCTTTTTCACCCTCCAAGCTCCTCAAGCTCCCTCCCTTCTGGCCATGGGAAAAGGTAACAACAATCTCTCTCTCACTTCGCTCATTCTGCACTATGTTGTCATGTACAAATGTAAGCATAAAAAAACATGTTTCAGCGTCATCAGTTATAACTTATATATAGTGAGCAGGTGAAGGTGGGTCCGCTGAGTGTGTCTCCAATGGGGTTTGGCACTTGGGCATGGGGCAACCAACTTCTCTGGGGGTACCAGGAATCAATGGACAATGAGCTTCAACAGACTTTCAATCTGGCTGTGGACAGTGGCATCAACCTTTTTGACACTGCGGACTCCTATGGCACCGGCAGGTTGAATGGAAAGAGTGAAAAACTACTTGGAAAGTTCATCCGAGAGTATCAAGGTCTGATTTTCTTTTCAAGTTTTTAACTTTATTTTTCTCGTATAACGCATATGTTGGATAGATGGTGAATGATAAAATGTCTACAAGGAAGGTGGTTTAATTCGTAAAGCTATTAAGATATAAGAACAAAACTGGTTGAATTTTGCTGCATTGCCCCCATCACTTGGAGTTCTAAAATGCTGCACAATATGTCCTGTGGTTGATTGATACTGAGTCCAATTTCTCTACAATTACAAGATGGAATTCGATTCATGCGTAAACCCACTTAATATAATCGGTAATCTTCGTGTTTGATGCAGAGATAATATTATAATATTTTGTTAATTTGATGATGAACTTGTGCGTGTCTACTGTTAAATAACTCTCTCTTTCAGGGCAAAAGAGGCTGCAGGAGGACATTGTAATTGCTACCAAGTTTGCAGCCTATCCTTGGCGCCTAACACCGGGGCAGTTTTTGAATGCTTGCAAGTATGCTTTTCTCCTTGCGCTTCTCTTCTGCTTCTCCAACTTTACTAGAATTCTATTGCACCTTCCCCACTTTTAATTAATTTGTTAATCCAAACAGCTCACGAGCTACCTTCAGCTATTTATAATAACAGGCTATGAACAAATATTGCTTTTCCAGTGCCTCGATAGATCGTATGCAGATTGAACAAATTGGAATAGGACAATTACATTGGTCAACTGCAAATTATGCTCCTTTGCAAGAAAAAGCTCTTTGGGATGGGTTGGTTGCAATGCATGACAAGGTAAGCACAAGACACACAGTATAAAATGATGTAAAATTCCTTGTGGCTTCAAGATTGAGCACAAAATGATCAACTCATAGAGATGGTACCATGTAGGGTTTAGTTCGAGCTGTTGGGGTCAGCAACTATGGACCGAAGCAGCTTGTAAAGATCTACGATTACCTCAAAACCCGGGGAGTCCCCTTATGCACAGCTCAGGTATAGTGTGCCCTTGTTTGTTGATGATATGAAACTAATCAGGTTCTATTTCACTGTGAAAAAATGGCGCTCAAGTGGAACCAGCACTGCTTTTAGTAGTAAAACTATTGCACATGCCGTGCGCTGAAACTCTTGATCTTATATTTAGCCGATTCTAGGTGCAATTTTCTTTGTTAAGCGTGGGAGAAGATCAGCTGGAGATCAAGAATATATGTGATTCTCTTGGTATCCGCCTGATTGCTTATAGCCCTTTAGGACTTGGAATGCTTACTGGGAAATATACACCCTCTAATCTTCCGCGTGGCCCTCGGTACGTGGTTTCTTCATTTATCCTTTTCCATATGGTAGGTAGACAGAGTGTGAAACCAGTAGACATTGTTTACAGATTAATTGGTGTTTCTGCAGGGCCTTCCTATTCGGGCAAATTCTTCCAGGACTGGGCCCTTTATTAAGCTCACTTAAAGAAATTGCACAAAAAAGGAGCAAAACCATACCACAAGTAAATTCAATTTTCATTATTACATATTGGCATGCGTCCTACTTATGACACTAACATAATTACACGATTATATGGCCATGAATAGCTAGACAGTCTTTGGGCCTAATGATTTAAGTATGAATAAAAACTGTTGTGTTTGTAGGTTGCTATAAATTGGTGCATTTGCAAAGGGACCATTCCCATACCTGGAGTGAAGACAGTGAAACAAGCAGAAGAAAATTTGGGGGCTTTGGGTTGGCGCCTGAGTTCCCAAGAGTTGCTCCAGTTAGAATATGCGGCACGGGAGTCACCTCAAAAGATGATCCAAAACATTTTCCAAACAAGGTGAATCCGATTGTTATGTTTGTTTCTTGGAGCAGGGAAAACAGAATGATGCTAATCACTATATCATATTTAACGCGATTGCGTCTGCATTCTTTTTCTTCTCCGTGAACAGATGAATTTGGACAAGAAGCTTTGGCGAGTTTTTGTGTTGAAACTTAAAACATGGAATACACGGGAGAAATGAAATTGAAAGTGCCCTTAACAAGATCAGAATGTGAAGAATAAGTAGGGAAAGTAAGCAGGAAAGAGGCTACTTATTTGCTTTTGGTGTAAAGAAGCTGGGAAAACGAACATTACTCAACAAATAATCGCAACTGGTCATATTGGAAAGAGTATCCCTAACTTAGCCTTGTCTTGTGTGCTAGAATGTACGTTCTTATTACCATTCGCAGTAATCACGGTCATATCCAAATTATATATGGATTCTGGAAGTACAAATTTCATCATTCATGTCACAAACACACAAAAATAAAAGTATGCAATATGGAAAGGCTCAAACTTAATGAATGCCATTCTTCAAAGAGGTTCAAACCATGGCGAAATAAAACATAGGAAACTAGAAATCCCAAAACAAGTTAAGTTCGAACATATTGATGTTTCTAAATTTTCTAACAGAAAACTGTTTGAGGCTAATAGAGTTTCAAAAGAAACAGCCAATAACCTAAATGACCTAACAAAACATGATATACTGCTGGCACAATCCACAGTCTACTTGACCTTCTTCTTTGGCCTCAACTGCATTCATACAGAAAATAACACAAATAAAGAACAAAACTACAAAAAATAAGGTATTGAGAAAAGTAACAGGATCATTCTCCTATATAAAATACCTGGTTGCTGTGTCCACACTTCTTTTTCCTGCAGTTGACAGCACGAGGGTGCAAGCGTGCATAACACCTGTTCATAAGCATTCATACAATAATGTCAAAGAAGTTCCGTGTGTGGAAAAAGCAAGGAATTTAATGAGGAAACTGAAGTAAACCTAGTTAAAAGAAAAACATTTTCAGTAGGCTTAAATTCATAAAACAACCAGATGACTTCAATGGAACTTGACAAACAAAAGAAAATCGTGTAGAGCTTAATCAAACATTTTACAAGTAACATAAAGGCGGAAACTCACTTGCGGCATATCATCTTATCTTGGTTGTATTTCCTAGCCAATGCCATGAGAGACGGCTCAATAATCCCACCACGGAGCCTCAGAACCAAATGCAAAGTTGATTCTGAAAAATATTAAAGCAACATAAAATTTCAGACAACCTACAAATAAACAGAACGCATAAATGCTCAAGTATTAACACCACAAAACAGCCTGCAACACAAATAGAGTGGGTCATCACTGGGTCCAAACCCTGCTTTGAGACCTTTGACCAAAGTCGGAATAAATTGACTACGAAAATGCTGAATTTGTAATTATCAAAATCATTTCTCATCTATCTGTACTATCAGCCAAGCATAATCCCCATAGTGACGGGAAACATAATTCAAAAACTCATTCACATTTTAAAAACAACTTGAACACTTCACAATTATACTAAGTCTTAGCGCTAATCGCATACCCTAACGATATCAATAAAGGAATGAAATGGTATCAATCCAGATAACATTTTCCTAGAGTTTCTGAGCAACCAAACAGGGGGAAATAAGAAGTTAACCTTTCTGGATATTGTAGTCGGCGAGAGTTCGGCCATCCTCGAGCTGCTTCCCGGCAAAAATGAGCCTCTGCTGGTCCGGTGGAATACCTAAAAAAATAAATAATAAGAAACAAATTAGCCATTAAAAATCATCACCGTTCAATCGTACTACTTTGAATTTGAGCATGCAATTGATGATTGCAAAATGTAGAGAGAGATTAGAGAACGGGAATGGTTTACCTTCCTTGTCCTGGATCTTGGCCTTGACGTTGTCGATGGTGTCACTGGACTCCACCTCAAGGGTGATAGTCTTCCCGGTTAGGGTTTTTACGAAGATCTGCATCTTCTCCGACTCTCTGTCTCTCCCTCGACGGCAACAAACCTCTTCTGCCCGTAAGCTTTCTTGTTTATATGCGACACGAAATGCGCATATTAGGGTTTCGAGAGTTGGCAAAACAAAAATGGGCTTTTTAAAATGAAAATGAAGTGGGCCGTATTTAACCAAAAAAATCAAGTGGGCCGAAGCCCATATAGCCTAACAGAAACCCAAGCGCGTCCCTTGGGTGTACCGCCCAAGTCAGTTACCGTTGAGACCAAAGACCAAACTAAAAGCACACTATCGAGATAGAACCAAACTTGCTCTCAGTGATCATTGCAAGACAACTTTTGGGTCCGATCGGTCATTTTCGTAACCAGTAGGTAAAATAAATTGGGTGCGCACTGAGCATGGCCTCCTCCACGTGCGCAACTACCTCTCTCTCTCTCTCATCGTCTCTCCGCACGAATCTCTCATCGTCGCGTACATCTCGCATGCCGTTGATCTCACTCCGAGTGTCACCGATATTCGAAGCTCTCTCGTTTAAATCCGTTCGCACCAATTTCAAGAACCCAATCTCTGCATCGGCATCAGCATCAGCTAGGATGGCGGGTCAGAATAAGAAGATAGAGAAGTTTGAGACGGAGGAGGAAGTGGCGGTGCGTTTGGCCAAGTACACCGCAGATCTGTCCGCTAAGTTTGTGAAAGAGAGAGGGGCTTTCACCGTCGTTTTATCGGGCGGCTCTCTCATTGACGCACTCAGGTCCCAAACCTTATTTTTATAGTTGTATTTTATTTACTGTCTTTTATTATTTATTTATTCTTTGGTGGCGCTTTGTTTATGTTTTTTTGTGTGTGGGTATTTTGTTATTTTGTTTCGATTTACAGGAAATTAGCGGAAGCACCGTATAAGGATTCGGTGGACTGGTCGAAATGGCATGTGTTCTGGGTGGATGAGAGAGTGGTGAAGAGGGATCACGTTGACAGTAACTACAAGCTTGCTCTTGATGGTTTCCTCAGTAAGGTAAATTATATATCGTGTACAGTTCGCACTTTATCTAGAATGCTTTCTTCTGAATCGTTGTGTAGAAACACTAGCTTTTGCTATGTTCCATGTAAAAGCCGTGAATTTTATTTTGATACTGCTCTGGTTGTTTTTCTTCTCGTGAAATTTGGAAATTTTTGGTCTTGCTTTTGTGTTTATGGGTTGGATAGGAAATATGGTTTCAATAATGAAGAAAGGCAATGGCATTGGCAGCATAACTTTGTGTTTATGTTGATGTATTTCTGTAGATTATACTTTGAGGCTTAGTATTTTCTATTTTGAAAGGAAAATAATTCTATGTTACGAAAAACTGGTTGGATTAGAGGTGACAATATTGTGATGTGAGTGCACCAGTAAATTGAAACTAATAACTAATTGGTTATGAGCAAAAGAAAGAAACCTTACACTTGAGGTTATGCGTGACTGGAGTAAATGTTTGATGTGTGGCTATGATCCATGCATATTATTATTTAGGTTTCCTCTACTAATTATTAGGTGGTCTCATGCTTTTCAATTCAACAGTAAGCTGTCTTGTATCAAACTTCAAGTAAGCATGTGGCCATACTTAGTCTTGCAAGGGCCTAGAGAGACATTGTTAATCATTCATCCACTTAATCTTGCCATGTTTTGGTATTTTGGTAGGTACCAATTCCCCCGGGCCAGGTTTATGCCATTAATGATGCACTTTCAGCCGAGGGAGCAGCAGATGATTATGAGACCTGTCTTAAACATTTGGTTCAGCGGAATGTGATAGCCACTTCAAAAACTACTGGGTTTCCAAAGTTTGATCTCATGCTTCTGGGTATGGGCCCAGATGGACATCTTGCTTCTCTATTCCCCGGTCATCCTCTTGTCAACGAGAAGAACAAATGGGTCACTTGCATTAAGGACTCACCAAAACCACCTCCAGAGAGGATTACTTTCACCTTTCCAGTGATCAACTCTGCTGCATATAATGCAATGGTAGTGACCGGTGAGGGAAAAGCTAGTGCTGTCTGCACAGCACTTGGAAAAAGTCGGCATTCTGAAACTTTGCCTGCTCAGTTGCTTTCAGCTGAGGATGAGTTAACTTGGTTTTTAGACAAGAGTGCAGCTTCAAACCTATAAGAGGAGGATGTCGTTGGCTCTGTGAGATGTTGCACTTGCATCCTATGTATTTGCGTGTGAACTTGGTAATGTGTTCTATGCCTTAGGCAGAAATCACCGTGATTCACTGCTGGCTTTTCTTACTAATAATTAGAACTGGTGACCTTCGATGGTCCTCGGTGGTGGTAATAAGAACTGAAATAAGATGTAGTTTGATGTATTTTTCAGCCCTGGATACAATTTTATTGTCCTCCTCTCCCTCTCTCTATCTTGTGGTTGGTTGCATTGTAAGGCACAGGTTACACGAGTCAGATTAATTAGATTATCCTGACCGTGCCGTGCTTTGGTTGGATCACTTTGTCTATAGCATGAATAAAGTTATCCCTTGCGTTTGGTTTACATTGTTTTATGATTAGAAGAACCATATTGGGAATATCTGCAAATGCACTCAATGTATCTATATCTATCGTCTTCATTACAGGTACCTTGTTTTTTAGGACTGACGTGCTAAGATGTGCAACCTTTCTTTTTTTCTTGTGGATCTTTTCCGTGCACATGCAGGTTACAGATTCCTTTGCTTTGTTCTAAAACCATTATTTTCTGGGTTCAATTACTATTTTCTTTGTAACTTGGGTTATTTTAGGGGCACTGGGAATGGCCCATGACGTTTTTATTCTCAATTTAGAGATCGCCAGTGGTCATTCCAAGACTTATAACGTGAACCAAACCCTTCAAAAAGAAAAGAGCTTTTGCCAAGGAAAGTGCTTGTGGGTTTTACTTGCTTCTTTTAAGCACATGTATAAAATTATAAAACCAATGCCTGACTTGAGCACATGACAAGGAAGGAGCACGAGAGCACCCTCTCCTTGCAGACCATCATCCACTTGTTTAAATATGTGTATAGTTTAATCCAGTGCATTGTTCTATGGGTGACATAAGATGAGGCTGTAAACTTTTGTATCTTTCCCATTTCCATCCAAGGAAAGCTGACTTGGGTTTCTAAACTTGCGTTCAAGTCCTCAAAAATTTCGCCCCCCTCCTCTCTTTCAAGCAATCCATGCAATTGGCCCAAGAAGATAAAGTATATTTTACAAAGAAGAAGCAGATGTTTTTGCTCATGTTGATGTTAATGGCTAAATGAACCTCATTTTCATGTATGGCTGAGAAGAACTGGTGTCTAAAATAAGTAATCTTGATTCTTGTCTTTGGCTTTGGCTTTGGCGCTGGGATCTACCAAATGCGACAAGCTCATTGATTCTCCAGACCCACTAAGAGGAAACACTATTAAGTATAAACCATCATGGTCATAGTACATACACTGTGCGCATATGTATTTAGTTAAAAGGCGTGTTTTAATGCCGCTTACCAAGTGTAGTGTTGTGACGTTAATTAAAAGCGATTATGAAAGTCACTCTCACATAATTGGACTTAGTAGTGGAGAGGAAAATGAATGATGGTGCAAACCATTATGGATAATGAATTACAATATATCAATCAATATCCTAATTAATTTTTGCCAAGAATGCCAAAGCAATTACTTTTTTGGAATGGCCATCATATTTGATTTCAGGTTCTTTAACATGCTTTAAGAATAGCAGATTGATGGAAGGCTCACTGTCACTGCATTTTCATCTCAGAACTGTCCACAGGCGTGTTGTCATTGTCTTATGGCTCACTTTGGGGTCTCCAAATTATGCTCTGGAATCTCTTTCATGATTGTGGTAGGTGATGAAAAAGAATGTAAAGTGTAGGCCATGCAACATACAAGGGCCCTGCAGAAAAATTCATCATTTTGCATGTTTTTTGTAACAAAATAACAGTAACCAATAATAAATAACTCCAGTAAAAAGAGAGAGAGAGAGAGGAGAGAGAGAGAGAGAGAGAGGAGAGAGAGAGAGAGAGAGAGAGAGAGAGAGAAGAAAATATGCCAAAAATTAGAAAAGTGGGAAGAAGAAAGAAAGAAAGAAAAAGCATATTCTCCACTAACCATCGTTTTCCCTTCTTTTTTCATTCCTGCTTTTCCTCTTTTATGAAAGGAAATTGCTCTTAATACATGTTTTCGTCTGTGGACTCTGAACTGTTGCATATCATATGCAGATATGGCTTTAAAGCAAGCTTGTTCTTAAAACTACTACAGTGTTATGTACCAAGATTTTCAATTAAATGTGACACTTAAGGTATATCTTTGTGAAAGAGGCATGCATTATTATTCACATCATATTCATAGGGTTGGCGCCTTTTTCTTGACTATGTCCAAAAGCTCTGCGGCCGATTTTGTTGACCATAATTTGCAGAACCACCTTCCTTTCCACATCCAAGTTTACTTCCTTGTTAGTTAACAATTTAGTTGTGCAAATTTGAGCACTATAACTTATTATATCTGCATGCATGATGCATATCATGATTAAGTAAAGTGTCACACTGCTCTTTCTTTACCGCTAATTTAAGCAAATTAATCATGTCTAAATCAACTAAGTTTGACTGGATTTGACCCTTTCTCTTAATCTATGCAGACAGCTCAAGGAAACAGAGTTCGTGATTAAGAAATCTGATAAACTTCGACTGTTATTTATTTTAGCATGGGAGCAAGCAATAATAAGTTAAGCAAGCATGCTGCCGAGGGTCAAGTAAAGTAAAGGGGTAACTTGAAGGAGATGTACCTTTGTATAATAATGGAGGGGGTAAGAAAGAAGCAACCACTCAAATCAAATGACAGTGGGTTGGGTTTGGTGAACTTTTTACCAACTAAATTCAAAGCTGTGGTTAAATTTGCATAGAAATAACACCCTATACCAAACTTCTCAGATCCCAAATATTTGTTTATCATAGACTGAGAGACTCTAAATAAAAGCTCTGATTTTCCTTTTCCTTTTTCTTTTTCTTTTTGGTCCAAAGAGTTCTGTTGATTTGTATAGTCTTGTTGCTTGGCACCATGCACTCTGAATTATTTGTTATCAATAATGCCCCTGAGTCCCTGACCCTTGCATCTAATTTGACTAATTGCCCATCTCACATGATTGGGCTGATCAGTCATATAAACCATTAACATAATAATGTGACAAGATACATATTTATAAAATAAAATAAAATAAAATAAAAAATAAATATAAAGGTATGACTATAAAAGTAGACACTATACAATACCCAGTAAAAGAAGAAAATTAGGAAATGCTTGACTTGACCTACCTATATTATATGGCTAATGGCTACTATTGTGGTAGGATTTTCACTCTTTATTTCTTGACTCTCTTCTTCTTCCCACTCTTCTTTATAATGGGGTCTACTCTAGAGACACTCTCTGGGCTCTAGAGAGAGACAAAGAAAAAGACTTTCATAGTAAAACAAAGCAAGCAAACCAAAGCAGTTGGCTTTCTTTTTGGCCATTCAATATTTCATTCATTCACACTTCCAGTATTCAGTTGGGTAAATCAATTAAACATCCCATTAATCCCAAACCCACTTGTGCAACAAGGAGCAGAAGCAGCAGATCACAAGGGCATTCTTGTCATTTACTACCCACCTCCATGATCCCCTCCGGTGCCGGCAACAGCCTCATCTCCGGTGGAGGCGGGTTATGGTCGGCGGCTCCGTCGCACGTGGCCGTCGCCGTCACGGCCTTGGCTGGGCTTGCTGTGGTGGTGGCCGTGTTCTGCACTGCCACTAGGTAAAAAAGCTTTGAACTTTTTTCAAAAACAAACCCTAGAAGAAGAAGAACAGACAGTATATTATTGATTTAACGAAAAAGAACAAAAATTACTCATAGATGAGAGCTCTACGACGAAGTCACACTTCGTCGCCTTCGAGTTCAAATTCCTCTCCTTCTTCATCTTCGTCGTCGTCGTCTTCGTGGATTCATTTGCGTTCGGTTCTATTAGTCGTGTCCTCTTCCTCACCAGCTCATTGTTCTTCCTCTGATCGGTGAGTCTCTCTCTTTAACTCTCTAAAGCTTTTGTTTCGTTTTGCGGCTCTTAGATCCCGATCTTGGGAAACTTCAAGTTCATGTTTTAAATACCAATTTTAGCTCAATCTTAGTGTTTTAGTGGGGTTTTCACTTCCATCGCTCTTCTGTGTCACCTTCTTCACTCACATTTTGTTGCCTTTTTCAATCAATTATATTTTAATTTTCACTTCATGTTACTTGATTTGTTTATTTTAATTTTTTTTTCAACTCTTGGGCTCTGGTTGCTTCCTTGGGGGAGTTGTTCCTCTTTCATTTTCTTTTTTTCTTTTAGCCATTTCTTAAGTTCGATTTTGTAAAAAAGTTCTGGGTTCGATCGCTGCAAGTCGTAAATGGGATGATTTCATATGAGTATGGGGTTGCTTCTAGAAGATTTCTGTTGTTTTTGGCTCAGGGGCATGGTTTCTAATCAAGTTGGATTTTATGTTTTAATTAGATAAATGTGGGGAGTTTGTGTTTTTCTGCTGCCAATGGGAAACAATGCAGTGGCTTAATGAGTCAGACATGATAAACCTGATTCTAGTTCTAATTTACCTTTTAACTAGTGTTCTCAACAGCTAGGGGGGTTTAAAGTGTTTTGGGAATTCTAAGTCAATCAATTTAACTGCAATGTTATTGTGATTATCAGTATTTTGATTCCTTATTGATGGCCTTCTGTCTAGTCCTGCTGCATAGGCACGGTGTTTAAAGAAAAGATAGTTTGTATCTATTAATGTACATCCAAAGTTCATGGAAAGTAATTTGCTCTAACAAGCTCATTTGCTCAGATATTAAACTTTAATTGCATGCTTATGATGAATGTCCTGAGTTTTAAAATGATCTAATTTCTTTTTCACTTATGCAAGAATGTTTTTTTGCATGAAAGTGTCAACCTTACAAAATGCTTTGCAAAGTCCACTTCTTTATGCTATGCTAGCCTTTCATTCATACACGAACGCATTGTATCTTCAATTTTTTAATTTTGTTGTGTGATTGTTGGCTACCTGTATTAATTCAATATAGGTGGTGGCTTCAAAAATTGACCATTATTGATTGTGGTTACTCTTTTTAATATCAGGACTCGTCTTAAGTCACCTTGGTCCCGCCGGAAAAGAAAACATGCCCTTGCAGCTCATCACTGGAGAAGTTTCTTTACACCAGATGGAAGGCTTCGCGATGGTGGAGTTAAGTTGGTGAAAAAAGTTCGCAGTGGAGTGAGTTACTATCGCGTTTGTCCTATATGTTTGCTTCTCAAAATGCTATCAGATCTATTTTTCAAGTATTTATCATCTTCATTCAGATTATTTATCTTAAAAGTTTCTGAATGTAGGGAGTTGATCCAAGTATTAGGGCAGAGGTTTGGCCATTCCTCCTTGGAGTGTAAGCATGCTCAACACCTACTTTAAATTTTTTAACAACTATAACCATACTACATTACTACATTGCATTTCTGAGATTGCTTGTTGTTTGATATTTTAGCTTCACCATCTGGTACTTTGGTATGGCATACCTAGGAGAGGATTGGATGGGCTTTCCCTCCTAGGATCTGAGTGATTGCTTGTAGACATGTTATTTATCTTCAAATCAAGCATGCTGACTGATTGTGACTGTATGACGAGTCAGTTCTGTGTTAGAGGGCTTTACTTCGGTCTGGCCTTTATCATTTCTATGTACGTACACTTAGTAGTGTAACTTCTTTGAAGTTCAAACAACTTGTGTTGGGTATTTTTTTTCTTTCTTCATATCAGATTTTTAATGTGATTCCTTCTAGTTTTGGAAATAAAATTTGCTAGCAGAACTTGATCAAAATTGTACTTTCTTTATTTTTATTTTTTATAACTCTGATTATATGTCTAATATTTCCGTTATTGCATTATCATATGGCCTACTGCTTCCTGTGTTGCATATAAATTGTAATGTTTCATTTTTCTCAAATTTATACCTAAATTGTATTTGGGAAGAGGCCAAACCATGCTTACATATGTTGACTGGATTTCTCTATCTCAACAGCTATGATTTAAACAGTTCGAAAGAAGAACGAGATATAGTAAGATCTCAGAAAAGGTATTAGTGCCAAGTTCACTTAAATGCTTCCTATTACTATGGTGCATAAGTTGACTGCAAGTTTTCGCCAGTTGATGTAATTCTTTGTTTCTACTCCCTTGGCCTTTCTAACTTCATGGTATGTTTGTTCCAATATTTGGTTTCAGAAAGGAATATGAGAAACTCCGCAGACAGTGCCGCCGACTCATAAAGCGCATAAATGAGAGCTCTAAGTTGAATGGGGACAGTTGTAGTTTCACCCAGGATACAGATTCTCCCAGCTCTGAGGATGTGGTTAGTGCCAGGGACTCCCTTTCTAGTGAAGAAAGGATCCCAGATGTTGAATACTCAGATGACCCTTCCAGTGCATTGTTGGATGGAGATGATAGTTCAAGACGAAACACAAATGCTGATGCCAAAATACTAAATTCAGACTCATCTGATTCAGACAGCTCTGAAGAACCTGAGGTGATTCAGACTTTCCCCTCAGGTGAAGGAAGTGAAGATAATGATCCTGATATGAGTTCCAAGGATGAATCTTCTCCCTCGAGAACAGAAGTCCAATCAAAGTTAAGCAGTGAGGATTTTGCCACATGGCAGCGGATCATACGCCTTGATGCTGTACGAACTAATTCAGACTGGATTCCGTACTCCTCATCTCAAGCTGAAGTTTCACAGGATAGAGCATGGCGTTCTGCTGAGGCTGTTGGGTTGAAGGATTACGATCACCTGGAGCCTTGTAGAATTTTCCATGCTGCTCGACTGGTTGCTATTCTTGAAGCATATGCACTCTATGACCCAGAAATTGGTTATTGCCAGGGTATGAGTGATCTACTTTCTCCTATAACTGCTGTAATGACAGAGGATCATGAGGCATTCTGGTGTTTTGTGGGTTTCATGAAGAAGGCTCGACATAATTTTAGGCTTGACGAGGTGGGGATTCGAAGGCAGTTGAGTATTGTTTCTAAAATTATTAAATGCAAGGACTCCCACCTATACAGGCACTTGGAGAAGCTCCAGGCAGAGGATTGCTTTTTTGTTTATCGGATGGTGGTTGTGCTATTTAGGAGGGAATTGACATTTGAACAGACAATATGCCTATGGGAGGTAATGTGGGCTGATCAAGCAGCCATAAGGGCCGGGATCGGAAAATCTGCATGGAGCAGGATAAGGCAACGAGCCCCGCCAACAGATGATTTGTTACTTTATGCAATTGCAGCTTCAGTTTTGCAGAAGAGGAAACTGATAATTGAGAAGTATAGCAGCATGGACGAGATTATCAGGGAGTGCAATAGCATGTCCGGGCAACTTGATATATGGAAGCTCCTTGATGATGCACATTACTTGGTAGTAAACCTCCATGACAAGATAGAGCCATCCTTCTGATGACTGCATGTTTTGCTAGCTAGTTTATTGTTATCAAATCCGGTTCTATGAGGGCAGCCAAAGTCCCAATTTCTTTTTCATTCCTGTTAAGCAAGCATTTCAGAAGCTTAATCCAATCATTCGTGATACTCAATTTTGCCACTCTGCCTACGTACTCTAGTGTAGGTGGCAAACATTCAAAAGACATTGTTATCTACATTAGATTCATTTGCATTGTATTCTACCATTCTACTGCTTTGTACGTGATTTTCTTAGACGTCACAGTTTTCACGTAAAACGACTGTATTAGTATTACGTACCCTACTGGATGAGGAATACATCAAGCATTCTCATGCTGCTAAATTAATATCATTCTTTTTTTTCCTTGTTTCCATGGCAGCCATAAGTTTTAGCCCAAGGAACCAATACATTGTTCGAACAAAGATGAATATCCTTTTTTTTCCTTTTTTCATGCAGGACCACACAAAAAACGCAATTGAAACAACTACAACTACCATAGACCAGCAACAAGTTATAAAGAGGATTGCAGAAACGAGAGAGTCAAAGAAAATATCGTACAGATACTAGAAAGCGACCAGAACCAAAAAGACACTATTAAGTTCTCTGATGAACGACATAAGTGAAACAAGCAATTGTACTTTCAACTGCTCAACTGAGGACCAATAACAAACCCTTAAATGGGGACAACGTAGAAAGCAAGACTACTCTTTCTTGGTATAGTGACGGACAGCAAAGGCTAAACCCAAGATTAGAAGGGGAACCAGGAACTGCAAAATCTTAATCACAAATTCGGATATCTTATCAGGATTGTACCGAGCTTGAGGCGGTGGAATGTAAGTCCGTTTTAATGGGACAGTTGATGGATCAACCTCTCCAATGTAATACTTCTCCATCATATCTCTGGCAGAATCACTGTGACCCACATCTTCAAAATCATTTGTTGCATCTTTCCCTACAGAGTTATCAAACAAAATTAATCTCATCAACCATGCATACTTTTAAGGTTGAGAAAAAGGCAAGCATACAAGGTAAGGTAACTGAATGCCTTACCAGTTGCAGACAGCAGAACTTCATCACCCCCAGGATGATCATCCATGAATGGTGTCACATCAAACACCTAAAATTGATATTACAAACCATAAAAATTCAGCCATGTTATATCCATAAAAATTCTGGAGCAGTTACCATACAATCGTCAGCTGAAAATTGTTGCTTTTAAGTTGAGATACATAACACCCTAAAAACACAGGCGAGCACAATTACAATCATTTGGTTGGTTCCATCCCTTAGAAATTCTACAGATAACAACCGTTTCTTCCCAACAGAGTAGTAATAAAATTGACATTGCAGAAACATAAAAGTCAATTTCTTCAGGGTTGAGGGTTCTTTCATATTCCTCGGTTTTATCAGCAACCAACCAAACAGAGTAGTAATTAATCAACTGGGAACTAAGTTTTATAAGATGAGAAACAAAAATCCAATCAAGAAAGATCTCACCTTCCCAGAAATAACAAGCCAGCAATCTTTGGTCTTGTTGTGCTTCGCCACCTCTTCAAATATGTGAACCTTTGGATCTGAAGCCATTTTTCACTGCTACCAAACACAAAGCATCAAACGCTAAATCCCACAAAAATTTATACACCAAAGCCTAGAACTTTATTGCTAAAACATAAGCAGCTTCTACAATCACAGATAAAAATTACAATTTTTGAAAAAAAAACCCATATAAGGTTTAAGCACAACATCTTGATACTTATAACAAATAAGGGATGCAGATGGTCATAAAAGAGAAATTCCCAATTACGGCCAAACAAAGATGAAGACTGTGGCTTACCCACGACGGAGAAGGCTTTGTCAGATAAAAGATGTGCCGTGCGTCCTTCCTCTTTGTACTCAGTCTGAGAAGTCAGTGATGCTTAAGTGGGCCATTTATGTTACAAGATCTTGAGCAATTTAAAGCCCTTAGCCTTTGTTGAAATTACGCACTTATCCGAGCCTTGATAATTGAAAGGTTTTGACCCTCAAGGGTACATGTGTCTCAAAGCTACGAATTGCAAGCGTTACCGGTTCGCATTTGGCGACCAAGAGAAGCAAATTTTGAAACGTTGTTTTTTTGGATCAATTTTAATGCCGTAGTTATATACTTTATGAACGACGTCAAAAAATATAATTTACCCATTTACTTATCGGAGCTTTATTTTTAGTCGGAGTTTGCTATTGTGATAGGTGTGGTGTGGGGTTAAATGGCTGCCCACGTCCCAAAAAGCAACAACGTAATGATAGGAATCTGCTGACTCATCAGCTGAGTTGGCAATTCTGTTAGGTAGTTGGTTAGCTGAGATAATCCTTAGTTTGTACTAAACTAAAATAGTTGCTTAATTGTGTATTGGCAGGTTTATTTTGATTGTATTAGTTTGTTCTTAATAATAAAAGGTTCATTCTTTCTGTATATTATATGAGCTGAGGTAGAATTGAGGAGTCGTCTTTGTGAGGATACATAATTCATCTTAATAATAACTTCACTTTAATAAAATGATCATGTGACTAATATGAAGGTTCACATGAGAGATTCATATATGACACTCTCATTATAGAATTTCGCCAGAATTGAGTTCTATCAAAGTGAAGGGCTCTTGACCAAAAAAAAAAAAATTTCAAAGTGAAGGGCTGGACCTGGAAACAACAGCCCTGGGCGGCGCAATGGCAATGAGGTCAATCCATCATGTAAGGCCCAACAGTAGAAGAGGGAAGAACAAAAAACACGAGCAACCCAAGTCCACGTCTTAAACCAAATGGTGAAATATAACAGGTTTGATTTGGATTAGTTTATACAAATTGTTTTGTATGCTATACCTACAAGCTGGCTGCTACGGTCAAAGTTGTCAAATTGGTTATGTGAGGTGCTTTCTGTAGAATAATTTCTCACTAAGAGGGTTTGTTATTTGGTTGCTGGTGTCGTAACTTAGGCTGGCTGGACTCAAGTTGTGATGCTAAAATGTTGGATGAAGAGGGCCCGAGTTGGCTTACCTCTTTGATCCAAGCTGATCCATCAATGTCAATGTGGGTCTACTCTACTACAATTTTTTTTAAAGCAAGCAGTGCAAAGTGAAGTCAATGTGGAAAATATGGAAGTGGGGGTTGAGAACTCTGCCTGCCTACCCCTACCGCATGCCATCACAAGTTGAAGTTGAACCAAAGTTAGGCCTGCCTGCAGAAGGTTCTTAATACCATGCAGAAAACAAGATCAAATTGTTGACGCTCGACACAAGGACAGGGGTGGTCCAAAAACAAGGGGGGTTGTATTTCGTATTTGATCGATTGTCCTGTTTCAATTTTCATTCATAAATGGATTTCTGCCCTGCTCTGCTCTGAAATTCATCAGAATCATTCAATTATATCCGTGTTCATCTTTTACAAGCAGAACCTTGATCCTAGCTACTCACAAACCGCTTCATTCAACATACTTGGTCTGGTCAGGCCATTTACTTCCACACCACAATATCCTAGGCGTTGAAATGATAGGAATAGGACCACTGCCCATTTTATGGGGGTCCATCTTAATCTTCATCTTCACAGCATTGTAATGTCTGATCGCTGATGTGGGCTTCTTAAACCATGCACATTCACTTCATCTCATCAATGACGTGAAATATCTTAAATCCCAACCTTATCGTTTTAATTGGCAGTGGCACAAAGACAAAGGATAGCTTAAGCAAGAGACAGTCAAACTAAAACCATATTTATTTACACAAAACCAACAGTCAATCCAACAACATTATGCTCAAATCGAATTGCTATGTTTACAGTGGTTTTAAAATCATATGATTCATTTGACTAAATGTTATGTGATACAACTTGCTTGTATAGGATACAGAATCCTACCATCTAGTCATCTACTATGCTGCATTATGATCTGATGTATTACTTGAAAATACATAGCAGGGAACTTCTATATTATCCCTAATTCCCAATACTTGTCTGAAATTACATCTGCAGATTACAATTACTGTAACTCTGCTAATGAACACAACTACGTTTCTCTCCTTCCACACAAACTCTACTTGGTTGCGAGGAAGTTCATGCAGATGGGAGGACGAATCTTGGCCAATGCAAGAATTGATGAGGGGAGGATCCACAACCCATCTCCACAGATCAAACCAGAAGCAACTGCGGGAACCATTAACCCTGCCTCGTTATTTTTTAGTTTGTGCCACACAAACACAGCCAAACTCCCCACACACATATCGATTGCAAAGTAAGCTCCAACTAGGAAAGGAACAGCCATCGCCATCGGAAGTGGAACCCATTTACCAATTTTCTTAGGAGCAAGATCTCTCAGCAAATTAGCTGCTACGGCAAATGCAAAAAAACCATAACACAGCTGTAAGCAATGCTGGGGCAGGGCAGAGAAGCCTTGAACACCTAGAATTGCCATGTTTCTGTAAATGATGGCATAAGGAGCTTTGTATTCACCATCCGGGTCCCCAACATTAAAAGCCTTGTAGAAGAGAAAGAATGTCAGAGGAGCCACCACACAGCCTATAGCTGTCCCAATCGCCTGACTTAAAAGCATTGATCGAGGAGATGTAAGCGTGAGATGACCAGTCTTTAAATCGTGCATCAGATCAGAAGAGATAGAAACTATGGATTTGATCAGACCACATCCCACAAGTCCCGCAACAACACCATCATTTTTCCCAGCCACAGCAGCAAGCACAAAGAGAGCCACTTTCCCGTAGTTATAGGCCATGTTCATGTCAGTTAAACCCGCACCATAAGCATTGCAGAAGCTTAGAGAGGGTGCAATAATATAGGCTACGACTACATAGTACCATTTCAGTTGAGGGAACATGAGCGGGATAATTATGATGGAGATGATGGAGAACAAGGTGTACCCTAGGCACGCTACCCAAATGGGAATGCTATCTCTTATGAAGACCTCATTTCGTCGAAGATCATCAATAGCCTGATTCTGGTTATTTGAAACTGCATGAGAGAGATGATTTAGTTTACTCAACTTAAATGCTTGATAATTACGGGCACTGACACCCATTGCAGGATGCAACATACAAATTATGTTACAAACTCATAGCACCTGAAGGTGTAGCTCCTTTTAAACCATAGGAGAAGGGAAGCTCTAAGATCATGGTAAACTGGCTATATGCTGAGCTAGAGAATCATCACGAATATCATGCAAAGTCACCTATTACCTGTTTTGGGGTTCTTCTTGTTCATTTTGGTGTGGATGCTTGAGCCAGTAAAGTATAGTATCTTGAGAAAATTGTATAGCCCATCTCCTAGTATCAGGGCAATGGAAATGAAAACCTGCAGCAACATGAAGATGCATGAGACTCAATTGCCTACACACTTGAATTCAAAAATCGATACGACTAAATCTGTAAGAATTTGATTAATAAATGGACTTGAATGTCTAGTCCACACCTTGTAACCGTTTAGACTCTTCATACTACTTTCTGATAAAGTTGCAGGGAACCACTCTCCTTTGAGACCCTTTATTAATGGCCACATTATTCCCCAAGAGAGCACAGCACCAAGAAGCAAAGATAAGTTCACAAGATGCGAACAGATCATTCCCGCTCCTATGTAAGTCATACTGAAATCAAAGTAAAATCTGCAAAATTCAATTCATGAAATCAATGATTAGAGAAGGATTAATCATATGATAAACAGAAGGGGAATGCAGACATAGAGCACACACGAGTTTTTCCACGCTGCCAATCCAAATGTTGGAAACTGAGCAAATCCGCATTGGTCTCCTCCAGAATAGAACCACTGAAAGAAACTCCACAAGAAACTCATTGAGAAGAATTTCATGAACCCGTGAACCTGCTTCCTGCAAGAACCACCTCAACATGTTAGAGTTATTTCAAACTCAAATTCTATTTTATAGTAAGCTGAAAATTTATTAATTTATAGAAATAGATTCCTACTTAGCCATCTTGTCTCCTTTTGGAGTATGGAACCCGTTGATAAGAACAGCAGTAGCAGTTCCACTTGGGTAACTTAACTTATAGTCTATTATCATGATCTGCAAAACAACTCAAAGTGCATGAACAAACAATATTCTAAAATTCAAATACGGATCAATAACTTTGTAATTTACATAATTGAGAAACAAAATCCCATTTACCTTCGAATCCCTATTCCCTAAAACAAGCCTTCGCAATTTCTTACTGAAAAATCGGTAGGATAAAAGAACATACCTTTCTGAGAGGAACCAAAGCCAGCAGCCCAACAAAACTACTAACAAAGAGGAAACCAGTCATCCAACCAATCTGAGGTTCTTTGGTGCTCCCAGGAGTGTTCCCCTTAGTATCAACACCTGCTTGCTCATAAGTCTTCCTGTTCAGACCCAACAGATAAGACCCAAAACCTCCTGCAGTGTCACATATCTAAGTGAAAACCAATAATTAAATAGTATGAAACAGACGCATCAACATGTACCTTAAAAATAGTGAAAAAACAAAAAGACGGGAAAGTTTTCTGACCTCCAACTGCAATGCTATAACATGCAACTGCACAAGTCTGAATAATGGTATTTTCCTGCCTTGTGAAAGGAGTTGATACAATTCCAGCCTTCTGAAGAAGCTTAGTCCATGTGCGGATGAATACAAAGGCCAGAAGAGCAGCAGAGACATTGAGATTGGGAACCAACCCAGTTGTGAGGTTCAACTTCATCACTATAACGCTGTAAATGGTGCCTATGACTATGCTAGCTGCAAGTCCCCGAATTGTGATCTGTCTTGTCCATGGAATGATTCTGTTCAAATCCTCTGGCTCGCCTCCATTCTCTTCAACTCCATCCTCTCTCTCAAACATCTCAATCTCTCCGTTTTCATCATTGTTTGTGCTCCCCATTTGCCCCTTTCCTGATCAAATTCAGTCAAATGAAAAAAGGAAAGAAAAAAAAAGGCACTAGAATGTGTAGAATTTGATGAAACGCAAAAGGACAAAGAAATAGCCGTTAATGATATCAAATGTATTCTTGACTCCAGTTCAGTCAAAATCTTGAAAAACTAATTTTATAGTTGAAATGAAAGAAAACACAGCGCACAAACCCATGAATGATCTTTACCTCAAGTTTCTCTTGTTCTGCGTCTTCAGAGATTGAGAGGAGACGAAATTTCAGAAATGTACAAATGGGAAATTTGTACACCTACCTACCCTTCTTTCTCAATCTACAATCTACAATCTACAATCTACAAGCCTCCAAATTGCATTGAGAATCCTTAAACAACTGAAGGGGTGGGGTGTGGGTTTTCCTCAGCTTTGACTCTCAAGAACCTTCCAAAATATCAAAACTGCAAGAACGCCCACAAGACCCAATAGAGAGTCCTTGAATTTAATAGGATTAAATACTAGTGCAGAAAGGTGAAAGCCCAGAAATCCACAAAAATGCTGTCTTTAGTTTGATAGCTGTGGCTTCCACATGCGCATCAAAACTCTCAGGAAAAGTCTACTATTTATATTATGATTGCATCAAATGCTTGAGCAGCACCCAAGAAAGGAAACTAAGGAAAGTCTGCATGTACTACAATGAAGTACAAAATAGGTTTTTGTAGTACACGAAGCAAATTTCAACTCCATAATCAGGAAAGAATGCATTTTAACACACGTAATGTTCAAAATGCACCTAAAAGAAAAATCCCATTAAGAGCAAATCCTTATTTTATTTTTCACAAATCATTATATGTATGATCTGTACGAGGAGAGGGAGAGAGAAAGAGAGAGGAGGAGGAGTGGTGGATGGAGTGTTGGAACTAATAGTGATTCATTCCCTTGAAAGTGTGTCTACTTTTATGCGTGTGGCTTAAACATGGCGCACTGGGTTTGGAAAACGACAGAGCTTCGTTTATAGACCCCAAAAAATAAATGAAAATAGCAATAAAGGCCTGGACTTTAGGGTCAGGTCAACAACCCCAACAGGCACAGGACGACAAACCATGATTTTGATGTTTTAGAATCACAATTCGCACTGGTAAATTGATGTTCACGGAGGGTTGGATACACGCTCCTTTTAGGAGGATAGGCCAGAAGAGTATCTTCATTCTAATTACACGTGTTTGGGATGAAAATAAAACGGATTTTTTTTTTAATGCCAAAACCAAATGTCACAATTTTTTTAGTGAAAAAATTATTTTCCACTACTTTCATTGCGTATTAAAAAGTCACCTTTTTAACATTAAATAACAATATAATGTGTATCATGACTATTTGTTTGGTGGCGTACAGTCTTCACTTTATACGATTTTTTTTTCTATGTGTGTTCGCGGCATAAAGTATCATTGCTTCAATAGTAACGCTACAATATGTCTTGTATCATTGCTTCTTACTTTTTCTTTTTCTAATCAACTTATGTGCCTCTTTTTGTCATGTAAGGTGGTATATGAATAATGATATACAAATATGATAATAATAGCATTATTCAATATCTAATTGGTTTATTGGCTCCTAATTTTCCTTTTTCATCACAAGAGGCAACATGATCCATGGAATTTGTATTCGTTAACAACACATAGTAGTTGGACAAGTTGCTTACAGATTCAATCAATCTTGGTAATGAAACTGGTGAATCATGTGCGGCAGCAACATATAATATAATGATTGTATATGTCACGAAGCGCAGGGCTGACGAGGCATATTCTCCATTTTTCTTGATATTTTATTTATTTATTTATTTGATTATTTGACAATCACTGATTCACTGATGGTGAATTTTATTTTGTTTTGTTTTTTAAAGTCTAAGATTCGCTCTAGCTGGTACTTGATGTTCCTTGTCAAAGGAATATAAGTATTTTGGGACCACAACTAATAAATTATGGATTATAGTGTGGATCTATCTTCTTTGCAACCATTCAAATTAGAAAGCTAATAAGTTTGAATGCCCTTGGAAATTCTCTACTTTCTAAATACTTGCTCATCTTTGACTTATTTTTATTTATTTATAACAAAATTAGAAAAAGGAATTAAATTCGGATGTAAGGGGACAGAAATATTATCTTGACCAAGTGCTCTAATCCACGTATGTATTGTATTTTATTTATGTTAGATATTTATTTATTTATTAGAAAGTGGGTCTTGAACTTGAAAGTTGTTTATTTTTTCCATAATCATTGGTAGGCCCAAGTATATGTCGGCCGAAGGATCAATAATCCAGGCCTGGCTTTGTCGTGTGGAGCAGAACTGGGCCTAAACCAATTCCAACACCAAGGCCAGTCTGACCACCGAAATTTGAGCCCGAATCTTAACGGTCAGTTCCAGTTCTAGAGACTTACCCGAGTTCCCACGAAAAACCAACGGCCACAAACAACTTAACAGCCTCATACATACGCCATCAAAACTTCTTTACCAAGTAGAAAAAAAATACCCAAGGGATTTAGTAGCACCTTCTGTTTCTTGAAAACCCTGCGTTCCAAACCCTGTGTTCATAAAACAAGCCCTAGTTTGCTGGAATTGCAGAGCGCAGTGGGGATTAATTTGTATTTCGTTTATTGTGCACTAAAGATTTCTAATGGGGGGTTCATCGGATAGGGAGACCAAGTTCTTGCAAGAATTGATATTGTACGCGGCGAGTGCGGCTTTGAGTTGCTTGGTTTTGTTCGCGGGGCTCCGGCATCTCGACCCGAACCGTGAAGCCTCCAAGAAGGCTATGGAGCACAAGAAGGAAATTGCTAAGCGCCTTGGTCGTCCTCTTATCCACACCAATTCTTACGAGGTAAAAAGACGCACCTTTTCTGCCATCTGGGTTTTTCCATAACTTGCCGCTTGATGGCTTTTTATTCTTGGAAGCAAGAAGTTTTGGATGATAATAATATATAGTTGTTTGGGATATGTGGGTTTTTGAGTTGTCCGTCGGAAAAGGTTGAAATTTTATGTCTTTGTCGTGGGTTTGAGAGGGTTTTCCGTGTAGTGTCCTTGAAATGCAGGTGTTTTTGCTATTTTCCTTTGGAACATCTTGTGCTGTCGATGACCATTAATTTGATTGCACGACTTATCCATTTGAAATCTTGCACTTTTTGAGTTGATGACAGTCTTTTTCATCGTTAAGTCGCTCAATTACTATTAGATGCACAAATGCTAATATAGTAATCATTATCAGGATGTTATAGCTTGTGATGTTATAAACCCTGACCACATTGAAGTAGAATTTGAATCTATCGGAGGACTGGAGTCTATAAAGCAATCCTTATTTGAACTGGTGATCCTTCCACTAAGGAGGCCTGATCTGTTTTGCCATGGGAAGCTCCTTGGTCCACAAAAAGGAGTGTTGTTGTATGGACCACCCGGTACTGGGAAGACTATGCTTGCCAAAGCTATTGCAAAGGAGTCTGGAGCTGTTTTCATCAATGTGAGGATATCAAATCTGATGAGCAAATGGTTTGGTGATGCACAAAAACTTGGTGAGTGTTTGTCATGTTAAAACATACCCTATTGGTTTACAGGAATTCATACTGTCCCTTCTCAATTGGAGGATGTTTTTTTCGTTCCTTTTGTACTTCTGTCTGATTCATACAATCTTTTAATTAGTTACTTCTGGTGAATTTTATGAGCTTCATTTACCGAGAAATTGACCTTAGTACCCTAGCGTTAGAAGCAAAATTGGACAGGCTGTTTACCAATTGGTTAGAGTTCACCGAGATGATGCTATCAAAATTTTGTTTGGTTAAAAGTTTATGCAAGAAGATGCTTTATAGGGTAGAACCATTTAGATTTTCTTTGGTTTTGGGGCATACAATATTCCTGACTTCTCTATTTTCGTAATATCTTTGTGCCCTTGTACGCTAGCGAAATAAACACAAATAAAAAGTAAGCATGCTAGAAGAATTACAAACTTTCTATTTAAATAACCTCCACACTTGTAACAATTGCTTCTCACAACCTACTCAACTAATTAATCAAGGAAACAACTATTTTATCATGTCATTAGGACTTATAATGATCTGTAGATATCCTCCATACTTCTCTGCATGAACTTCTCCCAACCTACTCAACTAATAAATCAAGGAAGCCAATTATTTTGATACTCATGTCATTGGGAATTGAAATGGTATGCATAGAAGAAAACTATGTTCTCATCTAACTAGTTGATTGAGAAGGCTGGCCTTTTATTTTGAAGTAATCCTTTCTTAGACCTTTAGCCATACTTGTTTGTTGCTTTTACCTCAAGAGATCAAATTATGCTTGTGTTGGATTTTGAAGTTTTCTTACTCTTATATCTACTGTGCTTAGCGTGTTGTTTAACGATTCTTCTGCAGTTGCTGCTGTATTTAGCTTGGCTTATAAACTCCAGCCTGCTATCATATTTATTGATGAGGTTGATAGTTTCTTGGGTCAGCGCCGAACTACAGATCATGAAGCATTAACAAACATGAAAACTGAGTTCATGGCTTTATGGGATGGCTTTACTACAGATCGTAAGTCTTCATTTTTTGTCTCTCTTTCTTTTCTGTAAAAAATAATGCATTTTCAGTCAGTTATCATGTAAAATAATTTCTGAGTGAGAATCATGATTTTTTTTAAATTTTAAAAAAAATCCTTGGATAAGGCATTTGGTTTCATAATTTATCTTGTTTCTGTAGAGAATGCTCGAGTTATGGTTCTTGCTGCTACTAATCGTCCATCAGAACTTGATGAAGCAATACTTCGGCGTCTTCCTCAGGCCTTTGAGATCGGGTATCCCGATCAAAGGGAGAGGGCAGAGATACTAAAGGTGATTTTGAAGGGGGAGAGAGTTGAAGACAATATTGATTATGACCATATAGCTGGCTTGACTGACGGTTACACAGGTTCAGATCTACTTGAGCTTTGCAAGAAAGCAGCTTATTTCCCTATCAGAGACCTCCTAGATGAAGAAAAGAGTGGAAAAAGATCTTCTGTGAGTATACGTAGCATTGTCGTTTTATATCTTGGCATTATAAACTTTAGACAATAGGCATGTAGATTTGTTTGTACTGAGAGTATTGGTCTATGCTTCTTTATTCAGGCACCAAGGCCATTAGCACAGTCAGATTTGGAGCATGTTCTTGCAACGTCCAGGCATACAAAGGTTGCTGCAAATGACTACACTGGGTTGAACTCATCACAATTGTCACCAGGGTGGTCGATGAACAGAGACACTGGCGATTATCAACCAGTTCCAGCTGCAATTAACGAGCTCTCAAGGCTAGTGGTTTCCCACATCTTGAATATTCAAACCGATGCCCAGGACCCTTAAAATACCAACCTCCACTCCAGCCGCCAGTCCCGATATGTGACATGTTGAATTCAACACTATCAGAGTTGTGGCTGTAGTTACCTCTTCAATCATCATCTGTTAGGTTTACTATACATATTCTAAGTTGATCACATAGTTCCGTTGTTTTGAATGCCTAAAATTATATTGTGATTTAGCACGTGACACAGTGATTCGATATTAAATGGCTGTTTTGTATTGTTAATTTGTAGACGTATTCGGGATTTAACCATTGGCTATTATAAAACCTTTCTGACTCTGTAACGTTGTTCATAGTGGATGGTTTGTTCATACCTCTGGAATTATACCTTGTGAAGCCATTACGTTGTTTAGGCCTTTTAGCTTGTATTTCACATGGTAAGAGCAAGTTGCTTGGGCAACCAATGATTAGGACCATCTAGGACAGAGCTGGCATGGAAGAAGTGCAGTCGGTTTCACCAAAGCCACGCCATAAAGTGAGGCTTATCATTTACCTTTTGAAATTGGAAGCCTTCCCCTCAGTCTCACCGCATGCTTTTACTATAAAATCAGCAGGACCACATCTTCACTCACTAGAAGAAGAATCCACAAAAGGCTGCGATGCTTGTCAAGGTGGGCAGACAGAATTACAATAAGATTTTTAGAAACACAATATTGCAATCCGCAAGTGAGTGAGTTAACAAAGATTGATGTTGATACAGCCTGAATTTAAACCTCTCAAGTTGTTCTTCCAAATTTGAAACTTGTACTGAAGATGACAATTAAACAAAATTATCTCCCAAAAAGGCACTGAAACTCAGGCAATTGATTGACAGAAAACCAAACCAAACCACTATATTGGGTGGGTGGTGGGGGAATTAGGACAAGGTGGAAATGGCAAGCAGCACTCTGTATATATGTATAGCATAGAACATGAAGTGGGCATGACACAAATTATAGGGTTTTCCTCCAAAAACAAAGTCATGTCAGTCACAAACTGTTGGTCTAAATTATTGTGGCCACAAATTTCAGCAAAGTGAGACGTCCCAATCAACAACTTGTTGCATTCTTAAGTCTCAATTTTATTATTATCTTTAAAAATATAAGTTGAGTACATTACTCACTGTCCACGAAAAAACAAAATAAACATGACGCTAGCAGTGGCTTTGGCACTCGTAAATTCCGGGCCAGTGTTCTACAAGGATGTCCATTTCTTAATCATTAAATAAACCCTTGGCATGGCATTAGTTATTCCCACTGACTCACTCACGTAGAGGCTTCAGTCTTTGACAACTAAATAATTAAGGACATGCATGTTGAATATGAAGATTAATTTATAAGTAAACCAAACCAGGTCGTAGTTGGCGAGCAAAACCGCATTTGACTGGTTGCTCTCACTTCTCTCACAGATTTCTGTGTTGTTGACAGAGCCAACACATATGAGATGAAGCCTTGAATTGAAAGGTCTGTTTACTAGTTCAAAATCAGCATGCAGGAGCTGCAGCAGCCTGGAACTTATGAAGAATACGACACCTTCCTTTGGCTTTGGATCTATCTCTTTTCTTTTCCCTTTTCATGTATGTGAAACAAGCGAGCTCTGCAACATTAAAGTCACAACTAAAACATGCAGAATTCACCAAAGGCTGCACAGGAGCATCTAACTCTGCCTTTTCGTGGCTTTAGGCAGGCAGGCAGCGCCCCTAACATCAAATTTAATAAAATTTCATCCGTGGGTATTACTTGGTTGGTTGAGTTCTTCCACTTTCATCTATGTGGGCAGAGATTCGAAAAGTCCAAACACTCAATTAATATTTGTGTAAATACCTTTCCCAATCGCTTCTACTTAAAAATAATAATAATTCATCACTACCTGGACCTCTTAGGAACCGGAATAGTAATTATCGTTTCCCCTCTCAATATTAATTTGCCCGTTTATAATATAACAGTGCTTGACTCATGTTCTGGGGGGTCGTTTATAATAATAAACCTAAAAGGCAAATAACCATTACGTGATTATTATGGCACGACCACTATCTTAAAAAAAAGCAACAATGAATTCCCAACAAATCCAGCGCCGTTTGTCAAAATCTAGGGCCGATTTGGTTGGGTTGGGTCAATAGAATGGAATTAAAATGGGCACATGTGAATAGTCCTATAATTCATTATTCAATCATCTAAGCTCATAATAATAATAATAATCAATAAGACTGAGTCCATGGATGAACAATAGTCATTCTGGTCGTCATTTCACAGCCAACACAGATACAACCCATTTCTCTCTCCTCTTTCGCTCTCCGTACGTACTAGACGCATTGACATTGGAGTAGCAGCTCCTTTTGATTGACCCATTAATTTGCCGGCTTGAGCCGTCTCCATAGTCCCCCCGTTTAAATCCACCCCCACCCTCATTCCTCTTCCACTATTATTTTCCATCTCCACAGTCTCCTTCTTTGGTTTCATCAAATTAATCTCAACCCACCCAAATACCCAACTCTCTCCACTCTCAATTTTCTGGGTTAACATTCATTCGTCATGGTTGGGTTCGCGGGATTCTTTTATTTCTTGCTCATATTCATTTCTCTGGTTTTGGTTCTTAGATTCTTGTCCAAAACATCTCTGCTTCAAATATTTATCAAATCATGGCAGTCCTTGATAGACCGCTTCCACGTGTACCAATTCTACAAAATCCCGCAATTCAACGAGCATTTCCAAGAAAACCAACTCTACCGCAAGATCTCCCTCTACCTCAACTCCCTCCCTTCCATTGAAGACTCCGACTTCACCAACCTCTTCTCCGGCTCCAAGTCCAACGACATCTTCTTCCAGCACGACGCCAATCACTCTGTCGTCCACGACACCTTCTTCAGCGCCAAGGTCTCCTGGACCAACCAGAAATCATGCCAGCCCGATGGAATCAGGTCCTTCGTCTTGAAAATCAACAAGTCCGACAAACGCAGAGTGTTCCGTCAGTACTTTCAGCATATCCTCACCGTCGCCGACGAGGTCGAGCAGCGAAACAAGGAGATCAAGCTCTACATGAACCTCTCCACCGAAAATGAACGGTGGAGATCGGTTCCCTTCACTCACCCGGCCACCTTCGACACCGTCGTGATGGACGCCGAGTTGAAGAACAAGGTCCGGTCCGACCTCGAGAACTTCTTGAAATCCAAGCAGTATTATCACAGACTAGGCCGTGTTTGGAAACGGAGTTTTTTACTCTACGGCCCCTCCGGTACAGGAAAAACCAGCTTCATCGCTGCCATGGCCAGGTTCTTGAGCTACGACGTGTACGACATCGACATGTCCAAGGTCTACGACGATTCTGATCTGAAAATGCTCTTGCTCCAAACGACGTCCAAGTCGCTGATCGTGGTGGAGGATCTCGACCGTTTCTTGATGGATAAATCAACGGCTGTGAGCTTGTCGGGGCTGTTGAACTTTATGGACGGGATTGTGTCAAGCTGCGGCGAAGAGCGAGTGTTGGTGTTTACGATGAACGGAAAGGATCAGGTGGACCAACTGGTTATGAGGCCGGGTCGGGTCGATGTCCATATCCAATTTCCCCTCTGCGATTTTTCAGCTTTTAAGAGCTTGGCCAGTACTTACTTGGGGGTCAAAGAACACAAGCTGTTCCCTCAGGTGGAGGAAATTTTCCAAAGCGGAGGGAGTTTGAGCCCGGCGGAGATCGGAGAGATTATGATTTCGAATCGGAGCTCACCGAGTCGGGCCTTGAAATCGGTTATTTCGGCCTTGCAGACCAATGCGGAGAGTGTTAAGGGAGTGAACAAAGTTGCGCAGGCATTGACGAATAGTTCGTCCGGTAGGTCCGTGGACGAGTCGGGTGAACCCGGGGCCGTGTTTTGCAGGGAAAGTGTTCACACGGTGAGGGAGTTCAGGAAATTATACGGGCTTTTGAGATTGGGGAGCAGGAGAAAAGAAGAGCCGTTAGATTCAAGTTCCGCGGATAAGGACGGTTCGCTTCACGCCGTGAAAGGGTGAATCTGTAAATTTAAAATTCAGTGCCTTACCTTGAGGTTCAATGCCTTGTAAAATAGCCTCGTTACGATAAATATTTATTTATTTCTTCCATATGATATTATTTTTCTCAATTCAAGAAGCCTATCAACCATGACTTGTAGCACTTGAAAGTCAGACTGTAAATTTTGATTTGAATTTGGCTGAACCTCGTGTTTTGGACCCCTATTTCGGAAGGTGATCCAGATTCTTGGTGCGCCCAACAGTTTTGACAAAATATCAAAGTTATGATTTTGCTTGTCATAAGCTGAATGTTCCAAAAAAATTGGAATTTTTTATAAACCGTGTAAGATTTTTAAGCAAATTACAACTTGTCCAAAAGTTAAAAATAGATCAACAAGACACCTGATTTTCTTTTCAAGCTGCTTTCATGTTTACTCTATTGAAATAATCGATGACAAATTAGCCGTATGAATTGCATTGTTTTTAAATCCTTTGTCTATTAATCAACTTGTTTTAATTCTATGAAGTTGAATTAGTCTAAAGCTGAGCAACTCAAACTCACAAACTGAAAGTCAACTTGGCATAATTTTGATTAAATGGAGAGGGTGGGATTTACTTTTATTTTATTGACCGAGAAGACAATTAATTTGATATAAGTGATATTAAAGAATAAGGAGTTCGAACAAAACACCTAGGGTGTAGAGGTAAATGCTCTTAATTACTTGAGTTACAAACTTCTTACGACAATTATTTTTAAAACGAAAAGTGCTTGCCATGAACATATTTGTATTAAATATGAAAATAAATCTTGTAACACAAATACTTATAGAATGCCAAACCCAAATGGCATGATGTGCCAATTGAACATACTCTCAAACTTATATTTCCCTTTTTTTTTCTTCAGATAAACTAGAACTCTAACTCTAATATTCACGAATTAATCAGAAACTAAATAATTAATGCATATTATATGTAAGTATATATGTCATATAACATGCATTAATTTACTTCTAAAAGCCTCCTCTCCCTTTTTGTTTTTGTTTTTTTTGGGTTGCCAATAAAAGCCTCCTCTCTCTTCGAACGTATAAAATGCCAAATGTTAAAAAAGAAAAAGAAAAGGCCAAAGCTTCGGTCACGTGCTCACACGTGAGACCGAGCTTTCCTATTATTTTTTTGAAGGAGAAAGCAATAGACTTTGAGTCTCATTCCCAACTGCCGATCAAGGAGGAGTAGTTTGCTCTTCTTTTCTGTCAGCCCTAAACCCCCAATTCACAGCTCTCGCCGATCTCTTTGTTTTCGTCATAAGGTACAGCAAATTCATAAGTCTCCACCTCCGTATTCAAAATATTTCTTGTATAAATTACCACTTTTCTCTGATTTAAGCTGGTGTTCGATTGAATTTGATCTCAATTAATCCACATTTTATGTCTATATAGAGCCGATTATATATCTATGTAGTTCAATTTAGAATTTATTTTTATCTAGGAGATGTAGGGTGTACAAAATTTGAGATTGGAAATATTAGGTGGTTGTGCATTTTAGCTGTTGTGGTCGACGAGGCATGCATTGGCTTTTTGGCATTCTAAATTGTATGATTAAGTGGGTGAATTATGATTTTCAAAGCTTCTAACAAATATGTTGTGCATAAACAGATACGTTTTCATCCACTGTAAGTACACAGCCTGTGTGTATGAGTTCACGACTATTAGTTTTGAAGTTTATTCTAGTTGCAAGTCGTGGGTTTTTAAGGAAACCAAAACTTTGGTATTTGGTAATTAGCAAGAGGGTATGCTTTGCAATGTGTATGTAGATGATTTTTTCACATTGAATTTTGCAGGTCTGTTGAGTGAGCTTTTAGGAACTGGGTTTTTATCCTGATCAGTATGGTAAGGTTTCATGAACAGCTTACCGTTACTGCAGTCATTGTGTTCTTGTGGTTTGTCTGGGTATAATTGCCATGAAACCTTCATAGTATTGATTTGGCGCATTTCCAATTTGTCTCAGAATTACTTAATCGGAGCATTCAAACCATCCTGCAACATTTCAATCACATTTTCTGATGCAAAAACTCGGAAGCAGGTAATCTATCTGTAAAGAATAAATTAGAAAAACAAATTATGGATGCCACCTATTTGTTGATGATTTTTTTTTCAATCCGTGGAATTATTAAATTTAAATTTATTATCCCAAGTGCAATTACACGAGAATTGGTAAGTTCAATTTGCTTTTTCCCCTAATCTATGATCTGTTTCTGCAGGTCCCCTTAAAGAAGGAAAGTGGCCAAGCAGTGTTGGTCCCACTTTTTCAAAGTCAAGAAAACATTTCTGGGAAGGTATATTGTTTGATCACGTTGTTTTAAATGTTAAGCATTATAGTATGCAAAGGTAAACATTTTGGAAATTGATTTAGCCTTAGCCAATAAAGATCATCTATTTAGAGATCTTCTTTCCTTGTCATTTTCAGATTTCTATAGAACCAATTCAAGGGAAGAAGATTGAACACAATGGAGTCAAAGTTGAGCTCCTCGGGCAAATCGGTATTTTTTTTCTTTTCTGTTGATAATTTTTTGTGCTACATTTGTCATGATTTGGGCTAACAAGTTTCAATGTGAAAATAATAGTATGAGATTTGTTTTTTGGATGATTACATGCTGTCAATAACAATTCCTAGGACTTTTGTTTCTTACCCCTTAAAACGAGCACTCTAATAAAACTTAATTCATGTTGCAGAGATGTACTTTGACAGAGGCAACTTTTATGACTTTACTTCCCTCGGTGAGTATGTTTTGTCTTCATTCCGTTAGCTTTGGACAGTTTCTACTAATTTTTTCAAGTACTGATTTTGGTTCTTTGTTTTTAATTACCACCAATCCCTTTCCGTTAGAAAGTAACAAAGAAAAAAGTAACTATCATATTGAGCTTCCAAATTTTAATATGATATCCATCACTATAACCTGTCTATTTATCATTTTACTGAAAAAATAAAAGTGCAGTGTTCCATTTAATTGGCTTTAAATTTGTAATTTTTCCACTCCAACTTCTTCTTGGATGCTCTAATTGTATTGCTCTTGTCAACAGTTCGTGAACTTGATGTTCCTGGAGAGTTATATGAGAAGAAAACATATCCTTTTGAGTTTTCTACAGTTGAAATGCCATATGAGACTTACAACGGGGTGAATGTGAGACTTAGGTAAGTCTCAGAACATTAAATATATTTCCTTTTCATTTTACCTTTATCTTTTAAAATTAAGATATTCTACATTCATGAAAGATCGAATTGTTCAGAATGTCTGATTACCTTTTAGACATGGTTATGTACAACACTAGTGTAGATGGAAAACATGATGTTGATAGTAATAATAGTTCATGCTATGACATATTGTAAATGTGCTCTTTCTAGGTATGTTCTGAAAGTGACAGTTAGTCGTGGTTATGCTGGTAGCATAGTGGAATACCAGGATTTTGTGGTACTCTCTCTCTCTCTCTCTCTCTCTACCAGAATTTGTGAACATTATTGTTCAGCATGCGTTGACAACCATTACTTAGCTAGCATTCTCATAGTTTATGTTGATTTCATTCTGTGCTTCAGGTTCGCAACTATTCCCCACCTCCTTCTATTAACAATAGCATCAAGGTGAGACAATATTCTACTCTTTGATGACCATGACAACATGGTTATCATTCATAGGAATAAGGAATGTAGTAACAAATAAGAACTGCTTATCGATTATAAAAAAAAGTTTGCTTCCATTCACCCAACAGTTTTATTCCATTTTACGTTGCATCTATCTACTATGCTGCAACAGCTAGCCCCATTGTTAATCCTCCCTGAATGAATCTTTCTTATAATTTTATTGTCTTTGCAGATGGAAGTGGGAATCGAGGATTGTCTGCATATTGAGTTTGAGTACAACAAGAGCAAGTAAGTTAAAAGCTATTTCATGACCAGGGCTGTCTGTTTATTGTTACTGGTTTACATGCCCGAGATGAAATCCGGAAACAATGGTTGTTTCTGAATGTTGAGTTTCATTGCCTTTCCAACCATAGCCTGAGCATACTTGTCTAGGGTGGGTTTGTACAAGGAGAACTTCATGCCTAGAGTGTAATAAATCTGAAATATGATATGTCTATCTAGTTAAAACAACAGAGAACAATTTGGCTCTAATTATTGGTGTGTTGAACAGGTACCATTTGAAAGATGTTATTATTGGCAAGATATACTTCCTTCTTGTAAGAATCAAAATAAAGAATATGGATCTGGAGATCAGGCGTCGAGAGTCAACAGGGTCGGGGCCTAGTACCCATGTTGAGACAGAGACACTTGCTAAGTTTGAGTTGATGGATGGTGCTCCAGTCAGAGGTATATGCTTATAACTCTTCTGCTTTCTTATATGTTCGGAATAATGCTGATACAGGTGATTGATGGCTGCAACGTAACCATGCTTGTAAGTGTAATTCAAAAAATATATGACATTTGAATTTTTTTGATGAAATTTGTAATTTCAATGGGGATGGTCAGGTAAGATGTGATTGAAGTTTCTGGAAAACAGTTTATTATTTCCCAAACTTGCTGCATTTCTTCAACTGTCCATGGATGAATGGCTTACATTCATGTACTTGAATTTTTCAGGTGAATCAATTCCCATTAGATTGTTTCTTAGCCCTTATGAACTGACACCAACACATCGCAACATCAATAACAAATTCAGCGTGAAGTATTATTTGAATCTTGTTCTGGTTGATGAAGAGGACAGACGGTATTTCAAGCAGCAAGAGATCACTATATACAGGCTTCAGGAGACTTCATGATCACTCATCTCGCAGTCTATCTCCATTTGATCCATTCGATATGGAAAAGAAGATAAATTTTCTCATGGCACCTTGTAAAGCTTAGAAATTTATGATCTTATTGTGCTACAATGACTTGCTATTCTTGCTGAGTTGCAACTTTGATACGGGATTGTCGCGAGTTATGTACATGGGCGGTGGAAAGGACAAGATCTCCTGTTGCTGTGATGATACGTCATGTAACAAGCATCCTGTATCTTACTTTATGAATTAGCGTTGGAGAAATAAACCCCTCGGTTTGATAAAAATTCTCCATGCTATGTATGAACTGTGAGCCTGATGTTTTCATTATTGACATTTCTTTGATGGAATTCTGCTGTTTATTGAAAAAGAGAAACTATGAAGACGTATATCTTCGTGATTTCCTTTTTTCTCGGGTGTTTAGTCTCATTTGGTTAATCAATGCATCCCTGGTAATTAAATTCATCAATATTCCCTTTTGGTAACAGAACCGTAGGCAGTCATTAGCAAGACAATATTTTGGTGGATCGAAATCGGAAAGAAAAATTCAGAATATTAACGGATATTTGTTATATCCCAATGTAACACTAAGAGCATCTCCAAGAGAGTCTAAATTTTAGTTAAAATAGTTAGAAAGCTATTATAGCAAACTACTTACTATTTTGGCTAATCTCCACTTTGGCCAATCTCTAATATTTTACTATTTCTCTCTCTTCCTCTCTAAATTAAAAGCTCATTAAAAAAATTAGAAAGTAGGAGGTAAGAGAGGGTTGTGCCTAGGGAGAGAGGATGAAGAAATGGAGAACCCTCAATTTCTCCCTTCCTCTCCAAATGTAGAGAGCCACCAAACTCAAATATGGAGTTCTCCAAAATAGAGAGCTAGATAGCAAGTCTGCTGGAGCTGCATTTTTCCCTCATTCTAGTCAAAACGGCTGAGGATCAGAGTATAGCAACTCTGCTGGAGATGCTCTAAGTTATTGCTAATATTTTCATTACAAGAACATTCAAAATTCCACATGGAAACCTTTTCAATTAAGAGATTTGCATCAGAATTCACAAGTGCTGTTAGTTATGCAAAGAAATCATCAGCACGCACTCACTCATCTGTGGACAAAACAAAGGCCACCTTTGAAGCATGGTCTTCCTTCCAAACCAGCACTTCACTCTTCTTCTTCTTCTTCTTCAACTGCTGGCAGGCCCTCTTTGAACCAGGCGTAAAGCCCTCCTTCTAAGTGGAACACATTGGTATAACCGTTGAGGACAAGCAAGTAGGCTGCTATCAGTGATCTGTAGGAAGCGCAGTGTGATGTAATGTAAAACTTGATGAAGAGGGAATGAAATGGAAGTCTCAAGGGAAAATAATTTTAAACCGAACACCTTGACTGTTGACCTTCTGGGAGATTTTGGGTTGGTCTCATCGTGCCCCCGGCGGCGCAAGCCACTATGATCTTTGCCTTCTTATCAAGTTGTGATTCCACACCTGTTGTCACATACCAAACATTTGGTGTTTCCATATCTGTAGAAGTTGTCTAAAGACAAAGCAACAATTGAAAGCATAACAGGGGCATTGATTTATGTATATATACTTTGTATGAACTCAGGGTTCTCTTCTGTGCCAGCAAAGATGCCAAAGAATGCAAATGCAGCACGCCTGGCAATGTCCCAAGCTGTCCATTCCTTTATAAGCCTGTATATTTGCACGTTAATAGCACCCGGGGGATGAGCCTACATGCACCAGAAACATTCATTTCTCTGGTAATTAGCCTACTGATACTGAAATCGCCAGCAGGAAGATTAGAAATGCAATGACTTGGGGAGCAGAGCAGAGCAGACAACCTCTTTAAATTCTGCTTCAGGCCGGACATCGAGAATCACGAATTTGTTTTCTTTTTGAAGTCGCAGAGCTTCTTTTACATCCACACTCCTTACCTGCAAATTGTAAAAAAATTGGAGTTAGCAAACGAGATTGCTTCTACGCCTTGTAGGGGGCAAGGCAATACATGCACTGTTTCCTTCGTCAATCTTTACTCGTGTTCCCTTTTATAGACGACGCTCTTTCCAGTCTTCTTGTGTTCCCTTGAAAATTAGTTAGAGATTTGGGAACGGAACATTTTCTTGCACAAATAAAACCATAGCAAATAAACAATGAAAAGTCTCTTGTTCCAGCTACTTTGATAGATTTGAAACTTGTGATTAGAATTCTACTTTTGTATTTCTTTGGTTGAACTCTATCTGTTTCAGTTTTGGCTCTACCATTGAGGCTTGTCTGTGTGTGTGTGTAAGAGAGAGAGAGAGAGAGAGAGAGAGAGAGAGATGGAGGTGCACCTTGTTCTGCAGCAGAACTTCCCTCTTAGTCTTCCAATCCTCTTCAGCTAACCTCTCCAAAAGAAACCAAGTGAGAGTGGATTCATTTAAGAGATGAAGATATACATATAGATAAGGAAGTAGTTGGGATATTAAAAGAGTGAGTTTATACGGTACCTGGCGATTTGACTTGTTTTGTTGCTGCACTGCGGATTTTGAGGCCCCGTGATGACAACCGTTGCCTTGTGGAGGAGGATCTTACTGATCTCTCCGTAAGCCAGCAGCAAGTGTGATTATTATGTTGGCACTGCTTTGAAGCCAACCCCAATGCTGAAGATGCAGATGAGTGTAGGCTGATCGAAGTAAGAGAAGCAGCAGCCATTTATGAAGTTATATATATATGCTCCCAAAACCAAACCAAGAAAATTAATCAGCTAATCTAGGCTCTAGCTAGCTCTTGAACTGAATGTTCAGAATGATGTTTGATCAATATAGCATATAGATCATTAGGTTGTGCTGAAACAATAGAACAATTGGAAGTGCTGTCTGTGCTTGCTCTGCTTTTATTTGACTGGTTTTAGATCTTTTGAGTGCTTGATTTCAAAGTCACTGGGCCATGGATATTTTGCAATTTTATCTCTCCCAGAATCCGAGTTTGTGGTTCTGGATATCTGTTTGAACTTCTTTCATCCTTTACCTCCCTTGTCTTGTCCTTTTATTGGACCATACCCAAAACCATAAATCCTCCTCCTTCCAACCTGGCTCTCATTACCTTTTATCCTTTATTCTTTTTCAGTCTAATTTAATTTTGCTCATCACTTTAAATTATATCTAATATAATGACGCAGTATGACTGTTTTTTTCTCTCGAGCAGACACATGGTCACATGAGGGATCGAACCATAGACTACTAACTTGTACGTTAAAAACTCTATTATTGAGCTAAGACCCCATTGACGATGTGGTATTACAGTTCACTGAAATTTTTGTTTAGCAACAAAGATACAAGTATAACCCATTTTGATATTTAATTTTGTAGTATGATTATGTAACATATGTGCTATTTGTCAATTTATCTTTAAATTAAAGTACGAAGTCAGCATCCATATCTGCTGTCTGAGCATTAATTAGCACATGACTGGTAAATTGAAAGTAGCCAAAATAATTTTGGACCGTTAAATGGTTGTCTCAGATCAGATCCGTTCATTTTAAGATTTTAAGTTTATTGATGTAATCAAGTTAATAACGTTTTTAAATAAGAATTGATCCCCTGTTTTGTGTTGATCAGCATACTTGCAATTCACACTAGAACAACCTTAATTACATTTTTTGTGTGTGCATAAAATCCATCCAAAATTAATATCAAATTCCTGAAGTTCTGGTAGAAACAAATTGAATAAGAAGGCATATCCCCTACGGCCTTTCCAGACTTTCAGTACGAACGAGATCCAATTTACGCAACCGTTTGATTTTGATTTGGGCGCTGCTGCTGCTGTTTCTGTTTATATTTCTTAAATCACTCACTCCCATGACCCATCCCACCACACTGCTATGTCCCCACCTTGAGAGAACCACCGACACCAACGAATACTCCATCACGCAACTAGATGTCGCCGCGTGTCACATCGGTGCAATTTGGCCTTTATAAATTACATACCGCGTCCTCCAAGTTTCTCTCTTCTGCAGTCTTACCCTTGGGCTTATCCTACACTTGCACTCTTGCCCGCTACAACTTCAGAGTCAACACACTTTTACATCACACAAAAGTCAAAAGTACAACCATACGATGCACGGTTTCTTAAATCGTAGAAACACAAGTTGATATACACAGGATTGAAGCCCCAGCTTCTCCTTCTACTTGTTCTCATTCTGTTTATATATACATCCTGACCCAAATAAAAAATAAAAAAATTTCTGTTTATATATAATACAATCCATCTCTCTTCACGTACCTTTAATTATCACTCCCTCTCCCTCTCCCTCTCCCTCTCTCTCCTTCTCTTTAGAGTGCAGTGAGTAACAATGGAGGTCTTCTACTACATGGTGTTTGGGATATTGGGGGTGGTGGTGGCAGCGACGGAGCTCAGCAAGAGCAACAAAGACCGAATCAATACGTCGTCCACTTTTAATAGCTTCAAGAACAATTACCTTTTCGTTTACTCTCTCATGATGGGTAAACCCGCTAGATCTCACCTGAATATCATCTCTCTCAATGTGAATATGTTTATATACGTATCTGTGCAAATGTATGTCTCTGGATTTGCTGAATTTTGATCCGATCTGATGGTGTTAGTAAGTTTTCTTAGAGTTCTTAGAGTTCCCAAGTGGAATCTAAAGTAACCATTTGTGAGATCTGTGTATTCAGTCTCTTTTCTGATAGTTTTGATTGATTTGTACATGTTTTAGATAAGAATTTTGGACTTTCTTTATTGCTTTTCTCAAAGAAAAATGATGGTAGCGTTGCTTTCATTTTAGCTATTTTCTTTTTGAATTGGTGAGTGGGAAGTTGGATCTGGGCTGCATATGGTTGTAATGGCTTCACATATTGAGACATTAGTCTATCTATTGCGGCAGCTGAATTCTTGTTACTTAATAAATGAAATATTTGTTGTCACAGTCAGTAGATGATATGTGCATCATATCTTGATTGCGTTTAGTACTTAAAAAAAATTACATAACCTTTTCAATTTGAGTGAATTTTGCTAATTATGTTCGAACTTCTCTAATTGAATGAAACTATGGTCTAAATTACTGACAAATTAATGTTTATGTGCCAATAGCCGGGGACTGGTTGCAGGGTCCTTATGTCTACTACCTGTACAGTACATATGGATATGGAAAAGGAGACATTGGACAGCTATTCATTGCCGGTTTTGGCTCCTCCATGTTGTTTGGAACAATTGTTGGATCTCTGGCAGATAAACAGTGAGTTTTCCACTCTGATCTCTGTTTAATGGTTTCATGCTTGTTAGATATTAATAGCATTTGTTAGCTGATGATGTCTGTAATTTAGGGGCCGAAAGAGGGCATGTGTGACTTATTGTATAACTTACATACTGAGTTGCATCACCAAGCATTCTCCTCAATACAAGGTTTTGATGTTGGGTCGTATTTTGGGAGGTATTGCCACATCACTTCTATTTTCAGCATTTGAATCATGGCTTGTTGCAGAACACAACAAGGTAAGGGGTCATTGCTTTGCCCACTCATTATTTTTTTGAATATTTCACTCACATATTCACCTTAGATGTATAGTTTCAGTGAATATGGTCTCTTTGTCTTTAAAGGGTACTAATAGCATGCAGGTTAGCTTAAATAGAAAAGACTTGCTTGCTTGGGGTGCAAATTTTGTTGTCGTTGTATTCTATTTGGATGTCATTTTTGTTTTTGTTTTTGTTTTTTTCCCACATAGGCAATGAGTTTGATAACGATGTAAGAGCTAGTCAGTCATTTGACTAAGCATTTTTCCCTTGGTTGGGTTGTGGACTGTGTAAAATTGTTTTGTTCTTGGAATGTTACCCCCCTTGTATCAGTAAATCATATATGTGATGTTCCTCTTGACTGTGCAGAGAGGCTTTGAACAACAATGGTTGTCAATAACATTCTCAAAGGCAATATTTCTTGGCAATGGTGTTGTTGCTATCTTGGCTGGGTTGCTTGGAAATACGCTTGTTGATGCACTGGCTCTCGGGCCTGTGGCACCCTTCGACGCTGCTTCGTGCTTTCTCACAATCGGAATGTTTGTAATTCTATTCTCATGGACAGAGAATTATGGAGATCCTTCAGAGAACAAGGATTTGCTTACCCAATTCCGGGGTGCTGCTGTGGCCATTGCTTCTGGTAGAGTCTTAACTATATACTATAAGATATTATTTTTGGATGATAAATTGTGTATGTTTAATTTAATGGTAGACTGTGGTGATTGTTTCTACATGACACATGCTTTTGTTCTGGATTCATCTTGTTTACTAATTGTTTTCTCTTCATTTTTCCAAACTTTCCTTAGAATAGCCATGTAGTAAGTGGAAAGGGTGATGGGCTTGCACAGAGATTACCTTGTCTTTATTTTGTTCTTCAACATTCTGTTGGTTTCAGTAAACTTTTCCTTTTTTCTTTTCTTTTGAATAGTTATTGTGGTTTGATCCCTATACTAAATCCTTTCTGACCCCTTCACCCCAATAAAAGGAAGTATAAATAACCATTATCCTCTAATCCATTACTGGTGATGTTTAGATATAGATATGACCGGCCACGAGGGTCTGTAAAGCTCTGACCAGCCACAATCAGTTCATGATTGTCAATCTTTTTTCAACCTCGTAGTTTATTTTTCTGTTACCTTGAAAGAATTTTCCTTTTGTTTTGTTTTTCATTTTCTTTTTAAACTTGCTCTATAAGTTATGTGTTTCCTCCTCATTTAGTATTATATTTTGTGTGGTTCAGATGAGAAAATTGCATTACTGGGTGCGATACAGTCTCTGTTTGAAGGTTCTATGTATACCTTTGTTTTCCTCTGGACCCCTGCTTTGAGCCCAAATGACGAGGATATTCCACATGGCTTTATTTTTGCCACATTCATGTTGTCTTCGATGTTTGGAAGCTCCCTTGCATCTCGGTTGATGGCTCGCCAAGCACCCAGAGTAGAGAGCTATATGCAGATTGTCTTTGCCGTCTCAGCTGCCTCTCTTCTGCTTCCCATTGTGACCAGCGTATGTTATGGATTCCAGTGTATTTTTTTCTTAATGACTGGTTTTGCGCTGTTCTCTAACTTTGCTAATTTTAAACAGTTCTTGGTAGCACCTTCGAAGGAGAAAGGAGGGAGCATCTCTTTTGCAGGTTGTATCCAGCTTCTTGGGTTCTGTGCCTTTGAGGCTTGTGTAGGACTATTCTGGCCGTCCATTATGAAGATGAGATCCCAGTACATTCCTGAGGAGGCCAGGAGCACCATCATGAACTTCTTCCGTATTCCTCTCAACATCTTTGTCTGCATTGTGCTGTATAATGTATGTTACAATTCCCGACTTCAAAATGCATTAGACCTGGGAATGTGGGGCGAAGTAGATAAACTGACCCTTAGGTGGTTCAATCTTGTTTTGTGCTGATATAACCTTAAGTAAATTTGAAACCAGTTTATCAGAGTACCTTAGAAATAAGATGTTATGAAAGCATGCTCAGTTAAGACCCAGTCAATACCATTAGCAAGTCTTTGTGCATATTATTGACCATGGAGCTTGTGGACGCAGCGGAGAAATGTTCTACCCGAAAAAAGAAAAGTGAAACAAGAGAATGTGATTGTGTCTCTTTCTTTTCTACCTCTTCTGTCACTAACTAATTGGTTTTGTTTGTCTTTGAAGGTTGATGCATTTCCGATGACTGTTATGTTTGGTATGTGCTCGATTTTCCTCTTTGTAGCATGTTTCTTGCAGAGGCGCCTCATGGCAATTGCAGACAAGCCTAGTAAGTCCAATTTTCACCCCATAATCTTTGCCGCCTCTATCTGGCACTAAAAGTAAATTGTTTGTCTTATATATACATGTAGTGAATATCATCTAAAGATCATGTCTCTCGAGTTTTAATTACTGTAATAAAAATCAAAATGATACCTACATTGAATCCATGGGTCATACAATGACCTGATCCTAGGCAAACCTCCTACATACATATTGACTTGGTACATCCAGCATCCTATTTCTTGGTGCTTATGGTTGGAAATAACTTGCTTCTGTCAACAGAGACTGAAGATTGGGTAGCAATGAAGGAAAGGGACAGCGAGGCAGAGCCATTAAACATATAAATGATTCTGAGCTGACAGACCACCAGACTTTTGAGAGGTTGAAGACAACGACCTGATTCGTTCAATATACTGGTAAAGTTCCTGTTAACTAAGAATTTATTCGATTTCAAAAAGTGAAGGTTGCAATGTATAAGGACAAGAGTAGTCTGCACAGCAAATATGGGAAGGAAGAAAGGGTCGGTTGAACTTCTGTAATTGTTTTTGGTTGTCAAAGTCATTACGGTAGTGAATTAGTTATTGCAAAATTTTCGGCTAAGTAATCAGCTCTTCTTGTAACGCCATTGTTATTCTTTTTACAGCATCCATTAGCCTATATGTTTCTTTATTACAATTTAAGTGAAACTGTACGATTAGCTAAGGCAATTTTGTTTTATGATCTTTATACAAATTGGTCCCTGTAGATTTGATTCGGTGCTCGAATGCTTTTAAATTTTATGTTGTAATCTATTTCTTGGGGAAGGCACTTAAAAATTGGTTCTTGCATTCCTAGAGATCGAGATATCGTAAGTGGCTTTTAGGCTTATCGAAAAAGAAATAAATAGACGGGTTAGAAATTGCAAATAAATTTAATTGAGCCGCCTGGGCAGTGGGCACAATTGGTCCATATATGTTTACGTCTGCATTTGCCCAATTAATATAAGCAAAAAAATTTATTTGAATTCAAAATTGCATTGGTAAGCTTGTTCTCGAAATCAGCTGATCACGAAACAATGCTATATATACTACTTTAAGTCGGTTCAGCGTTCAGGATATATTTAAAAGGTATAGCCGCTCGGCTATACTCTTTAAATTAATATTGAAAGAGATCTAAAGAGTATAGCGTTTTTGTTTTGGTTAGGCTTCTTAATAGTCCTGAAACATACCATAGCTACATAACATGAAGTTCCCACGAGTAATAAAACTAACAATAACACTTTCTATGAGAGTCCTCCACAGATGTGGTCACTGCAAAGGCAGAATGGGATTGTTTCTTCGATTTAGCTTCTGACACACAGGACTCCTGATTTTGTTTGGGAATTTGAGCTCCTTTCACAGAATCCTCATTATCAATGTCAACGTCTCCAAAGCTGAGATTTTCAGTCCGTATCAACCAGTTAAGGGAATGAATCAAGGTATAGCCAACTGAGATGGAAGGTTGATGTAATGAATGTGTGGTAAACCCAAGTTCAAATTACAAAATAGCTGGTGGGTACATACAAAAGTAAAATTTTGATGTCGGAATTCACTAAATGAAGACAAATATTAGGATATTCCCACTAGCATGCTTGCCCGGATGATGAATCAAGTCTCCCAATGTTTTCATCTTCTGCTTCACTTAAGTAAGTATCGCTTCCAAAAGAATCATCTCCAGAAGAAGCATTTCCAAAACTGTACCAACTAAAATGTTAGAGATAAATGGAAAGGTAGTAAGCATGATATTAATCGGTGACGAAACGACAGTTCACTGAAGCATGTGTGGACACATCACAGGAAAGTGTGTGCCTTCTGGATGATCAACAAGCACTCTCGTTTCTTTTATTATTCTTCAGCAAAAATAAAATATATCAAAATGGTTAATTATCTATTGATAATCTAACAAAAGGTACCACAACATATCATGGAGATAATCGTCTAATAGTTTACATATTTAATATCCGTAGAGGCTACACTCCCACACAACTCATCTGCTGAAAAGCAATGAGTGCATTCACGTCTTCAATAAGTGACGTCAGAATGGACATTGGGCATCAGTGCCCTTTGTAACTATTTGCAATATGTTTCATCCATTTTTTTCCCTTTTACTCATAGGTATATCAGACAGGTCTGAAAACGCAAATATGGTAATGCAGCACAAATGTAAAAAACATCTTTTGTTTCCAATATTATCATTCAGAGATGGCCTCAGCACCTATAATGTACATGTGTGTGTGTGTGTTCTTGTACATATCTGTACACCTATATATGTATCTGCTTTGCATATTTAGTATGCGTGTACTTAATTCCTGCAGCTTCTGATCTCTTATGACAGTATCTAGTGAGTGCAATAAAATGTTTAGGCCAGTACTTGAATCGTTTTCCGGCACTTCTTGCTGAATGTCGAACAGGTGTTGCTCTCATCAAATCTTTGTTTCCATCATCTGATACATTATCTTCAACCTTAACATTTGGGGAATGTTCTGCACCACCTTTAAAGTCATATTCTGTGTGTTGTCCCCGAAACCAACAAATTCCTGAGAGTGGATCACCAAAGAATGTTATGTACATTCTATCAACACGACAGACCTATATGAACAGAAACTAACCTTGGTAAGTTCCTCAGGGAAATCAAGTTGGTCTTCTTCACGGTTCTCAGCTTGTGTCCCAATCCACCAAGCATCGGAAAATACGATATGGGACATGAAAAGCTAATGCTGAAATATATGCGTAAAAAATAGCGTTACCACACTCTGTAAGAAGAACAAGAAGAAGATTCTAGGTGGAAGTTGTATGAAACAATAGCTCTGAAAATTATGTACACAACGTATAAAAGAGCACGCAAAGAGAGAAGAGTAGGTTAAATTTTTCTCAGAAACCAGACAAGCAAAATAAAATTAGAAAAGGAGCAAGGATGAAAGCAGTACACCAGAGGGAAATCGAGGTATAAGACGGAGTTCTTGGTGCCCAAATCCTTGAGCTCACCGATCTTACCGCCTCCCATGGGGGCAAAGAGGCCAGGGAAGGAGAAGAGGAACCGGTTCTTTCGCTGAGATTTCTTGAGAACGTCTTTGCCATGGTGCGTAACAACAGTGTTTGAGGGGGGTGAGAGGCGCGTGGGACTTAGTAGGGACCTCTGAGAGTAGGTTGTTGGAGAAGGCGCTGGGTTTGGATCCTCTTCGTTATTGCGCTTCTTCGTCGATGACGAGGTACGCCCGACCATACTATTTCAATAGTATAGCCGCGCGGCTATATTATTAAAATATTAATATATTGCACAGGTACAGCCAGCGGCTATACTCTTTAAATATTTACAAATTTATTAAAAAACTCAATCCTAGACATGTATTTATAAAAAAAAACCCAAATACTATTTAAACATAGAAACACACTCAAAATCAACCCCAAAGTCAACAATTTTATATTTTTTTGGGTGTGTTTATAAATGGGTTTTGAGTGTGTGTAATGATGAGTTTTGGGTGTGTTTATAAAGTGTTTTGGGTGTTGGGTTTTTTTATAATTTCAGCTCTTATTTTGGGTGTTTTAGTGAAACTCCCTTAAATATTCCAATATATTAATTAGTATAGCCGCGCGGCTATACTAATTAAATACTCTTTAAATATTAATATATTGTATAGCCGAGCGACTCTATACCGTTTTTAACCCTTATTTACACAGCAATACATTTCGAATCACTACGCCTCGGTGTATCATATGCATTACGGAAGAAAGGAAGAAAGGATAGCCAGAAGGATCACTCCGCCTCGGTAGATCATACGTATTGCTTTAGTAAAACAACAAACATGGCGTCTAGTTTACACTCTTTGTATAAATATATACATTTCGAATCACTACCTAACAAAAAATACACTAGTCGCTACTCCGAGTGCAAAGACAACTATTTTGATTAGGATGAAAAAAAAGTTCATCATGTCTTCTCATCAAGCATTGGTTGAAAGCAACGACAATGCACCCCGGATCAGATTTTCCAACTTGCCTCTCAAACTAGAAACAACATTGTTCAAGGTTTCCTGTGAACGTGTCTCATCAAGGGGGTCATGTAGTCCATGGAGCTGCACCTCTAAAAACCGACCAAGACTTGCCTCTGCAACATTAACAAGACCAAGTGACGCATTTGTGTGCATAAATTTTGTAACAATGAGTCCTGCCAGAAGTTGCTGATCTGCCTTCACAAGCTCTGAAATAAAACAGGGGAAGAGTATTCTTCTAAAAACCAACAACCAACTCTCATTTTCTTCTTCGCACCCACCCTTTCCTTTCTGAACAAGCCTCTCCTTTTGTAACTGAGATGCTTGAAACTTGTGGGATAAGTTGCCGACCAAATAGCAGATAAAAGATAACGTGTTACCATAGGAAGAATTGGAGATGATAGTGGGCCAAACCCCAGAGAATAATACTAGCATTAATAACTCATGGTCCCCACCAATCGAGTCGGAGATGCCTCCTTGCTTCAACTTGTCTTCAACAGCAGCCAAACACTGCAACTGTAGCATTTCAAAAGGCAGTAGTAGCACCAGCTTTAAAGCCGTGAAACAATCTCTTTCAAGAACAATCTGGCTCAAGCTCCTCGCACCATCTTCATCAAGCAATATCCCATTAGATTTAAGCAAGGACTGATCAATCAGTCTTAAAACATCTTTAAACTGGGAGAGCATTACAAGTTTTTTGAAAATCCCCAACCAACATGCGTGCAAAGGGTGAATGGAAAAGGAACTCTCCTTTTCTTTAACAGGAGGTTCTAATTCCTGGAAACTCTCCCATCCTTCGTCCCAGTTTTCATTCCAGTCATTTCCAGCATCAGAAGATTCTACAGAGGGTTTCTTATCTTCCCTCACCAAGAAAAATCCTTCCCACTCTCCTAACATGGCAAGCAAAGAACCAACATGGGAATATGATTCAGCAACATCACACAGCTTTAGGAAGCAAGAAACAGCTGTCTCTAGATTCAAGAGATCATCGGAAGTAATTTCCAAGGTGGGTGATATGGTTGCCACAAGCTGTGATGACTTGAGGGCAACTAATGTACTTGTAAACCTGTTAGGTGTATCATTATGATCAACCAACCCCCGATCAGTAGTTTCACTTTTGTTACTCATAAAATGCACCTCGTCCCATCCTTCCCACGGCATAACACTAGATTGTATACTGGCAGACAAACCCTTGATACTTTTACCAGTGAGGAATTGCATAAGCTCTAAAGTATAAACTCGAACTGACCCTGGTAGCTGCAGGTTATCTGAGAACTTGGCCATTCTTTCCCAAACTAAATGCCTGACCTTATCCAAATCCTCTAGATCACCTTCTAATTTACTCAAAGATGATAAAAGCTTATACAAGTTCTCATAGTCCTGCCACTCACGGACAACCACATCCTTTAAAATGTGTTCCAAAATATTTAAGTAGAGAAGGGGAAGTTCCTGGACTTCAGTGTCACCTGCCAAAGTGGAACCAGTGGGACCCCCTAATACTGCTTGAGAAAATACTTCAGCCACTGCTCCAAACCCACAACCAGAAAAAATCATGGATCTACAGAACATATATGGTTCAGAAGCACAGTCGCCAATTAAACCATGACTGACAAAGCTGACAATTGTACCCCAGCCCTGACTTGGCGAGACAGTGTCTTCTATTACCAACCTCATGAAAATCTTTAGACAACACGCTAAGCAATCCAGATTCAGCCTGAGATTTTCTCCGGCTTCCTCATGAGATGCAATGTCCTTCATCTCATCAATCAATCTTATCCAAAAATTCAAGAGAATTATAAGACATTCTTGCCAAGATGAGTTATCGGGTAGAGTCCCATAAGAACCCAAAAGAGGTACAATAATGGTGAAATACCGCTTCATAATGTTCAAAGAATCTACACGCACCAAGAGTAGAATATACTTTCTGCAATATTCATAGCTCTGCTCAAGTTGACATATGAAGCATTGAAGGTCCTCAGTGCTTTTGATGATCGAATCAGTTCCGGCTTTAGCCTCCAAAGGTGTCAACAAACTCAAAACATGATGCTTGTAGACATCTTGCCACGTTATGAGACCCTTCGACAATGGGTCAGAAAATATACTGGCAAGGCTCTCTACCATCGTTGCCAAGGCTTCCAAGCTACCTTCATATATGTGCATGTAGACTTCATGGCTTAAGCACTTTAAGTTTAAACCACCTAAGCCAGCAATATTTTTGAAATTTAGGTTCGCAAGAAACGAAACTCTTTTGCACTCTTGCTCCATTAACTTGTAAAAACGAGATAATCCAAAACCAGATAGATGCTCTTGATCAGGGTGTATAATTGGTAATTCTTTTCTGCTTTCTTCCAGTTGCAAGTAGCAGTCAGAGAGCAGACCAAACATGTAAGCAAGACGCAACTTGTTGCGTCCATCAATTGCAGGGTATACATTGGAGGAGACAGCTTTGATGGTTTCTATAGCATAGCCAACTATTTCTCCTTTAAATTCTGAAATTTCGTAAGTAATATCATCATTGGTCCAAACCTCAGAAACAAGGACAGAACTCAGATAACGTAGAAAGACCTGCAAGGAAACAGTAGAACACCATCACCCAATGGGCAAAAAATTTATCTTCTATATTAAAGTTTTCATAGATATATGCCTACGAAGCTGCCTACCTCTGCATGGTTCAAGACATAATCATCAGCTAATTTTAAAACGTCCTTCAAAATGTGCTTCTTCTCTAACTTTACTGAATCAATCAGGGGAAAAACAACACTTCGAATGTAATTAAAGTCCCGAGACAAAAAGCGTGCAGTGTCAACGCCGGGGATTATTTTCTCTAATGCTCTACAGCAATCTGCAACGCGCTTTTGGTCTTCTAATTTCAGTTTCCATTCTCTCCAAAAGGTAGACTGTACCTTGTCAAATTTGTTTATTTCATCTGAAAGCAATAAAATAACATAAGAAAATCATTAAGTAACACCATATCATGGAAAAGGTGTTGAACAAAAAGGTGAAAGACATGATAAAAAAGTATATTTGGCATATATATGGTAATTAATAGAGCTGTAAAATGATAGCATAGCAGATTGCAAATAAGTATAGAAAAACACCAGTACTAGGTGGTATGTGCTTTTCTTTAAACTTCCTCAGTAGCAGCTCCCTCCTTTCCATAGGACCTTCACACTCAATTGCTGAACTATATAACAAGCTATAAGTCATCCCCACATTCATGATGCTAGAAATTTCTTGGTAATCCTTCCTTGTTCTAAGCTGCTCTTCAATGACTTCAACCCCATTAAAGGCATCCCCCAGATTCAGGAGAAAGGAGCAACCCACTATGTCTTCCTCTTCGGTAACAGGTGGTTCAATCATTGATTTTGCCAAAGACGCAACCACATGGTCTGTAGGAGCAAAACCATTTCTTGCCAACCAGGACAGAATGGTCACTAAAGCTTGTGTTCTTACACTCACATATTGCTTTCCAGGAATCAAGTTACCAATCGATTTCTTACTGTGTTCTGTATTCCTACTTAGTTGAAGCAACCATGGAAGTTGAAGGGCAGCAAAAGACAAAAGTTTTCCATTTTCTGTCAAAACAGATTCCCAACTGGTTCCATTCACAACAGGCAAATTTTTAGCAACAATAGAAAGTAGATTTTTAATGTTACTAAGATGAACTTCTTGATCGTCACAACTAGCTCCTTCAACCATTTCCAAGCAACCTTTTAGGTTGATTATATCTTGAATACCATGGACTGGACCTGTAATAACCGAGGAGCCTTGAATTGAAAAATCTGGACATTCAGTCCCTGTCAACATCATTAATGTCTCACATTGACCTTGCAAATCTAGATCTTTCCATGCATGGAGCAACTCACTAACGGATTCCTCATCACAATTGCTCAAAGCAAAACCCAATAGCTGCTTTCGAGAATTTATATCCATGTTTTCAAGGGCAGGACCCCTTGCTATTGCAGCACATAAGTCCCAAATGTGACCATGCCCTTTCTTAGCCAAACCAAGACACAGATCAAGGGCCAATTGGAGATCACCAGCAACTGCAGCTTCTCTGGCAATTGCTTCCTGAACAGAAGATATGTTGTCTGGAGAACTCAATCCAAGAAGTTTAGCAATCTCAATGAGTTCATCAACATGTAAATATGCACCAGTTTGGCATGTGATTGCCATTTTAATTATCTCCATCGGATCTTTTATTTGCCTGAATTGCATGGGTAAGAGAGTCACTCCAAGTCTGGGAAGTCTAACAGTAAGTGCATCAATAATATCAGACTCCACTTTGACATTTCTGCTGCTTGGAAATAAATTGAGGCATTCCTTAGCCTTCCAGATCTGGAAAGTTGTGCAATGATTTAATTAACACAGATAGCAAGTATTAATGTGCTATGGCATTGAACGCTTAAATGTATCATTTCATGCTCGAATATCATAAATCATCAGAAAACATAAGCATATTCATACTTACTTCAGTACAAGTAAGACTTGAAGCTGAGAAAAAATACTCCCTTGCAGCTTGTATGACAAGATTTTCAGCCTTCTCAGATGCCAAAGCAACTGAACTTGTACCCTTTAAATAATTCCTGGCAAGAGAAAACTTCCCAGCTTTCAGCAGCCCTCTGCAAAATTCCATCAACATATACTCCAGGTCCAGGAAAGGAAATGCCTTATCCCTAATGCATTGCATATCACGCCACATGCTTGCCCAATCAGTATCTGATCGACCAGGTTGTCGACGTATAAACTTTGACAGTATAAGGCGAAGAATTTGCTTTACACCTTTTCCATCAGCATGAGATTCTAGGAAAAAATTCAGTGGCTTTGGTACCTGGAACCACGACAATATTAATTAAATGAAAAAAAAAAAAAAAAAAAAAAAAATGGAATAAAATTGCAGCCTGAGTCATTCTCAGAACAGTTAGATACCAAGATTTTGGGATCTGCTCTCTTAATTATTTACGATGTCATTTATTCTTACTCTGTTAAACACACAATCTAGTGTGCCTGCCCTCTATGCAAATTTTTTTTTTTGTTGGGTAAAAGGTAGTAGTATAATATCATAATCGGAAAAAGCTTCCCTCTCATGGAAGAATACAAACCTGATAAAATGCCAGGAGCCTCCCTACTTCAACATGGCCTTCTGCCAATTTCAATCTTCTCTCAAGACCATCAACAATTATTTCACCACCTGTTCAGTCAGCAAGAAAAAAGGTACTCGTCAGAAAATAAAATTTTCATTAACTATCACACAAACCAGACTTCTAAATAAGCAATTACCTTGAATATGTGGAAGCTTTGACAATATGGTTGCCATAGTACTCCACCTATCAGTAGAAGTGCACAAATAAATGCACTGCAGGGCACAGTCTATGACTTCAACCTCATCCTTAAATAGGCTATTACTTTGGAAATCACAGCACCCTTCCTCTATTACCCGCAAGCAGATGTCCAATTTGTTCTCGGAAGCAGTTTCCTTTAGCCATCTAACCAGAAATGACTCAACCTTGTTATGCTCTGGGGTAAGATGATTATCTGCAACCTGATCCTGTGAAACTGAGACTGTATAATGAAACCTATTTTGCATAAATGGAACTGCCATATTACGCAACCTTCCAATCATATTTTCTTCTTTAACTCCTTTAAGCATCATCCCGAATTTCTCATAGTCAGATAATTGTTCCCAAATGACAAGACTCAGACTGGAATTTATTTCACCGATACTGTCATCAGAATAAATAAGTTGGTACAAATATGAGACATCCTCATGGAATCGCTGCAACTCATTTACACCTTTGCGATTAGCAAACTCAATCAAGCAAAGACAATTATCTAGCTGTCCACTACAACTATCAATATCTCTAGCTCTCTTCTTGTACCATATTGAAAGTTCATTAGTAGATGGCCAAACAGATCCTAGGCACTGCTTGAGTATGGGTTCAGTCTGGATTTGGATACAAATCTCATGGTCCTTGGATGATCTGTTGATAAAATTTATCATTTTCTCACATTCAACCCAATCCTCTTCTCTCAAAAGTACACTTGTAGGGGGAGACCTCCCTGGGAGAAGCTGCCCATATGTTTGTACAGGAACTGTTTCAGGGATAGCAGCTAAAATATCCAATATGAAAGGAGCCAGTGAATAAGGATGGCGCTTGAACAGGAGATTTAAAGCCCCAATCTTCCCACTTTCAGCAAGAGTAAGAGCAGCTTCATTTAAAGGCATAGCTCGAAATTTTCTGTACTCCTGCACAGAAAACCTGAATAAAAACTATGTCATTCAACTGTTGGTTAGTAGCAATCATCACAGGTATGGCAAAAAATCAAAGTTCCGAGCAAATCACCACTCATATTCATATGGGGAAATCAAAAATATATTCAATCAACACCATTTTTTCAATAATAACTAATAACATATATATATATATATATATATAGAGAGAGAGAGAGAGAGAGAGAGAGAGAGAGAGAGAGGAACTGCAAATACCAACCAAAGAAAGAAAATAAAAGTTTAATTTGATGCTGATGAGTGTCTACTTTGTACAAGTTACTATAATCCAAAGTTGGCATATAAATACAGAGAGGTATTCAAAAATACAACATTTTGCTAATGTAAAAATATAGGTCCTGAAGAGTAAAATACCTGCCCATATTTATCCCAAGAAACGTCTCCAACCGGTCTTTGAATTGCAATAACTGAAGTCTAGCCATGCGGAAATCCCAAATTTCCGTACATTCATCCTTTTCAGGTTCAGAAAACCCATACTGGTTGGTTAGGCGCAGCCCATATGCAAGTAAGGCCCTCACAGCATCTTCTGTAGGTCCAACTTTGTCAACACATTCAGAAAGTATAAAAGGTTTATCCTTAATTTTTGATAAAAAGGTACTTATTTCATTTGCTCCTTGACTTGAATGCAACCACTGTGATTTTATGACTTCATCTTTATCCAACCCATGACAATCAGCAAAATCCAAGGCAGCCTGATATTTTTCATTTCTAATCAAAATGTTATACATTTCCAGGATGGACCTCTCAGAAAATGATACAAGGCTCCAGTTCAATGAAGAAATGTCAATTTGGTCAAGGCTGTCCACTGCAATATGCTCCATACTATGTGAATCATTAGTTTCCTTTGAGTTAGATCTCTCTTCAGATGAAATGGTCTCCAAAAGAAAAATGTTTCCTTGAAACATATTTATTCTTTCTATAATGGGCTTAGAATATATAGTTCCATTTTCCTGAACTTTCAAGCCACTAAGGATGTCAAGCATGGTAACAATGCCACTCCTTTTTGCAAAAGCAAGGATGTGGTCAGACCACCAAGTAAAATCCACAATGTCACTTAAATGTTCCCCCTCTCCACTTGACAAATTATTGGTCAGTTCTGACTCGCATCTCTCTCTGCATGTAAAATTTGAAAGTGAAAAGCAGTCTTTATCCAGCTTAAATATGTGCAAGCATCCTGTCACATCTAAAGTAGCAACAAATTTGGCTTGTGGGGAGATTAGCACCTTTGGATATGCTAGCTGACTTTTCTGACCTTTTGGTTTGGAATAAAAACCCTCAAACTGAATGGTAACAAGCTGCTCCAGATCAATGATCCTACTTCTACGCCAAAGAGAAAGATAACAAGAACCTGGAAGATAATCACGAATTAATTAATATAAGTAGTCTAGTTATTATATTACATCATTTTCCATCTTTCTAGAAATAATTTGTAACTTAATGTCAATACATTTTTTGTATCCAGGATATATTTAGATCAAAGTCCCAAAACAACCACATAAAATTTTATGTAAGGTCAACGAACACAGTGGTTAACAACCAACCACAAAAGTCACCACACAAAAAAAAAAATCATATGCAAGTATCTGCACAATCTGATGAACCAACAAAAACATCTAGAGTTTTTCTGAAATTCTTCCAACAACAAAGAAGGTCACCCGATCATCCAGATTCATGTAAGACGTGTAGATTTTTTTAATATTCTAATCTAAAAAATGATATCAACCACATAAAGGCCCGTATAAATGACTATCTTCTTGCATAACCAATGAAAAAACTAAAATGAAGGTAGTAGGAAGCAGGACAGAGTTTCAACCTGAGGTTAGTGTGACAACAGCAAGCAAAGAAAGCCCTGGTTGGTAGTCAACGCATAAAACATTGTCAGGGAGCTGCCCCTTTGCAGTTAATCCATTATTTGAGGTGCGTGCAGAATATATGGAGGAACTTGGATCCTGACAGATCTCAACATGCTGAAGGGAACCATCAGACGTGACCACAATAAAGCTACACCTGAAAACATTTCATAAATTTCAACGAGTGAACCTTTGGTTTACTCAAACAATGAACTAGAACCTCAAGCCACAAAATCAAGAACAGAACAACAAGAAACTACTTTTTGCACACGTTCTTTTATGCATAATTTTTGCACAGCCTATGGGCAGGAAAAAAAAATACTTACAGACAAGATTTCTGTGCATCAGAATCATCCTGCACAATCAGGCTTATTACTGGTAGAGATACTTTTAAATGCCTCCTCGCGATCCTCGTTATCTCATCACCGTTTGCTTTGATAAAATATAGTGTATCAGTGTCATCAGCAACTCCAAGAACATCATGACTTTCTGACCAAGTCCCTGTTGTAAATGAAGTAAGGCTGCCGCCTGATGCATAGAACACAAATTAGTAACTATTTTAATGTAAAACAGAGATGAGGTAATCTACACATTTAGTTGCCAAAATAGAAAAAATTCAAATTCAAATTTATAAAGCATGTATATCTCATATAGGCAAACTTTTCATTGGCAAATACCCCAACTTTGCAGGGACAACATATAACTGAAAATTCAATGCCCTTATAATATTGATAACTTCAAGGCTTTCAGTTTACAGCTATTAAAACGAGGCAACAATAACAGAAACTGATGATTCCACAAAGGTAAGGTCAACGAAATCAGCAAGTACATCTCACTTGTAAAAGTGCCGCATGGCTTTGAGTAGTCATCCTCCTTCTGCAAAATTGTTATCTGATTTCCAGAAGCCACAGCCACACGCTCACCTCTTGGAGAGATAAACAATGATGCCAATTTTCTCAATTTTCTTGGCTGTTTGTATTCGTTCCATTTCTCTTTGAGTTGGTTCACACCTTCATGGATCAAGAGGAAAGACAAGTCAATCAATTAAGATTAGGGGACATGATCACCGTGTCAAACACCATCATTCATCCAAAAAAACCCAAAAACAATTATAATCTTCTATCAGTAAGAAATAAACAACAAAAATTAGGGAAAATGAGATGAACCTTGAAGGGAAAGCAGTGAAAGAAAGCTCCCTTTACTGCCGTCATTGGCCTGAACTCCGTAAATCAATCGGAAAAGAAAAACAATCAGGAAACTGATTAATTGAGCGATTACGGAAGATGAATTTGATTATGTTGAAATTCAAGAAAACAATATATTTAAGAACCTGTTGGGGAGGGTAACTGGGAGTATAGGGCCTCGTAATGTGACGTCGTGTCTCGTAAAATACTGTGGGAGTTGGTTCATCCATGGCCAAACGTTTCAGTGTCCTTTCCACCCTCCAAGATCTCAAACCCTAGACCTCAAAAACCACACCAGCATATGATTTTCGACTCTTTAGACAGAGAGAGTAAACGCACACCACATTTGGTTTTGTTCATGTCTTCTTTCTTTCTGTCTTTCCTCTTTCTCAAATATTTTTTTTTGGTGAAACCGCACCTGGACTCAGAGTTTTCGGGCCTGGACTACAATATAGGGCCGCCAAAAAGAATAACTGGCTTTAAACAGTTAGCTTTAGCCAAGGCCAGGGTTTTGGCTTTGGACTTCGGGACAGAGCTTGACAACTTGTGGCCGCATGGGCCCTTCAACACTGATCCTATTTTGAATCAGAGCCCAAATAGATGGGTCATCCAATTGTATACACCTCATCCCTATAATAGTACTATGAATTTTGCTAAGATCAGGCGTCCACTCTTGTTGGTGAATGAGATGCAGGCGTAACATGCTTAAACAATCTACGTGTGGGGAACAACTGTAACACAACTCATAGTTATAATGTCGTCTTTGGATCGCATCTCTCTAATAGAAACGAGACTGACATTTCTAAGTGGTTTATGGATGATGGTATGGTATATGTTCTATATCTTGGAAATGTCAAACAATATTCCAGTCACGCACATGAACATGATGGATTTTGGTGGATGGATAATGACCTGGATCGAGTGATATATAAAGGATAATATTCTTGTTGCTGCAGTTGCTTCATTGAAATATTGCGTGCAAATATAGTTTGAAGAAGATATAGATGTATCATATATGTGTAGGGTGGATTATTATTCTGCTACGATAATGTTGTTGCAAGTCAACGGCTAATTAGAGTTGTGTGTATAGCTCATGCATGCGCAGTGCCAAGATTGATTGATATTCTGTTGCAGCCGCCCTCCCCAAATGCAAAAAGATGACCACTCCTTTTATTTTATACTTGATAATTAATCAAGGACCACTCTTTCAAAGTAAACAGATCTAGATTCTACGTACTAGTCTAATCTCTAAGTAACTAGTTGTTTTTAAGAAAAGCACCGGTACACCACCACCACTCATAACAGACGACGTAGTTTAATGCTTGAATTACCATTTTTTGCCGACCAAAATACATATTTGCCAAGGAGAATGTGATGCTGTATGTACGGTACGTTACGTATAAAATGATAATTAAATAATTTACTTCAGCACAACACAGTAACTTACACATGGATGGATGGACATGGATGGATCATGGATATGTGCATGCAAGATTATATGCAGGGGAATCGGCATGGTCTAGCCTGCCAGATCATCAGGTGCGTTTTAGCTGTCACCATGACGTGCAAATCAAACGACATTTGATGTCGTGGCATGCGATGTTTGATATATATTTCATTGATCACGTGCCTGCAGTGCAGCAGGAGCAGGACGTCTAGAATTAGTCCTCCATTATGTTATGCGTAAAATAAAATAAAATAATGAGGGAGAGAGGATGAAAGGGATTGGATTGGTAGTGGGATTCTTATATCTTGATCATAAAAAAATGTTCTTTCCTTATCCTAATTAATTTGTTGTAACTTGTAAATAAGTTCTTAATCTATAATAATATTCACAAATATCTTTAATTGCTTCCTCTCCTCTCCTCTTCTTCCTATAAATAGAGGTGGAAGCTACAATGTCTGTATATTCAAGAGCGTTTCAAGCAGCTGTGCGCAGCAGCTCAAAGTCTGAGGGCTATGTGTGTGCCCTAATGTTTCTTTCTGCACAAGTAGACATGGTGTGATATTGGTTCGGTTCATATCTTTTGTACTTCTTGGATATATCCATCCATCCATCACACTTCACGAATCACAAACAAAGATGACGAGCCGAATCAATATCACTCTTGTATGCTTGTTTGCATGTACAGTATAGCTTTGCCTATCTACCTAGCTAGCTAGCCTGCCCTTTTCAGTTTATCAAAGCAAGGCCAAGGCCAAGGGCACACCATCACCAAGGCTCAAGGCTTCGTCGTGCTCGTGGGTACCTATTCTTTCTTTCTTTTTTTCATGTCTCTATATGTGTGTATATGTTTACTATGTATATATGTGCGTGTCTGGTTTTTGTGGGAATGTGGAAATTGCAGATCTCTCAAATGGGGAATTTATGATGGTGATGATGATGATCTTCTTTGCTACCAAATTCAAATTGGGTATTTATTATTTTATTTTTATGATCATCATCTCTCCTCCATGATTTCATATCCACACATATTATATCATTTGCTTTTCAAAGTACTCATCTCATCTGCCTAAGATTTGTTAATGTGCTGGCTTTACATAATGATTGCCGTGTCGGTTTGTTTTTATTTATTTATAAAAGTAAGCGCATTATTCATTGGCTATTCATTCACAGAGCGTACACACACCTCTTCCACTCCTTTTCTGGATCTCATCAGTTTATTTCACCCTAGTCAAGAGTTGCGATGCGAACACTTGCTTCTAACCATTAACTTGCATACCAGAATAGAAACTAACATATTTTCCTTAGTTTCTTTCTTAGATCAACTTGTGCTAAATTACCTAGCTGTCCGTATTGATCAACAAATCCTTTACCTTTTGCATAAAGTTGGGCAATGGCAAGCAACCTCGTACAGAATACAAAGTTTTAGACTCTTCACCTATAAAATAGTCATAGAGTATATATCAAACTGGGTGGTTCTGATATATGATTGATGGGATTCATTTTCTATGTGCCCAGTATATAAAGTATAATTTTGACCATGTAGCAGAGAGGTCATTGGCCCGACCAGACGGACCTAAAAGTAACAGAGAAAACATGCGTTATCCAACTATAATAATTCCCCATTTAGCCGCCCTTGGCTGGGTTTGGAGTTTGCTGCTGGCAGCATGCATGTATTATTATTATTTTATTTAAACAAGCTTGTTATTTTATACCTAAGTTAAGTAGATCGGAATTCATGCGCCCTTGAATTTCTTTATTAGCAATAAAATATTTAAGGTCTCGTCTCGATCGAACCGGTGAACTGACACCCCGTCAAAATTATATATACATGTGCTTGCAGTTGCAGAAAGTCAAAATTATTCACTTTCATTTCATGCAATCACATCCTTGTGTTTTTCTTTCTTCTTCATCCCTTCCCTGTTAGAGATTTTGAATGTTTATTTCCTTATTTATAGCTGATCTTTAACAGAGATAGTAGCTGAAGAATTAAGGGCAGCTGACTGAATAGTTCATGTTCCTATTATAACAATAATCAATTCAGCTTCCCAAGCTGTTGCGTTTTTTATATATTAATCTACGTCTTACCTTGCAAGAGCAACTAGCAGTTCCGCTTGTCAGCGTTGCAAGCTTTCAGTCAAACTAGCTACTTTTCTGGTAGACGGCAAACTTCAAATGAATTATTTTCTTCTATCTCTTTTCGGCCAGGAAAGTTCCACGACATTCAGAGGAAAACAAACGGAAAAACAATGCATTACTATCTTCCACAATCTTCTGAACAAGGAAAATTAAGTCAGCTGGCCCATTTCTAGTAAAAGCCCATTGGACTAAGATGGTAGTGCAATCCAAATCTAATCAAGTGAGTTTCTCTTATTGAATTGCGCAACAACTCACTAAAAGAAGTTGAATTATGTTAGCGTCACTCACTTGTGTGTATTGACGGTCATGTCTGCTCTACGAAGAAGTCAAAGAAGGTTTTCCTTTCTAATTGTATTTTTTTTATAGTAAATACAACAAAGTGTCCCTATTTTTAAAGGGTGGGATTAATCCCTGCACAGAGTTCGGTTTGTTCTTGATTATAAAGTGCTTCTAACGGGTTTCGAACTCGTGTCATTGAGACACCAAGTAACTCGTCAACTGAAAGTGACAGTTTGTCAATCGCACCACACTTTATGATTTTTTTCTAATTGTATTTTAACCACTCATTAAAGTTCGAAGAAGTTTCATGAAGAGTATTCTTTTTCTCTTCTTACTTTTCTTTGTGGTCAAAAAATCAGAAATTAAAGAGATTATGTAGGATACTATCAAAAACATAAGACGCGCAATCCAATGGACCGCAAGTCTACCGCATTTATTTACACTAGCGACCCAAAATCCGCAACGTAGGCACCAAGGTGAAGTGGAAAATATCACGATGACGTGGCAAAATCTGTATAGCCCTCCTCCTCCTAGGCACATATGATTGACCATGTTGAGGCAGAGCACTTAAGAGTAAACGGCGTTGACTTGGTCGTCAGCTATCATGTCCAGCTCGACGTTAAGCTGCTTGGAAAACATTAAGCAGTCTAAAAGAAAAAATATTAAAAAATTAATTAACTAATTATAGAAGTCGTTCTTTCGTATTCTGGGTTCAAAGAAAGACTCCATGAAAGTGAGAGAGAATTGCATCGTAACAAAAGCTCTTGAAAGCATTGTGTTTTTCTGGTTTGGCTTTGCTTGTTATCTGGAATATCAACCAACCAAGGTATAAAAACATTTGTTGACTCATGATTTCAGGTCATCTCTCCATCTCTCTATCTTTTATTTTTCTTTTCATTTGATTGAGAACCATTGTTATTTCTGTTTGGTTGTTGAGAAAGTGAGGGAAACAGAAAAAGAAAATGGAACTTTGCATACAGGCCAGTATTGTCTCAACTACTAATTGGAGCATAACATGACTCATGAGCACATCAGTTTAGTTAAAATTCAGTAAGTATTTCAAGCTCAATCATCTTGTCTGTAATGGGATTGACCAGTTTTTGAAGCTGTCACTGCTCTCAATGTGAACGATTGAGTTCATAAGCTGTAAAAAAGATGCATGGTATACTTGGGTTGGTTGCCATGAAACAACTAAGGACGATAGAAGAAACTCAAATTTTTTTATATGAAGCCAATGAAGTATATCTTCCTGGGTTTCTTTGGCTTACTATGTTGGATTATGTAATTTATAAATAGAAATTAATGTTGAATATGAGGATCACTATCTTGTTGCTGCTATGTTCTTCGTATACTTTTTTCTATATTAAAAATAACACATTTTTGGTTCCTTTCTCCAAAGGAGAAAAAAAGAAAGAGAGAAAGAAATCTACTTTTGTAACAAACAAAAAATGGTAGTTGTATTAAAAACCAATATGATCTCAATGCTGGTTTTCAGATGCAGACTGCAGTTGCCAGCAAAGTGATGAGGGTTCTTCCCCTTTGTGGTTGAAAATTGTAATTTGGCCAGTCAGAGCTGAGGGTCTATCTTCTCTCATACAGAGATGGCGAAGGATATTGTTGTTAGTGCGTCCTTGGTTCCAGTTTCTGAATTACTCTCTGAGACATTCCTTGCCATGTCTGATACTATACATGCAGCCAAGGAAGTCCTCATTCAGAAAGAAAATTTCAAAGTATTCTCAAGGTACTTGGAGAAGACCTCTTCTATTTTGAAAGAGTTGTCAAAGCAAAACATTGAGTGTTCAGAAAGCTTAACCAATGCTCTGAAGATTCTCAACCGAGAGGTTGATGTTGCTAAGCAGCTAGCTCTAGATTGCAGCAAAAGAAATAAAGTTTATCTCTTAATCAATTGCCGGAAGATTGTTGAGTCCCTAGAGAGCTGTACAAAAGAGATTGGCAGAGCTCTTAGTCTAATCCCACTGGCATCTTTGGATGTTTCATCTGGTATAAATAGCCAGATTAGCAAGCTGTTCAAGAATATGTTGGATGGCGAATATCGAGCAACTGTGGAAGAGGAGGAGATTTTGGCAAAATTTGAGCTGGGAATACAAGAGCAGAATGCTGATCGATCCTATGCAAACAATTTGCTTGTTCATATTGCTGAGGCTCTTGGGATCTCTAATGACCAGTCTGCATGGGAAAAGGAGTTTGAGGAGTTCAAATGCGAATTAGACGATACCAATACCAGAAAAGACCTGGAAGAAAATTTGCATATGGAACGGATAATAGCATTGCTTCAGAAGGCTAATGCCACTACATCTGCTGAGGACAAAGAGAATGATTATTTTGAAAAGAGAAATTCAGTGGGTAGGCTACCATTAGAACCTTTTGACCGATTTTTTTGTCCCGTCACTCGTGAGATCATGGTGGATCCTGTGGAAATTTCCTCTCATTGCACATTTGAGAGAAGTGTGATAGAGAAGTGGTTTGCAGAAGGTAAGAATCACTGTCCTGTGACTGATATTCCCTTGGACACTTCAGTTCTACTTCCCAACAAAGCACTAAAGCGATCAATTGAAGAATGGAAAGATAGGAAGACCATCTTTATGATTACCTCTATTAAACCCAAACTCCAGTCAAATGAAGAGCAAGCAGTGCTTCAATCGTTAGACAAGCTACAGAATCTGTGCACGGAAAGAGAGTTGCACCGAGAATGGGTGACACTGGAGGACTACATTCCTGTCCTTGTTAGACTTCTTCTTTCAAAAAACCGAGAAATAAGAAAGCATGCTCTTGCCATCCTCTCAATCCTTGCAAAAGATGGTGAAGAAACTAAGGTACCTTCCAATGTCATGTTATGTTATCATTGATGCAGCTAAACAGATTAATCTGCATTCTCTGGAAAGCTTCTTACTGTAGTGCTAATACTAGTGCTTATCGTGTATGGTATTTCTACCAATGGAGATAACATGACTTCCTTATATACAATTTTAAGACACAAGGGTAATAGTTTCTTAGTGGAGCCTAGAATTGGCATTTCCGAATTCCGAATATTCATACAGTTCATTTTATTTTTAACAGGGAAGAATCATAAAAGTGGATAATGCACTGGAATCCATTGTCCACTCACTTGCACGCCATATTGGGGAAAGAAAATTAGCATTGCAGTTGTTACTGGAACTATCTAAAAGTAGGGCTGCACGAGATTTAATGGGAAATGTTCAGGGATGCATACTTCTCCTAGTAACAATGTTAAGTAATGAAGATAATGAAGTCATCAGAGATGCGAACGTGCTTCTAGAAAATCTGTCTTTCGTTGATCAGAATGTTATACATATGGCGAAAGCGAATTATTTTAAACCTCTGTTGAAACTTCTTTCTTCAGGTATGCTTGAAAGTCGGGTTCTTTGATACTTGAGCATGCACAAGATTTAGTCACCATCAAATCCTGTGCCATTATTATCTCATAATACCTTCTTGTAGATTGTGTGCAGTAACAACTTAAACTTGATGCAGGACCACAAGATGTTAAAGTGCTTATGGCTGGAACTTTGTCGGAAATTGAACTGACTGATCACAACAAACTGTCCATAGTTAAAGATGGGGCACTAGGACCGCTTCTTCAACTGCTTTCACATAGTGATTTAGAAAAGAGGAAAGTGGGTGTCAAAGCTCTTCTTCACCTCTCCAAATTACCACAAAATGGCCTGCAGATGATTAGAGAAGGCGCAGTTGGACCACTATTTGAACTTCTGTATTGTCATAGTTTATTATCACCAACCTTGCGTGAACAGGTAGCTGAGACAATTATGCACCTTGCCATATCGACCACCACTGAAGAAGCTGCTCGGGAGCAGGTCTCTTTGTTAGACTCCGAAGAAGAAATTTTTAAGCTCTTTTCCCTAATATCTTTAACAGGACCTGACATACAAAGAAGCATTCTCAAAACCTTCCATGCAATGTGCCAATCTTCTTCTGGCTCAGACATCAGACGAAAGTTGAGACAGGTAACCATCCTAACAATATTGGTGGTACAAGAATGTTCATGATATTGCACGTTTTTGTTGGACGGTAGTTTCATGTGATTCTGTATATATAACTGCCACTGTGATGTTTAAAGTAGTTTCACGTCTTTGTTAGTCTTAAAGTTTATGTTCTTTTGGCGTGTGATTCTGTTCTGTATATACTAACAGCCACTTTGATGTTTCATGTGATTCACAGCTCTCTGCTGTCCAAGTATTAGTTCAGTTATGTGAGGCTGATAACCCTGCTGTTAGGGCAAACGCCATGAAGTTGTTCTTTTGCTTGACAGAAGATGGCGGTGATGACACCACATTTTTGGAGCATGTAAGTCAAAGGTGCATTGAGGCGCTGCTAAGGATTATAACAAGTTCCACTGATGTGGGGGAAATAGCTGCTGCAATGGGTATTATTGCTAATCTTCCCAAGGACCCGGATATGACCGGGTGTCTTCTGGATGCTGAGGCACTTCAAATCATCTGCAGTTGTCTAAGTGATGGTAATAGAGATGCGTCGTATCGAAGGCGGGTAATAGAGAATGCTGTTGGAGCTCTATGCCGTTTCACAGTTCCAACAAATCAGGAATGGCAGAGAAAAGTAGCTGAAGCTGGTATTATCCCAGTGCTGGTACAGCTACTGGCTTCTGGAACTGCTTTGACAAAACAAAATGCTGCTATTTCACTTAAACAGCTATCACAAAGTTCCAAAAGCTTGAGCAAGCCAATAAAGAAGCCTGGGTTTTGCCTGTGCTGCTTGTCTGCACCTGAATCTGGCTGCCCTGCACACCTAGGCATTTGCACAGTTGAATCTTCATTCTGCATAGTAAAGGCCAATGCTCTGGAGCCCCTTGTGAGATTGCTTGGGGAGGCAGATGTTGGAGCCTGCGAAGCTTCTCTTGATGCACTTTTGACACTCATTGATGACCAAGAACAAGGGCAAGGAGGCAAGGTGCTTGATGAAGCAAAGGCCGTCGGTCCGATTGTAAAGTTGCTTAGTTCACAATCTGCTAGGTTGCAAGGAAAATCTCTCATGGCTTTAGAAAGGATTTTTCAAGTAAATGAGTTGTTTCTTAAATATGGAGCTTCAGCCCACATGGCATTGGTGGACATTACTCAGAAGAAAAATAGTGACATGAAATCTCTGGCTGCCAAGCTACTTGCTCAGTTGGGTGTGCTTGGTACACAGTCTTCTTATTTTTGATTGATGATGTTATACAACATGTTAAACTTGTTACTCGCTGTAATGTAAATCTCATTCTTGATTGATCCCTAAAGTGTGTTATTAAATTTATGGTCCCATAATGTAATTTAGTTACTCTGAATATTATGTCGTATATTCCAACTAAACTAAGATTCAGCACTCAACTATGGGAAGAAGAGATGAATTCCTTTGCGAACGCTAAACACATAAATAAACTATTGAAATCAGAATGGCAAAGTTATACAATAACCAAAAATCTCTAATAAACGGTGATTAGAAAAGAATCCCTATTTACAGATTACCGAAAAGAAAATAATGCTACTTCTAAAAGAACTAAAATATGAAGTTTCTTTTTTGGGTCAGAAAACAGGGCAGCCATCAACTACAACCCCCTTGGCAGTAGGGCAAGCAGCCAACGGGCAGCCCTCTCCCCTGTTCCCCCACCAGTCAAGACCAATGTTACGGGACTGCAGGGTAAGGAACATCAATATTGTAACAAAAGCAGTTCCAGCATCAAGACCACCAGAAAGGACATAATTATAGCGCGACCACACATCTGGCCGGTACCTGTAGACAACAAAACCAAAAAGAAACCCAACAAGGATCCAACTGGTAAAGTTTACGGCACTGGCTGGGGGCATCATGGATGTGGCACCCAACAAGATAGGCATGTTGATGAAACGAATCCAGTTATGTTTTGGGAAAGCCCAATGTGCAAGCTTAACAAGCGCAGGGGCAATGGCTCCACCAAGGAAGAACCAATTGACATTCATATATTCACCAAGATTTCCAAAGATTCTGCGGGGGCCAACTAGGCCCCAAATAACAGAAGCATCGAAGAACACACGGTCCATTGGACAAGTCCATGGGCTGTCCTGTGGCAGCTTGGATGTATCACAAAGGTTGGGAATGTCTCCCATCAGCCACCAGGCCGTTCCCAGATATACAATCACAGCTACAATTGTTCCTACCACCTGTAATTCCACCAGTTTAGCTATTGAAGATTGCAATCCAACACCATGCAATGCAGATTTGATAAATTCAGAAAATCAAACTGACCTGAGCTGTGAACATTGCTCTTGGCGGAATCTTCATGTAGTGTCCAAGCTTAAAATCAGCTAGAAATGTTAGAGCTTGAGTCATACTGATGTAACCATACACTTTGAAGCACATGTTAGCTACAGGGTGCTCTGGGTATAAGTACCCAATCACATATTCCGTGATGATGTTCAAACCTGGTTGCTGATACCATAAAAATGAGAGGGCAAAGTTTCAGACACCTAACATCATCACATGAATTTGAACGTTGTAAACTTACAGTTAGCAACATTAGCAAACAAATGAAACTTATAACTCTGTTACCTGGTTTGTTGTGGCTGTGATGATACCAATTGGAACTGTGTACACAATGGCAATGGCACAAGCAAGCAATACACCCCACCAAGGCAATTGAAGTGACTCGCTGTAATACTGACACGCAAAGAAGATAAGAGCAATGTTTACCACAAGGATGGCAAGAAACCACCATGTCGGCACTGATTTGTAATGCTTCATAAGCCTTGCATGGATATCCAAATTTTTTCGTCGTCGATATGCATTTCTAAGGTCACTGCATTGAACATAAGATGATGAACTTCAGCTTAAATTCACAAAGACCTTTGCAATGGTTTCCTTTAGTAAAGAGACAAGAAGTATACTTTATTGCTAGAAATGCAACTTACTTTTGTGAATTTAGTTAAAATTACGTATATATTTTGTAATTGCTTCACAAGCAGAGTGAACAGTACATCAAATACTTCAAGTGTAATTACCTTATATTAAAAAGTAGAACATGCATAAGAGTAGCAGGAAGTGTGGCGAATCCAAGACCATAAGTCATAGCGAAGAAGGTGCTCAAGTTTACAGGTCCAGTCTTTGTATACATACCATGGTCAAGTTGAAACTTTGAATCAATGATGCTCAGAACATCGTACTTTGTACCATTAGACATGAAAAGGTCACTAGAAAATATTGGGAACTTCTTGGCATTGTAGAAATCAAGCCAGTAAGTGATGGGCGTCATCACATACATGACTAGGGCAAATCCAAAGGCAATATTGGCAGTGGCAAACCATGGGCTAGCTAGTGGACTACCAAGATATGATGAAATTGTTGACCAGTCAATCCCAAAGGAACCAATACCAAGGCCTCGTAAGCCAGAACCCAGTTGTTGGACTAGAACAGACTTAGGAGCAAGCCAACAGACCCAAGAGAAGGATGTTATCATAACAAAAAGATAGCCAGGAAAGATATAGTAAGCAAAACTGCAGATCATGACTACGAGGAAGAATTGGGTACGGGACATGCCACCTTTAGGCCTTTTCTCCTTTTCATGCAGAGCTCTGCAGCATAAGACATACTACTGTGAGTAATAATAAATAGGCTACGAAACCAATTATTGGCTGATTACTGAACTAAGATAAGTTTACCTGAACAATGAAACCTGAACCAGATTAGAGGGCCACCACATCTGTACTGGGTCAACCAAAATTCTCCGGAAAATTCCAGCCCAACCAAACCCTAAAACCTATAATTTAAACAAGATGAATAGAAACTACAAGATCAGACGTCACTCATAACAATCTGATGCACAATGAATATATGAAATAATTTCAGAATGAAACAAAAAGTTAATTGTGCTGTTATTGTCCTAAAATTCAGCAAATTTGAGCCATTTTAATAGTCTTATAATTGATGATTATAATATGAACATATTTTCCCCGAAGATAAAAAGTAAAATACAAACTCCCTTTAGAGTAATAACATGTAACAAAAATCATAGCAGTCATAGGTACAGTTTTAAAAATTCCAATTATCCATGAATCCAGTACTTTCCTAAATGCTTCCGGAACAAATTTTCACAAAGAGTTGTTAAAAGAGAACGATGGCAAGAAGGAAGTTGTCAACACAGGATTCTAATTTCAAGGACTTATCAACCATTTAACACTTAAATTAAAGGTCCTGGACACAATATGGAGTTGGTAAGTTTAAAAATTGATCCTTTTTTAACTTTCAAATGTTAAAAAAAACTCTGGATAGTACAGTGTATTCCAAGAAAGCAATGTGCCTTCAGTTTTTTTGTTCTGATAAATCTATAATCGAAATTACCAGAAAGGTTAAATTTTTCCACAAGGAAAGATGAAATCATTTGAAATCCAAAGAAGAAGGAGAAGAAGAAAACCTGAGTGGTAAACAAAACGAGCAAGGCAGGAATAAAAGTGAGCTTCCTCTTGTAAAAGAGCTTAACAGCAGACAAGATATGGGTTGCATAAACACTCCCAGCACCAGAGTTTGCAAATATGGTGATCAAAACATGTTCTTTGATATTGAAAGGACCTGGGTTCATAGTGAACTCAAACCGAGTACCCTTGAAAATAAGGCGTGTGGGCAGAGTCCTTGCCATGAGATGCCCAATCGGCAACACAGCAATCTGGGCAGAAATTGAAGTGATGGACAATGGCTGCGTCCTGTACCAAAAGAACTGGTTGACAAAGGAAAGCAAGATGCATGAAGCCAAACCCAGAACCCACATTCTGAATGTGAGGACTGGCATGTTGGGGTCATCGGTTTTGGGCACGGTTAACTCGACTTGTTTAATGGGGCAGTCATCGTTTTCCTCCTCAGAGGCACCCATCGTTCCACTGTGTATCTCAGCCATTAAAGCAACCACCTTCCTTCCTTAAGATCCTGAGTGAAAGCAGACTAGAAAACCAAATAAAAACAACCAATGTATTATCAAATACGTATTCAATACGATACAGTATCCTCAGCTCTCTGCTGTGTGAATAAAACACACAACGCAGAGAGAAGGAGGGAGAGAGAGAGAGAGAGAAAGAAAGAAGCAATGGGGCAAGACTAGGGTTGGATTTGGAGTATAATAATAATAATAGTAGTATGTATGTAAAGGAAAAGGCGTTGTATTTGTATGATATAATAAACGAAAGAGGGAGGGTTTGTTTAGAACTTTGAAATTTGAAGAATTATAATCCTAATATGATATGGTATTATAGTAGGATAGATTAGATAGGAAGATATGATATACATGGCATTTATTTGTTTAATGTCAAGGAGAGGTTGAGTAGCTGTAGGAGTCGGAGTGGTAAACCTAGAAAGATTCCAATGCATGTGAGAATCGGGAGATTAAAGGGAAAGTGTCTCAAGGGGCCACAACCCAACTAAGAAGTTGAAATCTTTGAATTTCATTTGGAGTATGGGAGCTGTAAGCGTAACTAGCACCCCACAACCCAACTACGGAGTTGAAATCTTAAACGAGTGCATGATAACCATTCGACGTATTATTTACAACGTGAAAGTCCTTATTATCATTATTATTATCATTATCACTATCGTTATCCCTATCCCTATCCCTGTCGTGTTATTACTGTGTATTTAATAATTAAAATTATTGATTCAAAGTTTAGTGAACGGGTAGGGATTAGACAACGACTTTGTCGATAATCTCAATCTCTTTTTAACCAGACTGATGCTCACTTCGCTGACTTTGACCGGCTTCACGTTTCCTTTTTCCTAACTAAAAAAAATTACACTTGGTGCGGATGAAATTGGACACTCATCCGTCCCCTTCAATCATTATCATTGGGTATTTGAGTTGAATCGTATCCAAATTCTCGCTCTTTCTTTATTTTTATTTTTATTTTTATTTTTATTTTTATTTTTATTTTTATTTTTATTTTCCGTTTCAAATAATACTTTTTGGTGTTGGTCCTGCGATTGTGTTAGAATCCTCTTCCCTCAATATCGCTTATATATCAACATAATGATTTCATATTTTTCAGTCATTGCAACGCACTTCATCTTCTTCCTTCAGCCAAAAGAAAGAAAATGTAACTTGAGCATTAATATTCCAGCATAATCATCATCATTACCCCGTTGTTAAGTTAACCAATGGATTACATTACATTCTCAGATGGGCGTCTACGATCAAATCCTATTATTGTTAGTTAATTTAGGTTTATACTCTTATCGGCTCGGCTGCTATGAAGACATAATCCTCATGAAATGTAATTTGATTTTACATAATAATATAAACCTCTGCTCCCAACCCCTCACGGCTCCTGTTGATTTCGAGGAGATCACCATCTTAATTAATTGTTCAATTGCGAAGCCGAAGCCTACCATCTTAATGAATGTGTATATGTAATGTGTGGGTGTGAACACATACAGCTTTTGGGGCAAAATTCATCGTCTTAGACTAGACTGAAATAGTAATTTGCGAAAAGATTAATGAAGACACCCGTTACAACAACCCACCCAAACTTGTATGGTATCCGTACCGTGGAAAATGATCACGACTTTCATCCTGTTTTTTGCTTTTAGGAGGCGTCCACAAGTTGTAAAATATCACTGACAAACAGGAAAAGGCAACCTTTATGATTCACGTGAAGCACCAAAAGCAGGACAATATTTATGACCTCTCACTTAACTTGAGAGAATAAGAGATTAGATCCATCTACAAACCAACTCAACCCAACCCAACCAACCCCAGTCAAAACTCAAAAGCCAGAATTTTTCACAGGGTAAGAATTCCTTCATTATAATAATGATGTTTTAGAGATAGTCATGGCTGGCAGGCTTTTTGCTGTGTCTAGTTTCTACCCACTACTATCATAAAAACTCTGTTCTGTATCACTTCCAAAAGGAGAAAAGAAGCAAAGGAAATGAAACATCTATATGATAAAAAAGCTAAAACAAATTCAATTTCAGATTTTAATACCTCTGAGAAAAATGAGCAACTGACACAGAAGAAGCCAGTTATTTTCGATATATATGACGCCTACAGCAGTTACCACACTTCATCACTAAATAAATGTCAAATACTAGACCCTCATCCCAGAGCATATGCATATGCAAATGCAAAGAGACTGCTCAACTTTAAATAAGTTTTTACATTTTCTAACAAAACGCATATGGTGAGATAGTCTTTAAGTAATCATACTGATATCCCAAAGTAAACAAATGAAAATATAGTCTGCAGTTGTCTAAACAGAAGCACTCTAGTAATCGCCCCCAATTATCAGGAATCACCCAATTGAGTTGGTCCTAACTATGCGCCTTTAATTCTCGAGACTGCAAGTTTGTTGTATCGCCCCTCATTATCACAACCTCCCAATTCAAGCAAGTCCTACAGAGAAGATTCGTTCCACGATTTAGCGTGATTTTTTAGATTTTTACTCAGCACCTAACGGCGATGAATAATAAAGGGTCGTACGGATCGAGAATTGTGTTGATCACCTGAAAACCGCATAATTCAACGCTTCCCTCGGTGCCCACCACCTGACCTCGCACCAGGATACCGAGCAAATTGCAACCTTAAATTGACCGAGTCACGGTCATGCTCATCGAATTTATAACCTGCAAAATCGAGCTCGACCATTTACGCACTAACAACTGGGAACGTTTTCAACGGCGAATCAGGGCATCAGCAGATAGATGATATAAGACGTGAAACCGTTATCTTAGACATATAATACCTATCACTTTGCAACACACTTAGCAGCAAATGTGGGTACCCCTCACATGCACTAGATTGACAGAATGCGTAAAATGGATCTCTCATTCCAAAATAAAGCTCACACGATTCCTCTCTTAGCATAAAGATACAGTACGATTAGAGAAACCTCATCAGAATGAGATGACTATATTGAGAGCACCGTTGTTAACAACACCATTCTTATGACTGAATTACAAGTGTGGTCAAACAATTGATTATAAGGATTCTCTGACCAGTCCCGGTGTCCTAATTCACTAAATGAGCTTAAACTCATCAGGTCCCAATGAAACCAACCAGATTTAAGGCATTCATCAGAGATTCACAATCTAGGAGGATTAAAATGACCCAGGAAGGAAACCCCTTCCACTGTTTGGAAAAATTTACTAAGTTTGACTCGTGGTGCACTGGTACTGGATGACTTTGCAGACCATGCAACTTCTGGCCTAAAGTAACGTGTCGTGTGAAACCAAGATGTAATAAATACTAAACAAACTGACAGATGCCCATGAAACAACACCCAGAATAAATCTGCAGAATAATACATATGGTCATCGGCAATCTATGTTCACCTCCTTTAAAGCCAATATGGTTTAAAAGATCGTGTCATTCTTCAAAAAAAAGAAATCCCGCACCTTGAATAGTGTGTTATGTCACTTTAAATGGGAAATAAATTCCACAAAACTAAGGATTTAGAAACCTTTCTGTAATTGTTGAAACTTTCAGGCATCTTTGGAAGTGAAAAGGGTTTAAAGTCAGAAACACTTTGTACAGATTTTCTATGTGAACTGTGTTAAATATTGATAGCAAAGTAAACTTTCCTCTCCATGCAGTATACCATACATTGTTAAATTTGGAAAAACTAATAGCCTTTCCTTTTTAATTTTGGTTAATTTCATAAGACAGCCAAAAAGCAGTTTGTGAATCATTTGGCAGTCCCTCTTCTCGCAAAGTGAAATAATTTTAGGAAATGCAACTCCTCCAACAATGGCATCAGAAAAGGCAACAAAATAAGCAATTAATTGAATAGGCCAGTGAAACTATGGGGCTAGGATTGCAACAAAGTAAATGAAGTTATAAATAGCTTACCTTGCAACGCATCCATAGCTGTGGCTGCATGGGCTGGGCTCACAAAATCAACGAAACAAAGTACCAGAGGATCCCCTCCAGGCTGCAGAGATTACTTATTAGTGAATGCATCAATCACTAAATATTGAATCTACCCTGGGGAAAGATGAACTTACATGTCTCGATTCCTTGCTTACGAGTCTCACTTCCTTGTAGCCAACAAAAGGGCGAAATATATCTTCAAACTCAAGTGAAGGGAAAATCTAAAAAGCTAAAAATGCAAGTGATGACAAAAATTAAGGAAAGAAAACTGCAAACCCCCTAGAAAAATTAAGGATACGAGCTACTTCACGTCGTGTACAGTTGGGAGGCAATCCCTCCACAAATAGCGTACTGGTAGCACCAGGAGGTAGGGGAGCCTCAGGCCGTCCACTTCCCATTCCTAAAACCCTGTCTTTTACAGGTGCCCCTGGTTCAACACCCCCCATTCCCATCATCCGTGGATCATCAACAGAACGACCAGGTAGTCCCCCACTCAAGGTTCTAGCAGACTGTCCCCCACTATATGATGGCATTTGCTGAAACATTACTTGATACATTAGCCCCCTAAACATAAAACGTATGGTGAAAAATGTGAGAGTTCCAAATACAAAAAAGAAAAGTAAGTACCGCACTGTGCAGGTAGCGATCATATGAGGCATTAATGGAGTCAGTATCTCTAATTCCGCGGAGAGAACCTCTATCATCTTCATGGGAATAATAACTCGGCAGGTCGTGGCCACCATGGGCATCTAAAATATTACGGATGTACTTCAGTAGATACCAAAAGAGAAAGAAAGAAACAATATTTGAATGCATATGATTCTAAAGGCAGACCGTGCCGTTGTGAAGAAAATTAAATTGCTACAGCATAAAGCTACAAACAAGACAATATTAAGTTAAACTGCAGACAGCCTATCAAACCAAATTTCTATAATCACTAGAAGCTACTGAATTGCTCATAAGCAGGTAATCAAGTTGTTAAGATCCCTAGGTTTATACCCAAATATTTGCATATGCTAACACAACCATTTGGATTTTCCTTCTGCATATGCCTAATACATGCCAAATATCTCATAGAAGCTGAGTAGTTTATATGGTAACTATAGCGAGCCAGCTTAATAGCATATCTTCAAATAAATAATATAATCTGTACACTGATCAATGCTTGCAGGAAGGCATAAAAGGTCGATCCTTGAATGAAACAAAGTATTTCTTAATGATTACCCGAACTTCAATATAGGCACAGCAGCTACCAATAATGCAAATTTATCATATAATCTAAGTGCATCTTAGAAATAACCATGGAAGCACCAATCATACATATCATGAAGCCTAGATAATGTCTTAATAAGCTGATTCACATGTACATCAACACTGATTAACCCACACACAGCATACATCAAAAGAAACACATTTCACCCCCACTTCAAAACTTCATTAGGTTGCTGAGACACTGAATGGGAAATTTAAGGAAACAAGTGATCCTCAAATTTCAATCCTTCAGCCCACTGAAAACCTAATTCCACTACTTGGAAGTCTGCTGAAATCTCCCTTTATTGTTAAAAAAATACATACATTCTTAGTGCAGTTTTTGCCTTTAAAAGCAACCAAAAAAATCCCAAGAACCCTAATTTAATCAAGCACTAAACAAACACAAAAAGGAGATAGAACTCAAAATCATGGAAATTCGAGGAATTTGATATACCGTAATCGGAGCGAGGGCGCTTTCCGACGACTGAATTCATCGCCGACGGTGGTGGTTGCCGAGCGTCGCTGTACCTCCAATAAGCATCCGCCATAGTTTAGGGTTGAGGGAGAGACTCTGTGGGTGAACGGTGGTTATTATCTGCTGCTTGGCTTGTATCTCTTTGAGATAACAAATGAAGAGGAAGGGGAAAGAATCTGGTATTTTTATTTTTTCAGTAGAGTAGGAGAAATAGAGTGAGAGATGAGATGAATTCGTGAGATGTCGAATGTTGAAGTTAAGTGGCGAAGTTGCAAAGAGCGGGCAAATACCCCAAATCCCTAATGCCTTCGCGGTTACTTCTAATTTTTCCTTCTTTCCTTTTTCTTCTCTCTCCTGTTGTAGTATGTATACTAGTCCATTGGCACATGCTCACACATGCGCCAATTGGTTTTCTTTTTTTCTTTTTATTTTATTTTTAAAATTAAGAAAAAATAACATGGGTAGTTATATTCCATACAAGTATGACCTATTGTATGATTTTGTTTTAATTTTAATTTTTTTAATATTAAAAAATGTGAATTTATCATATTATCATCATTTAATTAATAATTTCAATTCTTAATGTTTGCATTAACTAAGGGTATTTTGAATGTTTCACCTATTCCACTTGTATTTTGTTGATGATTTTGTGAGACGTTTAATTACGCAATAAATTTTTACTTAATTAATTTAAGATGAGTATAGTCCATAATTACGAGATAGAAATAGAGTGACAAACCCTTTTTTTCTTTCCTTTATGTGATTTGTATGATTTTGTTGATGATGTTGATGGATTTGTGAGGGTTAAAATGAGTAATGTTGAAATTGTGTCCAATATAGGTCCCTACAATTTCTATTTCCTAGATATATACCCATCATTCTATAAATCTATGTGTAAAACCCAATTTCAAACTAAAATGACCAGTATGATATAAGAGGTTCTAGTATTTCTATGTTTTTACATCCTTACCATCATACTTCATATTTTATTTATAATTTATTCCAAGCATTTCATTAACTGCCATAATTGTAATTAAAACTCCCTATTAATAGCATATCAATCACCCCATTTCTTTTGGTTGCCATTCCCTCTAACATATGACCCCTTAAAATTGCAAATAAAAGAAATATGTAAATTACATATCCAATAATGTACATATGAAAAATATAAATATAAATATATACATATAAAAATATAGGTATATTATTTACCAAAAAAAATTAACAAAAATATGTCAATTACTTTGTAATTGAAATTTCAGTACATTTTTCATAAATTAAAAATAGGTACGTAATAATTTATAGAAAATAGGTATGTTGTATAATTGAAATTTATGTACATTTTTTATAAACTAAAAATAGGTACATTACTTAGAAGAAAAAAAAAGAAGTTCATTATACTAGGTAAATTGTTTTACTAGGTACACATTATTAGAAAAAAAAAAAAAAAAAAAAAAAATTATTTAGAGAAAAAAAAATAGGTTCATTATACCAGGTAAATTGTTTAGGGGAAAAAATAGGTACATTATTTTGAGAGAAAAAATAGGTACATTATTTAGAAAAAAAAAAGAAGAAAAAAGGTACATCATGAGAGAAAAAAAAATAGGTACATTATTTTGAGATAAAAAATAGGCTCATTTTAAAAAAATTGTTTTCATAAAACAAACAATAAAAAGATTATCAAATTATTTTTTATAAAACAAGTAATAAAGAAAAAATATGTTACAATATTTGGAGAAAAAATAGGTTCATTAAAAAAGATGTTTTAAAAACAAAACAATAAATAGATTATCAAATTATTTTTCAACATAATTAGAATGTACACTATTATTCATAAAAATATAATAAAAAAGAATACTGGTCATATAATTCATAAATAAATAAAAACAACATTAATTCCTAAATTTAATATTGAATTTAAATTATTAATACTTTAAATAGATTACTAGTCGTAATTCATAGAAGGAAAACACCATTAATTCAAAAATAGATTACTAGTCGTAAAATAGATTACTAATACTTTAATGTGGAATTTAATATTTAATTTCAAATAAGTTTCTAAATTAGTTCCCACATCCATTACAACTATTTGGAGATATCTCCAAATTCAACTGGTGTCATTAGTTACACCCCTCCATAACACATTAACTTATAAATAGGGGTAGTTTTGGAATTCAAAAAATACAATAAATCAGATTTTAAGTTATATTAGGTAACTTGCTTAGTTGAATCCTAGTCATAGGGTATTATTTGAAAAAATTGGATATTTTACATAGACAACTAAAGGAAAGAGTTGTAGGTGATTTGAAATGGATTTTATGGGTCTAAGCTCAATTTACTATAAATTTTAATGGAAACTTCACTTAGTTTAGCTCTTCATTTCAAGGAGGGAGCCTTTCCTTTTTTGTGCTACAATTGCAAGAAGGGTTGCATAACTCCGTGGTTTATAATAGAAATTGTGAAAAAACAAAAAATTGGTTAAATTACTAGAAATTGTGAATTGGATGTGGTCATCCATTATTAAGAGTGTTTGTCTCGCATTGAAAAATGAAGGAATCTAACCTAGGTTTATAAGCAGTTGGACTACTCCCCTGTAACCAATTGATTTTGGGTAGAACTTCCTTCTTCCATGCTATAGATAGAAATGCAACAATTTGTTCTATTTACGGAATTTTTTTTTCAGAGTTATATTTTCGGAATTGTATGATGCAAAAATAGTAGAAAACTTTCCCTTTTTTCACTTTTATTTCGGTTTAATTTATGCCATTAAATACTGTCTTATGACCTTGTTTCGTTATGGCTTCCTGTAAAAATTATTAATTAATAGCAAAATCCTAGATTATGAAAAGCTGCTAATCCCAATTGAAGGACCCATGAAGGCTGGCTGATTGGTAAACTTCTTTGCTTTCCCCGGTTTCTGATTGATATTTTGCTTCCCCTGACTTAATACAAGGCACAAAGGAACCTCCTTTGAAGGTTGAAACTTTCAAGTGTGCTGCTGCTGCTGTTATGCCAATTCTTAATTAACGAAGAGTTGCAGGGCTTTAAATGCCACAAATATTAAAACTTGAAACATTTCCTGCTGCTATGTCTTCTTCTAGTGTGCAAAGCAAAGTCTTTGATCCTGCAGCCCTCCTCCTGTACACCGGTAAGCTCGCGCGTGTGAAGTCTCTATCTTGGCGCGCGTGAGTTGGCTTTTGCCTCTTTGTGACTCAACAAGTCATCAAAATCAAAAATATTGCACAAAATTCTCCCCTCACTCTATTAATTGTTAGAGTTTGCACGCAAACCATTCGCCGTGAAACCTCAAGGCTCAGAGTAAAGTCACACTGCTGAAGAAAAAGGTCAGTGTTTTTGGCAACCGAAAAGAAAAAACCTCCGAAATTTACATTTTATTTTTGTTATTTCTCTATCAATTTCATGAATTTGATTGCAGGGCTTGACTGTTAGTAATCAACAAGATTTATTGCTTCAATTCTTCAAGTATAAATTAAAATAATTTATCCACTCTTTATCAGACCCTCATCTCTTCCCATTATAATATGCAATTAATTAATGGGTTCTATTCTCTCCCATGGATTTCACTTCAAAGACTCCAACTTTTCCTTTCCTAATCATTTTTTTTAACATTTGGTTGTTAATATTCATCTTGTAAATGTTCTTGTTGCTTACCCTTAACTGCAATCCTGTCTCTTTCACTCCACACCCATTTTTAATATTTTACTTTTGGAATCTTTGTTCGAACTCGTAATCTGTCTGGGTCTAATCGTGCACGCTAACTCGGTTGGTGCCCCTTATCCTTTGTTGCAGGCTTCTGGGTGACTTTTGATCTTGTCCTAGGTAAATAAATTTATGATCTTTCCCTTTATCTTTTGTTCCTGTTTTGATTTTACAGAATTTGCTGTTACCTGGGTTTCCACCCCTTAGACTTCTCTGTCTCCGTGTGTAATTGTCTCTGTTTCTTTTGCTTCCTTTTCTCTTTCTTTTTTTTTTTCTTTTTTTTTTTCTGGTTGGCGAGCAGTGAGGTGTTTAGAGCTGAATTTGTTAATTAATGGCGGATTTGGTAGGGCCTAGATTGTACAGCTGTTGTAATTGCCGAAACCATGTTTCACTTCATGATGATATAATTTCTAAGGCTTTTCAGGTGAGGCATCCAGAATATTGTTCGACTTCTGCTTCTTTATCTTTATTTTTGAGAAATAAGAATTTTGTTTATATTTCTTTCGAGTTTTTATTATTTCTTCCCAAGTGATAATTGACTGTTGTAGAGCTTTAAACTGATGGGGGTTAGGAATCAAGTGGTTTACAGAAAGAGGGTAAATTTTGTTAGAGAAAGATCATCATCTATATTCCATAGCAGAATTGCAATTGGGGCGCCAACTCCATCTTTGTAGGTTCTCTGCTTTTTGTTCTTTGTTTTACTATTTGGCTAATCATTAGGGTTCTTTGCTGTGATCAATATAAGAACAGAGAATGTACCAAATCAACATGAGAGGGTAACTTTACTTTAGCTTTACATGAATTCATATTGGTCAAAGAGAAAATGAAGGTGGAATTAGATTGAATAAAAAACCTAGTTTGCTCTTTGTGCTTGATCTTGTAACTCCAGTGTTTTGCGTCTGTGTTAGAAAACAAACAAAGAAAAACATCTGACCGTATGGTTTCATCTCATATTTTGGCTGTGATAATAGGATCTGGGCATATATTCTCTTGTCAAACATTTGTTTTCCAACATTTTGTTATAGGGAAGACATGGCCGAGCTTTTCTGTTCTCCCACGCGATGAATGTTGTTGTTGGGGCAAAAGAAGACAGACATCTGTTGACTGGACTGCATACTGTTGCTGACATCCATTGCAGTGATTGCCGTGAGGTGTTGGGGTGGAAATATGAACGAGCTTATGAGGCATCACAGAAGTACAAGGAAGGGAAGTTCATATTTGAGAAGTCAAAAATTGTGAAGGAGGATTGGTAGCAGCAAAGCAATAGCAAAGGGTCCTGCCATTCATTCCTATTGATGTAGTTAAGTGTACCGAAGGCATCCATTCCTATTGAATGTGGTATTGTTGTTTGTACAGAAACTTGACATTTTCCTTGAAAGTTTGTAATTGTCTCTTGCCATGTGCTTTGAATGAACCCATTGTAGATGGAAACCATCATCAAATTTATGTGTTAATAAATACAGTTGTGTGAAGATATCACATGCGTAACTTAAGCTCCTTTTAGTTTTGGTTTGGGTGGAAAAGGGACTGATTTCCTTATCAGTTCCAGAGAAGGTGAAGAAATATTTATGCTAGATGAAAGTTTCTGTTGCTACTGTGGTTTGAATGGGGGAATTGGTGAGAATGTTTGAAGGATCAGTAACTTCCACCATGACTTTCTTCTCCGTATACTCAACAACCCCCCTCACAAACCCAGAGCTTACTTAGCTAAGGTTTTCCGATTTCTCAAGTTTCGCGCTTCGCTCTTGCAGCACTTTTTGCACTTTTCATGTGGGCCACAGCACCAGACAGCCCATTGCTTCAAATATGAGAGTCCCCCAATTTTATCGGTATGGGCTTTTTCCTTTTTAAGTCCATACCGTATGGACTTGATGAAGGAGCTGCCCCACAACACATCCGGACCAACTTTTCAAGCCTGCTATGCCTAATGCTTTATATTCAACAAACTAGGGTGAGCACAGTTCGATTTAGATTGGTTGTGACGAAAATTCTCCGTACTAGGCGAACCAAACCACGTCGATGAGCTACGGTTTGGTTTGTGGTTTTGCTGAGTCACGAAGAGAAGAGCGGGGGGAAAGTAGATCCACAATAGATTCCGACCGGTGAGATAAATCCACGCTAGAGGTGTTGTTGATTTACCCAATCATATCTTTAATATGATTTTTCAGTCTAATGGTACCTGAATTTTGACCCAATTCGCATTTTTGTCCCTCAATTTCCAAAGTCATTCTTCAACTTTATTTTCCTTAGGACAAATTGTTTTACCGTCAATTTTATTACATTTTCCGTTAAATGCATGGGCAAAATGATTTTTTTTTAATTTTACATTTTCGTCATCTGAATATTCATTTCCCTCAACAACCAAAAAAAAACCTTCTTCCTATCCTTGCCATAGTATCCACAAGACCTCTCCAACCCAACCCCACCGAAATTTGCCCATGTACCCATGAGTGAAGCAATTTTTTATTTTGACCCTCAAGAGTACACCATATGCCATGCTCAAATTTAACATTAAAAAAAAATTAACAAAAATAACGGTATGACCATTTGTCCTAATGAAACTAAAGTTGAAGGACCATGAGAACGATTTTAGAAATTGAGAGATCAAAATGCGAATTAGATCAAAATTTAAGGACCATTAAACTTAAAAATCCAAACAACTATATCAATTTGGGTTGAGCAGGCTTGTAAGATGGTGAACAGTTTGACCTAGTCCTACAGTGCACTTCACTACTCCCTCTCTCACGGAATCAAATACAACCAAAATCGAAAAATTAAAACAATTAACTATGATTTTGCGTCACAACATAGTGACCAAAGTTGTGTTTTTACCCTAATATTATATGTATATATATACACACATTATAATGCATTGACTAGTTAGTTAGCTACTCTGCGTTTTCTATTTGTTTGCTACACTAGTACTGTTATCCCCTTGAACCTAATCAATCCTCATCACCGACACTGTGTTGTTGGAAACCTGTGACTAATTCTTAACTCGAATAATTGACATAGTTCAAAAAGAAAAAGAAACAGCCTATGGGTTGGCATTTGTTTTTCGGTTGTCAAGGGAGGAGAAACTCACACACGTGTCATGGATATTATGTGAATTTGAATCCATGACTTTTTGAGAGCATATTTAAGGTCTGAACCAATCCAACTAATACCCCATTAGTATAAGTTGGCAAATTTCACTGAGCAAAATGAACAAAAAAATTTGAAAATTAAAAGGAAGCAAGATTGGTGGAGTAGATTGTAGGGATCCCTAATAAGGGTTTGGCAAGAAAGGGATGTTCATGGTGGGTAGTGCACCTCCACCTACAATATTACAGTAACAAGCTAATCTAGCCCTAGTGCTCAACACCATAGCATAGAGCAAGAAAAGACAATGATATAATCTTAGAAGCTCTATCTATTCCTATATGAATCTAATACATACAATATATTAAGGTCTACATCTGGAAGATTTTGTAGAGTGGAGGAGATAATTCCCTAGCATGGTTACCGAGGGGAATGTTTGTGGATCCCACCTCCTTAAGCCAAACCAAGTCAAGAGTAGGGACTAGGATAGGGAGAGAGAGTGAGCTCCTTTGTCTTTTAATATAACAATAATGAATATAATGATATGACAAAATAAGAGAGAGTTTGTCTATCAAATTTCAAGAAAATATAGACAACAATGCTATCACCGGACTTGACCTTCAATTCAAACGGATAGGAATAATTTTTATTTTAAATAGGGTTTTAACGAAATTTTGAATTAATCTTTTAACTTAATTGGGTGTGTGTGTATATGATGGATGATGATGGAGGGTTGGGTTGGGGGTGGCCATGGGCGGAAGAAAGAATCTCAAAGGCGCAGATGGTGCTGAAAAGACCTGACATTTGTGACCTGTTGCCAAGCAAAAACAACACACAAAAGCAGAAACTTTTCCTAATAAAGGATTGACGCCCATCATTCCAAATCACTTTAATTACTTCAAACCAATAATTAACCCCATCATCAACTGCGCTAATCAACCCACAAATCCAAATGTTAACTAGTAAATAATAAACAACATACAAGTCATTCTGCTCTGCTCTGCTGGCACTGCTGCATACATAATTTAACAAATCATCGCGATGACTCTTGCTTTGCTACCTAATTAATCAGCTAATTAACTGAAAAACATATATCACCCCAAGCCAAGGCCACAGTGCAAGCTGAGCGCAACAAGCAGCTAGGAGATGGAGATGGAGATGGAGATCGATCGTCTTGTAATTTATCTTCTTTTAAGGAACCCTAAAAAGAAACAGGGAGACTTCCTTGGCCTCTTGTTCATGTCTTTTTTAGGAATTCAGCATTCATCATGACATGGCCCTTTTGAAGCCAACCAAAAATTAAGCTTCAAAACATCCACATGGATCCATCAAAGAGTAAAGAAAGAGAAAAACAAAAACCAAAGAGGGTGAGAGTGAGAGTGTAAGTGAGAGAGAAGAAAAAAGAAAAAAGAAAAAGCAAAATTAATTAATTCACACACACACTGGTGATCATGACAAAGGAAAGGAAGAAGCTCGTGTACCCTATTATTACTTTTCTCTTTTCGTCAAACTCCAAACATGCCACCGTGCCACCCACCAGGTCAGGTGATCCAGAAAAACAAACCAAAATACCTTCTTTTCTTCTACATCATTATATATCTCTCTTTTTTCTTTTTTCTTTTTACCATGAACCTCCACCTAACATTCCGTTCCAATACCCACCAGAATCCCCTTCCCCTCTGGTGTGCTGATTAAATTCAGTGGTGATAGTAGTGGTGCTTGGAATCTGCTGCTTCAAATCCTCATCTGTAGGAAACAAGAGCCTTGCATGACTATTGTTTGCCTCTTGCACCCCTTGAAGACACCCGTACCCGCTACTCTCGAACCCATCTAGAGAAAAACTCAGCCCATGACTTGGCTTGAATTCTTGCACACCCATGGGAAACCCAGTAGAAAACATTGTAATATTATTATTATTATTCGAATGATCAGGTACACCCATGGGCATGAAAGAGGCCAACCCCCTTGATGCAATCCCAGTCTTGAGCAGCTCCGTAACTGACAAATGATGATGATGATGATGAGATGAAGTCGTGGTAGAAGAGCTAGGGTTCAGCTGGTGCTGGCTTTTGTTGTCAATACTAAAGGGTAGTACCTGATCATATTCCTGATCAGTTGGTGGGTATGCTAAGTTGAGATCTTGGCCTTGGAAATGGATCTTAGGGTTTTGAGACGCAGAGTCGTGGTGCTGAGGGAAATTGCCAAGTGGGGTATTGGTGGTGACATGATTATGATGATCATGAGCAACCTTCTTTGCTGAAGAGGTTGACGGTGAAGATGAATTCGATCTCTTATTATTCTTCCTTGAGCCTCCACCCACAGGAACATTTCTTAGAGAGCCGCCTTCAGTCCAATACCTTCTACAAGTCTTGCAAAAATATCTTGGCTGAGAGAGACTATAATTGTTGTAATAGCAGAATTTAGTGGTGGTTGAATTGCACCTTGGACAATTCAAAGCTTGATCCTTCTGAGGCCTTGCCCTTCTCTCTAAGATGGGCCTTGAAGGAGAAGAATCTTCCATGGATTTAACCACTCCAACCCCCTGAAAAGAATAAATAAAAATAAACCCAAAAAATAAAAGCGACAGGAAAAGGCCATAACTTTGGTGATGATCGAAAAACCAGAAAAGTATTTGTATCGTCTGTATGTAACTCGAAAAATTAAGAGAAAGATGGAGGAAGAAAATAAAAGGAAGAAAACAAGGACAAAGTAAACAAGAGGGAGTTGCTTTTTTACACTTTGATGATCAGGATTACAACAGCAGCAATAAAAACAAACCTACTTTATCAGATGATAGGAAGAAAAAAAGAAAGAAAAAAGTGCAAAACTTTCAACTTCCGAGACAAAAATGAAAGACCTTGGAAGACAACAATATAAATTTCAGATATTAGTGGGGAGCTGAGCTAAACATGATTCTCTTCTCAGTGTGGATATGTGGAGAGAAGAAAAGTATACAAACTACTTTAAACAAAGTATCAAGAAAGAGATATAAGTTTGAAAACCCAAAGCTAAGCTAAACTTAGCTTTGAAAAACCCAACCCTAAGAAGATAATTTCATGATTTCATGGAAGAAAAAGAAAAAGGGTTTGCTTTACCTGTGGCCAGTGAGCTGTGTCCATGGACTAAGAAGGAGAAAAGGGAAGAGAGAAAAAGCTATATCAAGTCTTGAGAGAGGATAAATCACCCACTTTTTTAGCGCAGATGGTCTTAAAGGCAAAACATGAAGCACTTGAGAGATGATGGTATATGTGGTGTGGTTCCATGTGTTGGCCAACTATACGAGAGAGAGAGAGAGAGAGAGGAGAGAGAAAGCGAGTGGGGTAGTTTTGTCTTTTACTGCTTTCATTATCGTAGTATATGTATATTAGTATCTCTGTACTGCATATATATATATATATATTTCGGAATAATATGTACATGCACATAATTAAGTTTTAGTAGAATATATATAAAATTTATTTTCTCTTGGTCAATGCTATTAATTCTTTGTGGCCGTTTGTGTGTGTGTGTATATATATATATATATATATATGCGTGTGTGCGTATGCACTGTAGACTCTTTTGGTCGGTTCTTTCTGACCATAGAATAAGGAAGATGGGATGAATTTTCCTGCACTACATAATTAACCCTGTTTCCCCTGTATAATATTTGGATTTTCACTTTTCTTCCTTGAGGGGTAAGGAGTAAATTGGTCATTTCATGTTATACCAATATTAAGGAGCTTCTTACAACTAGGGCTAATAAGCAAGGGAAAATGGAGACGATATATACATTCATTCTTTAATTATGTTCTATTATATCATATACTAAACCCTGATTTTTTGGATAAATCTTTAGTCTAATTCCTATATCCTCCTATTTCGGAATAAAAACATGGGAAATTCACTATTATACCCAATATAGGAGTTCAAATTATTAAAAAAACTTTATATGAAATGGAGTTTAGAAACACACACTATGAAACGGAGTTTAGAAACACACACAAAGCCCAATTACAACAAAACAAAAAGGCTTTTAACTTCTTTTAAATTACAAAAATGCCATTGATTTCTTAAAACAAACAAACCCCAAAACCTCATTAAAACAAATTCAAAACACTCAATAGGGCTCAACTGTCATTTTTTGGGTTTGTTTATAGAAATAAAATGGTGTATGATTTATCTATAATATTAGTGCTAAGAATGAATATATAACTAAATATCTCTAAAAACAATGCAAATAGCGACCCAAAAAAACATCTCTAATGTCTTGATCCAAAAGCCATATATGTAGCACCTAAATTAAGCTAACACCTATAGCTAGCCATTAGGTGTGGTATACCTAGGCCTAGCAAATTATAAAGCATAGAAAACCATAAATTATTACAAAAGCGGGATCTGGATCATCTAACTAACCATACCAATGAACTGATGTTACATATTTTATTATTGACGCATTGTGTATTATCTCTATAATATAAGTAAAAATCTTCAATATGAATGCGTCCTATTTTTAATAATGTGGTACATAATATGGTATAATAATATTGGTGAAAAAAATTTATAGAAAACATAAACGACAAGAAGAGATAGTGTGGCAAAACGACAAGTTAAAAGGTCTTAGTCATAAAACTCATAAGTAAAGTAACTCATGGACTCTCAGATCACACGTATAATCCAAATAAAACTTAAAGAAAATGAGGTAGGCTAGCAGTCGCAGCAGACGCTGAGGTTGAGCCATGTCTGCAGAAAACGGTGACGGCGGCAGGGCGACTACTGCTGAAGCACTGGAGGCAGTGGACACGTGGCAGAAAATGATGGGAGCCCACCATATGAGAGCTCGTGTGGTCGCGAAACGTGTCGGCGATGATGAAAGAATTAGAGAGAATATTTGGGGCACCGCGCCGGTGCTTCCATTTTTATCCATACTTCCATCCCATCAATTTAATAAAGAAATAAATAATCGACAATAATAATAAAGAAAAAAAGCAATTGTAATAATGAACGTGCGCATGTGGCGCTGTCCATCTCTCTCGCTCACTCCTAACCGCCGTACGATTAGCTGACCACAATGAGACTTTAGTCGAACTCCCATACGTCACGCTATGCTGCTTTACAATCCCGTTCCATTGTCTGCCAGAGAGACACGTCCCACTTCTTTGCTTCGGGCGAACCCGTTGCTTCATACGACTTGTCGTTGTTTCATCTCTGTAAAGTAAACTTAGGGAAGAAGAGCAATGCTTCCCTGGGTGGCGTCACTGCGTATGTGCAGCGGACATGAAACATGATTTAATTGAATTTTGATAGGAAGGAGCAGTGGGGTCGCGTACCCATAATACGAGGGACAGACCTACACATGATCCATAACATATTAATTATATATTTCACGCATATTATGACACGTAAATTATATACATTGCAATAACTTGTGTTTACTTTATTTATTAATTTGTATTGTAGACATAATCTCAAATCAGGTGTCCTGAAATGCCCAATTTTGAGAAGACTAAAAGCTTTAGCTATGTCAATGGTTACAACTTACATACATAACCGACCAAAAAAGAAGGCGTAGAGAGAGAGAGAGAGAGAGAGAGAGAGAGAGAAGGCATTCCTCACTAATAAGAAGAAAAGAAGGCATTCCATTTTTGGGCCTCACCGTCTCTACAAGTAAAAGAACCTCTAGGCTGGTCCAACTTAGGTGGACCCACCGCCACAAAAGCAAAATAAACTGGTGGGGCCCAATGAACATTCAAATTTTAACCATGTGAGGTGAGGCGAGATGAGATGAGATGAGAGCCCATCCATCTGAAGCAATGAAGTTTCCTCCTCCTCCCAACCTCTCGATGGAGCCTTGACCAAAGTAAGTAGTTTGTTCTTGTAAGATTACCATATCTTCATCTGATCTGAATCATGCTTTGCCTAACAACGACTACTTTTCAATTAATTATTAAAAAACTACTGAGCCAATTATAAAAACTAATGGTGACTAATGGTGACTTGGTTACCCAACCAAAAATTTACATAATGCATATTTAAAGATAACTTGAGGTCCTAAATAAGATTAATTATTCATTAACATAGCAAAGCAAAGCCAGCAAGTTAAATGGCCTATGCTTCGCATTACATTATTCTACAAGGCAGACCAAGAAATTTCAAAAGTCTGGCCTATGCTTCGCACTACATACTCTATAATCAAGATAGTCATCGCCCCGAACATTCCCTACTTGACAATGAAAACGATTTATACGTTAAAAGCCGTTAACTCAGGAGCATTTGTCCCCTACTTTCATTTAAGCATCCAACAAAATCTCAAATTTAGCAGCAGCTATACTTTTTCTTCATCAAGCTGACTTCTATCTATTGTGGGGCATGAGTGAATATTTTGCGGCATGTGACAGGTTGAAACTACAGGGAGGGAAAAGGAGGACAATTGATAAAAATATATTTGAACATCCACAAGTGAAAGGCAGGCTCGTTGCTCTACCCCCTCTCAACTTGAATCTGTCCTAATCTTTTCTATTCTTATTCTTCTAATTTTAGCCGACAGCGTTTCCGCAACAAAATGAAAGGTCCAACCAATTGGATGTGCATCATCATCAAATTCAAATCACCAAAACAGAGTTGGGGCATGTTTTGTTAGGCATTTATATGGATGACAACATATATTACTTCAAAACAGTTCAACACGAATATATCACCCCCAAAAATTAAATAAAAGGATAAGGGGAAGATATGAAAAAGTATGGGTGAGTGGCAACATATGGGCCACTGACAGACTAGTTCACAATGATTATCAACTTCAATTTACTCATTCAACTTGCAAACATCAATGAACTTCTGGACTGCATTGTGGTATTGAGTTCCCTGTAACAACAAAAAATTATTTTTAAGAACACTATTCAACAATGAATTGTCATACTATATCAAAACTCTTGACAGCGGTTTTCCGAAGAAATAAAGGACAACATATCAAATCATTTATAATTTGCTTAGCACGTGAATTGAATATAATCTACAACTCAAAAGAGTTTACGGGTGAGAGAGAAACATAAATCTCTCTCATTGTAGGCCCAAGGATGGGCAATTAGCTCTGCTCAGATGACTGCAAGCCATCACACAGCCTCTCATTATCACCTGTCAATTATCAAATCTATTACCTTTAAACAAGATAATTTGGTTTAGTGTCCATGTGGTCCTTCCTTTGTAAACAATGGAAACGCGCATGTTGCTTTTCCAGGTTTTAATTAGAATGCAAACTGACCACGCATGCAGCACCATATAGTGGAGAGTGACACAGAGACAGAGACAGAGACAGAGAGAGGGAGGAAGGGAAGGATTGATAAACATACCTCCCAGTAAAGTTGGTTGCAGTCCATACATTGCCAAAACTCTAGATTCTTATCAAACAAGCAGTTAGGAATTCTTTGAAAACCTTTCGCAGCTTCAACAGCCTCTTCAGTCGTCAAGGGCTTTTGAATAAATCTACCATTACATTTGGTGCATCTTGACATCAGCTGATCCTCACAAATTTTAAGCTGGAAAGTTTCAATGATCTGCAAGAATACACTTCAGAATCAGATTCATCCTGTTAACAAAAATTCAACGTTCTAATCACTTCTTCAAATGTTATGATCTAGGAATATGTATCAGTATTACCTATGCACTTCCAAAACTAAACAAAAACTAGGAGTCTAGGATGTCCCATTCAACATATCTATCACATCTTCATCAGATACTAACTCATCATAAATTCTTAAGTTTCTTTAGTTTTGTAATTTAAACTTTCTAAGCTAAACCCACCATGCTTATATTAATCATAATAAGTTGTCAAGATTAAAATATTCAATTACAGCCTCATTAAATCTAATGCTAGACTCTAGGTAGTGAGATCTTTACATAAGTTAACCTGAAGGACCATGAATCACTAGCAATGTTTTATGAATTTTTTAAACTAATGATTGCGAAATAGTAAAGTAGTTTCCAAACATGGTATGTATATGTAATTTGATTTATAAGGTACAGAATTTTCAAAATGAACACAGACATACCTCGAGTAGCTGTTCATTCTTGAGAAGATTCTTTACCCTATAGATTTGATTTTTTATTAGATAATCATGTCTCAGCAGCTTGGCATCCCGTGTCAACAGCACTCTCTTCTCTTTGTTTGCTTGTTCTATTAACGCCCTGCATAAAATGAAACCTCAATACAATCATTCAAAAGATGTTAAAACATATTCAAACTCTACGAGATATTTAACATATAAGAGCACAATCATCAGAATACCTGGGTCCAGGCTTTTTTGAATATGGGATTGCAGCATTGATCCCAACGCATCTTAAATGTTTAGCTAAGCCTTCAACCTGAATAAGCATGAGCAAGCAAGTATCACAATTCAGCAGCAGAAACTCTTTGATCTTAGAATAACTCTTAACTTATAGGGCAACAGAGAAAGACGGGGATGGGGATGGGGAGTTCAATTGCCGATCACTCTTTTTCATGTGTAATCGGCATCAACCATGTAAGACAAAGAAAAAGTTAAATGAATAAGAGCAAAGAAAACATAAACAGATAGGAAAAAACTTACCATCACGTCACAGAGAAACTTTGGGTGTCCATCACCGCCCAAGGTCAAATCCCATGGAGGTGGACCTTGCCAATCTTCAAAACTCTGTCCTTGCTTTTCTTTGCAAATCAAACCCACTGACGACCGTCTTTTTGATTTTCTCTTGCTAGTTCTGGCCCTTTTATCAGATTCTTTCAACAAAATTTCCTCCCCATATTTGTTTACAACCCTCACGAGTAACTCATCCATAGGCAGGGTATTCCTAGGTCGCGTCCTCAAAGCCATTCCCTCTTCTGTAGCTATATTAGGATAAATATAAGAAGTGGTAGCTCGGACTATATCCAAAGCTTCACGGAATTTCATCCTTACAATTTTATTACATACATCAAGCTTCTCAAGAACCTCTTTCAACCCAAGATTCACGGTTGATTCAGTGGGACTGTGAATCAAGCTCCCTGCAATTTAGATTTCCAATAACTTTCCATAACTAACAGGATATAACAAAATACAAGGGTTGTATTTCAAAAAAGCAGTGTGTTACATCTCTAGTATGACAGACCTTCCTTGATGACCTTGGCTTGGAAGACATTAAATATTTCAAGCAAGCACTGTGCGTCAATAGCTGCATACGTTTTCTGCTCTTCTGTAAGAGGACGACGTGACCAATCACTACATTGAAGTTCCTAAAGAAGAGATGTTACATTAACAAATTTTGATAGGAAGTAAGAACACCCATCCCATCACTCCCTCATGCAGTTAAAAGTCTAAAATTTTACATCGCATAGCAAAATAGGAACTTCACTTGGTACTCGAATGAACATAGCAAAGGTCTTGAGAAGCCAAACCTTTGAAAGAGAAATGCCTAGGATTTCTTTGCAGATATTTGCTAAACTCTTGATATTCTTTGACGTCTTCCTTCCAGGTTGACTGTGCTGCAGATGATGGTATATGCTCGTAATATCCATAAAGGGTTCCACCTGTTCACCATAATTTGTGAACTTTAAACAGAATCCTCTTATGAAAATATCAACTGAGCCTCTACGAAACAAGTCCTCTACGAGGCCATATCCTCAACATCTCACAGAAACAGAGTACTCTACGCCATAAATAAATCAGTTTGAGAATTAGCCTTCACCAATCCAAACCCAGGTTACAATTCCGCATAAGTTCAAGTTACTAGATTGTGAGCAATAAGGGAAGTTAAGGTCATGTTGGATTAAAATTTCTCAATTACTTTACTGCCATATTAATCATTTCGATCACCCAAGCAAAAGCTTGTGATTATTTTCATTCATGGGCAAAAGTTGTGAAATGAATAAAACAGAGGCATATATAAAAAGAAAATTGCTTGATGTTAAACTTTCCCTTCATTTCCCGCATTTTTTCAGCAAGCTAGCAGTCCATGACTGATAAATTTAAAGCTCTTACCTTGTCAAACCATTGTTCACATCCTTGTGAGCTGAAAGTGGAAGACAAGTATATTAAATCCTGCTTAAATCTAAAACCCAGTTTCAGAATGTCGGGGGAAACAAATGCGTCTCTAAGTAATTCCCAGATTGAAGGTAGAGGAATGGAGGACAAGTCGAGCAGGAAAACGACTGAGTCATCTGACTCGCCCGAGTCACTGCTGAGTTGACAGGCGAGTTGGAGGAGAGAGACTGTTGGGAAAGACGACTGGGGGGTGCGGATGGGCTTCCACTCGGCATCGAGCGCAATGATTCTGGAACGCGTCAGAGACTGAGTTAAATCTGTGAACTCGGGAGAATCGGTGGATGAAACTAGGTGGATTTTGAGGGGCCTTGGATATCGGGGATCCATGGAAGAAGTTGAGCTAGTTTCCTCCCTCACAATTTGACGGAGGTTGGGTCAGGCCCTTTTTGTCCCGGGTATGGGCATGGGGATCAAGCGAACTATTAAGTAAGCCCTATGTTTTTTCGGTTCCCTATGCTAAATGCACCCAATGATCGAATTTTTCAATATTTAGAAGAAAAACAATCATGGATTTTTCTTTTATCTCGACGGTGTATTAAAAAGTAAAATAAGATTGATTCAAAATTATGACAACCCGCAAAGTATAAGGAAAATTTCCGAATAAGGAAAAAAGGAAGCGAAATTTTATGCACTCAAGTCTCCATTGATTTTTTTATAGAAGCTCAAGTCATACACTGTAAGGGACAATAAGCATGCTAATGATAGAATCCCATACTATCCTCAACATGTACTCACATATAGCATAAATAGTTATTTATTTGGGGCCAATTCAATTTGTACAAATTAATCGATCCCTATAATCACCAACTTATAAACTTATTAACAAACTAACCAATATTTTCGTGCAAAATAAACTGTTGTCTAACTACTAATATAACAACCGGCTAACTACTAATCAACAAGTGATCATAGCTATACATCGCACGTGGACTAATTATCAAATATCGGTGACAATATGGTAATAATAGAGATAACGGTAATGATGAAGATATGGTATGTAATTTTTTTCTTCAAAATTCTCACTCTCACATAATTTTAGAAATAATCACTATTTAGATGAAATATGGAATATATATATATATTTGTTATGTAAGGAATTTATATATTTTTGTTATGTAATATTTTTATTACTTAAAATTAGGCTCAATAAATTGACCAAGTACTCGGAATAGAGGTAGGAAGGAAGTAGGAGATGGGAGTCGCCACGTAGGCTACATTTCCACGGTCATTGGTCACTGTTGTACGAAACAAACACAAACTTCACAAGAGTAAATTCCCTTTTCTATTTTCATTTTCCAGACCCTTCGATTCGAACCCGATTCGGGTACTCTCGTCGGCCTTGGGCCGCCGCATTTCCACCACAACCTCTCTCACTCACATCACACTTCGCTCTCATCCAATCTCTAAACTACCCTATCTCTCTCTCTCTCTCAATATCGGCTCCTGCATTTTATTTATTTGGCGGAGAAATTTATTATCTTGGCGGCAGGCAGATAGAATAGATCGGAAATGGAGAAATCTTCCAAGAGCTGCCGCAATGGATTCGAAGACGATGTCGATGAGCCCTCATTGAGGATTTGAGGTATCTCTCCCCCCTCTCTCTCTCAGCTTAGATGGTGATTGCCTTTGTTTTTTATTTTTAATTTATGTGAAAATATGAAGAGTTGTCTTTGCAAAAAAAAAAGTATTAATTGGAATAAAGAAAATAAAAGGGAAATTGCTGTAAAGGCGTAGTTTTTTTTCCTTTAATATTTGGGTCACTTAGTTATGGGTTTAAATATTTTCAGCCCAAGCCCAACCCCGCACATGCTTATTGGACTAGACCCAACCCGGTAAATCAGGAAACAGTGGCGCCAAATAATTAACGAAACGACCCAAGGTGGCGCCAACATCATTTCCCGCGAACCAAAATTAGCGCGCGAAATGCGCCCCATTGGTTAAATAGGCACAACAACATCGCAGGAAACCAAAAGCCAAAAAAAAAAAAAAAAAAAAAAAAAAAAAAAAAAAAAAAAAAAGCAAGACAGTAAGATTATGGTGGTGCTGGGGAGAAGAACTCAAGCCCCCAAGCCTCTTTCTCGTTCTCAAATAGTCGACGATGACTCTGATAGTGCTTCGGATTCTGAATACGGCGACGTTTCCTGCGAGGAATGTGGGTCAGGTGACTCTCCGGCCGAGCTGCTTCTGTGCGACGGCTGTAACTGTAACAGAGGGTACCATTTGTTTTGCCTGAGACCCATCCTTGTTCACGTGCCTAAAGGAAAGTGGTTTGGCCCTTGTTGCTCCAAGAACAAAAAGCCCAAGTGTACGTTCCTGGTTGATCTTTTTTCCCATTTTCGGTATTTATTCTGTCCAGATTCATTAGCTAACTACTGGGGTTTTTGTTGCACTAAATTTTATGGGTGATTTGAATGTGGGATTGTGGGTAGGCTTATACTCCAATTGTATTTCTTTTTTATTATTTGGGTTTTCAATTTAACCTGCTTGATTTGTTTGGAGGCTGAAATGCTCAGATTTGATTCTTCTATTGATTCAATTGCCTTTCTCGTTGTGTGCTACAGCTTTCCCTCTCCATCAGACCAAAATTAGTGATTTTTTTCGGATTAAGAGGTCTGCGGACTCACTCCAGAAGATAAATCAAGGTAAACGCCAGTGAAAAACAGTTTATTAGGATGCATATTCATTTTTTATTTATGGAATCCTCTGAAGGGTTTATTTATTTATATGTCTATGCTGGTTTATAACTGGGTACATCTTGGTCCTGTATATTTTGTTACTTTTATAGATAACCGAAAGAGGCGAAGGCGGGCAAGCAGCCTGGTGATGTCCAAAAAGAAAAGGAGATTATTGCCCTTTAGTCCCACCGAGGATCATACAAGGAGAATGCAACAAATGGCGTCACTAGCAACGGCATTGACTGCCACTGGGACTAAGTTCAGTAATGAGCTTACTTATAGGCCTAGAATGGCACCCAGGTCGGCCAATTGTGCAGCTCTTGAGCAAGGAGGAATGCAGGTATGTTGTAAACAGTGACCTCTCCAATAAAAATGTTTCAATTCACGTGTGGATGTCTTCTAGTTGGTTGGGCTAATAGAGTACAGTGAATTCTCTCTCTAACCAATTAGGACAGGTGTAGAATTCACTGTGTTGGTGGATTTGAACTGAATTGCTGGGTTTGAGATTACATTAGTTTCAATAGCGTATATTTATGTTCTGAAATATGGTCTTCTGCTGATTTAATTGTGCTGAAATTCTGCCTCAACTGCCCTTTTATTGTGAAGTTCCTTATAAGTTAAAAAAACATGTGGACAGTGTCCAGAGCTCTGCATGAGGTCTCAATGTTACTTAACCAGGGAATGATAAAAATTTCAGTGTATGTCAACAAAAGCTCAGTATCATGATAGAAGATTGCATTTTAACCACTGGGATTGACTGAACATTAGCACTTGCAAGCATATGACTCCGGAAACAGCATGTCTTTTGTTATTTTCATGTATCCATAAGTTACATCTAGAGATTGATGTTATATGTTTAGACATATCCTGATTATTCTGATAGAGAAGTCCTACTATATGATATTTGATTTTCTGAATTTGAGGGGTGATCCAAAAAGTACATTTGTCTTATGGCTTGCATTGACAATGGCATAACTGATTATCACAATACTGTCTTTGCAGGTTTTGTCGAAAGAAGATATTGAAACTTTGAATTTGTGCAAAAGCATGATGGATAGAGGAGAATGTCCACCCCTCATGGTTGTTTTTGATCCTCAGGAGGGGTGAGTTTATGAAAAAACAAATATTTTCTCTTGGTGGTTGATACAATTGAGTCCCTGATTCAGTATAGTTACTTGATTTTCACAGGTTCACAGTAGAGGCTGATAAATTTATCAGGGATTTGACAATAATTACAGAATATGCTGGAGATGTAGATTACTTGAAGAACCGTGAAAATGATGATGGGGATAGCATGATGACATTGCTTTCAGCTGCTAACCCTTCAAAAAGCCTTGTCATTTGTCCTGACAAGCATGGTAACATTGCCCGCTTCGTCAATGGCATCAACAATCACACACCGTAAGCTCACCTTCATTCCGAAGTTTTATATTCTGCCTTCTGTATGTATATTACTTCCAACCTTGTCTCGCTGGCCACTTTGCCAATATAATCCAAGTTACTGAAATTTGGTGCAGGGATGGGAGAAAGAAGCAGAACCTAAAATGTGTAAGATATGATGTCAATGGTGAGAGTCGGGTTTTACTGATTGCAAACAGAGACATACCAAAAGGGGAGCGATTGTATTATGATTACAATGGATACGAGAATGAATATCCAACCGAGCATTTTGTCTAGCCCATTTTAAGTTATTCAACACCCACTCACCTTCACCATAGCTAAATCAAGCTTTTTCTTTTTTGCCAACAAGCTAAATTAAGCTTACGGGGCCGCTAACAGGCTAATTGTATACTCATGACTGTATTTTTTAGACCACAATTTTGGGTTTATTTAAATTCAAAGTTCTGAAATGAGAAACTTGAAAAGGAAATGTGAGCGAGTGCCTTCGTTTAAAATGGCAACGCAGACATATCAGTCAATTTTTGGATAATAATAATATGGTGGCTTGAATCTTGAAGGTTTGAAAATGGCCTAAACTGTGCATCGATTTTTACAAGGTTGACTTCTCTTACCTACTACTCTACAATCTACCAAAAAAAAAAAAAAAAAAAAAAAAAAAAAAATCATGTATGCCTTGGAAATAAGTAAGTATCATGTGTTTATTTTGATATATATTTCTTTAATTAAACACTTTTTTTATTGAGAGGCGTGATAGTATATTAAACTCACGTGCACAGCACAGATGTTAGGAATCGAAACTAGAACTTTTCGTGGAAAAGCAATTGCTCCAAATTGTCACATACGAAACTAGAACTTTTCGTGGAAAAGCAATTGCTCCAAATTGTCACACTACTGGCTTTCTTGCATTTTGAATCTTTTCAAACGTTGTGTATTTGTCATGTTCTCTTACTTCAAGTGACCCACACACATTGGCTCAGGAAGTGTAGGCCTAATGGCCTAAAGCCCATTTTACATCATTGCTCATTAATAAATAATTCCAGCTCATCTTTACAGCCTACTACTTTTCAAAAGCAAGGTGTAAGCCCATAGTTGGTAGGTTAAAATACCATAAAGTCCATGCCGTACAGTTTATATAGCACTACGCAACTACAACATATCATCGGATCCGTGGCGCAATGGTAGCGCGTCTGACTCCAGATCAGAAGGTTGCGTGTTCGATTCACGTCGGGTTCAATTTTTTCTTTTTCTTCCTTTATTTTAAATTTTTTTTTGAAAGAATCCGAGACAAAATGCTTTCCCGTAATGTCAAACAGTCCATTTGGAGAAGAGAAGACAAAGATCTGAAAAGTTGAAAATGGCTATTGGCATCCTCAACACAACCCAAGGCAATTAAGCAAGTAAATGATTATGGTGGTTGAGAGAGAGAGAGAGTGTGAAGAAATTCATGAGGCCGCAGAGCCATGACATGAACACAGCAGGCTTGGCAGCTTCAGGACTGCCAGCCCAAACAGCACACACTTGCCTCGCATTTGTTAACCAAGTTTAAGAGGACCACTTCTTCTCTGCTTCAGAAAAAGAAGAAGAAGAGTTGTTTGTAGCTAGACTAGAGTGGTCCAAAATCAGGAGCTACCGTAACCCACAGTACGTACAGCAGTAGCAGCTGGCAAAAGAGGCAGAGAGAAGGTAGTTGCCTAAGGCTTTCTGCTGCTGCCATCCCCACAATTGTGGTCCTATCTACACAACACATTCACTAATTTTGTTGCTACAAATTAGTGCGACTGCTACCATCAGATTTTGCTCAAAATTGTGGTCATATCAGAACTATATATATGAACTGAGTTTTGTGTACTTATATATATTTGCTGTTAATTACAAGGTCCAGCCAACAGGTAGAATCTGCTACCAGAGATTTTCCACCAGAGCTTCAATCCCGAGATGAAGGATTTGAAGCTTTTTCATGTGCTCAGCAGAAGAATTGATCATAACGGTTATTGGACTATAGTTGTGCTAGGGTTAGTGGAATTCTGACCATTCATCTATGTAAATTTCATCAGCATTTTATCGACAATCATAAATCACCTACACGTCATCGTCAAGATAATTTTACATGTGTAACAAGACAAAAAATCAAATTACTAGAAAGTTATACGTGCTGTAGATTAACAGTTTAATTGATTAACTTTGCGTGCATGATGAAAAACATATATTGCATTTGGCAAATATATATAGTCTGATGGTTTTTGGACCATCCAAAGTTGTGACTTGTCCTTAGATTTGTTACTTTTCGTTCCCAAACAAAAATGTGGGTAAAATAATGGAGGGGAAAAGTGTAAAGGAGGCATGCCCTAAAGACAAAGTGGGTACCCATCCTAGAAATTAACAATACACAATATTAATTATGCATAGAAATGGAACCACTCGAAGTCGTAGACCCCCCACCAGCAGCCTGTTCGGTGGAAAACCATGCATTCATCTAATTCTATTTCTATCTACAAATTATAATATAGTACATACAACACTCAGTTTTCAAAATCCAAAAGCTGTGGTACTAGCTATGAATGGTCAAGCTCATGCAACATCGCACTTGTGACTTGTAGAATTGTAGTTTTCGCTACACGTTTTTCGTGCTTTTCATTTCTTCAAAGATAAGCCTGAAAGAAAGGGCTCTTGGCTCCTGCATGCATCTGTAATTTGAATGTTGTGCTCTTATATCAAAAGTCAACTAATTCATCGTAAAAACGAAGCCCAACAAACAAGTATTCCATGCATCTGCCCTGCTCGTCCATATCATATATACTCACATGATGCAGCCGCATTAACCAGTTGATTACCAAATAGAAACTCATGAAGATAATATCATGATTATGGAACCAAATTAAGTTGATTACCAAATACAAACTTAACTTATTTTCCGGCTAAAGTAAGCATTTCTTTCATTAATTAATTAGCTCAAACGTACATGCAACGTATCTATAACAAGAGATGATGATGATCGAGTTTGTTTTTTATTTATTATTTTTTGCTTTTTTTCTGAGTGGAGATAAAAAGAAAGAAAGAAAGAGCCAAAGTTGTACATAATATGAAGCCATTACTTAAAGGTCAGTCCATCAATTGTCGGGCGGGACACACACACATCAATGATTCAATGCATGACGAGAAAAAAGAAATCAACAACATATATAATATATATTTAGTTTAATCTATGTCGGCATGCCAATTTATGGAGTAATATAAGGCACTCTGCATGTGCCTTTTTTTAATTAAAAGTGCACACACGTTGCCACGCACCCATAATTTGCCATGCATGCATTCTTGATAAAATGATGGTATGGGAATGGGAGGGTCAACCGTTAAGAGAATCACAAATTACAAGGCAAACCACCATGCGATATCATGGGAAATCTTTCTCGATCAAATGCTTAATTTGTTGATTAACCAATACATTAATTAATTAATTGGCAATTTGGCTCTTGGATTTACAACTCATATCCTAAAATTGCAGGTTTTTTATTTTATAAATATATTTATTTATTATATTTGAGTTGTAAACTTTGTACTGTTGGGTTGGCTACCCAATAATTAAAACCCAGATTTTGATTGTTGTTGCTGGTACACCAACTTTATTATTTGTGAGTTGTGCATTATGCGCCACGTGACACTTTTGGTTGTCAAATTCCCAAATTTTCTTTACGCGATTGCCGTTGCCGTGCATATATGCCAGGAATGTTTTCATCTAATTCAACACTTTGTGCTTATATTCTCAATAATAGAGAATATGTCGTCATGTAGAGGCAACTATTTGCTCATGCATGATGCATGTTACTTGGTATCTATACTTTCAGTACCCTTTTCTTGATTCGAGCAGCGAGAAAGATTGGGCATTAACAAACGCCCATTTGCCTAATATATTATTACCAAACAAACAGAAATGGAACCACCCACAGAATATTATTGTGTGCAGTAAGCTGTCAATCAACGAGAGCGTTTTAACTTTTAACCCAAAAAGAAAAGATTTAAAAGAAAGGTTAGTTTAAGTTTACGTGTTTCACTTCACTTTATTATGCAGAAAAAGAAAAGCAAGACTGTCTGCATGTTTCTGTCTTGGGTGTCAAGTGTGACCTTTGCAGATCACCATCACAGAAAAGAAAAAAACACAGTGTTACCATTTGTTTAAGTTTTCTATAATAACAACATTAATCAACCTTAATTATTATTATTCTTGGCTTTTACTTGCGTACTTTTGCTGCAGGCAGCCGTTGCTTAATTATAAATTTATAATTGAAACAAGCTCCCTTCTTGCACGTTAATTAAGACAGCAATGACAGTCAGTCGGAAAATTGATGATATCAATGCAAACAAAACAAAGGGTGGCTGGGTGGCTGGGTGGCCGGCTACCTAGCTCTCTCTCAACCTCTCAACCTCTCAACCTCTCAACCTCTAACCTCTCAATCTCTCAACTACTAGCTAGCTAGCTCTCTCTGCCAATGACATGAGAGACGAGACACATCAAAGAGTTTTTAAGCAAACTGCCCGGTTCAACGGAAACAAGCCGACTTTTACTTTTTTGACTTTTTAAGACTTTGTATGGCTCTAATGGTGACATTAACCTAATCAAAACCCACCTAATTACTACTAATTCACTTTCTTTGTCATTTTTCAATCATGATGCTGTTTTATGTTATGAATTTACTTTTTGACTTTTAAATCTCCCCTAATTACTATTGCTATCATTTGAATGCAGGAATGAATGAATAATTCCAACATTAATCTCGTCAAATTGTCTTAAAACACTTGAAAACCCAGACACAAAACATTTTAATGGTGGATGGAGGGATTTTCCTGGAACCCATGCATAACCCATGCCCTAAACTACAGGTGACATCCAGGATCCAGCTTTCACCTGTCGCTGAGTCTAAATGGGGCAATAGCTGGAATGCCCATGTTTTTCCATTGCCCTGCTATGGTAATTTCAGTTTGGGCTACTAAATTATATTGTGACCCAATTTTTTATTTTTTATTTATAAAAATTTTGGAATTTCTGAAGTAAACTTTTTGTTTAATAATTCTTATTTATTATTGTCACATTTATATGATGTCACCATGGGAAATAATAATAACAACAACAACATGAGGGTCATGTTTGACCATTAACATGCAATCCTTCATTGGACGGTCATAATTTTCGCTATTTGATGCTCATTTATATATAAGATTTTCCCTTTTAAAAGTAAAGTCATCCGTTCTTCAATTAGAATTCCAAGTCAAACAATTTGGCATTGACCACCTCTTTCAAGTGGAAAGTGAGACCTAACAAATTGGTGCTAGGAGTATATTTATATAGAATGAAATATTAAAAGTAAGACTAAGATACATCCACCGCTTCCCTTTGCTAATATAAATCATGTCAACATCAATGGCGCATTTTTGTTAATGCACATGAAGGTCGGTCATCACATAAATAATTCAGAAGGAAATTTGTAAGATTAAACTTTAGGAAATGGCTTCTTGTTAATTATATATTCACTTTATCTTGATGAGTGTAAATCTTTAAAACTGTCAAGGTTATGCATGTTTTTTTTAAGTACAAGCGATAGTCAACGTTATATATGTTTTTAATGCATAAAAATGTGTGATTGCAACATAAAGAGATGTAATGTATTATCTTAAATAAGGTTATGATTTGAAAATTTCAGCATTGGTGTCTCACATAAGTAGTCTATTAGTGCGTGCTAACGTGATTATAAGAACAACAAAAGCAATAATTTTTTTTATTCCGAAGTAACTTATGAAAATCTTACACCTTATATTTTCATTTATTGGGAAATATTGGTCATTTAACTCATTTTCTTAACCTCCCATGTCCCCGATTGTCATTTATTTTTATTTCTTATACGAAAATTGGAGTCTAAAATCTCTGCTCATTTGTTTTTGGTCGGAAAAATCTCATTAAAGTACTCGAAACATTTAATTTCATTAAAGTAAAAACATTAAAAAGAGAATAAATTACCATTTTATTTTGTAGACAGAGATACAGCGAGAGAGAGAGCAAACACAACAACACAAGCACATCCTACTCTCGAAATCTCGTTTCTCGGGCCATCGTTCACGAATATCAAGGAACTCGTGCCTTTTCCGGTTTTACCCCTGGCTATTTGGCTACTTTTTTTTGTTGTTGCTGAAATAAATACTAAATTGCTTATTATTTTATTTTCGCATTTCTCTGTAGAGTGCTTCTTTGCTTCCTCGAGACAGCGAGTTCCGGAAGCTCCAAATTTGTATGGCTGCTTCGATCTATGCCCTCTTCAGTTGCAAAGGAATCTCATAGACACGAAACTCATGTAATCAAAATTGTATGTTTGTTTCATCCATTATTTCTGTCGTTCATATTTTTATGGTTCATTTATTCAATTGTAATCATATGATCATCAAATTCTGCCAATGGGGTTTTCTCTGTGTGCCGAGAAGTGTTTTTGGAAAATTTTGGTTCATTGCAATTTTCATTTGTGGCTCCGTTTGCATAATAAATTGTGATTTATTTTTATTTTTATTGTGGTGGAAGACCAGGTTCAATGGGTGTGGATTGGGATCCATGTTGGATCTCTTGGTTTTTGTTTTATTGATATTATTTCTATTCTTGTTTAATTTAACAAGTATTTCTGTTAAACTGATCTTGGATTCTGTGTTTTTTGTTTTTTTATTTTAATTTTGTAGTTACTCTTACTCAATAAGGTTGCTTGTCTGGAGGGGGATTGAATATTGGCACGTTGCCTGGGGCTTAAAATGTTGGTTTCTTGATGTGGAATCTCATGGGTTGAACTCAAAGAATAATGGGTAGCTTTAGTGAAGAAGAATATGGGTTTTTTGATGCCCAAGAGGATATTGCATCAACATCTGATGCAAGTTCTGATAACATTGAGGTATTTGATTCAACTTCTTCCTTCATCAATTGGGTTCCACCTAGTTTACCATATGAGGTTTGGGTTCAAAGCCCCGGAAGTGTTAAGGAGCGTAGGATTAAGTTTCTGGAGTGGATGGGACTGAGTTCAGATCAGATTGCGAGAGAGACTTCACTAGACATATTTAGTGATGTTCCTGGGGAGGTTGAAAGAATTCGAGAGACTAGTGGGGCTGTGTTGAGAACCTCACGTTTTGAAGATGAGTTTTGTTTCAGTCGGTCTTCAATGTCATGCTGGCGTAATGGGTACTCCAATTCCTCAATTGAGTTGGGTTCAAAGGATAATTCTGCATGTAGAGGTGGAAATCCAGGTATGATATTGGAGTGTAATGCAGATGAACTGGGCCAGGATGGTAAAGTAAGTGAAGGTCAAGAAGTGGCTGAAGAGTCTGAGCGCACTTCTTGTTCATCATCTTCCTTGTCTCTACAATTGATGGAAAATCAAGTGGAGGAGGTGCACAATAAAGCTGGGATACTGAAGAGAGTTAAGAAGGTGTGGTTGAGTAGGTTACGGTCCATGTCATGCCTTGTTGATAGGCAAGGGGAGGCAGATAAATTGACAGACAATGAAAATGATGCAATTGTGGGGCACAGGGCTCAGAGAGTTAAAGTTCGCCATTGCAGGAAGCGATTGAAGGAACTTTCAGCTCTTTACATGGGGCAAGATATCCAGGCTCATGAGGGTGCGATTTTGGCAATGAAATTCAGTCCTGATGGACAATACCTAGCAAGTGCCGGTGAAGATGGGATTGTGCGAGTCTGGAACGTGGTGGAGGATGAGAGATCTAATGAACATGACATTCCAGAAATAGATCCATCCTGCATTTACTTCACAGTGAATCATCTCTCTGAACTAAATCCACTATTTGCGGATAAGGATAAAAAATCAGGGAGCCTTAGGAAAACACCGGATTCAGCTTGTGTTATTTTCCCCCCTAAAGTCTTTCGGATATTGGAGAAACCATTGCATGAATTTCACGGGCATGATGGTGATATATTGGATCTTTCTTGGTCAAGGAATAATGTAAGTGATTATTTGAATTGCAGCTAAATTTTAGGAATCTATGAAAATATTGATCGTTTTTAGTGAAACAATGCAGAAATTTAATTTGGTATGTTGTTTTGGATGCAGTATCTTCTGTCGTCTTCTGTTGACAAAACTGTTCGTCTCTGGCAAGTGGGATGTGACCATTGCCTCAAAGTCTTTTCCCATAGTAATTATGGTGCGTTTCTGGCTAGTTTGTATGATTATATGAAAAAGCAAAGTTCTAGTCTCTTCTGTTGTATTATATTGAATCTACCTCTTATAATTTTTCTTTGTGTTATGGTGCTGTGCAGTGACCTGTGTTCAATTTAATCCTGTGGATGATAATTACTTCATCAGTGGTTCAATAGATGGCAAAGTACGCATTTGGGGAATTCCTTGCTGCCAAGTTGTTGATTGGAGTGATATAAGAGATATAGTTACTGCAGTGTGCTATCGCCCTGATGGGCAGGTTTGGTGATTTTCTTGCCCTTCCATTGTGTAGAAATGTTGATGTATGATCACATATAGATTAATGTTTATTTAAACACTATCGATTTCTTGTGCAGGGAGGAATTGTTGGCTCAATGACTGGCAATTGCAGATTTTATAATATATCAGGTGACCAGCATTCCTCACCCTCCTTCTGTTCGCCTCCTTTTCATTGGAACTGACTAGATGTCTGTGCTCAATTTAGATTTTTTTTTTTATGCTGGTTGAGTAATTTCATTATATTTAATTGCAATGTTTAAATTTCCAAACCCATTTTTGTGTAAATTTTTCAATACAAAATGCATCACAATATCTCAAATTCTTTTCATGAGAGAATTGTTATACTTGTGTCACATTTTGACCTTCAAATCGATTGATTTTGGGGATGTTTGTACTGATGAAGTGGTTATGTTTTTCTGGGGCAGATAATCATTTGCAATTAGATGCTCAAAAATGCTTGCATAGTAAAAAGAAGTCTCCCTGCAGAAAGATTACAGGCTTCCAGGTAGTTATGAGTTATGACTTTCTCTCAATGCTTTGTTTTCTTGTTTCTGTTTTGGTTTCCTTTTTATATCAATTAACCTTTTCATTTGGGACCTGAAATTCAATAATTGTATGTTATGTTACACAGTTTTTCCCACACAATCCCAGCAAAGTGATGGTCACTTGTGCCGATTCACAAGTCAGCATTCTTCATGGTCTTAATGTGGTTGGCAAGTATGCAGGTATGCACATAACTATTTTTCGTTATAATAGTTTCTTGTTTTTCCAACAGTCTGATTTTCTAGAGGCAGTTCACTGTGCATATTGTAAGCAAATATAACGTAATTGTTAGTATGTATTAATACTCTTATGTCAAATATATGTTTGTGCGATTTTGAATTTGAAATTTATAGTTTTCTTTTTCATCTTCTAAGCCTTGTCTCTCGTACTTTCAGGACAACGTAATGCAGGAAACCAGACATCTGCTACCTTCACTTCAGATGGGAAACATATAGTTTCAGTTAGTGAGGATTCTAATGTATATATATGGAACTGCGGTAATCAGGAAGAACATGTTCTCTCTCAAGCAAAAAAGATCAGATCTTTTGAGCGCTTTTCCACCAATGTATCTATAGCAATACCTTGGTGTGGTTTCAAATGTGATTCCTTAGAAAATGAGAGCCAATTTCAGGCCATGGATGGGAAGTTACCAGAGACTCTGCCTTTCTCTTCACCTGCATGTTTTTCTCTCAGCCAGGATTCTTTCCTTGAGTCTATTCCCAAAGGATCTGCAACTTGGCCAGAGGAGAAGCTTCCAACTTCAAGCCCGCTGGCAAAGCTATCTACTCTGCACAGATCTGAGTACAAGTTTTTTAAAACTTCTTGTCAGAGCACATCCAGTTCTCATGCATGGGGCATGGTTATTGTGACTGCAGGCTGGGATGGACGGATCAGATCATTCCACAATTATGGTCTACCGGTGCCTGTTTGACACTATAGTGGCTTTTGGCATGGTTTTCAAAAGAGTTTTAGCCATCCCCCTTGCAGGACACTTTATGTGTAGTGCCCTCTTTGGCTCTTTGGCCTTTGGCATTGTTTTCAAAAGATGCAAATCTAATGGATTGATGAGTGACATTAAGTTTGGCAGCATCAACAGCCATAGCAGGCTCAAGTTGACAACTCTAGCAGGCATGTGGACGATAGATGAACTTGTGTATTTGGTTCTCCAATGGGACCCTTCTCAGATTTCAGAGGTGACTGACCATTTTATGTTGTGACAAGTGGCTGCAATTCCATGGTTGTAGTGTGCAATCCAATTTGGAGTCAGCCAGCCAGTGGCCGAGGTTAGCTTGTCTAGATATTATAATTTCTAATCAATGTGGGATGTTTTTGGTCTGCCGGTTCTCAAAATTAGATATAAGTCATTTGTTAGGAGAAGGCCAAATTGAGATATTATATCTATATAATGCAGGCGCCCGTGGGCCTTGTACAACTTCTTTTGTTCTCTATGATGGGATAGGGTATCCAGAGCTGGTGGCTGGAATTTGTTTGGGAAAAGAATGGTGGGGAACTTTCACCCTTCCACCATGGTGGCCGGTCAGAATGATTGAATTGTTTGTCTGCCATTTGTGGTCTGTCTCATGGTAGGGTCAGTGTGCTTTGGTTGGCAGTGGGAATGTGAGAGGAAGCCATTTCCTCTGAGCCAGGGGCTGGAGACTGAGACCACCACTCTTCCGGAGAAGACATTTATCTCTTAACGGGAATGATTGCGGCTCGTGTCCATGGAGGATGGGCACTCCCAACTTTGTATATTTACAGAGTCAGTTTAGTCTAACATAACCTTAGATTAGACTCTCTGAGTGGTTAGGATTTTGTTAACCTTAACAGGAATAGGTTTTGAGATTCATATAAAAATGTAACTTCAATTTTCCTCCCATTTGTAAATGGAATTTTTTCTGCATGCTCATGCTTGAAACAAAATATGGCAATACAAACTATAGAAGTTGGACGTGGATACAAAAAAACCTCGAAATATTTGCATTGTTGGCATTATGATGTGATGCTTTTATACAATTCCTGTTTTTAGGCACGAAGAAACTGTTGGGAGGATAAAAGCGCATGAAGCGAAAGAAAGATGAAAATAATGGGCATGTTTACAGGTAGAGAGGTTAGTCAATTAGGAGACAAGGAGAACATAGCATATGTCTAATTCTAATTATCGAGGGACATTCGTTAGTGGAAGCCCTGGAAAGTGTAAAAGCGAAAGCGCCACAAACAAATTAATTTTATGGATCAATTATTGAACTTTCATCTTCTGCTTTTGGCCAACCAATTACCAACCAAGCTTACATTAAAAGGACACTCATAAACAAAACATTCAATTAGCCATTGAAAAGTTTCTGGATCTTGTGATTAGCTTGACAAAACTTGTTTATCAGATCTAAATGCAAATCCCCGACAAAGCGACATAGGATCATTGTCACTCCTCCCTCCTATCCTGTTTAGGTTTACCTATATACTACGGTTCCTTAACTAAAAAAGTCATTTTGTTTTTGAGTTTAGGTAAGAAAATTCATTCCTTGTAAAGAAACCCAAGCCATCCCTTGGAACCAGAACCCAATCCATCCCTCCGAACCAGTCCACGAAACCCAATCCTTCCCTCCGAACCAGTCCATGAAACCCAAGCCCATTCACATTCTTAAAATCCAGAACAGGGATCCCTCGGCATTCAGGGCCCATTCACATTCTTAAAATTCTCAACAACAATCGGAAAACAGTTCATAGTAGGTAAGAGTCTTGAGAAAACAAAACAAAACAAATCTTCTGACATCAGATTCTGCTTCATTTTCAGAGAAGAGAACGTTGATTCATTCATGTCATTCAAATCTAACTCGTTCGTTCCTCCTCCATAAACAACACCCATTACACAGAAATCAGAGGAGAGAGGAGACCTTCATTTTCCCATTAACTTTAACTATATATAATACACTTAAAAAAAATATATATTGTCACAGGCAACAATACAAACAGCAACACATCACATCCAGGGTGAAAAGCATATAATCAATCATACACAAATAACAAATCCAACCCCCAATTTTCCCGATTCAATTTCGACTTTCACGACCTGAAAACATCACAAATTGAATGGAAATAAATCCAAAACCCAAAATTTCAAAGATAAAAAAACCTAGAGAGAACAAAATGAACCCAATTTTCCGATCCCATCGAGGATGCTGACGTGTCTGTCCCTCATCAGACCGGGAGATTGACGACGTCGTTCGGGGCCGAGGAGGAGGAGGAGGAGGAGGAAGAAGGGTAGTGAGGACGGTGGTCGCTGAGATTGACGGAGCGAGAGGCGAAGAGCATGAGGGGTCGGTCGTGAGCTTCTTCTGGGTTCATTTCGTGGTCGTCGGAGGTGGAGAGGTTGATGCAGGAGCACCGCTCCAGCGATGCGAAGAAGGCCGATGCCACGTGGGTCCCAAGCCAGCTGGCCACCCCGTTCAGCTTCTCGTACGATAAGCACGAGCTCTGGCTCTGGCTCTCCATCGCCTTTAATTTTTGCAGTGGCAGAGAAAGAGAAAGAGACCCAACCAAAAGTCAATTCCCAAATATACAACCAACCAAACAACAAAAGATCAATTCAATTCACAACACAATGGAGGCCGACCGTTTCTCCTTCCTTCCTTGTTCTTAGGAACTAGCCTTTTACCATATTTTACCTTACCGTGTTTTCTTTCCTTTTTATCTATTTACGTATACAAATAAATAAATTAACGCAAATTTTAAAGAATATTATCTGCCGGCCCGGCATGTTGTTTATTGACTTTGACTTTGTACTCCAACGACATGCCGTTTCTATCGCCGTGCGTGCTGTATGTATCCTGTATGTATGTAGTAGATTGACAATTCCATGGTGAGGTGACCCGGGATAAGGCCAAAGCGGGAGCAAATATACATTGGCGTCAGACACGATCCCACGTGTCATGCCACGTCATCTTGATCTTCTACGGAAACTATAGCGGATAAGAAGACGCCATCGTCTGTCTCACACTGCCATTGTTTCGAAAATGGCTGCTTCACTTGCTTCAATTCCATTGTCGCGCAATGGTCTCTCTCTCCAGTTCTCCCCAACGAAACGCCATTGTTTCACAGTTCCAGAATTCCACTCACCTATGCGTGTGTGTTGCTCTGGTGAGCCTTCCGCACTGATTCTTCTCACATTACTCATTCTTGTCTTGTCATGTTCAATTTTGGTTCAGTTGGTTGAATTGCAATGAAATTTTTTTGATTGGTTCTTGTGTTATATAAAGCAGTTCCAAGTTCTGGGTTTGATTCTGTTGTTTGTTGCCCAGTTAATTAAATTTGGAAACTTTTATCTTGAACGATTTATAAGCCTTGCTTTTCTCTGTTGTTATCTTCCCAGAAAGCAATTTTCCAAAAGCATTTACAGAATCAGAAAACAAAATGGTCATATATAGATTTCGACTTTTGTTGCTTTTGATTTTGCTTACCAACCTCTGCAAACAAATAGTGGAGGGATTTCTTTTCTCGTATTCGTGATATTACTTTGTACCGTGCAGCATCTAGGGATGGTCATGAATTAAAGGAAAACTTGTCTCAACTGAAGCAACTTAAGAATGTAGCTTGTGGCATTCTTGCTGTTTGGGCTGTTACTGCTGCCTCGCCTGTAATTGCTGCTGGTCAGGTTTGAAAATTGAAACACACTCTTAGCCTACATTACTCCCTTTTATTTTTAAGGGCCTTAGTTTACCTATCACCATCTATGTATATTTTTCACATGCTATGCTTAGTGGACTAATGGAATGCCTGCATTGGAGATTTGAGTGCCCCATGTTGAACAGATCTAATCCGATGATCACAGTTTTCTTACTTCTTCTGAATGTCTTATGGTACTTTGTATTTGTTTAGTCAAAAACCAAGCAAAACTAGGACATACAACCAGCTAAGCAGTAACAAACAAATTCCACAAGTTACAAATTTCTCTTTAAATAAGAGAATCGGAAATACGCCTTTTTCTGCAACTTCAGCTTGAATGTCATGAATAATCCTTGAGGACCCCGACAGAGCTCCATGAAGCAAAGCTGTTTTCATGTTCCCTCCGATTCCTTTACACCAGGTGCAATATATGTGGCCATTCCAACCAAGTTTGATAGTTAGAAACCTTAAGTTCTTTCCTTTACTCTGAGATTTTATCCAATTAAACTCATCTTGAAAACGAATGTGCCGAGTGTTGGCTGTCTAGCCCCAGGAAATTTGTCTGGCCTTAGTTGGAAGCCTGTCATGAATAAGTTAAGCAGACAGGAAATAAACCATGTTTTGGAATAGCTGTAGAGAACCAGACAAGTCTATCGCAATTCACTTTATGAAGCTTGCCTCCAATTGCATTCCAAGTATCAGAAACTTTTACAAAATCCTTATTTTTCTGGAACATTTATGGTATGAGTAGAAAGTCGAGATGCTTCATAAGAAATTTCATTACGTTGCCACTTTTAGTATTCTACTTTATTGTATCTCTTCTGAAGTCTACTTTTCCTTTAGTTTGTTTCCTTTCAGCTCTTGTGAAATGTCACACGTTTATTAAAATAGGTGGAGCCAAAATGTCATCATCCAAACAATAAATGACGATGAAAATGATGAAACTCAAACCTACTAGTTTTTCTAGTTGTGATTATGAAGGGTACTAAATTGATTTTTTGTTTGTTTTTGTTTTGCAATAGAGGTTGCCCCCATTGTCAACTGATCCAAGTCGGTGTGAGCGTGCATTTGTTGGCAACACAATAGGTCAAGCAAATGGAGTTTATGACAAGGCAATTGATCTCCGCTTCTGTGATTACACAAATGAGAAGTCCAACCTGAAGGGAAAGAGTCTTGCAGCAGCACTCATGTCTGAAGCAAAATTTGATGGTGCAGACATGTCAGAAGTTGTGATGTCAAAGGCTTATGCTGCAGGAGCTAGCTTCAAGGGTAAGATTGCATATCATCCTTGACATCAAATGTACAAGATGATGATATGGAATGAAAGAAATCAATGGTTTTCTTTTTGCAGGTACAGATTTCTCAAATGCAGTTCTAGACCGAGTTAACTTTGAGAAAGCTAATCTGCAAGGAGCTTTGTTTAAGAACACTGTGTTATCAGGCTCCACCTTTAATGAAGCAAAACTTGACGGTGCAGTGTTTGAGGATACCATTATCGGGTACATTGATCTTCAGAAACTCTGTAGAAATACATCTCTCAATGAGGAAGGAAGAGCAACTCTGGGGTGTCGATGACCATTTTCCCTACTGTTTTACTTGCTAATTCAAGGTTCATCTGTTGTATAAGAAGCAACCACGGTGCTTAATGCATTTTCATTCTGTATTTCAAGTTTATTTCTAGGCATTTTTTATGTATAGCCTACCCTGCATCTGTGCATCCTTCCGAAGACAATTTTGTTGGTCTCCTTCTGCAGAGCTAGTGTTTTTCTTTCTTTGTTATGTCTCTCAGAGTTTGAAATATAAGTTTTTGCTTCTGTCAAGTGGTCTAGGTAGGTAGCTTTCGAAAAAAAAAAAGTGAAAAAATGCTCCCATAGCAATAACGTATTTTGGTTCAGGCATTTGTTCATATAATCTCACTAAAGAAGGAGCCCGGAATTTGATTGATTTATTTATTCCTTTTTTACATGCAGAAGAAGAAAACTTACAGTTAGAAAACAATCAACACAAAGTTACTTTGCCCCTTTTTAAAAAAAGCTCTTGTTAGTTAGAGTAATTTTCTCATGAAGTAGCATGAATCTCAGATAGAAAAATAAAGGGAGATCGTGGTGGGTAGCTAGCTAGAACACAATTCACATGTGCCAGCCAGCAGCCACATACCATAACATCAGATGCTACTGCCTCACTTGAAACTCACCAACCCACTCTAAAAGTAGAGTAAAGAATTCTAGCACTTGATGAGAAACTATTGAACGACGTGACCCTGCATTTGCCAGAAAGGTCAAGTTAGCTGAGCCACAGAAGACAGCACTTGCAATTTCCAATTGAAAAACAAGTTTGACGGTCGCGAAAACGCCATAGTGGGGGCTGACTTCATCCCTGGAAACTCGCAAAGTACAAAACCCCTAAAACTTTGACTAGAAAGTAGAACAAGAAAGGCATATATAGCTCGATCGTGATACTGTTTTCAGATTTGTTTTCTCTGAAGAGGGTCTCTCGGGTTTTCCCTTTTTTCTATTCACCTTCTTCATGGAAACCACCATAATTGTTTTTTATGTGTGCCTTTTGTTTTTCAAAATTTTTGACTTGAAAATAATGACAAGAATAAATGAATGATGGCATGAATGATGGCGATTGATACCATCCCTTCAAATAGTAGGTGCTCAACAATTCATCGGGTAGATTAGATTGATGTGTTGAATTATAATATACATGTAATAAAGGACTTGTAGTTCAAATGATTAAGAATAGTTACCTATATATGTACATTCGAATATACATGTGTCATTATTTATTTACTTATTTAGGTAAACGAAATTGTTGCAATAATAAGTTATGGTGGTTGGCGTTTGGATGGGAGAAGTACTTGAATTAGCTACCATGGAGATGTAGATATACAAGTGAAGTAACCAACCATTCCAAAAACTGCCACCTACAATTCCTAGCTGATGATGCTGCATCATGCAATAGCAATAGCAGCACCCTTTTCTTCTGCTCTGAACGCACTGTCAAAATCAAACCAAACCGACAAACCACATACCCCCAACAAGCTCCCACCGCCTTTTCTCCCTTCCTTTGGATGATCGTATATTCCATATTATATGCCATTGCCAACCAACAAACTTCCATGAACCAAATTATAAGTTAAATTCATTTGTATCATATGACGACAACCAACCACAAGTGAACAAGGGCTCTACAGAGATGACCAATAGGGGCAGCTCTCTCTAGCCCTGGGATCTGGATAATTCTTAGTCAACATATTTCATTCACACGCACAAGTAGTAGACTTACCGTGCTTTCACCCTCACCCGATCACATCACTGGCGTATGAGAGTTATATATAACCCCTCCCTCTATATAGCACAGCCCTACATTGCAGGGCTATTACAAGAAAGAACCATATGCTTGCCTGCTTGCTTGCCATCAGTTCTCTCTTTCTCACTCTGAGAGAGAGAGAGAGAGAGAGAGAGAGAGAGAGAGAGGAGAGAGAGAGAGGAGAGAGAGAGAGAAGTTTGGGATGATTATTAAATAATCCTCTTTGTAATGTTTCTTGCTCAAATGAGTATTCCAAGCCACAGTTGCATGCAGTTTGCAAGCACTGGTGCTTCTGCAATTCTGAGATGCTCATTTCAGCAAGCAGCGTTACAAGAGGAAGATTTTTGCACCAAAAAGGCCTTCTGCTAGCTACCTGATATATATCATCACCCTTATACAGATAAGTACTACTGCTTATAATTATTCCACTTTCTCCATCATCTTCTTGCTGCTTAAACGTAGCGAATATATATTACTTCAATTCATTTGCTCACATCACATCAATTAGGCTAAAAGTTTTCCCCTTTTTTCATTTCAAATTTGGATACATGTTAATTAACACAAGAAATTAATGAAGCATCAATTAATTTGCTCACATCACATCAAATAGCTAAAAGTTTTTCCGTCTTTTCATTTCAAATTTGGATACATGTTAATTAACACAAGAAATTAATGAAGCGTCAATTAATTATCGGATCATATACCATATATATAAGTCATATCAATTATAATCTTGCCCGGCCGCCATGATCATATACCAAATTACAAATATATACATGTGCTAGCTATGATATGCATCATGACGATGGAGAGAGAGAGAGAGAGAGAGAGAGATCATTGCTTTGGTGCCGGATTTTGAAGTGCCATAACTAATAATTACCATTCATTTTATGTTTCATTACTAGCCGTAGTTTTGTCTTGTTCAGGCTAAAGCTAGCACTGGAGCTGGAGGGAAATTAAGAAAGAAAAGGACTGATGATCGATGTGCGCACTGCCAGGAGCTACCTCTCTACTCGCTAATGATCGAATTGAATGCATATGTATTGTATTGATCCAAGTTTTTGACCATCTCGTTTCAACAAAGCAAAACCCTATCTCTGCTCATTTATCTGATTCTGCGTATATAAGTGATCTCTCTATTATATATATACATGGACATGCTAGCTGCATTTACATGGAGGTTTTTTATAGTAAGGATGCACTTATTTTCTTTAAAATAAAGACATCCTATTTCTTGATTGTAATTCAATAATCGGAACCGTTCAGTTTTTAGGTTATTTTTCAAGGATTATTCATGCAAAAGTCAGCTAAAATATAAACGGCTCTAATCATAAAAATACATTGTTGGATAGTCTAACAAAATATATGCTTAATAGCTACCTCAGTAACAGACAAACAAGATTTCTATGCTATGCCATTGCCAGCTGAGTTAGCTTAATTCATTTTTCCCCTTAATTGTGATTGCAAAGGAACAAAGTTGTCTGCTACTTTAATTAGTTATTGGTAATCCCCCCAAATTACAATTTAATTTGGAGTAGCTCAAGGATGAAGATCGATATGTATGTTGAACTCTCTCTTAATTTGGAGTTCACTCTATCGAGGTGTTTGTTATATATAACAATAAAACTTTGTTGAAAAGGTTAGTAGTGGGCCTTTAAAATGTCATCCTGCAATTCCTTATCCATCATGGCAAGTAAAGATATAATTAGCATCGACTCATATACATATAAAAAGCAAGCCAGATTATTTAGCTTTAGCAACTAGCATAATCTTCAATTACTGATATAAATCCCTTGCTTATTACTTTTATAACAGCATATATTCAGAGCTTTTATCACTTTCTTCTATTGTTAATACTAAGTTCTAACAAAAAGAGTAAGATAAAACAAGGAAAAGAAATGACGGAACAGAATCAAAGATATCCACAGGAAAAGGTAAAGCTCTGTCTGTCAAGACATGCACAGACACTTAACCCTTGGCAGCAAGATATCGTATTCCCTGGCCTCTCCCAATTGCAAAGAAAAGAATCCAAAAGTTACTTCTTCAAGAATGGTACCCTAAGCTTGCATCACCATTCACCTCCCAAACGTACAGCACCCACACTCTTCTTACTCATGGCAAATTCTCTTCCCAATTTTGCATCACCTGGATGCTGTGTTTTGCTCCTTCTTGTCTCAATCTTCATTCAAGGTATTAATATTGCAAATTCAATTTATATATATATATATATATATATATATATGTTATGTACCAAAAATGGAAAATGGATTTACTTTAATTTCTTTTAAAATTTGTGCTAGGAGGAGTGCAAGGATCTATTGGAGTGAACTATGGCACGGTGGCAAATGACCTCCCTCCACCAACCCACGTCGCCCATTTCCTTTTAGAATCCACCATTATCAACCGTGTTAGGCTTTTTGATGCAAACCCTGATATAGTACAAGCCTTTGCTCACACTGGCATTGCAGTCACAATCACTGTCCCAAATGACCAAATCCCCCACCTTACCAAGCTTAGCTTTGCCCAACAATGGCTCAAATCCAATGTCCAACCTTACGTCCAGGCCACCAACATAGTCCGCATCTTAATAGGCAATGAAGTTTTGTCCACCACAAACAAGTTGTTCATTGCAGGCCTTGTTCCTGCCATGCAAACCCTCCACGCCGCCCTTGTCGATGCTTCGTTGGACCGCAAGATTAAAGTCTCTACCCCACACTCTCTAGGCATTCTTTCAAGTTCAAGCCCACCGTCCTCTGGCAAATTTAGGCAAGGCTATGACGGCCATGTGCTTAAGCCGTTGCTTAGTTTCTTGAAAGCCACCAATTCTCCTTTCATGGTGAACCCCTATCCTTATTTCGGATACTCTGCGGACACACTTGATTACGCACTTTTCAGGCCAAATTCCGGCGTCTTTGATGACAAAACTAAACTCCTTTACACCAACATGTTGGATGCACAATTAGATGCTGTTTTTTCAGCCATGAAGCTTTTGGGCTTTGTGGACCTTGAGATTGTTATAGCCGAAACGGGCTGGCCATCAGAGTGTGATCCGGCCCAAGTTGGTGTTGACCCACAGAGTGCAGCGGATTACAATGGAAATCTCATTCGTCATGTGACATCCGGTAATGGCACCCCGTTGATGCCGAATCGGACTTTTGAGACGTACATCTTTGCCCTCTTCAATGAAAATCTCAAGCCCGGCCCAACATGCGAGAAGAATTTCGGGCTTTTCCGGCCCGACATGACACCGGTTTACAATGTCGGGATCCTCCGGCACACGGTAGCTGCTGCAGCTGAAAACCACCCTAAAAAATTCCCCTTCTTGATATCATCTTTATGTATGTGCTTGATTGGTTTGTGGGCTTCGCTTTGACAGGCTAGTTCATCTACACCTTTGAACCCAAGCCCAGGCCGAGTTCCGGTTCCAGCTCTTGCACCAGTGAGCCCATCACCGCCACATGGCGAGAAACTGTGGTGTCTCCCCAAGAGAGGAGCTGACGCGGAGGCCTTGCAGAGGAATATTGATTATGTTTGTGGGCTGGGATTGAATTGTGGGCCAATCAAACAAGGTGGGCCGTGCTTTATGCCCAACACAGTTCGAGCCCATGCAGCATATGCCATGAACCGCTACTTTCAAGCAATGGGAAGGAACGGTTACGATTGTGAGTTTGAAGGAACTGGAGCCACCACTGCCGTCGATCCAAGTAAAAAGTTTAATGCAAATAACTTTTAGTTTGGTTTTATTATAGTAATAATTAATAATTAATAATTATTTTTTTAATGACAGGCTATGGAAAGTGCAAGTACTGATGATGGAAAGAAATGCAATGGAGGATGGATGGGACCCATGAATTATAAACACTTCCCTACCAATGCTTTCTTTTTGGCCACAGAGATCAACGTAGGGGATTAGTTTAGTGGCTCATGTTTACTACGATGTAATATCACAGTATTAGTAATTGTTATTTGTAGTCTGAATTTACGCGATGAATGAAGAAAAATATGTTATTTCAAATTCACTTTATATAATAGTAGAAAATAATGTTTATACTTTTTTTGGTTTACATTGCTAGATGTTTATTATTTTCGGTTGACAGAAAAAAAGAAGAAGAGTAAATTGAAAACTAAAATTAAAATTTAATTTGATCACGGAGCTAGCTTGCACTTGTCCGCGGAGCACCCGATTGTTTCCCCCTTGTAACGACCACCAACACAGCAAGCCCCTTTCCCTCATTGCCATTTATGCGGTGCGCTCTGTTTCCCGGAGCGCAAAACGCCATCTCTCTGAAAAATCTTCATCAGTCTTCTTATTTCTCTCTTTCTGTGGTTCCTCAATTTTTAGGGTTTTTGGGTGTTAGTTCAATCCATTGAGAGACTTCTAGGGTTAGGGTTTATAACTCACCCTACCGAAGAAACAATGGGCGAGTGGCAACAGCTCCTCCAGTCGATATTCCTAGGCCTCATTTTCTCTTACCTTCTCGCCAAGCTCATCGCCATAGTCATCTCCTTCAAAGAAGATAATCTCAGCATCACTCGCGCGCACACTACTCCCACCGACATCAATCTACCCCGACCCAAACCCCAATCCCATGACGATCCCCCTCGCTCAGCCGATTTGACCTCCGCAGCAATCGAGGCCGAATCGGTCGTCGCAGAGCATGGCAGTGTCAGGAACGAGAGCAGCGAAGCTGGAAGTGACGATGACTGGGAAGGCGTGGAGAGTACAGAATTGGACGAACTGTTCAGCGCAGCGACAGCGTTTGTTGCATCAGCCGCGACGGATCGCCAGAAGGTATCGAACGATGCGCAGTTGCAGCTCTATGGGCTTTACAAGATTGCTACTGAGGGTCCCTGTAGCGTGCCGCAGCCATCGGCTCTGAAAATGACAGCTCGCGCCAAGTGGTATTTGCTTCACCATTGCTCCTTTTGGCAATTTAATTGCATAATTTTATGCTTTATTTGTTTAGATTTTAATGTCTGCGTGATAATGATGGGTGATGTGTTCCATGGATCGGTTTTATTTAAGTCAAGTTTACGTTAATCAAAAATTTTGTTTTTCCAAGAACTAAGCCCTAATTCTAATGTTTTTCACTGGGTAATTGATAATTTAGGGTTGGTTGAACTGTGTAGTTTAGTCCACAGGTTTACTCGCTGAGTGTTTGAATTCTTTTCACTGGGTAATTTCTGCTAGGCAAGCATGGCAGAAATTGGGTGCTATGCCTCCTGAAGATGCCATGGAGAAGTACATTGATATTGTTACGGAGCTATATCCTACTTGGGCAGCAGGTTTGACTGTGGTGAGTCTTGATCCTTTTGTTTTCCACTGTATTTTAGTACTGCTGTACATCTACTCACTTTCTGTTTCGTTTTCTTTGCTGGCCTCTTTCCTATCTCTCGACATATGATGACTAGAAGAGCAGAGGCGGAGATGGTAATGCACCTGGTACAGATTCTAACGGACCAATGGGGCCAGTTTTCAGCACCTTTGTTTACGAGGAGGAATCTGAAAATGATTCGTAAGTTTCTTAGGACCAGTTTCATGTTTGCAATTACCGCTCATTAGGTGATACTAATTCTTGCAAAAACATTGCTAAGGAGTACTTGTTTTACTTTTCAGCAAGATGGATGCCATTCATGCCTTTGCCAGAGAAGGAGAAGTGGATAATATGCTTAAATGCATTGAAAGCGGTGTTTCAGTAGATCTGAAGGGTTTGTTTCCTTCAGTAGATCTTAATTAGCTTCATTTAATTTCCAACTGATTATGAATTTCTGTATTCCATGAGTATTTCTATAACTACAAAAACATGGATATTTTCTTTCTTTTTGGGTGGTTTACAGACTAAGGCTGCTCATAAAAAGCTCAGGCTCAGCTTTATTAGAAGCTCGTTTCCTTTTTAAATCTCAGCTCTTTGGATGCTCATTTCCTTGTCAAATTAATGAGCTACAATTTGAGCTTAATATCCAAGCTTGGTTGCTTAGAACAAAGCTTGATCAACACTGGATTGTACTCTTTAGGTTTGTGAGCAAGTTAGGTAGGTCAGTAGGTTCATGCTGTTGTCAACATGCTTCAGTAATAAACTTTGAGAAAATGTAGGATAAAATAAAATCACTAAGGCATGTGTAGAATGAAGGTTGGAATTATGCATTTCAACGCCAAAAGTGTATTGAACTGACTGGCTAGTTCAGTCAGCTAGAGAATAGACTCAATGTCACACAAACATGTTACATAACAAAACTTAAAAAGACCAGGCTGGAAGTTAGATTGACCTATGGCACCCCAAGTTCAACTTACTTCATACTGAGCTGGGTGCAGAACTCTCTCTCTCTCTCTCTCTCTCAATACATGTGCATGGCTTAGTAGTTTCTTCCTTTTTGTCAGTCATGTATTTTCTTTTCAACCAATGAGATATTCTGACATTATTAGTTTTCTATATAGGGTTTTGCTAAAACTTGCATAATTTTCAATGAAATTGGTTAATATAGCTTCAAAAGCTAAAAGTTTAGAGACTTCAGTTTCTTATGTCTATCCTGATTTGTGAAGCTTTTAATGTACAATTGACAAAAGTGTTCCATTTATTTATATTGGTCACCCCTTTATAGTAGGATGTTGAAGGGAAATTTTCTTGGTAGTATGGTGTTGATATCGCCTAAAAACAGTTTACGTGCAATGATTGCAGATAGTGAGGGAAGGACCCCATTGCATTGGGCTGTGGATCGTGGGCACCTGAATATGGCAGAGCTACTTGTTAGCAAAAATGCCAATGTTAATGCGAAGGTAAGGTTAAAATGTAAACATTTATTTTAGGTAGGAAAAAGTGTTTTCCCAAGGCCATGCCCTGATGATGCCCATTTTGAAATTCTGTTATTTTGGTGTTGGAAGGACAACGATGGCCAAACTGCACTGCATTATGCTGTTATGTGTGATAGAGAAGGCGTTGCTGAATATCTTGTGAAGCAAAATGCAGACACAGGTGCAAAAGACAATGATGGCAGCTCTCCGTGTGATCTCTGCGAGTCAAACTGGCCTTGGTTGCAGCGTGCAAAGGAGTAGAGTCACACTGACTGATGGTTTACTTACTTTGTGCTTTGTTCAAGCTGTAGTAATTTTTGAGAAATTCCTTGTGGATGTATATTGGTGATGTATAACCCCAAACCTTTTTGAATCTTTTGTCTTTGGAAAGATTTTCAAGTAGGGTAGTATGTGTATGTAGTTTTCTACCTTGTCCTTGTGTAGCCTTCTTTTTTTGGATTATTCAATTTCCCCAATCGTGGAAGTGAAAAGAAAGGTGGAATTCACTGGGTGTAACTTTTACACTATTTGCATATCAAATCAATCCCTACCCTTTTTTGGGTCACCGTATCGATGCCTGCTTTTTGCCATTGTATTAGCAATTTGTATTTTTTAATATTTTGATAGTTGCCGTTCCTAAATGCTGCAATTCTTTGTTTACCTTTTTATTTCTTTATTTTAATAATAATTTATCTTTAACTTTTCTTTGGTAATCTTGTTCTCTGTAATTAAAATCACAGAAACGAATATATAACTAATCAGATTAGTTTTTTTATTTATAAATATTAGAAAGACAATTATTTTCTCTGGATCAGCGGCCATGAGTGGTGTGAATAATATCCATCCATTCATAACAATTTTATCAGTTTCCTTTAACTACAACATGAAAATTGTAAATATTGGAAAACACCTGCCTGCCTGCTATTGCCTATTAAGATTGCTAATTTGGTACACCCCAAGATGTCCCCCAAATCTTCTCTAATAAAGCAAAGGCTATATCCTATATGTGCCTCCCACTTCTAACGATCACTAACCCTTTCTGCCACCACCCAATATTCAGTTGGTCGTTGGCTTATCATCATCACCTTGTCCCATGCCCTGGCTTCTTTGATGCCAAACAATGGTGAAGGCAGTGGTCTATGCGCTGCTTGCCACCGCCTTTATCCTTGTCATGGTCTTCTGTCCCTCCAAACAACATGGCCACCACCATCATCTTGGCCTAAACCGGCGTCTTGGCTTCGGAGATCATGTCCCGGTTTTCGACCCTCTTGTTGCCAATATGGAGCGATATGGGGAGGAAAATGGATTAGGAGGCCAAACTCATAACCTGGATTTGGTGGAACACAGTCCCATGATGGATACCAGTGAGGTTGAAGAAGTACATGAATATTTTAGCGACGAGGGAAAGTTGAACCTCACATTGAGGCTGCTCAGTTTGTTCCCTTTGATAGACCAGGCACCAAAAGATAGCTACATTAGCTCCAATGAGCTCAAGCACTGGCTCACACAACAGGCCGTGGTAAGGTTGAATTACAGAACCCAAAAAGAAATGGAATCGTACGATAAAGATGGGGATGGAACCATTTCTTTCAGCGAGTATCAGCCCAAGTTTTCCAGTCAGGATCTCGGTACGTAACCCTTTTATTTATTTAACTACTTGGATGGACGTTGATGTTATGTGGCTGTGAAACAGAGAAAAATGGAATGGAGCATGGAGAAGCTGGATGGTGGAAGCAGCAATTTGATAATGCAGATGCTGATAAGAATGGAACTCTTACCTTCAATGAATTTAAAGAGTAACTTCTCTTCATTTTTCCATATCACCAAGCCGCCGACCTTTTTTTTTTTTTTTTTTTTTTTTTTTTTTTTTTTTTTTTTAAAATTTTTTTTTTTTTTTTTTTTTACCATTTTTTACATCCTCTAAATTTCTGTTGCAGTTTGTTTGCACCCAGAAGACAGTAATAACAGCGAAATTCATAAATGGCTGTTGGCAGAAAAAATGAAGTACATTCTCACATATAATTCATGCTTCATTTTTTCTTTTCCTGAATAGTTTGTTGCAATGCAAGGCTATAGATTAACAAAATGTCTGCCTGTAATGCGCAGACGGATGGACCAGGATAACGACGGAAAACTAAATTTCATGGAATTTTCACACAACGCTTATGATAGTTTCAAGAGTTACGTCGAATTCGAAACAGGCGGGGCCAAAGCACCCACAGCAGAAGAGAAATTTGCAGAGCTTGATTTGAACAAGGACAAGTATGAACACATGCCTTGGCTTGACCCTAGCTAACAACTTTTTATTCTAAATCTTCTTCTTTTTGTTTGCTTTGCCGCCAAGATTATAGCTAGAGGAATTTGATTAATTACTGAGCTGTTTCAAAATTGCATGGCAAATTTTTGACAGTCTCTTGGAAGTGGAAGAATTGAAACCCCTGCTGCATTACCTTCACCCAGGAGAACTGTCCTATACTAATTATTATGCAAGTTTTCTTATGTCTGAGGTCAGTACTGTAATTATATGTATTGCCTGAAATTCCTGTTTCAATTCCTATTTCTGTTCCCATTGTTTGACATATGCTGAGATGATTCAAATGAAATATGTGACATTTTTTTTAATACAGGCCGATGATAACAAAGACGGCAAATTAACGCTGGATGAGATGTTGGATCATGATTATATTTTCTACAGCACAGTCTATGATACCGGAGTTAATGACGATAATGAAGAAGATTATCATGACGAATTCTAAAGTGTGATATGATTTTTTTTTTTTTTTTTTTTAGTCTTTTTATTTTATCTTAATTTTGTAATATTTTTATTTTTTTTTTATTTTGAAGTTGCTAAAAATACTCCAGAAAAAAATAGAGCAACAGATAATTATGTCTTCCTTTAGGTTAAACATTGAGCGATGAAAGCTAGTGGTATCTTAGGATCGTGTTTTGTTAGAAGCAAAATAGAAAGTTTCATTAAAAACTCAATTGTTTTCTGCATATTCATTTCTACTTCTTCTTCTTCTTCTTCTGCTACAAGGCACTTACGTTCATTTTTACCAAAATTAAGAAAAAGTAACAAACTTTTTTAGTCCTTGAGAAGTGTTTGGAATGGAAAAACATCCGGACAATAGCATTGTAACATTAAAAATAATGATAATAATAATAATTTGACATAATCATTGTGTCCAAAGTAATATGCTTTGCCTTTTTCCATCATTGGGTTTCTTCCTTCTTCCTTGACCAGAAGTTGGAGACAGAAGGGGCAGGTAATGTGCTCTGCTCTCTGTAACTGAGAAAAGTCGTATGCAGTTGCAATCTGAATCCATCCTCACATCATTAAATTTGTTCAAATAATCATAGCCGTCCGATCACTTGACAGACCATTACAAATTTGACTACATAATGGTCAAAGCTTATCTATACTGTCGTGTTTAATTATCTCCTTTGTACATATAAATAAGATTAATGATTTTGACTTGCAAGTTTTTATTTTGGAAAAAAAGAAAAAGAAAAAAGAAGAACAAGTACTTCGAATTTGGATTTTCTGAAACCTATTAGTTACTTACTTAGCCCAAAAGAAAGATACAAAATAATGCCTCTTGGGTCCTAAGATGGGCCCATAACTTTCGATACTGATTCATTCATAAGAAAAACCTATTTCCGCGAAAAGCGTACTGCATAATAGGGCCCCACGAACAAATTATTGTAACCAATTTGTTTGAAAAAAAATAAATTTATAGCTTTCTGCATTCCATCTTAGCAATTTGCTTCTTTCTCTTCGCTCTCTGTGTCTCTGTCTCTGTCTTTGTCTCTGTCTCTGAGGAAGACTTTCCGCTCCCGATCCGTAATCGTACGGTCTCTCTAAGTCACTTTTTTCAGGTAATTCTATCGCTTCCCTATTCAAACCCTAATTTGTTTTAGCGGTAACTTGGGTTTTGAATACTGTTGTATGTTTGATCTTGTTTGTATCTGTTCGATTCGCTTAATTAGTATTCGGTTCGTTATTTTCTTAAGTAATTTTATGGTCTGTGTTTGCTTTTTGTGATTTTTGTTTTTGGTATGTGTTAGGATTTGGTGAAAGTGTATGCCTTGCTGTATGTAATCTCATTCGATCCCTGATTTTCTTTTTATTCAATTGTGGTTTGGATTTGCTGAGTGGGGGATGCGTTCGTTATGGATTTGTTTGGTACAAGTAGGGTTTTTATTGGATTAATATCAGTGGAGTAGGGTTTTTGGTTCGTGAATCTTGGTTCTTTGAATTTAAGAAATTTGCGCTATACATATACATATACATATATATATATATATATATATATATATTTTTTTTTCTTTGATCAAATTTGGTTTCTTGATAATTCGCTCGTAGTCTACAGAAACAGCCACTCTATGTTTTCGTACGTTATTTGTGGATTTGGGACAAGTTTGTGTGTGTATTTTCCAACTAATTTGAATCTGTTAAATATTTGAATTGTTTGCGACCTTGTTGCAGTGCTTTTGTGAATGGTTGTCAGTTTGATTATTTTGGATTTGCCAAGAAAAATTCATGGGTTTGCAGTTTGGAATCACATATTTCTCTAAACCAAATAGCTCAAAAGGAAAAAGATTTTTCCAGCCTTCTATTTCTCTATGCTCATTTGATTTCAATTTCTTTACTGCCCATAGTTGTGCTCTAATAATCTAGATCAATTAAAATTCCTTTTGGACAGTTTTGTGTTCTCTTTAAAATGTTATGATTCATTTGTCTCCTTTTGTCTTTGTATTGCTCCAATGTATCTAAGCAATGAAATTTTTACACTCTCAGATACAATACAGCGATGGAAGTTACCCAGGTGCTTCTGAATGCTCAAGCTATAGATGGAACCATTCGGAAGCATGCTGAAGAAAGTTTGAAACAGTTTCAGGAGCAAGATCTTCCATTGTTCTTGTTATCTCTTTCTAGAGAGCTAGCAAATGAAGAGAGACCTGTTGAGAGCCGTAAATTAGCAGGTCTTATACTTAAGAATGCCCTGGATGCTAAAGAACAACATAGAAAGTTGGATCTTGTTCAAAGATGGCTGGGACTGGAAGCTTCTGTGAAAACCCAGATTAAGATGTGCTTGTTACAGACCCTCTCTTCCCCTGTATCAGATGCCCGTTCAACTACCTCTCAAGTTATTGCAAAGGTTGCAGGAATTGAGCTCCCCCAGAAACAATGGCCAGAACTGATTGGATCATTGTTGTCAAATATCCATCAGTTACCAGCTCATGTAAAGCAAGCCACTTTAGAGACTCTTGGGTATTTGTGTGAGGAAGTCTCTCCTGATGTCATGGATCAAGATCAAGTAAATAAAATACTGACAGCTGTAGTTCAGGGTATGAACGCATCTGAAGGGAACAATGATGTTAGACTTGCTGCCACCCGAGCACTGTACAATGCTTTGGGTTTTGCTCAGGCCAATTTTAGCAATGATATGGAACGTGATTATATAATGAGAGTTGTGTGTGAGGCAACTTTGTCATCTGAAGTGAAGATACGACAGGCAGCTTTTGAGTGTTTAGTCTCCATTTCTTCAACTTACTATGAGAAATTAGCCCCTTACATGCAAGACATCTTTACCATCACAGCAAAAGCTGTTAGGGAAGACCAGGAACCTGTTGCCCTTCAAGCCATTGAGTTCTGGAGTTCGATTTGTGATGAGGAGATAGATATATTGGAAGATTATGTGGGTGATTTTAGTGGGGACTCTGATATCCCTTGCTTTTACTTTATCAAGCAGGCACTCCCTGCCCTTGTCCCGATGCTTTTGGAGACTCTTCTTAAGCAGGAAGAGGACCAGGAACAGGAAGATGGCGCTTGGAATATTGCTATGGCTGGGGGCACATGCCTTGGGTTGGTTGCTCGGACAGTGGGAGATGATATTGTTCCTCTTGTTATGCCATTCATCGAAGAGAACATAACAAAACCAGATTGGAGGCAAAGGGAAGCAGCTACGTATGCCTTTGGTTCCATCTTGGAGGGTCCTTCGGCTAACAAGTTAACACCTATTGTTAATGTTGCTTTGACGTTCATGCTCAGTGCTTTAACAAAGGACCCGAACAACCATGTGAAGGACACTACTGCCTGGACACTGGGAAGGATTTTCGAGTTCCTTCATGGTTCAACTATGGATACACCCATAATTACCCCAGCGAACTGCCAACAGATCATCACAGTTCTTCTTCAGAGCATGAAGGATGTTCCAAATGTTGCTGAGAAGGCCTGTGGTGCTCTCTATTTTCTGGCCCAGGGTTATGAGGATTTTGGCCCATCATCTCCCTTAGCTCCTTTTTTCCAGGAAATTGTACAGGCTTTACTCACTGTTACTCACAGAGCAGATGCTGGGGAATCACGATTGAGGACTGCTGCATATGAAGCGTTGAATGAAGTTGTAAGGTGTTCATCTGAAGAGACTGCCTCCATGGTGTTGCAACTTGTTCCTGTTATCATGATTGAACTGCACAAGACTCTTGAGGGCCAGAAGGTTGCTTCTGATGAGATAGAGAGGCAGAGTGAATTGCAAGGACTTCTTTGTGGGTGCTTACAGGTCATTATTCAGAAACTAGGCTCATCAGAGCCAACTAAATATGTTTTTATGCAGTATGCGGATCAGATAATGGGACTTTTCTTGAGGGTATTTGCCTGTAGAAGTGCTACTGTCCATGAAGAGGCCATGCTTGCCATTGGGGCCCTTGCATACACAACTGGCCCAGACTTTGCAAAATACATGCCAGAGTTTTACAAGTATCTGGAAATGGGGCTTCAAAATTTTGAGGAGTACCAAATCTGTGCTGTCACAGTTGGTGTGGTAGGGGATATTTGTAGAGCCATTGAAGATAAGGTTCTGCCTTATTGTGATGGAATTATGACCCAGCTTCTCAAGGATCTATCAAGCAACCAGTTGCACCGCTCTGTAAAGCCTCCTATATTCTCCTGCTTCGGTGATATAGCTCTTGCAATAGGAGATAACTTTGAGAAGTACTTGATGTATGCCATGCCAATGATCCAGAGTGCTGCAGAGATGTCTGTCCACACAGCAGGTGCTGACGATGAAATGACAGAGTACACCAATTCTCTGAGAAATGGAATATTGGAGGCATACTCTGGGATTTTCCAAGGTTTCAAGAACTCCCCAAAAACCCAGCTCCTGATATCTTATGCTCCTCACATCCTGCAGTTCTTGGATAGCATATACATGGGGAAAGACATGTGAGTTGTTTTAATTTCTAGTTCTTGTTACAAAATTGCATTTTTTGTTTTGTTGTTTTTCTATTTTATTTTTTTTATAAAAATTATATCTACTGGTATGTAGGGATGAAGTGGTGATGAAAACAGCCATTGGTGTCCTTGGAGATCTAGCAGATACACTAGGAAGCAATGCAGGTTCTTTGATACAGCAATCTCAGTCATGCAGAGACTTTTTAAATGAATGTTTGTCTTCAGAAGACAATTTGATAAAAGAATCTGCAGAATGGGCCAAGTCGGCCATCAGTCGTGCCATTTCTGTTTGAGGCTACTGCCACTTGGTATATTCCATTTGTTTGGAAGTCCCTGCATGCATTTGGGTGTGTTGAGTTGGGTCATAGGATTGCATGTGTCAAGTCATCGCCATTTTCAGACAACAGAAGCTGTCAGTAGTCTTCAAGTTGTCACTAACTTGCATCATCTCCAAAAGTTGTGACTAACAATTGCATCAGCCCCTCAGGCTTTGGTTCCTGGATTTTTCAAGGAGATGAAGAGTGGGGGGTAGTGAATGTCACAGAAGCGGGTCAAGGCCTGCAATAAAAATTAACAAAATTCTGTGTGTCACAGAATATGTGGGGCATCGGAGGAAGGTCAGTGACATTCATGAGCGTCAGTTTTCTGAGTCACCAAGGTTAATTGCTGTTTGAAAGCTAAACAAAATCTTGTTAACCTTTTCCACCACCCCATGGTGATTTCCTCCCAAAGAGATTGGGGTCAGAACGGATGAGTAAAGCCTAATGTTGTTGGGGCACTGACGTCTTGTCACTACTCTCAGCAGCATATTCCTGAAAAATCCTCCATAGCAGGTCTTCATTCCTTGAATTCAGGCAGCTCCTCCTTTTGTTTCGTGTTTGCATATTCGCCATCTTTTTACTTGTCCTAGTCAGTGCGTATTCCTGAGCATCTCCATATCAAGTCTCTACTGTTTTCAGTTCTCTCAAGAGTTGAGCATTAGCATGAGCTATTTTGGAAACGCAGATCTTACATTTGCATTAGCCAGTTTTCATTTTTCATCTTTGTTAGGAGGTTGTGTTAGCTCATACTGTCCAATACCATGCATTCATGAAGTCATTTGTTATGTCGCTTTTTGAAAGACAGGTTTTTCTTTTTTGCTTGGGGAACATGTAATCATATATGTTTTTGTTTTTTCTCTTTTGGGAAGTTGTTTATCATTAAACATCACAAATTGTGATGGCATAGCGAGGAATGGAGCATGATATTATTTGTTGGAAGAGGCCTTGTATTTGTTTATCTGCCTGCCTCATGTGTGGTTTCTTTAAAGTGATATTCCACAGTTAATGCATAGCAAATACGTTGCTTGAATGATCATCCTGTTGTTGAAGCACTCTGATCAGAATGATGGATTATTTTATTGCTATATTTAGTTATGCGCATATTGCTAATGCCTTACTAAGATTTTATATTCGATTGCATTGGATTGGGTTCGAGGAAGCAAACCCTGAGAATTGGGTTCTCGCTGAAAAAATGTGGCATTTTCCGAAGCCCACCAGGTACTTTCTCTTATTCAGAGAAGGCCCTAACTCGGCAAAACAGCAGGCCCAAAATCGATCCTGGTTGAAACTTGAAACTTAAGTATTTATTTTTTGGACGAAACTTGAAACTGAAGTTTGTAACTAGGAATCCTACGCGACAAGATTTATTGTCAGTCCTAATTAGGATATATTGTCAGCCCTAATTAGGATGAACATGATGAGCATTGATTGGATTGGAGGGTAAAAGTAGGAGGAGTTGGATAAAAGGTGGTTTGTAACTCTTTTTTGACCAAGTACGCATTCAGCGCACCAATTCGTATTCATCCCTGAATTGAAAAACAACCAAATATGGTCATGTAAAGTTTTCAAAGGAAAAAAGATGTGGTCAGGTAGGTTCAAAGAAGTTAGCTATTGACAATTTGTGATATGACTGCCACCATCGATTCCATTCCATACCCAGCAGCAAGCGCAACATCTTTTTCTGGTAGCCCCCCTCCACATAATGTGAGGTGTGTCAGTACTCAGTAGTACTACTACTTTTTAACCCAAAACAATTGGATTTTTTTAATCAGAGAAAGACAAAACAGAGGGCAAAGGGCAGATGGGGATGACATCATCACAGTAAGCATCCAAAATGAATAGCAAGTACCACTTTGATTAAGCACTTGCACTCTCTCTCTCTCTCTCTCTCTCTCATCCATGCCATTGCCATTATCCCACCATACATAGACTTAATCTATATTTACAAAACCCTGCCATTGCCATTATCCCACCATACATAGACTTAATCTATATGTACAAAACCCTAAATCAATCATCTTAGTTGTAGATTCATTGATGCCTTGCCTAGTTAAAATAGTAAAATACCATTTTATTTGTTTTCATAATAATGTTCCCCGACAACCTAGAAACATTGCCAAAAACGGAGTTCCTCTAAACACCATCATTACCAACATATACTCCTCTTGGGAGATGATTACTTACTGCAACATTCTCTTTGTCGTAATGTTAATCTACGATTATTTTTAAAAAAAGTTAAAAAAAAGTTGCAGTCTGTGTTGGGAGAGTACTTCAAACTGTTGACTTGTCCCCTCCCTCGCTCCCTTACCTTATGGTAGTGCTTGCTTCCATTCCATCCCACTAGTGGGTCACCAATCTTTCAATTCTAATCCTTCCTATTTGATTTTTCATTGTAGCCCACTCTCTCTCTCTCTCTGTGTTTGTATTCATCCATTGACAAACCACGAAGTGATGAAAGCCAAAATATGAGGACCTAAAGCACAATTAAACTCAAGTGCTGTTTGGTTTGGTACCACGGAAAATGAAATCTATCAGAGAGAAAAAGAGAGAGAGGGAGAGGTCAGAAGAACATAAAAAGGTTGAAAGTCGTAGAGAAAATGATGGCCATCCATAAACACCTCCACTACTGTTTATGTTTTATCATCATGATTCATGGGGCTTAATTAAAAGTTCCATTGAGATTGAGCAATAAACTTATCGGTCTATATAAACAAGCGAAAGCGTAATTAACCTCATCAAATCAAGGATATATAAGTTATCTTTCTGCATCTCATAGAGCCATAATCTTAGAAGAAGAAGAAGAAGATGATAGAGAAGAACGGTAAAAAAAAGTCTAGGTCTAGGGTTTTCTATAATATTCATCGCATGTCATGATCATTCACGCAATTTCTGTACACCATGAGCTAGACATATCTACTAGTTTATTAGTTTTTACTGAAACAATGGGCACTTTAAAAAGTAGATGTGCACTGCACCATTGAAACATTTGCAACACAAATTAGTGGTGAAGACAAGGAAAAAAAAAGCAAATTAAATTAATAACAAAAAAGATGACAACCACACAAAAGTAGGCAGAAAATAATCCCTCTCTCTCTCTCTCTCCCTTCTCTGTTTTTTTTATAAAAAAAATGGTTAGAATTTAAGCCACGCAGAGGATTGTTGTGGTGTTTGTGCACATGCATAAGAGTATAGCCGCGCGGCTATACTCTCTAAATAAATCAGAATATTTTAATAGTATAGTTGCGCGGCTGTACTCCTTAAAATATATTCGACTATTAGTTAGCGCGAATTGGATGAAACCTTTTCTATTCTCTTACTGCGAGTCAACTAACCTTTGTTTCTGATGCTCGGAAGTTTCCTTCTCCGGTTGCATCAGCAAGGTCTCGTATCAAAACCTTTGATCCAAGAGAACACTTTAAGCGAGGTGAAATTGCAACAGATTAGCTACTGAAAATCAAGTTCCATTTTGGACGCAACATGAAATGAAATAGTGCAGTTGACTTGTGTGCTGTGCTGGAGGGTAAAAAGCATTTCATCATCATGCTGTTGGGTTGCTATTGGGTGGAGTGAGTGCACAGCACACAATGACAACAGTTCTCTCTCTCTCTCTCTCTCTCTCTCTCTCTCTCTCTCTCTCTTAGTGCATAATATGCTACCACTCACTCTGAGAGTAAGCATAAAAGGCGACTTCCCCACCTCCCCCGATAGAGCCAAACATATTCATCCCCCATTTTAACTATTGATATTTGATACAAGAAGAAGAAGAAGCCATATGGCTCTTAGAATCAATGTCTTTCTTCTTCTACTACTTTTCCTCTCACTTCTCCTCATTCCCTTATCTTCAGGTGAGCAGATTACTTAAAGTTAATTATATCCCATTTCAGTTTCCTTATGTTTCAATTATCTTTCTTTGTGTGTCTGTGTGTGTGTGTGTGTAAAATGTTTCAATTATCTTAATAAGCTGACTTAAGTAGGCATTGTTAATGAAGGGTTCAAGGAGGATGGCATAGACCCCATTCACTTACTTCACAAGGTACAATTAATTAATCTCCTTGTTCTCTAGTTTCTATCATAAGATTAATTATGGGACAACATTCTACCATGCATTATTATTATTAAATACAATTTAACATTAATTTATTAAGAGATGCAAATCATATGCCTTCCTTGCTAACGAATTCTTTATGTTTCTGAAGGATGGAATCGTAATGAATTCAAGGAAGCTTTGGATGCTTGATGCAACAATGCAGGATTATGATGATACAGGAGCCAATCAAAAACACGACCCTAGAAGGAAACCTGGCAATGGAAGGAACCCATGACTGTCTTAATAAAGTGGCCTTAAAACTCTTAATTAACTAATTAAAAACACTACTATTTTCTCTCTCCCGCCCGCCGCGCCCTCTCTTATCGAGGTTTTGATTGATCATCTGTAAGGAGACATATATAAGATATAGCTAGCCATCCGATCGAATGAGTTTCGTCATCAAATTAATATATATATATATATGTGTGTGTGTGTGTGTGTGTGTGTATGTATTGTTGTATTTGTCTAGTTCTTGTTGTGTGTGTGTGGCCATAGGAATATATATGTATGAAGTGAAGAAGTGTAAAATAAGTACTTGCCATTGCTTTGCTACTGAATGAAGCACTATCTTCTATCTCGTAATTAACAGCATAAAATATTAGAAACATAAATTTAATGCCTCAAACGTTCATGAATCATGCATGTCCATGTCCCATAGACGATGTATAGTTGTTAGTGTCGGGTTCCAGTGATTGGGGTTTCTCCATTATCATTTGCAATTTGCTTTAGTTGGGATTTCGGAATCTCAAAAGGTCATATTATGTATTCTCATCTCATGCACCTTGTCTCTGCCATCTCCTGTTTGGAAATTCATCAACTGTGATTTCAGAACCTCAAAGGCCACTCCTGTAGTTGTGTTGTGGGGAAAAAGGCACTCCGTTGAGAGAGAGAGAGAGAGAGAGAGAGAGAGAGAGTCTGAGAGCGACCCTCCCTCTTTGGTTTAACCATTGCAGAAATTCATAGCTAGATCACATGTTGTACACGTATTTTATAGATTATTTTTTTTTCAAATTCAATAACAAACTATCAAGCTAAATCATTGAACATGTAAATTCTTCGTTTACTACTAAGATTATTCTAATTCACCTAAACCAAAAGTATCAAGGTGTGGAGTGAGGCATGTACACTTCAAGATTATACAAATAAAATGTGCGAAAATCTATGTTGATTTCCATACTTCCATTTATATACATTCTCTGGAGTCGGCAGGGTCCCAATTCATTCGGCAACCGTGAAGTCAGCTGAATGAATTGCCGAGCTGAGGATGCCTCAGAGTCAGATTCATGTCTAAAGCAAAGAAGTCGACATCCAAATTCCAAGCGACACAATCCCAATTGTAGCAAAAGCTTGCCCCAATTCATATGCGAAATTTTGTTGTTGAAATGGTAAACCTTGCCAGTCTGTCCGGCTGTGGATGAATCAAATAAAACATATCACAACAACCCAAAACAGAAAAAAATAAAAAGAAAGAGGAAGGTGAAGGAATGTATATCATTAAGAATAAAAACCATAATGCATGCAGAAGCCTACCCCAAATCGGCAATTACAATGCTGATATTATCTTGCGAGCGTTGATCCTATTCAATACGTGCAAATTTCAGGTCATTAGAAAACTACCCGATCAGTAAAGAATCTAGCTAATCTGTGCAGAGTAAATCAAATACTAATGTAATTTGTTACCAAAGCAGCTTGAGCAAGCGCATCACAAGCTAGCTGAAACATAAATAAGACGGTATAGTTAATCACTGGATCACCATTTGTGTTACAACGTTAAAGGAGATTGAAGTTGATGCATACCAAATAAAATAAAGGAAGTAGTTAAGCAAATTGATGCACAAGCCATACCTGAACATCTCCATGTTTTCGAAGCTGATTCCTTACAAAAGCCACTGCATCTGAGCTGAAAAAGTTATCAAGTTTTACGTGAGCGATTAAATTGATGAGAATATGATAATTACATGGAGTTTTACCAAGAGTGTCAAAGACCAGTCCAACAAACCTGTTTATGTAGTCCCATAAGCCATCAGATGCTAACAGTACAAATTCAGAATCTTTCCCAAAAGTCACTTGAAAAATGTCTGGAGATGCAGTAACAAGGTCTCCACTGAATTGTATACTGGCATAACATAGAAGAGATTCTAATTAATGTATTCTTAGTTGTCTATATACGTAAAACGACACACTAAAATACAGAGAAAGAAACAATCTAATTTACACTACTATATTGAATGTTTAGTGCTGTGCAGAAACCAGAAGCTTATTCATATGAGATGTATCTCACACAGTATAGGCTACTTTTTATAATGCGAAAGCATATTTCAGTACTCCATAGCTGAAAATTTTGGAATCGTATAAGAATTTGCACCTCTATTTTCATTCTCAAAACCTAGACAGGGGTCAACTTGAGGTTCTCATAGGAATTGGGCAATATTGAAATCTAGCAGGCACAGAGAACACATACTTCATCAATTGTTCACATAAAAATGGTGATCACTTATATATCAGCCTCTGATATGAATTCAATCATCTAATTATTCCAGGATATTTGGTCCAACTATATGCATGTGGTTAATATACGAGTAGACTAGAGTTTAAACCTTGTGTTTAACCTTATCAAATATTACCGGAAATTCATATCTTATGAAAGTCATCCACTACATACTTGCTAGCATTGAACTAATCCAAAAGCATCCTAATTAGAAGGAAAGAAAAAAATAGGTGAAACTAGTAGTCAAGCAAGAAACATAAGAGATTACCTACCGAGAAGCAAATTTTTCTGTCCATCTCCTTTGTTCAACTCCTTTCTTCAGCATCCTTTCAATAACAAAATGCAAAAGACCATCAGTATATGCATATTCTGGTTGTCTATATACCAAAGCTTCCAGGAAAAAACCCTATTTTTAAAAAGGATGAGCAGAATGTTAAAAGACTGAACTCGTTTTTCTTTGTCTTGAACCGCATGTCACCAAAAGCACGAGATACAGCAATGTCTCCACAGATTCTTCCATTGACGATCTATAGGCACCATATGTAAGTTGTCATCAGGTTTGTTATTGGCATAAGAAGTATGGGGAATTAACAGTAATATCCCAAAAAAAATGTGATGATTAGTTTAGAGTTAAGTTGTCCAAAAGCTTGGAACATTTCCAAGGTTAGAAATTATATCAAGTTCAACAAAGCAGGTTCTACCTCTCATTTTCTGTAGAAGAAACTGAGAACTATAAGATATGGCTCAAAGAAGTAAACACGAATAAATAAACAAAGAAGAAAAACACACCCATCCACCTGCTTCTCTGATTCTTTTGATTTCTTGAAGAGAGACCTTGTTGCTTCCATATGGTCTATGAGGATGGGTCAGTACCTCTGCTTTTCCAGAACAAGATTGAACCTGCATCAGCCAGTCAGCTGATAAATACAGCTAATTACATGCAACCCTTGAATTTATTGTTTCATCATCTTCCTTTGTCTTCTTCATTTAATGGCATTTGATAAATGAGCTACAAATGCTGAAGGCACCAAGAGGACACTGGGATTGAATACATACCACGCAAGAATCACCAACATGTGAAATGACCAGCGTATCATTTTCAACGAAAATAACGGTAGCTGTTGAGCCAGATTCATCTTCCTCTCCATTCCTTTCAAGCCTTTACAAAATCAAACACCATCTAAAACTTCAACGTAATAATATACAATCTACAATCTACAATCATATTTGATGCAAGCACCAAAACCATTTTTTTTTCTTCCTTCTCATCAAACCATGTTCTTTTTTACTTTTTTTGCTTACCAATTTAACAATTTTGCATCCACTTTTTCGAAAGTCTCCTGTAATGCCTCTCTAATGGTCTTGAAATCATTTCCACGCAATAGCAGCCCACCCTGCAAAGCCGCACAACACTCTTTGTAGAGCTCATTCCTGTTATACAAAAGAGTTCAATTTTAATTTAACTTACTGGAATTAATTAAAAAGTTAATTCCAATTAGTTGTGGTCAAATTTTGACAATAAATAAATAAAATTAGTAGTGGTCAAACCTGAGGAACTTGACCGAGTTGAACCCGGCATGACCATCAAAAACGGCGGCAAATGAAAACCCATCAAGGCCATCGGACCGCACAACGACACCGTCTTCCATCTCTTCTCGGGCACCCTGCAAACTGGTCGAACCCCATCGAATTCCCGCCACATCCGTCAACGAAGAACCAGGCGCGTCTATGGCAATGGCCGAGCAGCTTCGGCTTCTTGCTTTTATATTAACAAGGCTGCTTTTGTTGGCTGTGGTCTTCAATGAGTCTCCATGGTATTTGGTTAAGAGGAACCTCTGCAACCGCGGGCTCAACAAAGCCATTTACCACCACCACTAGTGCTACTGCTACTGAGTTGAACCAGGGAGTTGGGACGAGTTCAGAGTTCAGAATTAGGAGTGGTGGTGGTGGTGGGAGGTGATTTGGTCATCATGTGAAGGATAAGAGAGAGTGAAGCTACACCTTTAACTGCATTAACAGATTGGGTAGGAACGTGGGACCCTTTTCCATTTGACCTTCCACCCCAGTTTTGCCACGTCAGATGTGACCCACTTTATGGTGGGTCCGGACGATGCTGTTAAAGATTCAACATGGTCTGTAGCCACAACAACTGTGAGATCCACTTCCAAATTCATGGCTGTAGTTCAACTAACTGTGAATGTGAATTGTGAGTAAAAATTAACCAAAAAGGGCGATCTTAGAAAATATATTTATAATACGTTACTGTTGTTGTCGTTGTTTTCTTTTTTGTTATAAGCAATTGGGGAGGAGGGGAGATTCGAATTCGAACACAAGCTTCACGATTCGAACTACAAGCCCTTTGCACTAAATGAATAGCCGAAACAAAAGAAACAGGTACAGATTGAACAACTTGCAAGCGCACCTGTGCAGAAGTAGACTAAAAGATAGGGTCTGAGAAGCAAAAACTAGTGCACTGATAGATTGAAAACGGAAACTATCATAGATAATAGCAGCCTCTAGTCTAAGATTAACATTACAACATGAGTAAGTGGTGTATGTAATCAAGTAAATTCTTCTTTCAAATAAGAAGGGCCTGGCTTGAAGGGGTCAGATTCTTCATATGCCTCTGGTCTAAAAAACCCAGCATCATTCACCCGGTTACTTATCACTTGAAGGATGGCTTTCTTCTTGCCCCCATACTCATCTCGGTTGTTCTCGACATACTCGCTAGCCTCGGCCGCTATATCATTGACAAAATCAAACCGGTTATCCTCTGATAGGAGTAGTCTCTCGATATCCATTCCCAAGAGCTGTCCTCCGTCCTTTACCTTCCGAACCTGCTCCTCAAGAAAAGGTACTCTCTCCATCTTGTATCGCAACATGTCATCCTTCTTTGTCTGAAAAATGAAAAATTTGCACCCAATTTGAGTCAATGCCCAATAGTACATTACGAGGAGGTTCTGAATCACAGCTTAATATACTCTCTTGTCATTCAAGAAGCAAACTTTCATTTCCAGATTTTCAACCCACATTTCCTTTTCAGATGGGTAAGAGCAAGGGATTGAAAACAGTAAAAGACTTCATGCCTAGTAGCTACAACTGATCTTAGCACTTGCCAGATAGAGATTCAGCTGAAAATGTCACTTTTGCTTACAAAACAATCCTACACTAGAATTCCTCATGAACTCAAATTCAGCTGAAACTCAAATTCTTGATAGATAAAGAGTAATGGGTTGTTTCTACAATCTGAGATGAGTAACATAAATCATGTTTTGCAGTTACTATATTACCATAGCCTTCTCATGAAAACTCTAAAATTGTGTTCCCAAAATATATTTCTTTCTTTTTTGTTTATCGCTTCTTTTAGTGCTCCATGAGATATAATTCACACTACTAAGTTACTAACAAGAAAGACTAGGCGGCAGTCAATTGGAGTTTTTTCTTTCGTACCAATTTCCTTCGCCGCCACACTCGCCGGCCGCTGCCATCTTTCTGCATTCGGGAAATTACCTGCAAAATGTTTATACAACGGAATTAAGAAAGATTACCAATTAAAGTCAAATGAGAAGAAAGCTAGAAAAAAAAACAGCAATTTGTAACCTGCGGCCTAAAGGAGCAATTGGAAAGCATTGAACTTTCCACTCTCAGTTGCACCCTCTGCAGCCAAAAAGATAACAAGAACCAGAGTACAAAATAAGAAGTGGAATTTCGTACACATTTAGTTTCATTTTTGTCCAGTTATTTCAGGGAGATAGAGAGAGAAATATTACATGGGAAGCAGGTGAGAAAGTGAAGCCTAGTGTGGAAGAAGCCATCGCTGTGCGTTGGCCGCTGTGTTGTTATCCTCCACTTTGATCTTAGGTTTAGTGCTTTAGCAGTTCTTGTATAAATGTCCTCACACTAACCTGAATTTACATGTATGCCATCACCTTTGACGCGACTTTGCAGGGATCAGAATTCAGAACCAACCAAATCAATTTGGATGGCACGACGAGAGGTCGAGATCTACTAGTTCGGCTTTAAAATCCGAATTCAACTTGTTCAAGTTATTCCTTTATTATCCACAAAAAAATATATATATATATATATTTTTTTTTATATCTTGGCGTGAGTTGGTAGGGATAGGATTTCCAATATCATTTTTTAATAACAAAATATACACATGGGACTGGAAAAAAAAATATATATATTCATTTAAATTGTAGAAACATTTTGGAAAAAATAAATAATAATTTAGAAACATAATGCTCGCTAGAATAAAGGACTTTGGTGCCAACGTTATAATTTTTTTTCTTATTTCAAAATTAAAAAATCCAACCATGACTGGTGAAAATATAATTAAATAAAAGAGAAGGTCATATTCAAAATTTAACGGTATAGCTTGAGAGCATGCTAGTGTAGGCATAATAATATGAGAAAATGTTGATTATCTTCTATATATATAGAGTAAAAAAAAGCCCATTAGTTAATGCAAACATTAATAATTGAAATTATTAATTAAATGAGAACAATATGATAAATTCACATTTTTTCATATTTTAAAAAAATAAAATAAAAATAAAAATAAAAATAAGATAATAAATTCTATTTTTATGGAACATAACTACTCATTATCTTTTTTAATTTTAAAATAAATTTAAATTTTTTTAAAAGAAGCCTCTCGCAGGCTCAAAATCGCTTGCGAAGAGACTAGTACTAAATATAAACATTGATTAATAGTTTTAATAAAGATAATTAAGTTCTATCTTGTTGTCATAAACTATCTTCAACGAACATTTATGTTTGAGATTAATGCACGTCTAATCTAATAAATTCTCATTTATGAAATCAAATGGAATTCAAAGCGAAATTAAAGTGAAATTTGAAATATTTATCATTGAAGATAATCATTGGTTACATGAAAATAAATTTTTTTAAAAAATCATAAGAACACCCAATAAACCAAAACACCATTGCATAAGAAAGTGTTTTAGCATAAGCCTTTAGTTGTAGTTAACTTATGATCCGCTGGTCTTTTTTGCATGGAATATGATTTGATTAGTTTAAAATATGGATACAATAGAATCTTGTGATGAGGCTCGAGCTCACTTTTCCATTAAAGAGACATTAGACAACTTAATGAAGAGTTTAAATCAAATGCAAAAGTTGCAAGCAAGGTTTTTCGAATATTTAGCAAAAGCAAGTACACATTTTACATATTAAAAATTGGATAAGCCAATCGGTTAAGGTAATGAGTCCCGACTTTCTCTTTAAGGGATGTATTTAATTAGAATTCTATAAAATTTTAAAAGACTTTAATAATCTAGATGTATTTAATTTGAATTTTTACGAACTTTTAAAAAGTCTATAAAAATTTGGGTATGTTTAATCCATACTTGTATGAATTTGAATTTTTAGACTCTCACTTATCAAAAAAATGTTAAAAGTTCTTAAACAACATGTACTGTATGTATACCGTATATTTTCCTCACAACTTTCGTAGTACGTTATCCTAATATCAAGGGTCCGTTAATCGTCGTCGTTTAGTCAAATCCATCTGAAAGAGACTATAAAATAAATAAATAATTTATTGTTATTATTACCTCAGAGTTGGGTGGATGTTGGGGAAAGTAAAGTAAACCAGACTGAACTGGTAAATCTGGCAGCTCAGACTCTGCAAATTGGACTCCCTCTCTCCCTAGATTCTCCACATCTTCTCTAGGGTTTTCAAATTTGAACATCTCTCTCACGCTTTCCCACGAAACACACAGAAAAGAAGGAAAGAATTGGAAAACAAAAACCAACAACAGAGGAACAAGGACTAAAAATGACCAAGCTCCCCAAGTGTAATCCTTTACTTCAACTCTGGAACAAAGACAATCTGAAGCCCTAGACCTCAAATTCCCACAGCACAATGCTTGATATTGGACACTGACGAAAGGATCTATTTCTTTCTTTACCTGGAGAGTTAAAAACCCTAGCTTTTGACACACTGTTGGAGATGGAGAGGTCTAGATCTAAGAGGTACTACTATGACCAAGACTACGATACAGAGACTGTCGGTAGGACGAGGCCTCGGTACAACCACCACTACGCGACCAACAACCACCGCCACCGTGGAAGCGGCGGAGGCGGTGGCGGTGGTAGTGGTGGTGGGCGACCCTCTAAGCCTCAACAGGACCCATCAATTACGGTGACAACGACATACCGTATTCTCTGCCACGACATGAAAGCCGGAGGCGTGATCGGCAAGTCCGGTAGCATCATTAAGTCGATTCGGCAACACACCGGTGCGTGGATCAACGTGCATGAACTGATCCCCGGCGACGAGGAGCGGATTATTGAGATTTCCGACACGCGCCGGAGGGATCCGGAGGGCCGGATGCCGGCATTCTCTCCGGCACAAGAAGCCCTGTTTTTGATCCATGAGAGGATTCTGGAGAGTGATGTGGCTGGGTTTGGTGGTGGAGAGGAGGAGGATGAGTATGGCGGTGGTGTTAGAGGTGGAGGAGGAGGAGGAGGAGGAGGGGGTGGTGGTGGGACCCGAGTGGCTACGCGGCTGGTCGTGTCGAGAATGCATGTGGGGTCTTTGCTTGGCAAGGGAGGCAAGATAATTGAGCAAATGAGGGTTGAGACCAAGACCCAGATTAGGGTTTTGCCTAGAGATCACAATCTGCCTCGCTGTGTTTCTATGTCTGAGGAGATTGTTCAGGTTTTGGAACTTACAGCTTTAACTGCATCTGATTCCTATGTTGCATGTCACAAATTGCTGAGCTTTTCAGTTCCATTCTATTATTGGTTAGATTGGAATGCCAGAAACTTTGGTTTCCTGTTAAGTTAACTAATAACTGCAAAATGTATATAATATATACTCTGAGGACCCTCATTTTTAAAATTTATCTCCGGACCAAAAATAAGGACAGTTGTTGGCAGCTTATATCACTGTCAGCTGGAGTGGATTTGGCTGAATGCTGGAGTACTATGATGTTTATCGAATTAGTTTAGGTTTTCGTTCTATATTGGTGATGGTGTTTTCTATAAAAAATTTCAGCTTTCAGTTGCATCTTTGTTGGGCACTAATGTGTGGGAGTATTTTGCATTAAATGGTTCACACGGATCTTTTAAGCTAGTACAATATGGTGTCAATACACCATCTAAAGATTTATGTGAAATTGTCCTTTTCCTTTTCCCCCTCATCAACATTATTTGAAATAAGGGAATTATCAAGCTTATGATTTTGCATTTCTGCTGCAGGTAGTAGGTGAAGCGAATTGTGTTAAGAATGCTGTAGCAACTATTTCATCACGCTTGAGGGAGAGTCAGCATCGGGACCGCAGTCATTTCCAGGGACGATTACACTCACCAGAACGGTTCTTTCCTCATGACGATGATTATATTCCTCATATGAACAATACATCACGTAAGTCACCCATGGATGGGGCTGCTTTTGGGGCACGATTACCTACATCCAATATCAGAAACAACAACTATGCCTCCCGTTCATCTGGTTTTAACATTGAACCTGGGTCTGGTCCCATGACCGATAATGTGCAGCCCTTTTATGGTGAAGACCTTGTGTTTCGAATACTTTGTCCTATTGACAAAGTTGATCTTGTTGTTGGAGATTCTGATGGAATTATTGAATTGCTTCAAAATGAAATTGGTGTGGATGTCAAAGCTACTGACCCTGTGGCTGGTGCAGATGAACAGATAATCATCATCTCTTCAGAGGAGGTATTTTACAATTTTCTGTAGTTAATCTCGGTATATAATAATATAAGTATTTGACTCATAAAGTGTAAATTTGAAGTGATGATACACTCGAATTGCTGATGGCACTGCTAAAATAATCTAGGCATGTGCATGTTTGCATCTGGGGAATCGTAAATGTTGTGATGATTGGCTTTTTAAAATGATATGCTTCCCCCTTCTCTCTTTTTCTTGAACAGTTTTGACCATGTTATGTGTGTACGTAGGGTCCCGATGACGAGCTATTTCCAGCTCAGGAAGCTTTGTTGCATATTCAAACACGCATTGTCGATCTTATTCCAGACAAAGACAACATTATCACTACTAGGCTACTTATCCCAACTAGTGATATTGGATGCTTAGAGGGAAGAGATGGGTTGTTGTCAGATATGAGGCGACATACTGGTGCAAATATACAAATTCTGCCCAGAGAAGAACTTCCTGTGTGCGTATCAGGGGACGATGTGATTGTACAGGTTTGTCACATGTTTGTTGCTCACCTTTCTTCACATTATCTGAGAGACTTGCTTGGTAGTTTTATTTTTGGTTGAATGCCTTCTTAGTGGACTTAAAAAATGAAGATGAGTTCTTAAATTTTGAAGCATCACATTTTGGCTCCTTTTTAAGTGGAGCTTGTATCCTTAGATTTAGGATGATCATGGACCGTTCTACGTGAACAGTCCACTGTAACAGATCAAAGGTCTGCTCATCTAATTATGCATTTTGACAAGAATATCTTGTGAATGCATGCTTCTTTCCCTTGTCTGTGTGTATTTGAATATGCATCTACGTTTGTCACTGTCATTTATCAGATGAACTGTTTTTAACAAAAAGATAAAAGAAAGGACCAAAAACATTTGTCACCAAGGTTACAAAGCCCTGGACCACCTGGTGGACAGGATGAGTTATACTTGAGGTAATTCTGAATGGCTCCTACATGTCATCTACAGATCGTAGCGGAAATAAAAGCAGCTCGAAATGCTCTTGTTGAGCTGACATCAAGAATACGGAGTTACTTATATAGGGAGTTATTTCGAAAGGATACGACACCACCTGTTTCTGCACCAGCTTTGGAGATATCTCCCAATAACACATTTCCACTTCGTGAAGCTCATACTGGAAATAATCCTCCTATGACAACCTATCAGAATTTGCAAACTGGGGCAATCGCACTGGCATCAAAGGTTGTCCCTTCTATCTTTGGCTGGATTAAGAAATGCTCATTTTCTGTCATTTTTACGGTTTCTTCTTTCTCCTCAGATATTTTGTTCTCTTCAATATCCATTAGATGGTTGTATTTGTGTTTATCGTTATTTCATTTATCTGCAATTTGGGGAACTGGAGTCTTCATCCAGTTAAACTTAATCCAGGTGACTAGTTGTGAGAGTTATTTGAGCGAATAAGAAATGTTGTGCCAGAAGGTGGAGAAAGGCATTTTAGAAGTGGCTTTTTTCTTGAGAGTTTAGCTGACTATGTTCAGGCTACCTTGATATGATTTTAAACCGGACGCACATTGTTTCACATACATCTTGTTTTTGTGTTATAAGATTTTCACTCTCGTATTGTAGGATACTGGAGGGATTTCCAGTGAATTGGTAAAGCCAAATGAAAGTGAACGGCGTGAAGATGTTCTGAGTGCATTGAACAGGTAGCAAATTTCTTCTTCGTTTTACTATTATGGCCTCATATAAATCATAGTCTCATTTTACTCTCTCTCTCTCTCTCTCTCTCTCTCTCTCTCTCTATATATATATATATATATATTTCCTACCAATTAATATCCATCTTTTCGATGTTTGCTCTATATCTTCTGTTAGAATACCTGTGACACTAGTCACTAGGAGTACACTTGAAGTTGTAATACCAGAGCAGGCAGTTTCAAAGCTCATAACGAAATCAAGAAACAAGCTTGCTCAGATCAGTGAGGTCAGCCTGATGAGCTCTTAGTAATTTCCTTTCTTTATTTTCCAAGTTTAGCTTTGATTAATTGTCTTTTTGAGTGGAACAGTTATCAGGAGCCAATGTGACCCTGGTAGAGGATAGACCAGAGGAAACACAAAAGATCATTCAAATTTCAGGTACTCCAGAGCAGGCTGAGAGAGCTCAAAGCTTGCTCCAGGGCTTTATTTTAAGCAGTAAGTCTCTCTTTTGCTTCCTTCCATGTCTGACTTTATAATTTTCTGGTCTCCCTCCCTATAATTTGACTCTTAATCCTCCTTTACTTTGAATCAGCACAAGAAGATGGCCCTTAAACGAGCAGGAGCAACATCTGTACTAAAATTTTGAGCTGGTCTTGCCGTGATATTGTTCAGATCATTTCTGGATGTATTAATCCTGTAAGGCAAGGGAGTTTTTGCTCCATAGTTTAGGCACATCGGTTTATATGAATGCATCCACTACCACTGTAATTTGTAAATGTAATATCTGAAGGAGTTTTAGCTTTAGTTGTCTGCGAATCTGGGAAGTGCGAACACAATCCAGTGACAATTATGTTTTGTGTATTTTGTGTCGATGATCAATGATCATGTCTCCACTTGTTTCCTTCTGCAGTTATTTGACCCAATTTATTTGGACAAATCTATCTCATTGCCACTGCTGGTGAACTCTCATTGCACTTGAAACACCAAGCACGCCTTGTGAATTAGTCTATTCTGAACGTAATTATGTGATTGTGACCACTAACCAAATGTATTCAATATCGCTTGTATAAAAAAGAAAAAACGGAACTGTTGTTATTTGACCAAAATTCTTAATACACACATACCATCTCCTAACCCAAGTCTATATCATACAATATGGTAAACAAAACATTTTTTCCCTAAGCACGGTTTGACATTTTAACTCTTCATTTTTGTACTAGCATTAGAAATTAGATATTTTATTTATTTTATTCAAACAAATGAATTTCTATATTAAAGTATGCTATAGATCAAATTTCATTTAATATAGCAAGGTATATTATTTAGGAATTTTTGAACCCATTGTGGGCGTGCAAATTTGTTTCAGTTTCAGGGGTGTTTTAGATATTTTGCTTTAAACCCCTGATTCTGAATCCCCTTTCGGCCTTCTTTTCAATTTTCACTCTTCCACTGTGACTTTCAGCCCCGTCACAGAAAACCCTAAACCCCCCTCTCTCTCTCTCTCTCTCTCTCTCTCTCTCTCTCTCTCTCTTCTCGCCACAGTCGTTATCTCAATAGCTTGCTAATCGACTGTCACAGCTGGTACGTCTTCTTCTTCTTCTTCAGTACAAAAAAGTTGATCGGTTTGTACCTTTTCATCACCATGAAATTAATTACGCATATGTGTTTGGTTGCTGAGAAACCGAGGAAAGGAAAACAATTTCAGAATGGAAAACCGAAACCACGTTCCGTATATCGTCATCTAGTTTGATTTTGTCATCGATATCTTTTCTGTTTAAATGTTTTGGCGTAGGTTAGAAAAAGCTTTGTGGATGGCTTACTTAAGAAATGGCAGAAATGTCATCCGTCAAATCATTAAAGACACCAACATCCATGGCTCCGACTCGGATCGCATGATAAATCCTCTGCTCTATGCTTGTCAAGGAGTTAGGTACAGAAAGTTGGAGGTCATTCTAACAACGGTGCGCATTTCTCCTCGAACTCAATCATTAGGGTTGGCGTTTAGTTAGTGAATTGATTGATTGATTTTGATTGGTTAACGATATATTTGACGCATTCAGAGCGTAGAAAAGCTTGGCAAAGCTGGCCAGACAGTGAAGGTTGCGCCCGGACATTTTCGCAACCATTTGATGCCCAAGTTGCTTGCTGTCCCAAACATTGATAAGTATGCTTATCTCATCAAACAGCAGCGGAAGGTTCTTTACTTTGTCCTCCATGGATGACGTTATCAATGTTCGTCCATTGCCTATTATGTTGTTAAATTTTGTTATGCTTGTCACAAATATATTTCAGAATTGCCTGCTTCAAGAAGAGGAAGAGGAGGAGGTTAAAGTAGTTACTGTGTCTGAGGAAGCTAAGCAGAGGGAATATCAGAAGGCAGCAAAAATTCTGGACAATGCTCGTCTGGTTCGTAGCCTATCTGTTAAGATTTTAATTTCCAATTGAAGCGTATGTCTTTTGCATTATTTGTTGTACAGGACAGATATAAGCCCATTTATGTTCATAAACCTGGTTAGTTTTTGATGTACTAATAGAATGCTGGGTTAAAAGTCAAATGTCATATATGGATGTTGTTAGAAGTACGAACTGAAATTCCATCAGATTTGAAAGGTGTTGACTAATTGAGTGTTGGTCAGATTGATTTCTTAATCTAGCTCATTCTCTTCCTGGAGAGAAATGTGATGCTAACTTTCAGAAAGCTGATTGAATCTCTGATGCATACAAGAACTAAAATGTTTTGCTTTACATATATGGGGCAGCTGAACTTCATAAACTTTTACAGGTACTGAGGAGGTCTATCAATCTTGAAAAGTTCCGTACACGTGCAACGAAAGAAGACGCTATAGAATTGAAATCCCCTGTGACAACAGAAGATCTTGTGGCTGAGGTATGGTTATGTTCTTCATGGTTTCTAGCTTTATCCTTGTAAATACCAGAAAATGGCCAATCTTTTTCAAGTCAAAATATTTCCATTGATTTGTTTTTCCTTTTTAGCTGATACATTCTCTATGTTGGTTTAGGTGGCAAGGCAGCTTTGTGTGCACATTCTACCCGAAAACGTGCATCTCCCATCTCCTTTGTTAACTGTGGGAGAGTATGAGGTGCCTTTGCGTCTTCCGAAGTCCATCCCTTTGCCGGCGGGGAAGATTCAATGGACTCTTAATGTTAAAATCCGTACTGCATAAACACTGGTCGTTTCAAATGGATTCTCTCATAATGTCGTGAGGTTCACTGTTCCGGTTTTCGTGGTATAATTGTTGTATTGCCTGATATACTTTGGGATTGAAGTCATTCCTATAGTAACCCCTAGTTTAAGTACTTGGTTTCCTGGTTTTTTATGACAAAGCCTGGATTTTGCGGGTTTGGGGTGCAATTATTTTGGGTTTGATAGACATTGATTTTAAATCTGCCTGGACAGAGCCTGCATACGCGTTATTATTAGACAGACTTATGGACCTGCTAAACGTTATTGGGCCGATTTATGGGCCTGCTTAGACGTATTGGGGTGTTATCTGGGCCCATTTGCATATTATTGGGCCAACTTATGGGACTGTAGACAAGTTATTGAGTTGATAGAGCCTGCATACGCGTTATTAGGCAGACTGCTAAATGTTATTGGGCCGACTTTTTTGGGTCTTTTAGACGTTATTGGGCCGATTTATGGGCTGCTTAAACTATTGGGGTGTTATCTGGCCCATTTGCATATTATTGGGCCATCTTATGGGCCTGTATACACTTCATTGGGCCGACTTTTTGGGCCCGGAGGAACAATTTTGGGCCGTTATCTGGGCATGGGCCTAAATACAAGTTATTGGGCCGGATTATGGGCAGCTCACACGTTATTGGGCCGACATTTGCGAGTGTTTAACCTTATTGGGCCAACTTATGGGCCTTCATACACGTTATTGGGCCAACTTATGGGTCTGTATACACGTTTTTGGGCCAAATTATGGGCCTTTATACACGTTGTTGGGCCTACTTATCGGCCTGCATAGAAGTTATTGGGACCTTTTGGGCCTAATTCACTTTTTGGGCCGGTTTATGGGACTGCATAGACGTTATTGGGCCGACTTTTAGGGCCTGCATACATTATTATTGTGCCGTTCCTGGGCCCATTTTCACTTTATTGGGCCAACTTATGGGCCTGCGTAGGCCTTATTGGGCCGACCTTTTGGGCCTGTATACACATATTGGGCCAACTTTTTGGGCTGCATACATATTATGGAGCCTACTTTTTGGGCCGCGTACACATTATTGGGCCGTTATTGGGGTCAACTAATGAGCCTACATACACGTTAATGGGCCTATTTCCACGTTATTGGAGCAAATTAATGGGCCTGTACGTTATTGGGCCGACCGATTGGGCCTTTTTCACATTATTGGGCCAACCTTTTGGGCTTGCATACACATTATTGGGCCGATTTATGGGCTTCTTACCCGCTATTGGTCATTTTTTGGGCCGGATTACACATCATTGGGCCAAGTTTTAGGGCTGCCTACACAATATTAGGCCCCTTTCACCTTACAATGCCACCTTATGGGCCGGTTTACACATTATTAGGCCTGTTATTGGCCTGTTTCACGTTACTAAGCGGACTTATAGGCATGCATAGAAGTTATTGGGGCTGTTTGACGTTATAATGCCGATTTATGGGCTTATAGGCTATGGGCCGACTTTTGGGCCGGCTTACAAGTTACTGGGCTGACTTTCCGGGCTTTTCCCGATTTGGGCTAGTAGTCGTTTGTACAATAATTTCAACTACAGGTCCAATTGCAGTGTTGTACCCATTGTATGGGATGATGACTTTTGACTAATTATACTGGGTTTGTGCTGAATTTATTTTTACCAAAATTTCAACACACATTTGGACCGATTAATCAAAGAATAATCATGCATTGGGCATACGCGCTCAGAGCTGACATTCGATGGAGGCAGGTAATTCGATAGTGTGAAGGGCAAAAGTCCAAGCATACCTGTAGGATAATTATTCTCTGATTAGAGTACATTAAGCGGAATTGCGATTATATATAACCTGTTGCTAATATATATTAAGAATACATAAAAGAGAAGTACCCAATAGGAAAAAAAAACATTTAAAACGGATAGTAGAGACTGGAGAGGACACTTTTTTCGAACAGTTCTTGTGTATCAGCACCTAATTAAGGAATAGTTTAAACACATTCCCCTATCACTGAAAACTTCCCTTGCTTTCTTACTTTATAGGAGGGATTATCAATTACATGAACGCTCAGCAACTATTTACCAATAGAAAAGAAAAAAGCAAAAACATAGAATCTGGACTGGACAGACAACTAAAATCTTTGTTAAACCTATAACATCAAGGATGATAATAACTGTATTTAGCAGATGCAGAACAGGAATCACACTGTTAATTAAGAATAAAAACAGGACACTCCACCAGGAAAGAAATGAGCAGATTCCAATTAATTTAGAATAAAATTATGTGAACTTACTTGTTATCCGCTACGACGTGTAACCATATTTGTGAATCCCAACTCCTTGTACATTCAATCTGCATTTTGATTCAGAAAGGCTATCATGAACAAGACCAGTTAATGCAGAACCAGCTTCCTTCATAACCAAAGGGAGTAATATGTCATCCATAATGTTCACGTGTAGGACTGCTAGCCCAAGGAGTTTGTTTGGGTCCAAAAACCTATTTATGCCAAACTGTTAACCTAGAGAGTTTGTGCTGGCTGAATCGCGGCCTTAATTACATTCTGTTGGGGGACAAAGATCCCAATGGAACAGAAGAACAAGTTACAGGATATCCAAGGAAATTACACAAAAATCAAAAATCAAAAAACACCTAGAGAAATTAAAAAAATACATCAGCAATTCAAATACAATCTAAATAGAAGAAAAGAGAATGTACAACAGTTGAAAAAACGATGGAACATCTGGGATTGCACTTATATATCAGAGTAGAACATTAGCAAATGATTTAGTGCGGTGACAGATTTACTCGCGAAAGATCCAACTAGAATGATAGGTTCCACAGAGTGGCTGATGACAGCATTTACAATGAGATATAAAATAACAAAAAATTCATAGGAACAATTTCTTAATTTAAAATACAACATGAGGAAAACTCAAGGGAAGAGCATTTGGTGAGAAAATGACCAACCTAAATGTTTAAGAATGGAAGATATCTCATTATCACATTTTTATATTTAGTAAAAGTACAATCACATTGAAAGGCCAATATAAAAATATACTGGTTTTTAACAATGAGATGTAATTGCAGTTATGATGAGATGTAATTGCAATTATGATGAGATATCATAACATATTAAGATTTCTGTATGCCTAACATTATTAATATCTGCACTTGACCGCGTCAGCCATTGGCCACTCCACAACTGAAGTTGGCGGTTATGCAACTTTCTAGGATTCCTATGATAATGACCGGTACCTGCATACCCTCCTCTTTGCTTTCAGGTAATCGCTTCTCCACCATGTCAGGAGCACTAGTAGCCATCTAACAGAGATTGGCTGCAGATCATGATGTTACCATGGTCTCCTGACATAATGAAGGAGTGATTACCTGAAAGCAGCGGGGAGGGGAGGGGAGCCAGATAGCGTTCATAATCATAGGAACCTGAAAGAAAACTAACCATCTGCCTAAAAAAAAAGAAGCATAGAAATCTGAGCAAAACATGCTATCAAACTGTTCAGTCAGAAGAACGATTAAGGGGTGCATGCTATTGAAAATATATCTGATGCAATCCCATGACATTGGCACTCATTAACAAATATGAAGGAACAAACGGGTTACGGAGCTGAGCTTGAAAAAGATGTGGGTTTAAACCTATGCTACCTACCACAGCAATCCATCACACGATTGACACTAGAACAGGACAATAAAATACTACCGCTGAGATTTAAAATATGGCCATGAGTACAACACAAAAAGAAGGTAGCAAAATAACGGTACTCCTTATAACACAAACAATAAATAAACCTCCTCCTCAATATCGGAACAAACATTAATCGGAAGTTCATGCGTGGCACGAAAAGTTTTTAAGAATCAAACATATTTTGCAAAAGTACTATGGGGCCATAGAGGTAAACTAACAAAAGGTAAATTTGAGGGAACATGAGCAAATGCATAATAAAAAAGATGACGTCTCTGCAACAAAGCAAATTCACTGCACTATAGTTGTGATGGAAAATAGAAAATTAAGAAGCAAGACCTGATTTATGCATAGCTCCAATAAGAATGCCACCATCTCTTGCAGCTTCAGAAGCGGAAATGAAACAGCCATACCTAAATGCCATGTAAAGAGGACACGAGGAAATGTCAAAATTAATCTAAGATACACCAAAAATAATTACCCTCACGTCAATGAAAATCGAAGAATTCAAACCCAAGGTTGGAAGAGTCTGAATTCTTCGATTTGTGGAGACGTCAAAACAAATTTAAGATACACCCTACATTATTACCTTCGAGTCAAAGGAAATCAAAGAATTCAAACCCTAGGTTGGAAGGATCGGAATTCATCGAGTTGAAGAAACGTCAGTATCGAAACACCCTAAATAATTACCCTCAAGTCAAATGAAATCGAAGAATAAACCCTAAATTATCTTTAGCTGCCGCCATCAGGATTCAGAACCACCGCTTACTTGCTGCCGTTCCGGTCACGATCTCGCGACGGGACCGAGCCCCCTTGTTAGCAATTAGGGTTGTAAAGTGAGAGTAGATCATCTTTGATTCAATGATCTCACACACCGACGAAGCATCGTTACTCGATCTCACCGAGGGATAGAGATATGAAGGGATCTGGGGATTTTCATTTTTAGCGAGAAGAGTGGGAAAAAAGGGAGAGCGCGAATAGATTTTATTTGAAAGGTCTAATTTCTGTTCTTGGCAAATACACGGACATAAAATAAACAAATACTTCGGGGTATAATTGTAAATAACAAATAAAATAACATTTGTAGGGCTAAAGCTCGAACCGACCAGTCACCCGACCCAAACCCGGATCGTTGAGTTAACCCACTCACATAACCGACCGCCATTCTCATTATCTTTACCGCTTTGGCAGCTTGGGCTATCTTTCGGTTTTCACTCTACTGCAACTCCTCCTCTTACTCCAATGGCAGCTTCCCTTCTTCTCCCTTCTCCCTTTTTCAACAACTACGGGTAAACTCTCTATCCCTCTGTCTTCAGATTCTCAACGTTGTTGTTGCACATACCACATATATAATTTCAGTTTTAATTGTATTGAATTATGATTCTGCTGGTTTTGATTCAGCAAGGATGGATTTTAAGAAAATCATTGCCCAATATTTTGAACAGGGATTTTTTATGTAGTTGAATTTGTTGGGTTAGTGCGCTCTCATGATCTTGCTTGAACCATTCAGGATGAGCAAAGTGTGCTTACATCACATCCACTCGGGCCATTTTCACAAAGGCCTCACTTGCTTCTCTGGCCGTCTCCCAAAAAAGAATTCCAGCATTTTCATGGTTCCTGTTAGAGCCTTTGCCGTCTGCTGCTATGCCTCCAGAACTTTTGCTTCTGTTGGCTCATTAGATACGGATGTGGCAGGCCAAGAAAGTCATGTTTCAAATTCAAATAACTTTCAGAGGTGCAGCTATTTCCTTTTCCTTTCTATTGTTTTTTGCTAACTTTCACCATAAAATAATAAGTTACTGACTGCCCAATTTTTATGATTAGCAGGTCTGTTACTTCTTTTCAGCATTCAAGTGACAAATTGGATGGGATGAAAGATTTTGAGAGAGAACTGCAAGAGTTATTTGATGAAGTCAAAATGATGATTATGATGGGGAACCAAAATGATGCCATAGACCTACTTCAAGCCAATTATGAGGCGGTGAAGGAAAGGATGAATGCTGGTGTTAGAGGCATTGAAGAAGCTGCTACCGTTGACATTATAGCTCTAGGATACATGGCTATTGGTGACTTAAAATTTGTTAATTCCCTACTGGATATGGTAATTTCTTTTTTCCTTCTATAGGGAAGGCGTATATTCTTTTGAAGGGCGTCTATAGTTTTTCTCCCCCATTTCCCTCTGTAAGCTGTTATTCCTCTCCTTTTTGTTGGTGCATTTTAATGGGTGGCCAGTTGAATGAAGTTGTTGACAGTCTAAAGGATGATGAACCACTTCTGGATTCCGTTCTCGTGCATATGGGAAGTATGTATTCAACTTTGGGGAAGTTTGAGAAATCAATGTCTGCATATAGGAGGGCTATTGGTAACATGGAGAACATTTATGGTAAGCTCTCTTTTCAAGTTGGAGCCTTTTCGCTACTCATAAACTAGTTGGCTGTTTCCAGATGGTTTTTATGACTTTTGTGGTGAATGATACTAGATGGCTAAATGACTCGATCTCCTTAACACATCATAATAAAGTCATGATATATGTGATTTTGCATGATGAACTGAAGGATCTCTTTTTTACAGTAATATTCGATAGAACTACAAGTTTAATACAGTATGAATCCATTGTAGCTTCACTTATTGTTGTCTGCGAGATTTGATGTTTTCCATCTTTATTAAATGGTTATTGCCATCTTGTCTTCAGGGAAAAATAGTGTCTTTCTTATCACACCAATTTTGGGCATGGCAAAAGTTCTCAGCTCCATTGGAAGAACTTCAAAAGCAGTAGAATTCTACCATCGCGCAATAAGTCTTCTAGAATCAAGTAGAGGTGCTGAAAGTGAGGATTTGGTCATACCTTTATTTGGTGTTGGCAGTCTTTTACTCAAAGAAGGAAAGCCTGTTGAGGCAGAAAGTCCTTTTCTAAGGTTTAATTGCTTTCCCCCTTTTTGTATAACAGCTTACTTTGCTTCCTTGTGCACTGACTGAATCTTAGAAGGTTTAGTTCATTCTTTCTTGTCCTTTTGTAGAATTTTTAACATATACAAGAAGTTATATGGAGAGAATGATGGAAGAGTTGGATTGGCCGTGTGTTCTCTGGCACACGTGAAGTGTGCAGTGGGTAATCATACAATATCTCTCTCTCTTTCTCTCTCTCTCTCTCTCTCTCTCTCTCTCTCTCTCTCTCACACACACACACACTGTGAATAGCTTCTCTGTTTCACGTATGGGTTCAGATGCTCTAATTTGCTGCAGGAGATGCAAATGAAGCCATCTCTTTATATAGAAAAGCTCTACAGGTCATCACAACGTCCAACTATATGGCTTTAGATGACAGCATAATGGAGAAGATGAGGATAGATTTGGCAGAGTTACTTCATGCTGTTGGAAGGTACAGTTCAATTCAATATTATGATTGGAAGTTGGATGTAATTTCCTATATTTCCAAATTTCATTATAGTGGTGGTTGTTTAGTGATGTTCTTCACTGATTGTACACTTGGTAGATGTTCTTAATTATCGTCTCAGAAGTATCCTTATCTTTATACTTCTGACATTGTAAGTTTCTGCTGATGTGAAATTAAAAAACAAAAGCCTACGGCCTACAGTTGCTCCTTTCTCTTTTAGCATATTAATTTGGATGCTTGCAGAGGGAAGGAAGGCCGAGAGCTACTGGAGCAATGTTTGATGATCACTGAGAAATATAAAGGTAAAGAGGACCCAAGCTCAGCAACACATCTTATTAATCTTGCAACGTCCCATTTGAGGTCGAAGAATTATGTGGAGGCTGAGCGCTTGCTGAGGACAAGTTTGGAGATCATGGGAAAAACAGTGGGGCCTGATGATCAATCCATCACATTCCCAATGCTTCACCTTGCCGTTACTCTCTACCATTTAAAGCGGGATGAAGAAGCTGAACAGCTTGCCCTGGAGGCTTTGCACATCCGTGAAAAAGCATTTGAAAAAGATTCCCTTCCTGTTGGTATGTTGTTGTTTTCTTTATGGTCAAGTAAATGACAGGATCATTTGGTCCTCATCTGATGTGCTATGGTGATGTATTTCGCAGCGGAGGCTCTCGACTGTTTGGTGTCAATCCAAACTAGATTGAAGAAGGATGATGAAGAGTTGCTGGAGCAGCTAAAGAGGGTTTTGAGCATCCAAGAGAAAGAGTTTGGCCCCGAGGGTGAGGAGGTTATGATAACCCTGAAAAAAGTTGTATTCTACTTAGACAAACTAGGGAGGAAAAACGAAATTTTCCCTTTGCAGAAAAGATTGTCTGCACTTGGAATGAAATTCAAGCAACGGATTCAACATTAACAGCAATACTTGTGTTTTGTTCTGCGCTTGATTATTTTTTAAATACAAATTTTTATATTTCAAACGATGTCGTTTTGCGGCAATTATGGCGTGCATCGGTCATTAAAGTCAACGACTATAATTACGGTGTTCATTATGAGTTACGACAAGAAGTGGAAGACAGCACCGCAAGGCACCAGACCAGACGACGTAAAGTAAACAACAACACTACTTATTTTAAAATGACATGTCGTATATGGTGGGTTCAAGTTTCAACTTGCGTCCTAAAATACGTACGAGTTACAGTTGGAGCATGATGTGAGATCTTTTGTTTATGTCTATTTCAGAGAAATAAAAAAACTCGGTGGGCGTTGGTTGGCCCCATATTTATAAATTGACAATTTGCTAAGAAACATTTCAAAGTGACACTTGTCACCCTATCAAACGAATGGGATGGAATGCGATATTGCAATTGCACATCCAATTATGGCAACGAAGGTGTATTTTCGCACCAAAAATAAGGCCCGGTACACTCTCTACATTGAGGTACAACCTCTTTAGCACAACGTACTACTTCATTCAGCACATAAAAAAGTGTCACCCAAAGTTCGGATTTTCAGCCTTTGCCGGATAGAAACAGAAAAAATGTTAACTTCCAATTGGTCTTTTGGATATTTTACACTTCAAATCAAACAGGATATCACCGCTTGCATTATTATAGCAATCAACGGTGATGTAGGAGCCAATAAAGAAGGAGGTCTCTGTGTCTGTATCTGCGTCTTTGGATCTCAAAAACATATGCAAAATCCAGAGTACCCGCCTCCCTTTGAAGGTAGTTTTCTCTTTCTTTTCAGATTTTACAGATTCTGTTCAATACTTTGGGGTGTTAATGCTTGAATCATGATTTTTATTTGAAATGGAATATGCTCATATTTGTTTGTTGGTCAATCAGTGTTTGATGCATGTTATGAGGTGATTGTTTATATGCTATTGAATCTTTCAACCGTAAAAGCTTCTTTTCTTTTTCTTTATCTTTTTTATAGCATCTATTGGGAGAAGATGGTGAAACTGGTTGAGATTTTTTCTTATTTCTCTTTGATTTCTCAATTTCATGGCATGATTTGAGTTGGGTATTGCTTTAATTGTGTCAATATTTCGGTTTTTTCAAAATTTAAAGATTCTGTGGGAATCTTGAGACGTATTTCAGTTATTTGAAGCGCGGTCTGGGCCCAATTGTCAGTTTGTAGAACGTGGAACTTGATTTTAGATATTCAACTATTATAGTTAGAATATGAACTGACTTGGTATTTATAGATTTTGATTAGCGCTTCTGTGTTTGTTTCATACTATCGCAGATTTTACGTTTATAGAGATTTTCTATCAATTACTTGAAGCAGAAGCACAGAGCCCTGTTTTTCACCTTGTAGAATCTGGATTTGATTTTAGACCCAGTTAAAATATTAAATACAAGTGAGTTTAGGTTTTTTTTTCTTCTTGTTGAGCTTGTAGTTTTACTGGGTTGAGTCTTAAATTTACATCAATAACATCAATTCTTTGTTCCCTGTATCGTCTCTGTGAGGTTTTATATTGTTACTTTTGTTTTACTTCTGATTTTGTATCTTCATTCTTCTTTTAAATGTTCCTGCCTTTCTCGGATCAGAGTTCTGTTAATTTTGTTGAGATTTGGGACTCTTGCCCGCATAATGGAATTGCGCTTTAGTACTTGAGTCTCTCTCTGCTTCGGGCAAATTTCTTTTTTCTGGTTAAAAGCTTTCAAATTCCTAATTATGCATTCAGGTTTATGCCTTGCCGGTTGTGCCTAACTGTAAACTATAACTGATTAATATTTTGTTATTTGTAAATCTACTGCAGATAGATAAGGCATGGCAGCAGCAGAAGCACGAACTGCATGGCAGTGTAGAGCAAACTGTCGTTTTGTGCAAGAAGATGTGAGGATCGCTCCAAGATTTTCTTCCTTTCCGTCATCATCTTCGTCAAAAGCAGAATCTGATATTGCACCTGAGAATGCTCCAGAAGGGATTGATCACTTCACACCAGGTTGCATGTCTTATAACCCAAGTTCTGAACTGGCACCCAACACTAAGTGGTGGTTGAACCTGGAACCCAACTTTGGGCCTCAGAAGGAATTCACGTATGAACAGCTAAAACTTCTTGAGGCTGAACTTGAAGATCTAAACTCTGGATTTGTTAATAAACCTGCCATTATTAGTGACTATTATCAGTGCAACGGGGTAATTAGAAATCAAAATGATATAAAAAATACTGTTGATTCATTTGTGGAGCAGCCATGCAAGGTTTCTGTCACTTGTACAAAAAATGACCAGAGTAAGGGAATGCCAGAACTCAAGGCAGAAACTGGTAATGGTCCTCAATTGCCTAAGAAAAGGGACCCGGGGGAGTTTTGGTACTCAGATGATCATCTCATGAACTTGGATTCTTTCAACTGCTTGAGCTCTGAAGAACCCAAGGAACTGTCTTCTGGTTTGGAATCCCAGTGGGTGGGAACTGAGAAAACTGAACCATGGTGGCGCTCTGCAGGTAAAGATGAGTTGGCTTCCTTGGTTGCTCAGAAGTCACTTGAACATATTGAGAACTGTGATCTTCCACGGCCCCAGATTAAGCATAGTAGGAAGGGCCCTTCTGCTTTCGACCCTAATTCATCAATTGATCAGATGGCTGAATTGGGTTTCTCCAATATGGACACTTATACATGGGGAAGCTTTACTTCAGGTCACCCAACACATGAGTCTGACAGTCCATCAAGGTATTTCTATATCATTTACTTTACAACAGCTTTTTCAGTTGCCCACTATCATCCGGTATTCATCGAGCATTCATATTATATGAATCACATAAATTGCAAACCAATTAAAGAACTTTATGGTCCAAGTGTCATGAGGATTGAGGATCAATATCTAAATTGTATATTATTTTCCCTCTTATATGAAAGGAACAATATATTCTTTGTGTCGTTCTACTTAAATGCTTAGTTTAATTCTGACAAGCTATATAATTTGTTTCATTTCCAGCCAAAACAATGACTACGGTACAATCAGCAAGGATGAGGTTGCAACCCAAAATAACGCAGAAGATGATCGAAGTAAAGCTGAGCTGTTGGAAGCTTTGTGTCATTCTCAAACACGAGCGAGGAAAGCTGAGGAAGCAGCACAGCAAGCCTATACAGAGAAGGAGCACATCATCACTCTGTTTTTTAAACAGGCATCACAACTCTTTGCCTACAAGCAGTGGCTCCAATTGCTGCAACTTGAAAACTTCTGCCTCCAGCGTAATAGTAAAAAAGAACCAATTTCCGGGCTCTTTCCAGCTTGCTTTCCATGGTCCCCGTACAAAGGCAGGCACATGAAGAAGGGCCAGCGCAGGGCTGGAAAGAGAAGTGGCAGACCAAGGTATGAGATTAGCAAGGGTGCTGTTGCTTTTGCACTGGGATTGGGTCTCGCCGGTGCCGGTTTGCTCCTTGGATGGACAATGGGGTGGTTGTTTCCAACTATTTAATCTTGATGCTTGTCAGTTGGTAGCTTGCTTGAATGGTATTTACTCTTCGTGATGTGGCTGGGTTACATAGGATTGATACACGAGATTAGTAACTTTTTTCATTATCTCTATTAGTACGCATCAACTTGTTCAGATTTGTTAATCCTGTAAATACCAGAACTGGTTTTTTTGTACAAAATATGTAATTAATTATGCACATGTATGTAACCATGTAATCATGCGTATGTAACCAATCTTTATTTCATGTGTTCCCTTCTACTTGTAGATTGTCGCCTCTGGTGAATGTTACAGTTTGAAACTAGTTTTTCAGAATTGTACGAAAGCTACTTGGTGCAGATTCTAAAGTCCGGATCCTGTTCAAGAACCAAGATTGAAACACGCACACATAATACATAATACAAAATCATAGAACCACATTTGCCATGTGAGATATTATTGTTGGATAGGAACAACGAAGGAAGCTCGACCTTGTCACCATCACTCTAAACCGACCATTCTACGCAGCATGAACCACCTTATATCTGCCACGATTTTCCTTCCAACCACTCATTATCCGAAGAGAAAAACAAAACCACAGACCAAACACTCCTTCTTCGCTTGATAAGGCTCTTTTATGAAAAATGCAAGTGTAGATTGAAAATAAACAAGAATTAAGATTACTAGCATCTAATCTAAACACTGTTTAGTTTTCAGTGTTGCCAATTGGTAAAGGTCATTGAGTTGACAAAGGGAATTCAAACTTCTGGAATACGTGCTTTGAAAACCAAAGGCGTCTCTAGTTTGACTCGCATCATTTATTTAATAATGCCCCTAATTACTGTTTGCGTTTGGGTCTAATTACATGATTGATTAGCAAGATATACGGGTAAAAAGGACCCATCAAAAAGAAATTCGTCTAAAGAAAGTGACAATGAACCCAGGAATTGTTCTTAAAGTAACATTTTAATATGAGATTAGTTAACAAGTAGATGTGAAAATGTGAACAATGCCATTGCGCACCCCAAATAAAAAAATAAGTATAAATAAACAAAAGCATACGTATGCTTCCTAGTGTCTTCCCCCACTTTTTATTGGCTGAGTTTGTTGACTTTGACCCCATCCGGCTTAGCGGACTATTGCACTACATGGCAACAACCGCTCATTTTTTGCCACGTATTCCCGCCGACCTTCTAGACCATATTAGAGGATACGCCCAGACCCAAAGGATAGCCAAATTCTCATGTTCGTTTCCGGCATCTGAACAAAACGCAGAGTGCCTGACCTCCCTGCCTTTCTCTAAAACCTCTTTCACTCGTTCGTTCATCATCAAGACGATGCCGTATTGCGAGGTTGGGTCGCGGCAGAATGCCACTGGCGACGCTAACCTCAACAATGGAATCAAAATTTTCTATAGAACCTACGGTCAGGGACCGACCAAGGTCCTCCTCATCATAGGTCGCCTATCAAGATTCAATATTTACTTTTGATATTTTACGAACTGAGTTTTGGTCGGAGTTTTCTGGGTTGTTGATAAATTTGCAATGGATTGTCAGGTTTGGCGGGGACTCACGATTCATGGGGCCCACAAATCCAGGGGCTGACAGGGTCCGTTACGCCCAATGATGATGATGAAAGGAGGGCCGCCGATGGCTGTGACAATGAGGCTGGTTTTAGTGGCGGTGGCATCGAGGTCTGTGCCTTCGATAACCGTGGTATGGGTCGGAGCTCCGTGCCCACCCAAAAATCCGAATATACGTGAGTTTCATTACTTCATTAATTTGAAAAAGTCAATTTTGTTCTAGCTTTATAAAATCCATATTGAATTTTCAAAAAGAAAAAAGATTGCTTTTTCTCAGTATGGAACTGGGTTGGTTTTCTCATCAATGCGCTTTATGAAACCTATTGGCTAGTTCAGTTCTCTTTTTTTATGGAATTTGATCAAAAAACTGATTTACATTTGTTTTGTATTTGAAGTTTCCCATTAATCAAACTTCTGTCAAGCCTACTTATTTAAGAGAGTTTAGTTGAATTATGGTATCTGGTTGTTTTGTTGCAGAACAAAAACAATGGCAAAGGATGCAATTGCGTTGATGGATCATTTAGGCTGGAGAGAAGCCCATGTTTTCGGGCATTCCATGGGTGAGTCAATGATTCTGAGGTTCCTTGCAAGGTTTTTGAACAGTCTATGATTAAGTTAATCCTGGCTTTTGGCACTGAGTCATTTACTGGATGACAAACAGTGAGCTGAATTTTCTTTGTAGCATTACTTTTTTTTTGTTTTGTTTTCCGCATTTCATTTGAATTCAAGTTCTTTAGTCTGACTTGAATTGTACTACCACAACAGGAGCTATGATAGCCTGCAAATTAGCAGCAATGGTGCCTGATAGAATTTTGTCATTGGCTTTGCTTAATGTGACTGGAGGAGGTTTTGAATGTTTACCAAGGGTTTGTACATATCTTGTCATTGCTGCATTAAAATTTTCTTTTACCAAGCATTCTCCTTGACAAGAGAGTTAATTATGCTCACTACCCATGAAGTTGAAACAGCATTTCAGTTTGCAGTTGAAGTTGACATTTTTCTCATTGATATGTTCAATATTTTTCAGCTTGACCGACACACATTATCAATTGCTGTCCGTTTCTTAAAGGCAAAGACTCCTGAGCAAAGGGCAGCTGTTGACTTGGACACCCACTACTCCAAGGTCCAAACTGCTTTGCATTCTATCATTTTGCTGTCTGTTAACTCTGCATCAATAATCAGTGAAAGAAAAAGCGGCTCTCTAACACATTTACTCTATTAATGTGCAGGGATATCTTGAGGAATATGTTGGATCCAACACGAGAAGGGCAATTTTATATCAAGTAAGCCCTTAAAATTTGCAATAAAATTCAAAGAAAAAAACAGCGGTATCATATCTGTGAATGAGAATCACAAATATGTTACAAGGAGTATTCCAGTAACTCATCTAGGGACTCTGTTTGCTATCATTATAAGGAAATTTTTTGTAAAATAAGGGGATTAATTTGGGATCTGTAGTTTGGGGTTTTCAGATTTAAAGGAACTAACTTCTTATTGAATTATTTTGATATTCAATTATTGCTGGCAATGGGTTCAGGGTTTAATATAATTGTAGCATAAGATCCATGAGCTGATCTAGAACCTGGTTCCAGGAATATGTAAAAGGCATATCAGCAACTGGGATGCAGTCTAACCATGGTTTCGAGGGTCAAGTCAATGCATGCTGGACGCATAAGATGAAACAAATGGAAATAGAATTGATCCGCTCTGCAGGATTTCTTGTTTCAGTCATTCATGGAAGGTGCAGTCATACATACTATGCAGTGCATTTCAGATGTCATTTCTTTTTCTTCTTCAAGATAGGACTATCAGTTGGGCTGGAATTTGTATGCCTACAAAAAGGCAATGGTTCATATGTACATTTCCGGCTCTCAATAAAAACTATCATCTCTGTAATGAAGTTTTTAGATGGAACTTGTAAATTTTGATTTTCCATTTCATTGCATCACAGTTCTTCGAAAAACCAACTTGACAGTCATTGAATTTACAGGCATGATGTTATTGCTCAAATATATTATGCAAGGCGACTGGCAGAGAAGCTGCACCCTGTTGCTAGAATGGTAGATCTTCCTGGAGGGCATCTAGTGAGTCATGAGAGGACGGAAGAGGTGTGTTTTTCTTCTGGTAGATTTGAATAACAAAATAGGTCATTATTTACAAGATTATATTGTAATCAGTGATATGATTCCTTTATGCTTGACAGTGGAAATGATTTGCAACTTTAATTTATTTCACATATCAGGTCAACAAAGCTCTTATTGAGTTGATCAAGGCATCAGAAGCAAAGACAGAGCCACATGATTGGACAAATTTGCCTGAAAAAAGTTTGGGTAAGCAATTTAACTTAAAAGGAACTGTTCTCTCGCTATTCTGTATGATAGCATGAATTAATGGACAGCATGCCTGCTGTATTTTGTGAATTTGTGGTAATATATGCTATCGTTTACAGGGTGGATGGCTACAAGAATGTCACTAATCAGAAAAAGAACTGATGAAGGGAACTGTGTATCTTTCATGTGCAATATGTTCGAAAAGCTACATCTTTGCCTCTTATACCTCTTTGGCCTCTTTGCATTGGCATTTGAGAATGCAAGGAGAACCTTCAGAAGTATAAAACCAGCTAGAATTGGACATTCCATCACATAGGCTGAGACAAGATAGCCACTAGACCCACATGTTTTACTGGTAAATTATACTGTATTTTTCCTTCAAGAGCTCATTTATTAGACCAAGTGAAGCACAACAATTGACATAGTTGTTTCTTTCAACAGGGGTTTACCAAATTTTCATTCTGTTGGCAATTTGGCACTGCCGAATGTATTTAAGCAGTTGGCGCTCTCAAGTAAATGCTGTGAAGAGTTCCCAACACGAGTATAAGCCAGAATTATTTACAAAATGCGGCCCTTTATAGGCAATACAGACATGTTGCAGATGGGGGCAGGAATGGAGAGAGATCACAAGGGCCAATATTTAGGCGGATCCCAATCCTGGTTCACTTGCAACATACGATGCTAATTCATCCATTTATTATTTGTACCACAACGAGTCCTTACAGATGACACGTTTTACAGATTAAGCCTCCAGAATGAGAGGGAAAAATAATAGGGGGTTTTCTATTTGTATCCATCTTTCTGCTATCATATATCAACTTTCCCTGCAAAAAGGTTCCTATTTTACATCTATATTATAATTTCAATTTTTTTAAATTTCAACTACATTCATCCCACCTCTAAAGACTTTGAATTGAGCAAAATTTTGGGTGTCGAACCTCGAAACTCAAGATCTTTGCATATGATATGGATTAAGGTATCAAACTCTATACAGCCAATTAGCAGCATCACTAGTTTACCTCACACAAACGTATGTATTGAGACAAGGAACAGATATCATGCATGCCTAGTAAATTCTCATGTTCATCATACATGCCTTTGTTCAAAAGAAAGCAGAGCATCAAAGTGAATATCATTTTAAGACATGTCGTATGTACTTACGTTCATAAAGAAACAGTAAATTTTAAGGAAAGCAGAGCGTGCAAATTTTTATGTATAGACCGCACGACAGAATTTCGTGGCCAATTCTCAAACCTGGAATTATTATACGGTAGAAACATATAAACTATAAGAAAAAAAGAAGCAAAACCCAAGTTTATACATAAGAGATAGAGAGAGAATACGTGCCTGGCACTTGCATGTGTCTGAGAGATATATATCAGAGCGTTGTATGTGCTCTTTGCTTTGTTGAGAAGGTAACCAAAATAAAAGAAAGAAAGAAAGGTTTGGATGGCGAGGGAGATGCTTTGTTGTGCTGGAAAAGATACCATCTTCTCAACTCTGAAAAGCACTGAGAGTTATATAGCATGGCAGATATACCACCCGAATATACCAATATGCCTTGCGAATTTGCGAGTAAACCTCAACAATCCAATTTCTGTAGTTTTCTCCCACTACTAAGGGTAGTTGTGTCATTCGAATACCTAACCCAATTCGTTAAAATTAGGGATCAAGCACGTGACAGAATTACCAGCACAGTTTTCATTTTACTTCCAAACCTCCAAACGCAGCGTTTTGTTCATCTTGAACCCGATAAACCCCCGACATTTTGCTCATCTTTTCCAACTTCGCAGCTCCACAGGACTATGGCTGCTGTAGCTTCTGACAAGGCAGATGGCCAAACCCAGTGGGAATTTAGCTGGTTATACTCTCTCCCTTTCCTCTCTTATATTTCAATATGTAATTTTGTTCTGGTTCTGTCTTTTGTCGTCTCTTTGCTTTTTGTAATTTAAGTCAACAGTTCAACTGGGTTTTTCTGGGTTTTGATTATCTTCCTCTTTCAATCCCATAGGGACCAAAAAGTAAATTTTTTTTAATGATTTTCCATTATGGGTCAGTTTGTTCCTATAACGTATCTGTTAAAAACATTAGTTATGGTGATGTAGTTCAAGCTGAATTTGTTTTTTTCTCATAAAGTTGCCTTCTTGAGTATCTGTTTCGATGAATTTGTGTAGTCTCTCAGTTAACCCAAGTTTTTCCATAATTTTTCTTCTGCTTTTATGTATGTGTAGCTTGTATGCTTGCTTTTATGGTCTTTTCATCTCATCCCATTGAGCTTCTCTGTTACGTGTTCCCATTTTTGTAATTTTAATATAATATTTGTAGGCTGTAGCTTTTTCTTCCTTGTTATATCCGAACTCATGTTGTTCCTTACAGTTTTACAATATGCACAGTAACCGGTCATAATGAGATTCATCATTGAAAGACATACTAAATTTCTTGGAGAAGTTGAATTGGTCCTATATTTTCAACATTTCGCTTCAGTTTTAGATTTTTCTAATTTATGATGGGAGCTGACTTGGGGATTCATAGGTGCTAATATGTGGTTTTCAGCATTGTTAGGGAGGAGTTCTAGAACTCCTAATTAGGTAGGTAGATCAAGATATGCTGAGGTTTACCCGCTTTAAGAAAATTGGGTGAGGTTTCTGAGATTGCTCTAGATATTTTTGAGAATAAACTTTAAATTCTTTTCAAAAAAAGAATAAACTTTAAATGAGAAAACTGTCATTTGAAAATTTCAAACCAGTAGTCTCTCTTTTTGTACCAAATTTGCATCAAGGACTACAGGAGTATGAACAATTGAGTGACCTGGTAAAGTTTTCCAATGGTTGTGCTTCTATGGGAAGTGGAGGTCATTTATCCAACTTTCATCATTTACAATCTGTCTTTGAGAATTCTTTAACCCACAGAGGAACATTGTTATCTTAGATTGAAATTTTATCTGCAGTGACTTGGAGGTAGATTATGAGTCTGAGGAAAGCGCTTCTATTGTCTATGCAGTATTAGCTGTTGATAAGGAGGTGATTTTTCATATGCTTAATCTATGTCTTGCTTACTTCAATAGTGATTCAGTTAGCATCTTATCTGATTCCATTTATAATTGCAGTTGCAACCAGATAAGGTGAAGAGGCAGATGTCAGTTTCTAATGGAAAGCTTTCAGTGTAAGCAAATTTCTTTCTTCGTGAACCTTGATTGTTCAAACTTTTATCGAAGAATGGTTTTGATAGTAATGATTCTGATGCAAGAAAGTGCTATATCGGGGAGGAGGAACAAATTTTTCTTTCTGCCTATTTACTTTCTACTGAATCTGCGGTTGTTGTTTTTATCCTATGTACAGGCACTTTGAGGCTGTTGAGGCAAGATTTCTTCGAGCATCATATAGTGCATTTGTAGATGTATTGACACTTGCCACAAAAACAATTGAAGAATTCGGAAAAGGAATGGAATTGTGACCACTAGCTTAGCTAGTTTTTTCATGAAATGAGCTGTAATGTAACTCAATGAGTCAAAAGTCGGTGTTTGTGGAACTTTTCAAAGCATGAATTGTAGTTTGAATTTTTAGCTTCGGACCTATAAGATATCTGGAAAGAAGGTTGTCGTTCTACAGTATACTAGTGATTCAGTGTTGCCCTTTAAGAGCACTTCTATTCATTTGCCAGTGCAAAAGGTGAAGGGAGGCAAGGGTAGTTACTGTTCATATGAATGGTGACTACCTTAGCAATTTTTTTGATGCATTCCCACCTATTGCTATGGCAATCCAAGAGCAATCACTATTCACATGAAATATGAGGAGATGAATTTGTAGGGAGTCTCGGTGTGGGAAATGAAGAATATGGCTAGATATTTATATAAAAAAATTTCTGAAATTTCTGGGTTTTTTTCCCCCTTTTTTTTTTTTTGGTATTTAAATTGACTGCTAATGTCACAACGATGTTAGCGTGAGATCAGCTTGCCCAGACAACAGCCAAAGCAAGTCTTGTCTTCGGGCTTGCCCAGACTGGTGGAGCCCAGCGCTTGCCCTGGCAAGCCTTGGCCGCTAGAAACGGGATTGGGGGTCTAGGAGCCTCTTGCATGGGTAGCCCCTCCCGCTGGAAATGCCACTGAGCGTTTAAATGGGATTTCTGAGGTGACTTCAACTGGGTTTGCAGCGAGCAATTAAGTTCATTTGTTCACGATCTTATGCACTGCAATCTCAGCATTGCATTTTACCTAAAATAAAATCTCAACCGCACAGGAACTTTTGTGATGCTGCCGACAGATTAGGCCATTTAAGGTGGCAACTAAACGACAACGTAGTTCCTCCGAACATAACATGGTGGTACAGAGAAGCTTTTCTCTTTCCTTCAAACTTCTTGTAGCTATTGTCGTCAATGATGACGCTAAAATGCATTACCCAGCAAACTTCGGAAATGATATATAACATTTGATATATAATGTTTATAAGATTTCAAAACGTACATAGCTTTATAAAAATAAAAGGTAATCAAACAAAGGGTAAAGCTGAAAGAAAAACTATGCAGTAATTTTCTGCTTCCAATGTCCATTCTCAGTATTCGTCCAAGTAAGTGTATAGCATGTCGTCTTTCTTTGACTTGCGCCGGCTAAGCAAGGCTTTGAGGAGGCGTTTACTTTTGCTGGGGTATTGTTCAACCTCTCTTCCATTTTCCCTTTCAGCATGTAATCGCATTGAAGCTGATTTACGAGGCTCCGAAGGGTACTGGCATATGCATAAACATTTTACTTTATAAGTATCTCTATAGAAGGGAATGGTGGCAAGTATATGAACTAGTGAAAATGCGGGTAAAGTCAATCCAATTCCCCCACTCACCCGCCGTCTTGCATTAGAAGGATTCGGAGTGGTAGGCCTACTTGAGTTTGGGGTAGTTGACTGACTTTTGTTCGGGGTCGTTGGCCTACTTGCAAGAGATCCAGACCGTAAAAGTGGAAACCGATGAGGTGAAACTGTTCGCTTCTCTGATTCAATATAAACAGCATCATAGTCAGATTCTAAATGGCCAATTCATTATAAAGGTGTCAATATCACAATGTCTAACATGCATACGCACCTAATTCCTTTTTGGGCATGGTAGATGTAAAGGAAAAAACTCCAGGCCGCTGGGATGGTTGTGGAGAAGGAGATGGAGAACGCCCTTTGCTGCACAAAACAGGACCAAGATTAACCTGGGTTACAAGCTTGGTTCAAACAAGTGCTGCAACAATATTTACCTGACTGTAGGTGGAGGGGTTTCTCTAATGGTAGCACGAACAGCTTTTAGGAATCCGATCAGATTACAACAAGAACAAAGTTATGTTAAACAATTGCTTACTTATATGCATTGAAACAAAATGGAAGATAAAGCATGGTACCATTCCGAAATTGATGCCATTCATCTTCATCATCCAGGTTGCAACCTTCATATTTGGATTTAGTTTTGTTGGCACCGCGTATGGTCTCACCAACTGAACGTGAATTTAAGTTTAAAGAATTATCTCTTAAAAGCGGACAAAAATTACAAAATGGAGAGAGTGCTTAAAGTAACAAAAAATATATAGAGAGGAAGCTGAGTATTTGCCTGGCAAGATGTACCGCTTGTGGTATTTCGGAGTATCTATCACTGATGACTGTTGGGAAAGACCCTCATGATCAATATATTCTTGGCATGTCCTTAGCCTCTAACGAACCACAAAAAAGAAAAGAAAATTGTCAGCGTCTCTTAAGTATTGGTTTCTTGTGATTGAAAAACATAACTAGAAATTAACGGAGTTGAGTATGGTCTATGGTGCAGTAATTCACACAAAGTTGTTGAACCGACTTAGGCTCTCCTAAAAGGAATTACTACTCCTTGCTGTGTAGCATAAGAGTTTCATTGAAATTAAAATACCCACCAAACAATATACTGTGATCTGGGAAATATTTGTCATGCAAAACTTTTGACTAATAAACTATGAACCTGTAGAAGAAGTTGGCTTTTTAGCAGACCAACAATTGAAGCAGGTATATCATGTGAGCCAATCTACATGGAAACTTAATTATCTTCTACCAAACCCAAAAAAGCCAGTTTCCACTGATCTTTTAAATAGAAACAGACATCAGACAAGCTTGTTCAAGATTTCTTTTATATCGATAGCCCTGAATCAGAAGTGTCTACCGGATGACTGACAAAGGCATTACTTTAACAGTTTAACCTTACCTGTTCAATGCAAGATACCCGAAATTCTGTGCCGGAAACTTCATCCACTTTTTCATCAAAGAAATCATTAACCTTATATGTCACAGAACCCAAATGGTCCACCGTATTCACGAGAGCTTTAATGGCATAATCTTTCAATGTTTCTACCACTCTGCATAACAGGAGGGAATTTTTTTTCTTCTTGTTAAAATAATGACAGAAAATAAATATTTATGAAAAACCCAAACTTCCACGAGTCAAAATAACTCACATATGTTTCTGGTCATCATTTGTGTATGATAGTTCAAAGTACTCTGCCGCTGAATATAATTGTGTTCTCAAATTCTTCAAATCCTGAAAAAGTAATGCAATGCGCAAGCAAATCATAGAACTTCAGTTGTAAGGGTCTCTGACTGAAAAATTATAAAACTCTACAAAGAGATATTTCCACCATCACAAACAAACTGCCCTCGGATTCCGATATTTTTGATTGAGGTATACAGAAAACCAAAGATTTGATTTTTCCAGATGATTAATTTAAAACCCCCGGTACAGTTCATTGAACTCGCAAAACTAAGAACCGACTAACAATAATCTTTAAGTAGAAGTGTAGTACCTTGAGACTATCAGAGAAGAGCAAGCTCTGATGCATAGAAACCTCATCAAAATTAGATGCTACTCGAGGGACGGGCATACTTGTAGTCATTGTTCCCATGAGCATAAACGTGGAAAGTGAACTAAGATTTCCTTATGCTGCAAACAATCAAGATAAGAACTTAAAAGACTAGGCCAAGTAGGGGGTCAAAAAACCCAACAGCAAGAACATATGAGGTTATAGTAAGGTAATGCACAACTCAGCATCCAAAACCCATGAAAAATCTGAAATCACCTCCCCACGAAAAGAAAAAAAGAAAACAACGTGTGTAGGAGAGAAAGCGAGAAACGGAGGAAGAATGAGGTTATGCACCAATAAAAATCCCATTTCAATTTTTATTTTTAAACTGATTAAGCAACACCAAGTGTGTGTGTCTGCGCAAGAAAGAGAGGAGAGCGTCTCATTTAACAATTAATTAATAAAATACCAGAAGCTACTATTTTAATTAGACAACGGCCGTGCCAGAGATAAAAAGAATATATGGGAATAAGAAAATGAACAGCATAAAGATAGTGCTTTGCCACATTTCCGCAACCATTTCAGACAGGAAAATCAACAGAACAATATACTAAACACTTGAAAACACTTAAAGCTCATTTTATCTGCATTTCACCAACAATAAAAGCTGTCAAATTTCAGTATCCTCTCTTTTATTGTTGAGATAATCGTTGGTTTTCATGCTTTTCTTGTTCAAATAGGTAATGCTGGAAACGAAAAGGAATAGTAAATTACATAAAGAGGGTAACTGACATCCCAATCCTAACAAACATCAAAATCTGCAAAATTTCACAACTTTTTCTTTTTACAGGAGGAAATCCTGGAAATGAAAAGCAATTGAATGCATTATGCCTTTTCAAAGATAAGCTCACCTCAACCAACCATGAGCAGTTGCATTAGCTCAGTTGAAAGTTGTTCTTTTCTCCGGTCATTTTTTCTCTCTCAAACAGCGTAACAAAAGTCTAAAGGGGTATGTTTGAAAGCAAGCTAACCACTAACCTTAGTGAATGCTCTTCTGGAGCTGAAAGCGCAACTACCGAGAAGTCCAAAACCCAGTAACCGCCTTCCCAATTCGAAGCAGGAGTATGTGAAACCTAAATGGTGAAGAAGAAGGGCAAAGTAGAAAATAAATAGAGGCCACTTGTTGACAGTGACCAATATGGTTTGGTATAAGATTTGACTAAAGCACAGAAAACGACAACTCTAGTTTGGGAGATTCAAATACCATGAGGACTAGAGAAAAAGCACAGGGCTTGCGAAGAGAGAGAGGCATGGAGGGACATCCATCAAGGCGAGCACGTTTGTGTGTAGGCAAGGAATCAGAGGCACTTGGATTTCAGAAGATTTTTAAAGAGAGCAAAAGTCTCTCCTTTTGGTAGCAAGAAGAACAGGTGATTAATTTAGGCCCCCCTTTCCCTCATCATTAGCCACTTAGTGGGTCCTACTTCCTTGGTGTTTTTTTAAAAATTTCTTGGTATCATTGGGTCCCACTGTCTCTAAACACAAACAGTGAAGACACCCAAAAATTGGAAATTGCAATGTTGTTTTTTTCCAGTTCGTGTTGTTGAGCCTCTTTGTTGTGTCTCCCTCCCTCCCGCTTGTTTTTGTTGTGGTGGTGTGTTGGTACCGTGGTAGAGAAGGAGCGGGTTCATGGGTTCCACTTTCTTATCAGAAATGGTTTGAATCGTTGAAAGCTTTGGGCTTTGTGGAAGTTCCCATCAAAAGCTCTAGCCTTTTTTCTGTTTCTTGACCAACCCATGAAAAGCTCTACCCTACCTTCCTTGAATTGCCAATTTCGTAAAAATCTGGTCTGAGTGCCTCTACAGAGAACTTCATCCCATTAATAAATGTGTCTAAAGCTCTGCTTAAAAAAAAAGGATCCAAATTGAATTCAAATGTGGCTGGCAATACCCCAGGGGTTTGGTCTAGCGGAAATACTGGGGCTAGTTCCTGCAAGTTGGGTGAATGTTAGTTGGATACCCTTTGAGGTCCAGCATTCGAAACTCAGCCGGTGAAAAACACCCCTTGGGGGAGAGCTTTAGTGTAAACAATCCCGGGTCGGAGTGGTTGCACACTTCGCCACCATTTTCATCCAAAAAAATGTGGCTGGCAATAAAAAAAGAATGAAGAATCTTCCATCAAAACGTACCTATTGTATTGTTACTATTGGTAATTTAATTAATTTACACAAGAAGCATGTGAATTAAGATCCCAACTAAAGAATGAAAAAGATTCTAGTAGTAGTAGCTCCCATCCCGATTCTCCATCTTGTACCTGACTGATAGGTTTGATCTCAACCTTCCATTTTAATGACCGAATTATCAGGAACTTCTTCGTTGGGAGAGGATGGATGGGTCATGGTTGGTTGCTAGGAGGCCCATGCCCTTTGTAATTAAATTTGTAAGGCACGGAAAGCAGCTGGTAGATAGATACAGTCACACTCTGGATATTTTCTGAGTCCCCACATACATTATACATACATGATAAAACATTGGAGTGGAATTGGATAAGAGAAGATGTTGTGTTGTGCTTGTGGGCAATGGCTGCTCTGCTGAATTCGCTGCACAATTGCTTTTCAATCTAGTGGGTTGAAAAGCACATGTCAAAAGACCACGCCATAGATAGATGAGTGGAGTGGAGTGGGCATTACATAATATAAATCAAAGGCGTGACCTTGGAGGCACTCATGCTGCCTGGATTGAACGTGCAATCTAACATTAAACAAACTCATCAACAACGACATGTATGTAGATAGAAACAGAGAGGAAGAAGAAGAAGAACGCCACCACATAACATCATTTCGGACTTCTGAGAGTCTCCTCCAGTTCCAAATTTCCAATGCACCAAATCTCAATTGATCAACGGTTGATGATGAGACTTCAAAAATCATATCATATGGGTCCACCGTGGGGAACCACTACCGTGGAAAACATGAAATGAAAGGTGTTTATTGATTTATTGCAGCTAGCTAACAAGCAGAAAAACTTGTGTGAAACGAATGGACATAGCACTATTTTATTATATTCAATCAATTATAGACTGTTATGTGGAAAAAAGTTATCACGAGTGACATATCATGATTTGTCGGGAATAGCATAACAATACTATTTTCATCTCACACAAGTGTTTCTCACTAATGAGAGTAATGGATCCCACTGATTTTCTTTTCCTTTTTCTTTTTCAAAACAAAAGCTGTTTTTGGGGTTTGGAGTTGTTTCAGCTTTTTTCGTTGGGAGTGAATCCGTGATTTTAGCGTAACTGGTTCCCAATAATTTATAGTGTGATCAGTGGCGTGATTGGTGGCAATTGCCATGTAGATTCGTAAAAAGAAGACCAACACAATATGATTTACCTTTTTGTTTTTGTTTTTGTTTTTTATTTATTGCAGGAATATGATTTACCTTTTTCAGAGTCTAGGAATACGCACACACCCCTACCCCGCAAGTGAATCCCAGCAGAGCAGAGGTTGGCCCCAATTTTGATTGAAAGAAGCCCATCTGACCTCAAAATTGTGAATTTTGATGGATAAAAGCCCAAACCAATGATAGAATTCAACAATCCAGTCCTGAGTTATTATTTTGGTAAGATAATAAACTAATGTTTTTGTCTTGATGATGATGACTTGGCTTGGCTTACTTATAGATAAACAATAGCCAAATCCATATACAAAGACTCCGATCTTCTTAATTATTGGCTATGTACTGGTTCCCTTCCCTTTCTCCTATTATTATTGTCAATCAGACTCTCTCACTCTTTTTTTATTGATTCATGATCGTTTCTCAACTCTTGAGTTATTAACTTATATTACAAAAAGACTTGCAGACAAAAAAAATCGTCTCGATCGTCAATGCTAAAACGCCATATTCGTATTACTTTTCTTTTCATTTTTATTAACCCAAAAAAAAATATTAGTTTTCTTTTAATTTTTGACCTGCACGATAATTAAGAGATTAAACAAAACCTTGTGTATACATAAAATGTGCTGCGGGTACAATTTGGATTCAGTTGTGTTGTGTCTTTAATTTGGTTTCGGAAAGGGGTTCAGCCACTCGAATGCTCCTTGTTCCTTTCTCTCTGTCTCTGCTCCGCCCTGTAAACTCAAAACCCTCTAAACTAGCAGTCAATTGAGTTATTATGGGTAGCATCACAGTAGCTGCAGTTCCGGAGGACCTGACAGACAAAACAGATGGGTTAGTTCTTCTTAATTTACATTAAGAATTCAAACTTTTCTTCTTCTTCTTCTTCTTCTTCTTTTTCGTATAGAAAAATGTTTGTTGTATCAACTAACTATCAAGCTTATAGGACTTGTATCTGCAGTGGCTTTGGCTGTCACTTGTAACTATGAATAATGCATGCAGAACCTTAACTCATATCATATATATGAATCTGATGCATTTTCATTGTTTACGCTATATTTCAACCCAAGCATTCAATTGATTTAAGAAAAGCCGCCCTATATTTTGAGCTTCTTCATTCTGAGTCTGACGGGTGCAATTTGTTATTTGTTTTTCCAGTCGAGTTAAAACTCGGATGTATGCCATAATGAAGAAAATATGTCATCCAGAGGGGCAATACCGTCATATATGGAATAAGATATTTGTAACATCATGTGTGTTTGGTGTCTCACTGGACCCTTTGTTCTTTTATATTCTAATCATCGATCAACAAAACAAGTGCCTTCAAATGGACACAATGTTGCAGACTGTTGCTCTTCTTTTACGATCATTCACAGATATCATTTTCTCGGTGCATTTCATATATGAAATCTGTGACGGTGTCAAAACTCAAAGGGATACAAATTTGGCCTCATATACCCTAATTAAAAAATATGGCCCCAACCCCAAATACCCAGAAAGTTAGATCTAGAGGACATTCAGGTCCCAAATCAATAGTTATGGTGTTCATTCGAGTTGCCAAGAAAATAGCTCACAAGATGTCGTGGTTATCTGCCTCCATCGTATTTGAATTTTTCGCTCTTCTTCCCATCCCGCAGGTAAGACAAGACAACTTATAAAACTATTGTTTTTTACCTCTCCTTAATTATATATTAAGATTAACCACCTACTATAGCTGTAATTAAACCACTTCTAAGTTCTAACCAATTTTGATTTATTTCTCCAGCTGCTAATAGTAGTTACTTTTTACAATATGAGAGGCTCCCCATACTTTGAACATGAAAAGGTTTTGAATATCTTTCTCCTTGGTCAATATATACCAAGAATAAAGATGTTCAGGTAGAGAACATCCTCTCTGTTCTTCCATTGGAACATAGCGACTTTATCAGGCGTTATCTTCGTTTGGCTACACTTAATAATGTAAGTAATTATTCCTTTCTGTATATATATACATATGCATTGGATTTAATTAGTCATAACTCTGATGTATTAAATGTATCTATATAGGTTCGAATTCTTAAAGCCATGGATGAAAAACTGTTGAAAGCAATCTGTGAACATCTCAGGCCAATCAACTACAATGAGAACAAGGATATTATTGGAGAGGGGGACCAACTTGATAGGATGCTTTTCATCAGGCAAGGCATTGCATGGACGTACACAACAAATGGCAAAGGTGGAAAGATTGGTACTTCTAAGCTTCTGGAGAAGGGTGATTTGTATGGAGGAGAGCTTCTAAATTGGGCATCAAATCTAATTACGTCTCATACTGTCTTACCCATCTCGACCAGAAATGTCAAGTCTGTGAGAGCAGTTCCAGCAGCCCACTCGGGCTCGGGCTTGGGGGGGGGGTGGGGGGGAGAGCCCAAAACGCCATTCCAGCAACAAGTGCTGGCCCGGGCAGTGTGGGGTCCACTTGCCTAGGCTGGCCCGAAGGCAGGGGCTGCTCGAGCAGCAGCCCGAAGGCAGGCTGACGTCAGCAGGCGCAATTTTTTTTTCTTTCTACTGCCACATGGCGCGATCTGGTCCTTTCGATTTTCGAATTTTCATCCAATCCAACGGCCTGGAATTTTCAAGGCAAAAAATTATGAAAAAAAATCGTAAAAAATTTTTAAAAAAATCCCAAAAAATACTGAATTTTTTTTTCTATAAATACCAATCCATATTCTTCACTTTTAACAACAAATTCACTTTCTACTCAATAATTTTTTCACTTTCAACTCTAAATTTTTTTCACTTTCAAGTTTAATTATTCACTTTCTACTCAATAATTTTTTCACTTTCAACTCTAAATTTTTTTCACTTTCAAGTTTAATTATTCACTTTCTACTCAATAATTTTTCACTTTCAACTCTAAATTTTTTTCACTTTCAAGTTTAATTATTCACTTTCTACTCAATAATTTTTTCACTTTCAACTCTAAATTTTTTTCACTTTCTACTCAATAATTTTTCACTTTCAACTCTAAATTTTTTCACTTTCAAGTTTAATTATTCACTTTCTACTCAATAATTTTTTCACTTTCAACTCTAATTTTTTTCACTTTCAAGTTTAATTATTCACTTTCTACTCAATAATTTTCTCAATAATTTTTCACTTTCAACTCTAAATTTTTTTCACTTTCAAGTTTAATTATTCACTTTCTACTCAATTATTCACTTTCAAGATTAAATTTATATCAGGTTTGAAAAAAAAATTATCTGAAATTTGAAACCGGAAATCTTATATGAAAATCTTATCCGAATATTTTATCAAAAAATCTCATCCGAAAATATTGTCCAAATTAATTGTTTAGGTAAACAAATTTGTGAAAAAAAACAAAAAAATTGAATAGTACTCCCCCTTGCCATGGCAACTGCTGGAAGTGCAATTTACTTTTTGCAAGGGCAAACACTATTTCTGTGAATAGTGTCAGCCCTAGCCCCCCCCTTGCCATGGCAAGATTCCAACTGCTGGAAGTGCTCTAAGCAAAGTTGAGGCCTTTACACCCATGCCCAGGGACTTGGAGTTGGTAATCACTAAATTCTGGTGGCATTTCACCAAAGACAAGGAGAACCAATTTAGCGAGCCTCAGTTGGAGCAGCTGAAGAAGCACGCAATTTCTTCAATAGAAAGATAAGTCCATCGCATTAATCAAGCGAAAATGGATAAGCAGTAGCGTACACCCCAATTGGCTGGTGAAGGTAGTTGTGGTAGTATCACCTGTCATTTCGAGGTTTTTTAAAATAAAAAGTAGTATAGCCGCGAGGCTATCCTATGGTTTTCATAATAAAAAATAGTATAGCCGCAAGGCGGGGTGGTCCTTTTTCATTATAAAGCGTATAGCCGAGCAGTATCGCCGCGCGGCTATACTAGGTTTTTATTATAAAAATAGTGTAGCCGCGCGGCTATACTATTTCGACACTGTCAAACGGGCGCAGTCTCCAAGCGGGTTTTTTTTAAAAAAATAAATAGCTTAGCCGGGTGGCTATACGCGCGATTTTTTGTAATAAAAAGCGTATAGCCGCGCGGCTATACTATTTTTGACACGTGGCCAAGCGATGCTAGGCTCCAGGTGGGTCCCTCCTTTTATATAAATAGTATAGCCGGCCAGCTATACTCGAGTTTTTTATATATAAATAGTATATAAAAAAACACAGAGTGCGCCCATACTAGTTTTTAATATAAATCGTATAGCCGCGCGGCCATACTTTGTGTTACTTTTTTTAATAAAACAAGTATAGTCGTACGGCTGTACTGGGTTCATTTGTTTATATATATTTGTTTCTTTACATGTACTGTGATCTTTTTTTGTTAATTGTTTTTTGCCAATTTTTTGTTTATTAATAAGGATAGTTTAGAGCATTATTCTTTACTTAGGCCATTATCCTAGTTTCTATTGTCCCCTTTGAGTTTTTACTTTTTCAGAGCTATTACCCGTATAAATAATTTAGTATTTTCACATTCCATACTCGTATTGTACATGTACTTATTTATTTTTCATGTTTAATACACTTGGTTTTTACAAAATTTTCAATTATACACAAAAAATTCACTTATTATATACATAATTTTTGCATGTTATTAAATTAAAATATTATATATTACAAAATTGAAATAAATCATATTAAAATATTATATATTACAAAATTTAAATAAATCATATTAAAATATTATATAGTGACCGAGCTTATCAGTTGTAATTTGCCAAAATATTGCCGAATAAAACACGTACATATTTTATTCATAATGAAAGAATGTGAGAGGCTAAGATTATTTCTTATTTTTGTAATAAAAATACAAGATGGTGATTTTGCAATCTCTTTGCCAACCAAAACAACAATTTCAAACAAAGATTTATAGATATTCCCTTTCCATATTTTAGTAACAAAAATGTGAGATATTGCATCCTAACACTTGACGGGAAAAAACCAATCAGCTGATGATTAACGTTGATTGATACTACTGTTACTGTAGAAACTTTGATTAAACAATTGCAACCAATATATTATATACTAATTAATGAATACTCTTGGGGAAGAACTGAAGTCGAAGATCCTGCATGCCCGTCTCCCTCTTTCTCATCAATTCTTTTCTTGATTAGTAAAGATTAACTGGTCTTAAATATATATATCATTCCAGAATAATATTAATAATGAATGAGTTATGGGAGTGATTGACTTTAACTCCCCAACAAAGAAAAAAAGGAAAAGATCAACTACCACAAGGTTTTATACATTGACGCACGCGACGAAGTTAATTGACTAAGATCTTAGCCAATCAGCAACTTGCAAGTTTGATGATGCGGAATACAGTATTATTCTATTCCCACTATACTAGTACTGGAATACAGTTTTTATTTTCCAGTTGCTGATTTGTCAGCCGTCACCTTGAAAAAAATTAGCAACTAGCAAAAACTATGCGTAAAGAAAACCCCGTCTCTCCCAATATCGCTTGTGTAAAAATAAAAAATAAAAGCTACAGAGGCAATTGGGAAAAGACTAAGAACGGACAAGTCTATGGTTGGCAAAGAATTAACTTATTAAGAAAAGACTACGTAAATAGTTATCGCTGATGCGTGCAGGTAAGTCTATAAAACTGAATCTAATATTGGCTTGAAGCACAGCTTAATTTGGTTTTCAAATATTTGGAATATGTTTCGGTGATCTTATAGTACATCCAATTTCAATTTTGGCATAACGATGAATACTACTAGTGTGGAGGATCTGGAGGACCAGCGAATTCAACTACTTCACAAAGAAACAAGAAGAAAACGACCCGTGAAAAACTTGTTCTTCTTTTGAAACCATCGTGGAACACCATATTTGTCACTGCATTTGTGGTTGCAGTTTCATTAGATCCCTTGTTCTTTTACATACCAATCATTGATGAGAAAAACAAGTGCCTTGACATGGACGTCAAGTTGAAGAAAAAGAATGTGATCTTAGAGGTTAAAAAGATACTAATTGTATAACATAATATTGGTGGGTCCACCTCCCAAGTTAACAACTTGTTATGCCCAAAAAACAACGAAATAAGTTGTTGTTAGATTAATTGGAAATTATGGTCAATGGTTTCGGGATACTTGGAGAAGATAATTATAGAAGCTTAATTAATGAATTTAAAATTGTAAGACAGCTTAGCTATGGAGTTTGATTGACTTTATATCCACACCAAAAGAAGAAGAAGACTTTTAGTAAAGTAGCAACTTGCAAGATTAAGTCTGACTCCCTCCTTATTAATCAAGAAGAGCAATTTGAACCTAAATTATGCATTAATTCCTCCATCGGTTGTTGCATTTGTCACCTTTGTCCACTATACCTAGCAACTGGCTAATTAAAAGCTAGGTTAATTGCAATTTGTATGGCATGGATGGACAACTCTTTCTTGAGGAAGGAAGGAAGGACTTGGACAAGTTCTTCGTCAACGACTACTACAAACAAGACTCCACTTATGTACACACATTGCCCTGGTTTTTTTTATTCCACCCCATCTCTTTTATTTTAAAATTCCAAATTAATTATGCTAATATCAAATATCGCAAGTCTTTATAATTGAACACTCTTCTCTTCCATATTGCAAATCATTTGCTTTCAATTCGATATTTTCAGTTCTTGTTCAGAAGCTAAATAGTTTGATACAAACATAAAGAGGTTTAAATTATGAGTAACTTGTATGATCAGCCCACCATTCAAGTAAGGTTAGTTTCTCCGCCGATCGGGTCTCAATACATTTATGACACAAATTTGTTATGTTATGTTTTTGTTCCCCTTTCTGATTTGCATTTTCGTTTCAGCTTAACACCTTACACTTTGGGCAATATTCAACTTGGAGGAGCTTCAGAAAGGTCAAGATTTGATAAACTTGTTGCAAATATTCCATTATGGAACCAAATATTTGTAATTTCATCTGTGATTGCAGTGTCATTGGACCCTTTGTTCTTCTACATTCCATTCATCGATGAAGATAACAAGTGCCTTGGAATGGACAAAAAATTGAGGGTTGTGGCACTTGTTTTGCGGTCCCTCTTGGATATCACTTTCATAGTGCATATTATATGTCAAATTCGACAAGCCTTCAAAACTGTGAACTCCAAGCTACAAACAACCCGAAACTCCGGTTGGGAATCGAAAGCTAAGGCAGTTGCTCAGAATCTTTCATGGCGCTCTGTTGTTACTGACGTTCTTGCTCTTCTTCCCATCCCACAAGTAAGACGATTAAAAGTTAACTTTTAACTATAGTTTTTTGGTGTAAATTTATATCTGGTTAGCTAGGTTTAACTTGGTTTATATGTTTCGTATATTCAGGTTCTTTTAGTGAATGTTTTTTTCAAAATGAGAGGCTCTGGATATTTGGATAATCGAAAGATTCTAAGTTTCCTTCTTCTTGCCCAATATCTTCCAAGAATTTATCGTATTCACCTCTCCTCTAAGAAACTTACACAAACCGGACTATGGGCCAAAGGTGCATTCAACTTTTTTCTATACATTCTCGCTAGTCATGTAAGTTTTTCTTCTCCATAGTCAATTTGCATAGGATTTAATTTTAAAGTAAGTAATTAATATGTTGTCTATTAGGTGCTCGGAGCTTATTGGTACTTTTTTTCTATTCAACGGGAGACATCATGCTGGCATCGGGCATGTGAGGATCCCAAGCATAGAATAGAATCATGCATGGATAATTTTTACTGTGACGACGACCCTACCACAACCCCCAGAAATACCTTGTTTCGAAAAGAGTTTTGTCCTATAAATTTTCCACCAAATGCTACACCGCCATTTGATTTTGGAATGTTTCTTGATTCACTTCAATCTGGAAACACGGCGACATTGGATTTTCCAATGAAGTTCTTTTACTCGTTTTGGTGGGGACTACGAAACTTAAGGTGTGCACAATGAGTAGTAGAAATTATACATATCTTGTTTTTGTCGAGCAATAATTAAGCTGAAAACGTTGTTTTGTTTATAATCTTCTTGTTCTTGATCATCCTTGAATTGATTTTTTGCAGTAACTTTGGTACAAATCTCACAACGAGTACGTATGTGTGGGAAAACTTCTTTGCAATTCTTATTTCAATCATTGGCTTGCTGCTATTTTTATATCTCATAGGAAATGTGCAGGTTGGTATAATTATATATGAATCTCTCAATTATACATAAATATATGTGCCTTGTCGCTAGGATTTAAGGAATTGGTCGATGAAGCTAGCTAACCTAATTGTTTGTTTGTTTGTTTGTTTGTTGTGAAACGTAGACATTTATGCAGTTGGCCACTACAAAATCGGAGGAGACAAGACAGAAGATTATTAAGAAAGAGCAAGCGATAGAAGAGTGGATGGTCAAAAATGATCTCCCTGAAGATATGAAGAATGAAATCAAGAATAACATAAGACAACAATGGGAAGAAAACATAGATGCTGCTGATCTGGAGAACCTGTTCTCTATTCTTCCGTGGAATACCAGGAAATCTCTAAAGCGTTTTCTCTGCATGAGTACGCTAAGGAAAGTATGTTCCTCACTCAGTACCCCTCTCTCGCCCTCCGTATATATATATATATATATATATATGGATGAACTAAGTGATGTAATTAAGGTATAACTAATAAAGCTAATATGCACAATAGGTACCAATGCTTAAAGGCATGGATGAAAAGGTGTTGAAAATGATTTGCGACTATCTGAAGCCAGTTATGTACGCCGAGAACAGCGTAGTCGTTCGAATGGGAGAACCACTTGATCTGATGCTCTTCATTACAGAAGGTTCGATATGGACGTATATGCCGGGTGGAATGCCGACCAACTCGGTTAAGACAAAAGGTGAGTTTTATGGAGAAGAACTTCTCAAGTGGGCATCATCTTCATCACCAAAACTTCCCATCTCCACCCAAAATGTGCAATGCCATACCAAGGTGGAAGGCTTTGTACTCATGTCTAAGGACTTGACTAGTGTCGTCTCCAAATGCCAACTCTGGTGGAATACAAATGATTCTCATCAGGGACAGGGACGGGGACAACCCGCTACAGCAGCAGGTGGTGCTGAGAACTCCACTCCGAGAATCAGGTATATCATGCATCCTCCTCACTAGTTCCCGTGGAGATCGATCGTACTTTGGCATCCACTTCTCTTTGGTACACAGTTTTTTTTTTCTTATGAACAGTTCACTTTTGCTGTGTTATAGTAGACAAGTCATCTTGTAACCAAAATGTGCTCTTTCACTTTTTGTTCAGTACCGTACGACATTAACCAAAGGTTTTTCTGTGGCCTGTGAACAATGAAGACCACCCTTTGATGGCCTACTGGGCCTGGCCTAGCTTATTTGTTGGCCCACTGGGCCTGTAAACAAATTATCAACACAATGAACGAGAAAGGAAAGAAGGAAAAAGAAAATAGCTATGATAAATCAATAACTTAACGACTGATACATAATTATTCCATCACCACCTGAGGAGACTAACAATAACACATAATGTCAAAGGGATATTCATATAAGGTCATTCACAAATAATTATTGGAGGACGTTGAAATCCGACCAAATGCGCCTCTAAAGGCAGAGAGTTCATGAACCCCCATCTCATCTACACTTAAAAATAAGAAAGTAATAATTAACCTATTTTCTATTTCTTCCATGTGCTACTACTCACTTTGACTATCAGGCAAATGAAGCAACGGGTGCTGCTACTAATAACTACTCCTCAGCCGATTCATCTTGGCAGGGTTGAGGTTGAAGAATGGCATAGAGCGCTCACCTCCCTCCTCAAAAAAGGAGGCAAGGCAAAGGCAGCTGAGTGCATCTGCCAAACAAACAACACTGTTATTTTGCTTTACAATAATTTTGAAACATTCAGATTTAGCAAAATATGGCTGAGAATCTTGCATATCTAAGCAACACCAAAAGATAGCAGCAATATACCAGAATTATGTGTAAGATGAAATTAGAAAAGATGGCTCCTACCTCGGAGTTATAGAACCTAAGCTCTCTCTTATGCTTGAGAGCTCCTTCTAACTTCTCAATGGAATTGACTGGATTTTTGAAATCAACAGGAGGCCCCTCCGTTGAGCACAACAGAAAGCCTATCACACCACTGCATGACAAGCAATCTCAGGAGTAAGAAAATGATTTCAAGATATAAAGGCAGTGAGTAGATTAACACGAGAAACAAAAAGAACAGTGTTACCTTGGATACGTAGGAACACTCGCCCATGCATAATTGACAGATCCCTTGAATGTTTCACGACAAACAGAGATCATATCTTGAATAAGATGCGTATGGAGCCACATACTCTCCGCCATGTTACAGAGAACACCGCCAGGCCTTAATGCTCTAGCTATTGTCTCAAAAAATGGTTTCTCTACAAGCTCTTGAGCAGGACCTGCATCAAAAGGAAACCATACAATTAAAGAATAGTATCTAAAACCTTGGATCATAAAAGTTTCATACTCCATATTGAGATCAAGACTAAGCGAGGAAGAGAGGGGGACACACGGACAGTAAGCAGAAAGAAACATGCCTTCCATAACGTACCTACAGGGTCCGACGAATCAACAATTACAGCATCATACTTCCCTTTAGGTGCATGCCTCAGGAATTCAGTAGCTGTCATGTAATAATAACGAGATATGATTGAGACAGCCAGGCAGCCAAATACAACGTCAATTTGACTTAACCTTTTGATAAAACATAGAGAAGCAAATAGTAAGTATTAAACCTACCATCACCAATATGAAGGTGGACACGAGGATCCTGAAATCCAACAGCTAACTGAGGGAAAAAACTTCTTAGACACCTAGAAAAGAAAGAAACAACAAACAAACAAACATAATCAGCCAGTCAGCACAGATTTCTTTACAACTAAAAGCCCAGAGGGATACATTACACCACTTACATCTACAACCATCTTATCTATCTCGCATATGTCAATATGCTCAACAGAAGGATGGCGAGAAACCTCCCTAAGAACCCCACCATCACCACCACCAACAACCAGAACCTGCGTCAACAATGTTATAAAACTTAGCATTGTAATTGCAATAAGAAATCAATAACAACACAAATTACTGATGACATGAAAGCTGCCCAATTCTATCAATATATTCCTAAGCCACAAAAGTATACTAAAGAGCCATCACCAGGTTGTAACCAAGTCAAATTATTATAACTATGTGCCCCTTGAATTTCATAGCATCATTAATGCAAACAATTGGATTTCGATCCAAGTGTAGTAACCATGTGTTTTCATGGTCACTGGTTCTAATCAAGAGATTCAAGACTCTACACACACACAAAATCACAAACATGATGGATGGATAATGTAAAATTACTGTCTTGGGGGAAGGAATTGAACAAAGAGGTAGATGAGCTATCATCTCCTGGTATGCACATTCATCTTTCTCACTCAGCTGGATAATGCCATCAAGAACAAGCACTTTTCCATACGTTGAGGACTGCATAAAATGGAATCACGTCATTGATAAGAAAATTAAGATTAAAAGAGGGAACGCAAGTGATATAAACAACCAAATGTAACGATCCAAGACAAGAATCCCAAACCTCAAAAACCAAAATCTCTTGGAACTCTGATTTTCCCTTGTACAGAATCTTTTCTACTTTCAGTGAATGAGCTTCACCTATAAAAAATAAAAAAATAAAAAAAAAAGAACATCAAACACAAAATAGAGGCATAGAAACTATTTCAAGTTAGAGATGAAGTTTTTTTTCAAAAACAAGTTCCATTAATAGGAAACATTATAAACGAAGCAAAATACTATGAATAGTGAGGAAAGGGTGAGAAAAAATTATTGCCAAAGCTTCAGCAAGTTACCAGGGAAAATTTCAGAGCATGGAGGTTGTCAATACAAGATATCACTTAAGCAAAAAAGGTTTCTCAGTTCCATTTTCTTTCCTGATTACAGGAAAACAGTGTAAATTTCACAATGGGTTCCTCTAATGTGCAAGTTTTCCTAAATTTATACCGACAATGAAAAAAATCACAAAATGAGCAAGAGGTCGTGACCCTCAGTAAAGCACATCACAAAAGGGAACTTGAATCTCAATTCACTAGTGGAAAACTGGAACATGTGTGTGTCTAAGTATATAAAGACTACAAATGAGAACATGAAATATGTAGTGTAGATGCATGCAAGTTGCCTACCAGGCCACATTGGGTTGTTGAAATAAACCTTCTTACTATCCTTCTCTGCAATTAAAAAGAAAACAAAACAAAGGGGGTCAATGATCTCAACCTGCCTGGACCAACTAACAAGACTATGTACTAGTTTGCTGTTTAGGAAACAGAAGAGTTAAAAAGGTGACAAAAATTATAGATAATGACCAGAGCGAGACTGGGATTCTGAGAACCACCCAGAAACAACAGTAGAATGACATTTCGCATCGGCCTCAGGGGCAGAAGCCCTAGCCTTCAAGCAACAAGAAGGGATGGCCTTCTCTGAACCATTCCCGTTACTCGCCTTCCCATCCATAGTCTTCTGGCATTCCAAACCTCTTCCTGCGCCGCCCTCCATATATTATCTTTTTCTTCTCCGTCTCCAGTCTCTAACAATCAATAGATATTCATAAGGGAAAAGAAAATATCCACGCCAAAAAAAAAACCATCTTTGAGAATCAAAAACGACTTTTCACGCAAGCATAAACGCACTCATGTTGCACCAGCTTAAAGCGTCTATGTTATACAATAAGATTAATCCAGACAATGAGACCATAGTTTTGTTCTACAACAAAGGGCGAAAAAAGCAACATACCAGAAGAACATTCACAGAAACGATTCCAAGCAAAGGAGTTTAATTTAAATCCACATTCATAATTAGAAGTGGAAAGTTGAAATCTTTTTGCTAAAGTAGGCTTGATTTGCAAATTAATCTTAACTGAGAATACGCTAGGCTTAAACCAATAATCAATGCAAGACATTTCTAAACCATGTCTTTCAATTCTTACAATAAGATTAATCCAGACAATGAGACCATAGTTTTGTTCTACAACAAAGGGCGAAAAAAGCAACATACCAGAAGAACATTCACAGAAACGATTCCAAGCAAAGGAGTTTAATTTAAATCCACATTCATAATTAGAAGTGGAAAGTTGAAATCTTTTTGCTAAAGTAGGCTTGATTTGCAAATTAATCTTAACTGAGAATACGCTAGGCTTAAACCAATAATCAATGCAAGACATTTCTAAACCATGTCTTTCAATTCTTACAATAAGATTAATCCAGACAATGAGACCATAGTTTTGTTCTACAACAAAGGGCGAAAAAAGCAACATACCAGAAGAACATTCACAGAAACGATTCCAAGCAAAGGAGTTTAATTTAAATCCACATTCATAATTAGAAGTGGAAAGTTGAAATCCTTATGCTAAAGTAGGCTTGATTTGCAAATTAATCTTAACTGAGAATACGCTAGGCTTAAACCAATAATCAATGCAAGATCTTTACCATTTCAGTATCTAAATTGAACAAAATCATATCAAACCAAAAAGGCCACTTAGATCATGAGTTAAAACACGTCAATCACGCAAGCAAACAAAGATTGCACCTCCATCACAAGAAAGAAAGAATCATCTGAGATCTATTTAATTCATTAAAGAGCACGGGTCCCAAATAGTATTTTTATAAACGGAACTAAATTTCTGGTTTATACAATTTCCAGCATTACCTCAGCAACAAAGAAAAATATATTATTTTTAAACTTTCCAGTCAAACACCGCAGAGTAAAGTACTGACCACCGTCAGGACAAATAAAAAAGGTTAACCACTGAGAAAAACCCCACAAACAGTAAACCTTATCATTCAAATCCTCTGTACCGACAAGTACCAAAAACAAGAAACGGCATTCAAAGAAAAGGAAATTGATATATAAGTCCACTTATTCATCGCACGAATCCCATCTGAAATTCTGTTTGGCTGCCGAGCAACCGTTCGAAAAAAGAAGCATACGTTTCGACTTTTCAACAATTAACACATAGTGAAGTTTTCGTAACACTTCGCGATAAAGAAATGGAACATACTCGATTTTCTTGGCCACAATTTTCCCGGGAAACAAACGGAAGGACTAGGGTTTTAAGTCATTAACAAAAGAGGGTCCCAAGAGAGCGACTCTGTTTCGACAAATTAGGAAAATTAATTTTTAAAATAAAAAATCTAAAAAGAGAGAATAAAACCCGCATTATTTTCGTAAGAACTTGCAGAGGGGAAAAGATTACGAAGAAATAAAGAGGGAAACGTACAGCAGATAGATGTAGAGAGACAAGCAGAAACACAGAGAGAGAGAGAGAGAGAGAGAATAAAAAGAGAAGGATTGATCTTGCCTGAGGTTGATGACAAATTGGGTTTTCGTGAGGCCTCAAGTGAGCGGGAAACGAGAAACAGTATAAACTGTATAAATAGATGCACAGTCTCACACTCTCCGTCTATGAAGTCTCTCGATATATCTTTCCTCTGCCTCTCTCTGGTTTTTCCTTCGCTGCCTAATTTCGGTTTGGACGAGAACGCCAGTACAGACCAAATATATATAAATACTACTTTTCTATTTTTTCCTTAAAAAAGAAAAAGAAAATGTAATTACTTTTTACATCCTGAAGAAAAGTCACCATGATGCCATTAAAAGGAAAATTTCGAGTAAGAATTTATAAGGTCTTCTAATTTCAGCTATTATCGCATATGATATATTAGAAAAATAACTTTTTTTTTATAACATTTAACCCATTAACATGTCCAATGGATGGCTGACATTAAATCAAGCAAATATTTCTCTTTCGAATGCTGAAAGAGCATACATATTTCTCTTTTTCAATGGTGGAATATATCCCAAATTCTAAAAAAAAAAAAAATGGCAATCAATGGGTTAGCCTAAAACATGTGATGTGAGGCGTATGCTTGTGTGAAATAAATTTTTAATAACTTCCTTGCCAAGCCACTTTACACAACATTTTCGAATAAAATTTTCTTGTGTGCTTTTGTTTATGTTTCTTGATTTTATTTTCTGTGAGAAATTTATATAGTTTAGTCACGACATCATTTCCTTTCTATTTACATTCAACTTAATCATTGAAAACGAGGAAAAATAGGTCGAAATTAGATAATGATTTCAAATTTTGAACTTTTTTGGATTACCCCTCCTTCTGGTTGGAGTTTTTCTACATTAAATCATTAATATGGTGTGTTACATGTTTAAGCCAACTTTATGCCTTTTTTTCCCCCCGGAAAATGGCATCATCACGTGTCAACTTTGTCTTTCCCACACCACACACGTTTTTATGATAATCATGAAACTATACTTTTTAGGGTAAAAGATGGTGGTGACATGGTATCATATCATCTATGAATCCTTTGCTCTTTTATAGTTGGTTGTACAGTTTGGTTTGGTTTTTTTCAGTTGACACCACGAGAGCTCAGCTGAGCCACAAGTCCACCGATCGTGTGTGTATTTTGGGTAACAAGAAAAATCTTTGATGATCCACTCTTCTTTAGGTAAAAGGATTTCTAAAAGTACAAACCCGATATGTATATATATATATATACCTGCAATGCAAGGGAGAGAAACTTCAAACTAAACTAAATATGTTTCGTCTACATCAATCTATAACTGTGATCACATTTATGTGTCGGCAGTCAGGATTCTAGCTTTTATTCATGCACATGCAAGCTTGTCTCACTGTTTGGCTGTTTGCTTCTATATATATATAATGCTTTCATTTTCATCAATTTCGGGGCCCCCTTTTTTGCATTATAGCAGCGTGTCCATTCATCAATTGTTTTGGCCATTGTTGAGTTTCCATCAATTGAGTTTTCGCCAAGTACTTCCATACATATTTACAAATTGTGGAGCAGTGCTTGAGTCCTCGAACAATGCTTGAACTCGGAACCCCCTTAAAGACCTGTGAAGCGGGTGCGCGGTGGATGGTTATTTTTATGTTCATCCTATCCTAGTATTGTATTTTGCCATGTGTTAACTTAACAGCTCTTGAATTGATAACCCAACGTTTGGATGTCAAATGTTCAGTGGTCTCTTTCACGGATCAATTCCAAGTTAGTTACACGTTTTTCTTTTTGAAAATTGTCCTCGCCTTTTTGGATTTGTATTGTATCCATTCAGAAAGCACAATTTGGTTTGTTAGGTTATGCCATCCATCTAATGTATTCGAGCATATAGCTTCAATTATAAGACACAACCAATTACCAACTTAATTGCTTTTCATTGGCTGAGCGAGCAAAAGACGAACACGTGTCTTAATAAAAAGCCCTAGCAAACCACCGAATGATAAAAGCTTGTCTTGGCAATTTGGCAAACTACATCACCAACCAAACGTTGAAAATAATAACAATGGCTACTCACAATTTCACGACGCGTGTCCTAGTATCAATTACAGACCCAAAGCCTTTAGTTTGCTTCAACCATTAGAAAGTTAGAAAGTTATTCTAACATGTATGCTTTTTGTAGAATTCTGTTTATTTTAATTCGTGATGTGACAAATCTTAATAGAATCCCGAATTTTATTAGATAATGATGCCGGGAAATCCAAATAATCCGCATATATAACTACCTGTTGAAACAGAGAACAAGGAAAAAGTATTCAAATAACACGTGGCACAATATTTAAAGGAGTGAAGAATATTATTTTTATTTCAACAGAGTACTGAAATGTGATGGAGATGCGATGCATCATGCATGCATGTAGAATAGAAAAGGGTTGTTTGGCACTTGTTCTCAATCAATCAGTATAATAAGTATGTTCAAGTATTAATGTTACAAGTCAATGAGGTGCAGTCTTATCAATGTTTGAATCTCGTTGTTAACTGTACTCATTGATGCACGATTTGTAATCTCTTACATAAAAATTTATACTAGTGCAAGCAGTTAGATGTCACGCGTAAGTTTTTTCAACTCGAGTATGCCCTGACGCTTGTAGTGAGAATAACCAGTCTCCTCCTAAACTTTTGCTCATGGAAAAAAGAAAGAAAAAAAGAAGAAGCGGTATTAATGTTATAAAGCTAACTTTTCATAAGTTCATAACATAAAGGAAGGAAATCATAATATTATATTATTCCCTAATCTCAAAATGCATCTGTGTTGCCTTCGGGCCGGCCCATTGTTTTTAAGAAAAATGCAAAATTCATCTCTACACTTATTTTGGTTTCTCAAATTCAATAATGTCCTAACAAAAACACTTATTTGCAATGAGAATAGTACTGTTTTACTATACCCGATCAATCACATTAAGTCACGTGTGATAATTTTTCCCCTTGGCATAGCGTTGTTGATTGGGAATAGCAAAACAGTGCTATCCCCATCTCTTACAAGTTTTTTTTGCCTGTTAGGCCTTCTCTTCTTTTCTTTTTCTTTTTTTTCCTATATATATTATATAAGGGAGATCCATATAGCAGACAGCACAAATCAAGAAATAAGTATAACTTAAAAAAAAAATTAAAAAAAAGTAATCATTTTGAAGATATTATACATTCCATCGAAAATAATGAAGCATATATATAGTTAACACAGTCCACACAGGAAAAAGTTCTCACATTTCCAATTAAAACGAATAATAAAGGGGTAAAGAATATGAGCTTATGAAGTATATACGTATAGCCTCTATTCGCTATAAAATAAAAAAGTAGCGCTAGCTCGTTTTTGATAGGGCGACAACAATCACACTGATGTTATCTTTGCTTCCCCGAGCCATAGCCAGATCAGCCAAGACAGCTGCTGCCTCAGACGTACTGTGACTTCGGACATGATCATGATGATGATCCTCCCCATGTATGGAAATTCTCCTTATTCTTCCATCAAGGCACTTGTTCACAACCTTACACGCCACCTCGTTCGATATAACATCCCACAGCCCATCACTGGCGAGGATGAGGAATTCATCCTCCTCAGTTCGTTTCGTCACCGTCACCTCTGGTTTTGATATCACATATGGCCTCATGTATTTGTCACCTGCACCATTTCAATATATCACCAAATCAGTGAAAGGTTACAAATTAATTTCAAATAGGTACCCAATTATATATACATACTTACCAATGGATCTGGAAGTGGCAAGCACCCCGAGAACACGGTTTCCATTCCAGTTGATGATTTTTCCACCCGCAGCTTCAATTCTCTTCAACTCATCCACTCTGTCAGGCTACACATATATTATATACTGATTAGTATAAATTTCCAGTAATTAATTACTAATTACTTGATAGATAATACGGAGGACAAAGTTAATCCTCTTGCGCGCTCATCTATATATATATATATATATATATATATATGACACTCCTCAAGTATATTCTTGCTAGCTAGCTAGCTAGCTTGCATTGTCACATACGAGAGCCAAACGGCTTCAGATCAGTGAACGCTATTGGGAGACAAACACTTGTCCTTTAAAAATTTTCTGTATTTGCCTTATGAATTTCTGTGTGTGTCAATATACAATATTTCCCTTCATCAACCAGCTAGCTTAATTAGTAATTAAAAACTTCAAATCAATTGAGATGAGCTGGAGAATCATATCGTGGTAAGAGAGATTACGTCAGGTATAAATTCCGTTCGTGCGTTAATGAAGATTCCATAAATTTTAACTACGTTACTTATATATTAATATGAACAAATTACTTTTGTCAAAAAGAACAAATTACAAAGATAGAAACTAAACTACAAAATGACGGAGGGAGTAACGGTTACCTTATGGTCACTAGACAAGGCCAAGGCAACACCACCTCTCGACAAAACAGCCCTACAATCACCGCAATTTCCCACCACCACCTGATCCTCCGTCACCACCGCCACCACCGCCGTAGCCCCAACCGTCCTGGCCGCCGCAATCCCACTCACCTCCTCATCCATTTTACCAAAACACACCTCCATCACCCTCTCCCAATCCCAATCCACCGGATCTTTCTTATTATTTTTAATCCGTTCCAGTTCCACTGCCTCCGCCACCACCTCATGCATCCTATCTCTGCAAGCCCTCGCCACGTCAGCCCCACCGTGCCCGTCATACACCCCAAAGAAGTCAAACTTCCCACGTGATCCGTTCACCGGAAACCCTACCTCCGCTCTGACTGCATCTTCCATCACCTTCCTCCTCCCCTGCACCGAAACGACGCCGTACGTACCCCTTCCCAGCGTTTCCAAACTCTCACCACCACTCGTTTTCCGTCTCTCGTCCGATCCGGAACCGGAACTACTCGACAAGACGATGTCGTTTTCTGTGGACGAAAATGACACAGACAAAACCTTAACCGGAACACCAACATCTTTCACTTTTCTCTTCAACTCCGAAGAGCCGTATTCCTTGTGGCCGCCTGTGATCTCCACCTCGACCTTCGTTTGACACGTGTACTTCAGTCGCCGTACTTTGAGTCGCTTTCTGCGGCCGTTCTTGGTTTCGATGACGAAGCTCTGTTGTCTCATCTCGCCGCCGGAGTCTAACATCAAGTGAAGGCTTCTTCTTCTTCAATCTCCCTCCAGCCTCTCTGCCTCAGATATGCACCGAAAAGCTGAGCGACAAGCGACCTTCTAGTAATGAAGGAGACGTAAGCAAGCTTCGCATCTCAGCCGTTGAAATGTTTTTTGCCGTTGGATGCGCGCCAGACGTGGTTACACAGACCACTGACTTGGATTTTGATAGAGAGGGACGTGGACGGTGAAGATGCGGTCCCGGACACGTGGAGCGAAGTATGTATGGGTATTGATTCGTATTGGTGGAAGATTTTTATGCAGGTGGGGGCTCAGTTGCGGTCTCCTCTAGATTTGAGTACGTGGCGGTTCGTCAGGCAATGCGGTGGTGAATTGCTCTTTTACTTTTCCACAGTATGTTTCGGTTCTCTGACAAGAATGTTGACTTGTGAAAAATGTGGCGACACGTGTCGGAGTTGGACCTCGTACCTTGTGTTGTTGCCGATTATCGTGTCGGGCTTGGAGAGTTAAATATTTAGTAAGGGATAAAAACTATTATTAATTCCCGTGCAGAGAGGGGCTGGAAGAAAAAAAATATCTTAGCTTTGCGGGGGGTGGAGACACAACACATGGGCACATCTATACGGCTAGATCGCTGTTGATGAAAATCAAAACCATGGTGGTCACCAAATAATTGTTGTGTTGTTTAATAAAGTAGGGCAATCTTTTAAGATAGAAGTTGTAAGCAAATATCTTTTTCACATTTAATAAATTAAATAACTTTTTACAAATAGGCCCATTCTCACATGATATTTTATAAAAAGGTCATTGAAGTTCGATACTTTACAAAAACTTCATGTTGTATTTTCAAGTGAAGAGAATTATAACACACGAAAAAGTAATGAGAAAATAACAAGTAGCTAGTTGATGATTGTTTTCTTCAAATAAGTTCTTTAAAGATTTTTATATAAATTGTCATTGTTAGAATGATTCCTTATGTTTTGGTTTGTGGTAGTTGATCGCTATCAATAATTGTTAGCAAAAAAAAAAATCATGCATTCATCAATCACGTGTCACGTACGGAAGGGCAGCTTTTGAAGACAAAAATTGGCCATGATGCATGAGTGCTTGTGTCCTTTTCAAGGAATCTCAATCTAGTGACGAATCGATCGACTTTCCTCTCGATTTTGTCTTGACAATTATAGGTCGATGCATGTAAAATAAATGTAACCCTAGGCCCATCTATTTTGGCCTTTTGGGCTGTGGAATTCGGATCAAAACAAGTCCATGTTTTAGAAAGAGAAACCTCATTCTTAACCTTATGAAAGAAAATAAGAAAACAAACTAGTTGCTCTTGCCTTGACATACACTCACTCAATTGTCAATTTGCACCTGCAATCAAATTGATTGCTGTAGATTCTGATGCAGGTGCCTTACTTGAAGTGCCCTCCCCAACATTCTCTAATGGCGTTTCTTGTGGATATAAGAAGGGTTTTGGAGGCATTTGGAGGCTCTCGATTTCTCCTTCAAGCATCTCTACCACTTTATTCATTGAAGGACGTTCGCTAGGCTTCATTTGTATGCACCACAATGCCACTATGATCATCTTCCTTATGATTTTATTTTCCTCCTCAGTGGCGTCTCCCATGTTTATTTCATTTCCTTCACTCAATTGGTCATAAACCCACGTCGGAAAGTAGATTTGACTCGAATGCTCTATGCTTGCATTTAAATTCTTCCTTCTTCCAGCCGTTTCCATCAATAACATTCCAAAACTATATACATCGGCCTTGTATGAAACACCTCCAATGTTTTTATAGAATAACTCGGGAGCTATGTATCCTATGGTTCCTCTTGCTGCAGTTAAAGACACAATGCTATTGTCTAATGGGCATAGCCTTGCTAACCCAAAATCAGAAACTTTGGGAGTAAAATTCTCATCCAGAAGAATGTTATGAGGCTTGATGTCAAAGTGCAAAATTTGCATGTCACATCCTCGATGGAGATATTCAATACCACGAGCCACTCCGAGCGCAATTTGAAACATTTTCTCATAATTTAAGGAGATAAGTACTCCTGATCTTGATTGAGAAAATATATATTTTTCAAGTGATCCATTGGGCATGAAATCATATATAAGAGCACGTTTTGAACCGTCAACAGAAAAGCCAATAAGTTGTACCACGTTAACATGGTGAATTCTTCCGATTGTAGCAACTTCGTTGATAAATTCTTGGCCATTAGCTTTGGACTTACCCAACATCTTGACGGCTACAAAATGACCGCTACGGAGTTTTGCCTTGTATACAGTGCCATAGCCTCCTTCACCCAATTTGTCCTTGAAACCTCTGGTCATTTTTTTGATGTCGGAGTAAGAATACCTCACTGGCATGAGATTATAATTGCTCTGCAGAAACTCTTCTATATTGTCGTACATGGACAAGTGTCTCCTTCGCCATTTGTATATCAGTAACGCAGCTAGACAGGGATAGCCAAATAAAAACTTTGCTGCTTGGTAAAGTCCTGTTTGGCCATATGGTCATGTTTGTAAAATCGAATATTTCAAAATCGGCTTATATGATGACTCTGTGTTTCAACGATCAACAAGACAAACAATATACATATAAGTAAATATATAAATAGTCTCTTACCGAGGTAACTGATTAAACAGAGCACAAACCGAGATGGATAAATTTCCCAATAATTCGTAAAGTCACGCTGCTTGAGGTTGAAGAAATAATATAGAGGGGCGATAAGTCTTTCTGCAACACAAGTCATGTAGAAATATTCGATCTAATTCAGGTTTTATGATAATGGAAACTGGTTTATCTGGGAGGATGGAGAGACACTTACCTAATTTAAAGAGTATGAACAGTATGACCTTCTTGTACCAAACTTCTACATCATTGCAAAAGAGTACAAACAACAATATTAGCATATTGAATAGAAGAAAAAGAAAAGTTGATTGATCTTACTGCAGGCTCCTTCTATTTATTTGTTTGTCAGAAAGAAAATAGAATAGGTGTACCTTGGTGTCCCCCATGCCTCCCCAAGCAGTGGTTGATGTCACCCACGCATATTGTGCAATTTGGTAAGCACCATCGTTCTTCAACCCATGAGAGTTGGAAGCCCTTCGCTATTAGATTATATATGGCTTCACATGAGCTCAAATAGTCGTCTGAATCTGATCTTGAAGTTGAGGCCATAACCATTTGTGTTATTTTGCAGGTCTCCCCAAGAGCCAATGAACTTATGAAGCCATTCAAGCCAACCATGAAATAAGAATACATGCTAATTAAATTACTAGTATTGGAAATATTGGAAGAAGAGGAGCATGGATCTGTTTCAACAAAACCAGAAAAGTTCATTGGTTTTGCACAGTTGAGAGAAACTATAGGCACTATGAATTCTTCATCTTCTCGCTTGTAGTAGTTACTTTCTAAAGTGGTATAAGGATCTCCATAACTAAAGTTGAAGCTGGTTAAAGAGTGAGTTGGGTTGGAGAAGTAGTACTTGTTGTCTTTCTTTTTCTTCTTCTGATCAATAACACCAGCATCCACAAGTCGGATGGTGAAGTTGTTGTAATGGATAGCCCGCACGTAATACTTTCCTGAATACAAGTATAATATTGTCATGCATGTACTAGTAGTATTTGTCTCACAAGATAGCTCATACGTTTGGTTGCCACAGTGTGGAGGATCTCCTTTTATTCGAAATGGAGAGCTTATGTTGATATTACCACAAGAAAGGGTGCAATCAGAATTCGTTTGTGAATGAATTAATAGAGGAAGAAGGAGGAGGAGCAGGAGACGGAGACTTCGGTTAGACATATTGGTGAGGGAATGGTAGTGGGGAGCCTGCCATCGCCAATTTAATATAAGCTCTTTCAAAGAAAAAATATATATATTTATGGAATAAAGCTGCATGAGATGAGACAATAACTAGGTCCAGCCATATCGTGATCATGCATGATTAACAATTAATTAACACAGGGAAGCCATTTTCAATCGGTAAGTTCGTGGAAGCAGCAGTAGTATACGTACTGATCCATGGATCTTACTGGTATATACGTATTATAATTTATTAAAGCAATTTACATCTTTATTTAAAATCCAATGATCATAGCAGATGACAAGACAACTCCCGTATGCAATTATCAGTTTTTTTTCTTCTTCTCATAATTACTAGAAAGAAATGGTTTTGATAAAATATTTCTTATGCTGGTTGCTCATACTCATAGTATCAGAAGTAGATCATCATGTTCTGGTACATGGTGCCGGCTCAGTAGTAGGCCTTGGAGATTGCGCAGAAACAAGATGTAAACACGACGGACCAGACATCCGATTCCCATTCCGACTCAAAGGCAGGCAGCCAATCCATTGTGGTTACAAGGGCTTTGATCTATCATGCACCAATGACAACCAAACTGTGCTCGAGATGATGATCATGCCGTCATCGTCCTCAGCTAATCATGATAAGCAGCATGTCTTGGTTAAAAAGATTAACTACACAACTCAGGAAATTGAAATACATTACCAAATTGGTTGCCCGCCGGGGCAGATTTTTAACCTCAATTTATCTTTTTCTCCCTTTGAATTCAAAGACTTTAATTATACGTATACCTTATTCAGTTGTCCATCATCTGTACCATATATATCGACCGGAACTTCTTTTGATTGTCTGACGAAACTGAGCCCTTGCCTTGGAAATATTAATAACCAGACTAATTATTATGCTATGCTTGGTGGATGTTCCATTAGTAGAATGCCCCTGGTGTCTTGTACCAAGGTGCTTGACTACACATCAGTTCCAGATCTGTTTACCATCAAACATGCCAATATTCTGAAGCTGCTCTGGTTCATACCTGATTGTCGACGTTGCGAAGATTTGGGCAAGGCATGTAGATTCAAGGATGAATTTTATTCCAGACAAAAAAATCACACTGAAACTCAATGTTACGTGCTCAAAGGTATGCATATGATCTAGCTAAGCTAACATGAAAAAAAAATATATATTTCAGGATTGATCAATCAACATATACAAGTACTAATTCTTTCGATGGTAAACAACTTTTACAGGTCCTAAACGTCCGAGGGCAACGTTAAGGATATTAGGTAAGTTATGTGTAAGCTTTTTGATTTTTCTGTCTTGCTTCTTATTTATTTTTTATTTTTTGGAGAGGGCTGGGGGATGTGTGCTCTGAAGGAGACAATTAAGACACTAATTAATTAATTTTTCTCTCTTAATTTTTTGCAGGTATTTGTGCACTTTCAGTGGTTGCTATAGTAACAGGGATTGTAATCTCTTATGTCTATAGCTCTACCAAAACAGAGAAGGAAAGCAAGCTGAGAATCGAAAGATTTCTGGATGATTACAGAGCTCTCAAGCCAAGCAGATACTCTTATGCTGATATTAAGAGGATGACAAACAAATTTAAGGACAAGTTGGGCCAAGGGGCCTATGGAACAGTGTTCAAAGGAAAGCTTTCCTCTGAATTGCTTGTTGCTGTGAAAATCCTGAGCAACTCAAATGAAAAAGCAGGGGAGGATTTCATCAATGAAGTTAGAACAATGGGTCGAATCCACCATGTCAATGTGGTCCGCCTGGTTGGCTTCTGCGCCGACGGATTTATACGAGCTCTTGTCTATGATTTCTTACCAAATGGTTCACTGCAAAATTTCATATCATCATCATCAGCAGCAGCAGATCATAGGAGCAGAAATGATAACTCTAATTTCCATGGTTGGGATAAGTTGCAAGATATTGCTTTAGGTATAGCCAAAGGAATTGAATATCTTCACCAAGGGTGTGACCAGCAAATTCTCCATTTTGATATCAAGCCCCATAATGTCTTGCTGGATCAGAATTTTACCCCAAAAGTTTGTGATTTTGGTCTAGCCAAGTTGTGCTCTAAGGATCAAAGTGCAATATCCATGACCACAGCAAGGGGGACCATGGGCTACATTGCGCCCGAAGTCTTCTCTAGAAACTTTGGAAATGTGTCACATAAGTCGGATGTCTATAGTTTTGGAACGTTGTTGCTTGAAATGGTCGGGGGAAGAAAGAATTTTAAAGTTGCAGAGGACGACGAATCGAGTACGAGCCAAGTCTACTTCCCAAAATGGATCTATAACCTTTTAGAACAAGATCAGGAGGACCTACGGATCCATATTGAGGACGAAGGAGATGTTAAAATTGCAAGGAAGCTTGCAATTGTGGGTCTCTGGTGCATCCAATGGTACCCACTAGACCGTCCTTCCATGAAAATTGTTGTTCAAATGTTGGAAAGACAAGATGACAAGTTAATCATGCCTCCCAATCCTTTTGCCTCTACTTCGAATTAAATGAGAATTATTGTATATGTTATGTTGTTGGAACACTCTTTAACTTTTTTGTTCAGTTTTGGAATAAGATGATTGTAAATAAACTTCAGTCCTTCTTGGGCTCAGCGTATGGATGAAATCGAAACGAAAGGATATATTAATAAATAAAAAAGGAGGCTACAAAGGATACAAACAAGGGGAACAGAACAGACGACGAACAATAGACCACGCAGGTCTGGTGAATTATTGATGATTAAGTATTCATCTTATCCTAATCTTTGTTTTTGATGTCTCTGTTAAGGAAAAAGATAATTGTTGACTTGAAAATTTCTCATGGTCAAAGATAATTGTTTTTTATGTCTCTTTATTTTGTATATTTGAACATTATTAAAGATAAATAAAAACGAAGTTGCAGTCAATATTAATTTTAAAAAGAGTTGGTGCTCCTTTTATTTTTATTTGATTACTTTCTTAATCTCTTTACATATATATTTATGGGGTTTTGTTTATTTCATCTTTTAACTGTGGTTTTTGTTCATCAATTTAAGAAGAAACTTTAATCTTGCATTCACACACACAAAACAAAAAAAAACAAAAAAAAAAGAATTATGTACAATTTTGGGGAAAAATAAAGGGCACAAGATTTGGCAGAAAAATGCTATGTAACATCCATTGTGAGGTTGGTGTCATGGTGGAGAATTCCTACAAATAGGGCAGGTAGCATTCATTTGAAGCCATTCATCAATGCAATCAGCATGGAAGCAATGTTGGCATTTGGGTATGGTCTTCAATGTCTCCTTGGCCCGGTACTCCGACAAGCATATCGGGCACGTGTTATCGTCGGGCTTTGGTAGTCGCCGGCTTTCGCCAAGGATGATTTTCGGGTAGGCCTCGAGCCTGGGCCTATCGAGGCCCATAATGACAGTGGGCTGTGGAGCCACTATGGAATTAAATTCCGGCAGAGTTCTGCGTCCCCTTGTGAAAGACTTGACCTTGCTACATACACAACATAAAAGCCCCAAAATGCACAAGACTGCTGGCACTCCAACACCCACAGTAATGGCATACCGGGCGCTCCTTGGAATTCCTGAATTAGCAATTCGGATTTACATTAGATTAGAAAGTGAAAACAAAGTTTAGTGCATGCAAGTTGAACCGATATTTAAGCCCAAATTAAGTACTTGGTGGAAAGATTAAACCATGATTGATATATGTGGTAAAGTGTGTTGACCCAAAAAAAAGTCAACCACAACGAAAGCTATGATATGATGGAACATGATTGCAGTGTGGAAAGCGTTGAGCACACTTCAACAGATGAAGAACTGAAAGATCTAAGAGCATTCACAATTGGCTCCTTAAACCATATCTTTAGACAAATTTTAGGGAGAAATTGGAAAAATACAACTCCAACAATGCTCTTTATCCATCTCTTAAAATAGAAGGACGATCTCTTACATATGAGGAGAGAGAAAGAAGTTAAAGAACTCATAGTGGCTCCCTATAATTCAATGATGCTTTATTTTATGACTATTTAAAACCTTTAATTAATGCTAAAAATTATATATATATATATTTTTATAAAGATGGACTTTTTAAAAAAGAGTTATAGTATTCATGACTTCTTAAACTAGAGAGTACAATTGGAGTTAAAATTTTATAAAGAGCTCATAAAATAACTTTTATACGTTTTTAGCTAAATTTTAACTAAAAAATAGATAGCATGATTGTAGATGCTCTAATGACTCTAGAAAACAACTTTGGGCGCATTTGGTTTGCTTAGCAAATTAAAACCAGATTAATATTGTTGACTAGTCCCATTAAATTAGTACACAAATATCACCTAAATGTCAATTCAGATAAATTTGTATGCTTACTTACAAACATTATATTCTTTCCATTCAACTCTTTTATCATTTTACTACTGTTCCATGATTCCATCAAACAACATGTGAATCAATCTCAACATGAAACTTCATAAGATTCACAAAAGCAGAGACTCCAACTCTAACTGTAGATTTTGGGAATAAATGTTTTACCACAAAAATTATAACTCGAAACACCAAACATGAACTGGACAACTTATTCATGAGATTAGGAGATTAGGAGCATGTAATATTGAAGTTATGATATTAATATTACCTCGTTGAGGAAGGTTTGAGCAAACAACTTGGTGACTTGAATTGGTCTTGAACCCACACTGGCCACCACGCGCCGCGCACCTGCCGCACCCAGGCATGTCCCACGTCAGCCGGAGATGGTCAGTCAGGTCCGACGACATAACCTCTTCGTACAACGGAACGTCAACCGGAACGACAAAGGTACCAGTTCGATTGCATGTGGGCGAAGACGACAAATAATCAATCACCTTGGTAGAAGTGGTAGCAAAAACTGTGTACGTAGAACCGCTCAGGCAAGCAATTGGGTTGAGTTTGTACTTCAAATAATCCAGCGAGCAATTGAAGAACGTGAAGGTTTCGTTTGTCACGCCGTGAAATGGAGAGCCCGAGAGGTTGAGCGTCAGAATTCGCTGCGGGAGGCAGTTGTTTGGATCGTTGATCCATATTTCTTGTTCCGCATAGTCTATGCCTTGGATGGTGAAATCTCCGGAATATGGGAAGTTGAGGATTGTTTGGTTGGTGATGTCACAGGATAGTTCAAACCCCGGATAAGTACATGACTGTGGCTGGCTTTTTGTTATCCCGAACGGGAATTTAATGTTTGGCTCGCCTTTGAAGCAAACATCCTCCTGCAAGCAATTTTCTGAGGAGCTGCTGCTGCTGCTGCTGCTTGCAAGGTATGAGAATGACAAGAAGAAGAGAAAGGAGGAGAAGATGGGTATGAAAATATTCATTTTTTTGCTACTTGGAATAGCAGGCACAATTGCTACACTTCAAATTCCAAAGTATATATCTCATCTCGCATGAGTTTGCATTTGACTTTATAGAATAAGGGCCAAGTCTTCATTCACTTTTGTTTACTAAACTATATAAATATGGAAGGCCAATCAGTGCATCAAGGGGAAAGGCAGAGATGTATTTGATTGTGAGTGGAATTTGTGGGCATTATCTATCTCACTGCAGCAATCTTGCTAGCAAGACCTGTTCAAAATGTTTGCATGTGGGGTGGTCAATTCATGTGGAAATTACAAGATGGCTTCTAATTTCAAACCCAAAAAAAAAAACTTGTATTGTTGTTTTTTTGTCACATATATTAAAGATAAGATAAGAGAGAGAGTTAGGCCTATAATGGCTGTCCGGATTCTGATATTTGACATTTCAACTTTGCATACTAATACTATACTCAATTTAAAACCAATTAAGCCTTGAATTATTGATTTTTACAACATATATTAATATTCTTGTAGATAATGGCTGCTTCCATTTGTGATATGTGACATTTGGAATTGACTTGCTCCCACCACTACCAAAGAGAGAATAACGATTCAATGCTATTGCATGGAGCACCCAAGCACAACTTACTGTGCCATCCCCATCCCATCAGTTGCAAATCCATCTTTTTTATTTTACCCAACACCTTAGTTAAGTTATATATAAACTACTAACGCTAAAATTTATCTTATTTGTATCACGAGAAAAATAACAATACAAAGTAGATCTTCCATAAATCCACAGTTGAGAGAGACGTTGTCATAACCTTGATTGTCAAATCACTAAAGCAACAATCTTCAACCTATTTTGGGTCATCTTGACGCGTGCACAGATTGATAGGGTCAGCTATTCAATTCAAAGTTTTATATTAGTAGAGAATAGAGATAGCCAGGGGCCAGACAGATACCCCATAATCCGTTTGCTGGTTTATGTCAAAATTGATTGATCATTCGGAAAAATCAACGGTTGTTGTTTGTCCAAAAATACGGGGCCCACTTGTGGGAAATTTGGGCATTGGCTAACGGTCTGTCTGTCTGTAGCAATCCCGAGGTTGGTAAGACCTGTTCAAAGTAGTCAGTTGTAGCTGCAGGTGGTCAATAATCAATAATCAATAATCAATAATCAATTCATGATGACGAAAACACCAAAAAAAATATATTTATTTATAGATTAATCATGAACATGAATGATTGTTTAATATGAACCGATGGAAGAAGGATTGCTGCCCTGCTGAATTATGAATTAGTTGACTATACTCTAGCATAAAATATGAAAAATGTCAGCATTTCCCATTGCTTTCTGTGATTCTCATTCTCAGTCTCCAAACCAATTGCTTTGCTTCTGACCAAATGAATTCATTTGCTTCTAAAAAACTGACAAAACCCAGTTCGCAAACCCACTTCAATTATTTTCGTTGAGTTTTTTTCACCACAAAAATAACATAACTTACAGGAGGCAGTCTAGTTTCAATTTTGTTTCAGGCTCACGATACATGGCCCAAAGCCCCAACCGTGTATAGACTTATCAAGCCCAAACCTATCAGAGGAAAGCCCAACTCAGGCAACGTCGAAACGTCGTTTCACTTTACAAGTTTCTTCTTCTGGGTTTCATTTTGGGTGTGGTTTCGTGCCGCAGCAAAACAAAACCCAGCGAATCAAAGCGAATAACCAAAGATTACGATTACGATTACGAATGCGAATAATAATTTTATTTCAAACTTAAAAACAACAACCACTTCACTTTGCACAATTTCATTAAACAACTAAACCATCCATAAAAGTAACAAAATTTGCATAACATATTGCAATTATTATTTCATCAAATCTGGAACCCCCAAAGAAACTCAAAAATCAGAGCACCGACCGTTTCGCTCCCAATCGCCGAATCGGGTGGGCTCCGGCCCTTTGGGCCCGCCGATCTCACCCGTCTCTTTATTCATATACCCATCGTCTTCTTCTTCATCATCATCAGCTTGATTTTCAGTGCTTTCAAGTTTTTCGTCGGTGGGCTCTCTTTGTTCCTTGCTGGGGTTTTGGTGCTGGGATTGAGACTGCGTAGCCGATGAACACAAGAGTCGACTCACTGAGTTGATGGTGGCGCGAGTTAGAGGCTCGGCTCTACTAGGGGTTGAGAGAACGGTCGTTGATGAGAATAGACGGCCTAGATTGATCGCCATTTTTTCTTTCGTTCGTTCTTGTTTTTTCTTCTTCCTTCTTCTCTGCAAGAAAAAAGGAAACAGAAGTGGGAGAAGAGAAGGTAGGGAGGGAATGCTATTGTTGTGGCAACCAAACGGCGTCGTGTCGTGGAGTTACGAAGCCACGTGGTGGTTGTCTAAATTAGATTGGGCCACCCAAATGGGCTTCTTCTCATGGCAGGTGGTCCAGAAACCCAAAAAGATCGTCCGAAGATAATTAAAATTTATCAATAATAAATGAAGAACCAACCAAGAAATTCTAACATGTGGTGTTTTGACGAGAATTGCACGCATTAAATTCCCACAAAGACACCCAAAATCATCAACCTCAGGTATGTATCACTTTCTGTGCATACTTGTTTCAGTGTGACATGTCTTCTCACTACGTTTTTCATGTTCATACATATACAAACAATTTTATCTTGTAATGTCATCTGAATCCATGGATTTTGGGATCCGTCCATTCAAATAGAACCTTAGCATGGCATTTATAGGAACACAGATACAGTGCTCTGTCAAATGCAGGATCTGTTGTGCTAACTTTTGGTTGTGTAGTGTTTCTTTTCATTGGCATTATGATAAATTGTCGATGAATTGTCAAATGTAGGGAATGCTATTCTTGTGGCAACCAAGCACAGCATGAAACTGAAAGTATAGAGTCAGATGTCCCAGCACCACCCAAAAACGCTGCAGCGGGAGGGAAAGCTTCTCTTCAGCCAGAACGTACACCTGTCTTGGCCAAGGAAATAGAAGCCATTCTAGTGAGAGCAAAATTTTATACATATATATAGACCACAGACACAGAGGTTAGTATTTGAGAAATCGAAAAGTTGGGTTATGTTTATTTTGTTTGTTTATTTTGCAAGTTGGGTGGATGCATTTGAATTTGAATTTGAATTTGATGATGGAGGAGAAAGTGGAGAAACACCGTGTTTCAAAACGACAACTTGGGAGTCGAGTAGGGTTGCAGAGAAAGATGATGTCTTCTTCTTGTCTTGTTATTAAGATATGCACAAAAAAACTTGTTGGCCTTGATGCTTTATTTTCGAATTCATTCGTAAGGAAATAAATCCACATGCTAAACTTATTCGGTTGATGTTCTGAGAGCGCCAGTTTGGTTGATTTTCTGCTCTTAAAACATAATAATAATTCCCCATCATATATATAATCTTAAATAATTGGTGAAGAACCAAAACTGTACATTATTCCTTTAAAACAACCACGCAAAAAAGACCGGGTAAAACTATAAACAAAGAAATATTCTAAAACCTATACCCAGGCTCCGCTGAAAAAACTACTTTCATTATGCGAGAATAGAAAGGCTTTGTTGCCCCCAAAGTGAAGCCACCTCCCTCCTGCTTCTGCTGTCCCTTCTGGCCTCAGCTCCATCACATCACGAACGAAGTGGTTCACCCATGAGGCTAATCAATCTTGAAACTTCCTTCCAAAATCAAAACAAGCCATATGTTTCCGTGTCGCTGTCACTGTATTTGCTTGCTGCTGTCTTGGTTCTTTAGTAAAAATCTTGATGATCATGTCATCTATGTCATCACTGTGTGTTTGCTACTACCTGTGTTCCTCTTGCTAAGATCTTGATGCCTCTTCAAAATATTTTCATGGCTCCCATTGCTAATGGTGTGGTCTTCTTCTTCCTCAATGGAGAGGTATTTGTCAACTTGTGCCGCAGCTTGCCGCCCCTCTGAGATTGCCCACACCACCAGGGATTGACCACGCCGGCAGTCCCCAGCTGCAAATACCCCATCCACATTGGTTGAGAACCGACCATACTCTGCCTTGTAGTTTGAGCGATTGTCACGCTCCAACCCCAACTTCTCTGCTACCGTCTGCCAAACCAAACACAAAGTAACCAGTGAGAAGAAGAAGAAAAAACATGATAAATATTTTACAAATGTATTTGAACTTTTAAGCAACTTGAACCAGTGGAATAGCAATTGAAGATACTAACCGCCTCAGGTCCAAGGAAACCCATTGCTAGTAGGACTAGGTCAACCTCGATGATCTCCTCAGAGCCCTCGATTTCCTTGAATTGGAACTTCCCAGTAGCATCCTTCTCCCATTTGACACGAACCAGCTCAAGTCCTTTCACAGCCCCATTCTCATCTCCCACAAATCTCTTAGTAAGCACCTCATAAGATCTTGGATCTTTGCCAAATTTAGCTGCAACTTCTTGGTGCCCGTAATCTACCCGGAATACACGAGGCCACTGCAAACCCAAAATAAAGAAAATAAATAGGCGAGACATCTAAGGAAACACATGACAAAACTCAATGGCATTTCTTCTATTTAAAGCAAGCAATCCAATTTCATGACATTTCATAACCTAACGTGCATGCAGAGAACCACAAACAATGAAATTGACAAGCCAAGGAAATCACAAATGGATCCCAAGAACAACCAGACAAAAATTCACAAAAATCCAACCTGCGGCCAAGGGTTTCCTGGAGCCCTTGTTTGTGGTGGCTCAGGGAGAAGCTCCAAATTTATGATGCTACTACAGCCATGTCTAACGGATGTTCCTATGCAATCAGTGCCAGTGTCACCTCCACCAATTACCACAACTTTCTTGCCCTTAGCAGAAATATAGTTACCATCCTGAAGATTGCTATCTAGTAAGCTTTTGGTGTTTGCGTGAAGGAACTCCATAGCAAAATGAACACCTGACAACTCTCGCCCTGGTACAGGAAGGTCCCTGCACCCAAAAAAATATTAAAATATTAAAATATTTCACTACTGTTAACCATATTCAAATAATACCTTAGACACAACAACATTACACAATTATAAGTTACCTTGGTTTTGTTGCTCCTACTGCTAAAATAATGGCATTATTCTCCTCTCGAAGGCGATCAAGTGAGTACAAAGGATCATTTCCAACACTAGCATTAACCACAAAGTTGACACCTTCCTCAGCCATAAGGTTAACCCGCCGTTGAACTATATCCACTTTGTCAGCCTTCATATTAGGAACTCCATACATCATGAGCCCTCCAATCCTATCAGCACGCTCATACACAGTCACCGTATGGCCTAATCTGTTTAGTTGATCAGCAGCAGCTAGACCAGCTGGTCCGCTTCCAACAATGGCAACCCTTTTCCTGTAATTATAAACATATCAAACTGATGATTCATGCATAGAGAATCTACAAAATGAAAAATAACTCAACATATTCTGACAAGACAATCCTAGATAGCATCGCTCTTAGGCTGAGAAGAAAAGTATACCCAGTTCTCTTGAGAGGAGGTCGTGGTACCATCCAACCTTCCTCAAAAGCCTTGTCTATGATGGCACATTCAATGCTTTTGATAGATACAGGATTCTCAATAATACCCAGAACACAGGAACCTTCACAAGGTGCAGGGCAAACTCGACCAGTAAACTCAGGGAAGTTATTTGTCTCTAGAAGTCTCTCTAATGCTTCATGCCACCTATTCTGGTACACCAACTCATTGAACTCGGGTATTTTGTTACCCAGAGGACATCCAGAGTTCTCCTGCAATTTTATTTGAAAGATCAGAATTAGTAGAGGCAGTGTATCCGTAACTAGATCATGCTTGATAACTAGCAAAATGGGTCAAAAAAAGATACAAGTTCCTACCTGATGGCAGAAAGGAGTGCCACAGTCCATGCAACGGGCTGACTGAGTCTTTAATAGTGGTCCAGGTTTAGTTTCCTCCATAACTTCCTTCCAGTCATTCATCCGAACATTAGGATCCCTATATTGAACGCCCTCACGCTCATAAGAAATAAAACCGCGATGTTTGACAGCATCGCTGACCTGAGAAGGCCTCTTAAATATTTCAGAATCCTCTACCGTCTGCAAATATAACTCTCATATTAGAACCTTTTTAGATTATGCAATCCATAGTGGTTACCAGAAAGTAAAATCCAAATAATCAAATCAATATTTCTGAGTACAAATGTGACCCAAGTGGGCTTGTAATGATATGAAGACTTTCTTCAATTGTGCCAAAAGGAAACCATGTCAATACTATACAAAGATCAGAGAATTGAGGTTCTGCATATTAATGACAGTAGTAGCATAGTGAGTGAGAAAAGCAACCGGAAGGAAACCAAATGTTAAAAACATAGAGGGGAAGGGGAAGGAGGGGGGGGGGGGGGGGGGGGGGGGGGGGGTGAACTCAAATTTAAGAGTAAAAAGTTCAATTACCTGATTGGATTTCCCATTTAATGATGATGCAGCTGCCAACTTCTTAAGTTCTTCAAAAGCATCTTTCTCAATTAACTCTGGTTCGTCTTGCTCAGCTTCATCAACAGCATCCTGTTTGGAGGCTTCGTCTTTCATATTTGCAAGAACACGCTTGTACTCTCTTGGGATAACCTTGATAAACTTAGGCAAAAGATTGCCAAAATCAGCCAGTACTTGACTGGCCAGCAAGCTGTTTGTGTGCCGCTGATGCTGCTGTATCATCATTTTAAGGGTCATCACATCTTCTTCTTCAAGTTTATCAAGATCTACAAGCTCGAGATTGCATCGGGACCGAAATTGTCCATCCACATCAAGAATGTAGGCAATACCACCACTCATACCAGCAGCAAAGTTCCTGCCAGTTTTCCCAAGCACCACAACAGTGCCACCCGTCATGTATTCACAACCATGATCCCCAACTCCTTCGACAACTGCCCTAGCCCCAGAATTGCGAACACAGAATCTTTCTGCTGCCATTCCATTGAAGTATGCCTCTCCACTAGTTGCACCATAAAGAGCAACATTACCGATCACAATATTTTCTTTTGGATCAAACTTGCTTTTCTTGGGAGGATAAACAACAATCTTTCCACCTGACAATCCTTTTCCAACATAATCATTGCTGTCACCTTCAAGCTCAAGCATGATACCTGGGCACAGGAATGCTCCGAGACTTTGTCCTGCACTTCCATTGAATTTGATATGGATAGTGTCAGCAGGAAGCCCTTCCCTGTTGTAACGTTTGGTCACCTCATGGCTAAGCATTGTCCCAACAGCACGATTCACATTGCAAATGGTTGTTTCAAAGTATACAGGAAGAGACTTTTCAATAGCAGCCTTGGACAGAGAAATTAGTTTGTGGTCAAGAGCCATGTCCAAACCATGATCCTGTTTCTGGACACAAAATTGTGCAGCATCAGGCCGAAGGTCTGCTGCAGGTCTAAGTAATAAGGATAGATCAATGTTATCAAGCTTTTCATTGTTTCTAGTCACTTCTTTATCGACTTCAAGCATATCTGAACGACCAACCATCTCATTTAAAGTACGGAAACCAAGCTGTGACATTATTTCTCTCAATTCTTCTGCTACCATAAAGAAAAAATTAATGACATGTTCTGGTTCTCCTGCAAACTTCTCACGAAGTACTGGATCTTGGGTTGCAATGCCAACAGGACAGGTATTCTTATGGCACTTCCGCATCATAATGCAGCCAAGAGTTATGAGGGGTGCTGTGCTGAAACCAAACTCTTCTGCACCCAGAAGTGCGGCTATGGCAACATCTCTTCCAGTTTTTAGTTGGCCATCTGTCTGAAGAGTTGTGCGACCGCGAAGATCATTAGCAACCAAGGTTTGATGCGTCTCAGCCAAACCAAGTTCCCATGGAAGCCCAGCATTCTTAATACCCGTCCATCTAGAGGCCCCTGTGCCTCCATCATGTCCAGAGATTAACACATGGTCAGCATGCCCCTTCACAACTCCACTAGCAACTACTCCCACACCTACTTCAGATACTAACTTTACGCTAATTCGAGCTGTCGGGTTAGCATTCTGCAGATCAATGAAATAGAATTATGATCCAAATAAAACATGCATTTAGTAGTAGTAGTGAAACAGGGGAGTGGGAGCACGGAAACAGCGATTACAACAGGGGAACATACCTTAAGATCATGAATTAATTGAGCAAGGTCTTCAATCGAGTAGATATCATGATGGGGAGGTGGACTGATAAGACCCACACCAGCAGTAGAATTCCTTGTAACAGCAATGTCTCCAATAACCTTGTGCCCAGGAAGCTCACCTCCTTCACCAGGCTTGGCCCCCTGTGCAACAAATAAATTCAGTTAAAATTCAGTTAGGTATCAATTAACAGGAATAGTGCACCAAACATTAGCATTTAGATTTCTATCACAACTATATATACCTGAGCCATTTTTATCTGCAGTTCATCAGCATTCGTAAGATAGTAACTTGAAACTCCAAATCTGCCACTAGCAACCTGCTTAATTGCACTCCTCTTTGGGTTTCTTGAACCATCTGGAAGTGGCTCCATACGAGACGGCTGCTCACCTCCCTCACCTTTAGGAAAAAGCAATATAATTCAGTAGCAGTTAATAAAATACTGCAACAGTGTGAGATGATAGAAAAAAACAACGCTAACAAAGATTTAAGAAGCGAACCTGTATTTGACTTTCCTCCAATTCTGTTCATAGCCATGGCCAGTGTAGTGTGTGCCTCCAATGATATTGATCCATAACTCATAGCACCAGTACAGAACCGTTTTACAATCTCACTGGCAGGTTCCACTTCATCCAAGTGAATCATCTGCTCTGTGCTTTTAAATTTCAGAAGACCCCGGAGATTGCAGGCTTTGTTTAATTCATGAATGAACTTTGAGTATTCTTTATATGCAGCCACACTGTTAGTTCTAGCAGCCTCTTGAAGTTTTGAAATAGCGAAGGGATCATTTAGGTGAACCTCACCACCTTTTCTCCAATGATAATCCCCAGGATTTGGCAGTGCAACTGCTTCTGCACTTCCTGGAGGAAAAGTTCGAGATGGAAATGCCAACTCGTGCAAATGAAGTTCATCACGAGCAAGCATCTCAAATGTTGCACCCTCAACTCTACTAGGGGTTCCTGCAAAGCACCTCTCAATTACTTCTGATGAAAGACCCAAAGCTTCAAAAATCTGTGCACCCTTGTAAGAGGCTAAAGTGGATATCCCCATCTTGGCAAGAACCTTCATCATTCCATAGTTGCTTGCTTTGAAGTACTTTTTAACCAGTTCATCCTTTGAGTATATTACACCATTAGCTTTTGCTGGGATCTTTCCGTCAACCTGCAGTCTCCAAATGGCTTCTATAGCCAAGTATGGGCAGATAGCATCTGCACCAAAACCAACTAGTGTACAGAAATGGTGTACTTCACGTGGCTCAGCAGATTCAATTATCAACCCTACTCTTGTGCGTTCAAGATTTTTAACTAGGTGTTGATGAACAGCACCAACAGCTAAGAGGGAGCTTACAGCAACACGCTTTGGGGAGAAGGCTGCACATTGAAGGAGCGACAATTAAATATGACATAGTTTCAATTAAGTACTCATTATTTTCAACTTAAGGTAATATAAATGACAAGGACAATACCTCTGTCTGAAAGAACGAGTGTGGTATATCCCTTCTCAATCGCTTCATGTGCTTCAGCACAGATTCTATCCAAGGTCTCCTCCAATCCTTCCCTACCACGTTCCTTGGAATAAGTTATATCAAGAACTTTGCAACGCCAACCTCTATAGTTCATTTTTTTGATTGCTTCCATTTCTTCTATGGTTATAAGAGAACCTTTGAGTGAGAGACGATGACATTGTTCTTCAGTGGTTTCTGTCAGATCACCCTCCGGACCAATCATGCATTCCATAGAAGTGACTACCTTCTCTCGGATGGGATCAATTGGAGGGTTTGTTACTTGAGCAAACATTTGCTTGAAATACTCAAATGTAAGCTTTTCTCTGTTAGACATAACAGCCAATGGGGTATCGTTTCCCATTGACCCAAGAGCCTCTACACCATCTTTTGCCATGGGAAGCAACAACATTTCCAGGGATTCAAGTGTATAGCTGCACAGAGGGTAAATATATCAATTATATGACAGTCAAGAAGGCTATAACATAGGTAGGACCATGGGATAAACATCACATACCCAAAAGCTTTCAATGGTGCCAATAAACCATGGATTCCCATGTTTTCCATGTTTTCATCATCAGTAGATGCCTAGAAGTCACAAATGATATATCAAAGTAAGAATCGACAACAAAATAATACCAAAAGAAAAACGAAAAAGGCTACTTGGCATAAATGGTGAAGTCAAATTACAGGAATAACTCCCGCTATGGATGGAGGGACCCTGTCAGATTCTTGAACAGAAGCTACTATGTCCTTGAGCTCAATCTTTTGCCTTTCAAGCCACTCCCCGTATGGCCTTGCCAACGAGTATTGCTGCTTCAAAGCTTCATCATCTACAACAATATGATTCTCAAAATCCACCAAAAGCATCATTCCAGGGTTAAGTCTTCCTTTCCTACTGACATCTTCTGGAGGAATGTCTACTACACCAACTTCACTGCCCATAATAACTCGTCCACTGTGGGTGACATAAAATCGACCAGGCCGAAGTCCATTACGATCCAGTGTAGCTCCCAAATAGCGACCATCAGTAACTGCAACAAGTATTTGTTAAGACGAAAGTACACAGCAGAACTAATGCAAATGTATTTCCAAGCAAGTCCAAAAAAAAATTCCAATATATATTACATGATATAAGAGCTGGCCCATCCCATGGCTCCATGAGAGATGAGAAATATTCATACAGCGCTTTCCTATGAGGATCCATGTTCTTGTCATTTTGCCATGCTTCAGGAATCATCATCATCATAGCTTCAGGAAGGCTTCTGCCAGCTTGAACCAGAAACTCAAGGACGCCATCAAAAGCTCCTACATAATGAAAAAGTCAAATTTGCGCAAATTAGATACATAACATAAAAATAATGACAAAAATTATGCTACCAACATCCGGCAAGAAAGCATATACTGATTTATCCACGTATTTACAATAATGTAGCAATGGTCTAAATTTACCTGAATCAGAAGAACTGGCATCCACAATTGGTAACAGCTTCTTTAACTCATTTCTTGATAGACCAAGTTCCTTACACTTAAGCAGTCCCTCGCGTGCCTTCATCCTGAGTGTATTTTATAAGTATGTCAGAAACTTTATTTTAAAATTCTTAAACTTGAGGGAGAAGCAAGTGATACTTAACCAGAAACACATCTCGAGTCATCAAACATTGATGAAGCACTCAACTCATCAAAAGAATGAACACGCGTGCTTACTTACAAGTTCAGCATGCTATAAAGTCCTCTTAAAATGGTAAAGTCAACAGGCTAATAAATTCAAGCAAAAAAGGTACATATGTTACAAAACCGACTCCTACCACTTACGGATGTCAAAACAATATACTCAAAAACATACCAGTTAACATTTCCTTTAAGGGTATTGATTTCTCCATTGTGGCCAATGACACGCATAGGCTGAGCACGATCCCAGCTGGGAAAAGTATTTGTTGAGAACCGTGAGTGTACCTGCACAAATAATCAAAAGAACCGATATTGTCATATACAACTCCATATTCTTTATTCAGAATATGGAAATCCGATGCTAAAAGCCTAAAACCACACACGAGAAATTGTGTTCAGGCCGCTCCAATCAGAAGTAAACTGCAGTGCAAGTACAAATTGAAATCCTAATCTATACTTCGACCAAACACAATTTCCTTTTCACCACTCATGTGGAATTTTCATCCTCAACAACTCATCATAGAGAGCACCGCACCAAGTTTCTGCAAACATGATTTACTTGATAATGAGGTTTCTTACCAACTCACCCAATGCATCCAATCCAGCATCCAATTTCAATTAGTAATCAAGGGAGTGGAAGAACTTAAGAGATCATTCAAACCTCAATGCCTCAGAAGTCATTCCTCAACCTTGCATCTCTTCAGTTACTGGTTGTTCCCATGCTGTTTGTGGAGTATTGAGTTAGTGGAGGAAAAAAAAAAGTGAATGGATTATATATTTACCAGGGCCATGTAGCTCGTAAACCTTTCATTGCCAAGATCTGCAAAATAGTAATCCTTCAGCTGAATGGGCTTCAGCTGACCTTTGTAAACAACAGTCCTACGTAAAACGAAGTAACAGAGAGAATCAAAATATGATCACATAAATAATAAAACTTGTTGGAAAGAAAAACAAAATTTGCTAGATATCTGAAGAACAAACCTTGAGGAAAGGGAACATATATAGAAGTCTTTAGCACCACCATGTTCAAGGCTTAATGCAGCTCGGATGGCAACCATTGAAACCCTTCTGAGTATGTACATCTGGAAGGAAGGAAATGCAAAAAAGTATCATAACCATAGTGTTAGGTACATAGGGAATTAAACTACTCATTTCTCCAGCCATTTATTTCTCTAAAATAACTCCAGATTACAAAAGTGGGGAAATAGGAAACAACTCCATTACTGCAAAAGCATCTTATGACATTTGTGTATTTACATCTGGATTAGAACATATACCTGTCGCTCGAGGTCAAGTTTTGACCTTGGAGTTGGGGTAAGAAACACTTGCTCAATAACAGGTTCTGTCTGCAAAGCAGACTTCCCCAAGTCTGAGTTATCTGTCGGAACAGATCGCCATCCAAGAACAGTATGTCCAAGAGACTCTGCAACCTGCAAACATATGAGCAATATTCCCATGAATTCCACTACCAGACATCAACATCACAAGTAGACATAGCAATTAACACCAAATGATAAGAAAAGAGGTCCACCAAACAACATATAGACATGCAAGATTAAGAGGTTGCTGCAAAAATCTATTTGATTTCAAAAGATCAATCATTGTCTTCTGTTGTGCACCAGAAAACATTTTGGACAGATGTGTAACTGCTCAATAACAAATTCAGATGTGATCCTGTCTTTTTCTTTCTTTTGGCTAAGCAATGAATATGGAAATATGAGTTCGAGAATGTTGTAATAGCAAACAATGGAATCGTGAAATTACCTTTGTAAATACATTTTTGCTTTCTTCTCTTCGACTGTCAGATGTGGGCAAGAAAAACATTCCAACAGCATATTCCCCTGCCGGTGGAAGCTCAAACCCAACATCCTTGGCAACCTGAGAAACAGCAAACGCAACAGTCAGAAATCCAAGTAGATATTTTCCCAACTATAAGCAAACTATTTTCATCCGGAAAAACAAAATTAAAAACACTGAAATAATAAGAGATTTCATATTTAACAAACGTTTCTTTTTTCCTTATTAGCTTCCAATAAAAAATAAAAAAATTCACCGAAAACTAGCGAGCACCTTTTATATATGGGAACCAAAAAAAAACATTAAAATCCGTCAAAACAAAATAAAACACGAATAACTAAAAAATACATCAAGAAAACCAAATTCGAAATAGAAAAATCTATTCATCTTAAAATTAAAGATAATATACCTCCTTGTAGAAGTCGTGAGGAAGACCGACGAGAATCCCAGCTCCATCACCAGTATTCGTTTCACACCCGCAAGCTCCTCTGTGTGCCATACGCACCAACATTTCCAAAGCATCCGTAATCTGCAATACCATACAACCACACACATCAAATCAATCCCCAAAATCTCGCATATTACATGCACGTGCATATTAACAATTTATACGACGCCTACCGTTTTGCGGCTGCCTTCGCCGGACAATTCAGCGACGAAACCAACCCCACACGAGTCCTTATCGAACGACGGGTCGTATAGGCCGAGGGGTTTCTCGGGAACGGCGGAGAGTAAGGAGCGGACGACGACCCGAAGCTTGGGCGAGCGGCCGGGACCGTCGGATCGCCATAAGTGGAGCTTCTCGGATCCGGCGGACCGCAATCGGGTCCCGAAGAACTTGTTGGCCAAAGCCTTGGTGGATTTCCTGGTAGCAGAGCATGCGGCGGCTCTGCTTCCGAGCCTCGCTATCGGCGTGGCATTGAGCTGAGATGCGAGGGAAGGTTTGGTTCGGAGTTGAACAACGGAACCAGAGCTCGCCAACATTATTCAGAAAACCAGAAAATCGGATTTGATTCTTCCGATTATGTGTGCGTGTATATAAAATAATATTTAATAATAATAATAATGATTTTGTTAAATCTGTGGTGCTTTTTCTTATAGGCTGAGTCCTTGAGAGTTTGTTTTGGAGACTGATACGGGATTTAGATCCGGATTAGAGAAGAAACTCAGGCTTTCAGGCAAAGGTGAGATCTTCAGCAGAGGGACGACGACGTTTGGGGGGACACGATTTACGATTGGTGGTAAAATATTGTAGACTGATTTTTGGGGGAAGAAAATTTTGAAAGTTGAAGGAGAAAAGGCCAACAGATTGGCCGGTATTTCCTATGCCTCGCTAGTTCTTGATCTCGATTTTCCCGGAAAATGAGCGAGAAGGTGAGAGAAAACTGAGGGAGGGAGGTAGGCAGGGGGGTAGGAGGCGGGGGGCAGAGGAGAGTTGCAGCGCGCCAGCAAATATGCGAGTCGGCCCTTCGCTTTTGGGTTCTCTAAGAAGAGGCAGAGCGGTGTTTTATAGGGAAAACAGAGACAGGTTTTTAGAGAGAGAGAGGAGTATGGTGGTTGTGGGTGTTTTAGTCCTAGAGAGAGAAAGGGGTGTGTGGGGACCACAGGGACGCTAAATTTACCAAGTCCGACCTCATGCTCACTGTTTTTAAGTGATAGGACAGCTCAGAATTCGGAATTATGCCACGTGTACAATGCCCTATGCGGCACGCGACAGCCGCGCATGGTGGCCCCCGCTGCAAATACACTCAGATAGAAAGATCACTTAATTAGATAAACACATCCGAAAGGTTTTGGTTTTTTTCTGTTTTTGTTAGGCCGCCTCTTGTTCTTTCCGAGCCTACCCAACGCACTAGGTTCGGTTCCGAGTCTCCGCAGTAAATAAAACATTTTCACTTTAGACGTTTTTTTTCCCATAAGAAAAGGTAATTCACTTTAGATTGGAACTCTTGTCAATTTGGATAACATTTGGAGTGTCTTTTTTATTGTGCCAAGACAGTTAACGGATTTAGATTAATCTTAAGGGAACTATTTTTCTTTTAACCGACAAATGTTTTCGGTGTGTTCTCCGTTTGAATGACCAGTTTGCCCTTGTAAATCAAGATGCTGTTTATTTTGTTTTTCTTTTCTGTTTTTTCTCTTCTGGGCATCTTTTATATTGCATTATGATATTATTTGGTGGACTAATCGTTTCAAAAAGCTTTACGTATACTTTAGATTACTAAAATTCTATGGAAAATATGAAGGTGATTAAAATTAATTAATTAATTGTTTATATTCATATTTAACTTTATTTAAAATTGCACACTGGAAAAATATTATTTTATCATGAGTCATGTTGTAAATAAATCAGTGAAATAATTTTGATTGCAATGAATTTAAGAAAGCAAACATCATTTATCTTGAATATGTTGTCCGTATTACAATTTAAATGTGAAAACCAATAAAAACTATTTTTTCTATGTATTGTGATGTATTTATTGTTGAAAATTAATATAGAAGTCAATGCAAATTATAAATAAAGATCAATATTTCCTCTAAAATAATGTCTTATGAGTGAGGTCAAAGTGGTTCTTATTATATCTCCACTGTTTTTAAATTTTAATTGTGTATTAATTATGTAATTACATAGAATATGAATTTTAAACTAAGGGTATTTCAGTAAAATAACGTAGTTCGTAGTGATACTATGAGTGACGATACGCGGCCAATGGTATGTGATGAAATGAATCGATTATAGCTGCCAGCGGATTCTTACGCGGCCAACAGTAACAGTCAGTTGGTTTTATTTCACTGTGCAATGCAAATGCAAATCTAGAAATTTAATTTTGAGATTCTATTAATCTGCTTTTAGTCTATCTGACTTGATAACGATCGATGGAATTAAATATTCAACTTTCTTCTGGACTGTCCATCCACAGCAAAATTATTTTCCCTCATTAATTGCTTGAGTAAATGAAATAATGTACGTTGGTACTCGAATTTCGTTTGATTTACGGATTTGAGTGGAATTCACTTTCCATGTTATTTCATAAGAGATAAAAAATGGAATATTCATTTCTCATGTTTGGTAATTCTTGGAAAATAACTGGGAGATATATCACTTTATTTATTTTCTCATTTTTGTTTTGAGTATGAATGAAACCAAAGTTTGTATGATTTTTCAATTATACCTATATTAAATCAAATAAAAAAATGTATTTAATGATATATTATAATTTTCAATTGTTAATGGAGACAAAATGGTTATGAAAAATTTGCATTTAATGTTTGCTCACTTTCCCAAACTTTCTCATGAGGAAGAAAAACAAAACTAAGTTGGGAGGAGGGCTTCACTTTCCTCCCATACTTTCTCATGTGCAATGCAACAATTTATCATGTCTAGACTTACAAAATATTGGAAAGCTATTGATTTTCCATCGACAAACCTCCTTTCCCATGAACCAAACGAGGCCGAATTATGCTTTTTTTTTAATTTTAGTACAAGTGATAGTCTAAACTACATGGGAGCATTGACTTGCAGATTGTAAGTCTCGGGTTCGAATCACCGCGGCATTATAGTTGTGTGTGTATGTGTGAATTATGTATATCTAAACATGGGTAATCATACATATGTTTGTACTTATCAAATTATCTAGCATATTATGTTATCAAATAATCAATATGAATTCCATTAATAATGATTCGTGTTCACGATATTATTGGAAGTTACCTCAAATATCAAAATAAAAATTACCTTATATATCACTTAAACGAGTAATTTTTTAATTTTTAATTTAAAGCTAGGCATTACAATGGGGTAACCTTTTCACAGCAGAGTTACTCTACCATTATAGGACAAAGGTATCGGTGAATTTTTCCTTATGGGGCATATTTTGAATCTCCAAAATACATTTGCAAACAAAAAAAATATGCATCGTGAATTATGAATTGCATGCTTTCCCGTCTATTTGAGACATTTTAGCATACACTTTACCCTCACCATCGCATGAATAAACTTTACACCTCACCTTGACTACTTTGCCCTGCATTCTTAATGGTAAAACGTAATTAGCTACTTCGTTGTTAATTACCTTTTACCACTTAAGATAAAAATATAATAAAATTTGCTATACTCTTCATCATACTCAGCCCTCGTGGCATTGCAGGCTTTGCATCTCACATGTCGTTACCTAATCCCACGTCCTAATCAGCCTAGTAGGATTGTTGTAGGAGAGTCAAGCCAGCTGTCCAAGAAGGGGAGTAAATTATGAAAATTTTGAATAAACTTTTCGTAAACTAAATTATAAGGACTCCTTTGTATCAAATATGTCGAAAAGTACGGTTGCCCAACTTTTCCTCCCCAAGTGAAACGCAGTCTTCATTTCATGCATTCTGAAATCCTGTAAAACCCTTGCAAATTCCGAAATGTTTGAAAAATTACCGCCAACCAACCAAGGCTGTAACTCGAAAGATTCATTGCTTTTCCTGATTGACACTTCGGTCCGTATGTCGTTTGTTTGTTTTTTTTTCTCCGGTACTTTAAGTAAATTTAATTTTTTTAAGGAAACAACAAAAACACGAGGTGGGATTCTGTAGTCACCAAACCCCTATGTTGTGTTGGTAGTTTCAAGAAAAAAAAGTTGTTTGGTAGATTATTAACTGTTAAAAGTCAAGGTGCAACGTGGACTTTTCTGTCCCCCTAGATATAGTTACGCTACGGCCATTCACTGAATGTGGACTTTTTCTTCTTAAGAAGAATTGTTAATTCTACGAACCCTACTGAAATTCTGATTTTAATTGCGTACGTAGTATATACGTGTACGGTTAATAATTTATTCATATTGAAATTTAATCTAACACAAACACTTCAAATGCACTTGATTGGTTTTATAAATTATATAAAATACGACAGAAAATAATATTTCAACATAAATTATTTGTATCACATAGACTGATCACCTCTCTAATACAAGTATGTCTCAAATACATTAGTGAGGCCTACCTCTATTAGAGAAGTGGTTAATTAATATGGTATAAATAATATTATTAAAATAAAAAATATAGTTTAATATTGATGTGATAAATATTTAATTAAATAATAATCGTTGTTTTTATCTACAAATTTGTTTGTGTTTTATTATTATTATGCTCATGAGTCATATTCCTACTAAAACTTTACTCAAGCAATGACGAGGGTATGCTTTGTGGGTTGTTATCAACAAGGAAAGGGAAAAATGAGTAAAACAAAGATATGCTTTGTATGTACATGATGTGTATATCAACTCATTTTATGGTAGTACATTAATTTATAGCACGTCGAGATAAACATGGTGACTCAGATTTGGATAATTTCCATATTTTCTTCAAAATAAATGGTGTATAAAAATTGAAACTCTGTGGTTAGAAATGGAATACCAAATTAGGAATTTACTAGGACCCTAATATTTAGGGGGAAAAAATAATGGATCAAAAAATAATTTTCTTTTATTTTATTCTTAAAAGAGCAATGGAAATTGATTGGGTAGTGATGGTCCAGTGAACACAGTGCACACCGGCAGAAGAACACGTGTCAGTGACAGCTACGCTAGCTGAACGTTACCGTATTCGATAATAATGAGTGCTGCTGCCTACTGGCCCAATCCAGTTCAATACTTGTTTTGTGACTTGTCATTTCTGTCAGTCAAAGAGTCAGGAGAAAATAAAATTTCATCAGAAAATTCAACCGTACATCTTGTCTTTCCAGTTCACGTTTCTTTTTATTTACTTTTGTTTATTATTCTTAACAGCAACAGGAACCCAATTAAACTGCTTCAACCAAACACCCAACCAAGCAACCACTCTACCTAATTAGGAGTGTGCTAAGCACAAACCTAAACGATTTTCAACCAAACTTAGTCTTAAGCTTCATTTCATTTTTCTGGTTTAAAAAGAGTAGTAAAAGTTAACATGTATAGAACTTCTATTTTACAGGCGCATCATCACTGGTGTTTGAATATTTGTAC